GGGGGGCGGTGGAAAAAGGAAAAAGGAAATGAGAATTGAACCAACAGCACTAGTAGTTAAACAGGATGAAATCGAGGCGTGTAGGGAGGGCGAGTGGATACTTTCAACAGGTACAGGAATAGACCGGTGCAGTTTGATTGACGGGCGAAGATATACATAGCACGGATTACCCCTGGCAGATGGAGACAACCAGGAACCAGAAGGACAAAGAGCCAGTAGTGCAGGCCACGTTGGAAGATCAGACCATGTGTTGTATCTGGGGAATGGCGACGCTGACCTCTTTTCCGCACGCAACTAAGGATTTAGGCGCCCCCCACTGCCGATTAATGCTCTGCACAAGAGTCGATCCGCCTACCTTCTTTGGTTATCGTGTTCTTCTTACTGTAAGTTAAGTCCTTTTTGTGTGGATTTAGCCATGGAGAGGGAGATTTACGGAGTACATATCCCACCTCGATCGGATGCAATACAGCTTCAAAGTTGTGAATTGAATTAGTTAATCTATCGAGGCTCGGAGCTTACTCGCGTATGCACGTCGTCAGTCCGGCGTTAGACTTCAAATACCAATATATCATCCCCTTCGGCCTATTGGAGCAGCCGCTCGTTTCATATCGCTCAAAATCTGAGGCAGCTCACGGAAGCCGCCGGCTATAACTCAAATCCCCCATCGACTAGTGAGAGCTACGGGCAGCTTGAAGCCGCCTACTCCGGAGTAGCAGTGACAAAGTGGTCCATTCGAAGGTCTCTATTTCTCTAATTTCATACAGACAGTGTCAATACGTATACGAAGTGCTCAACCAATCTTTGAGATCCAGCAGGACTGACAGGATCATCTTGCCATCTTCCCCAGGAACCTCGCTCTATCGACCCATCAAGGGTTTCGAATCATACTTCCAGGGGGCGTGGTAGAGTGAGACAGGACACGAAAATGATCGTCTTGTTTTTCAGAAACCTCGGCAACAGAACCGTTCGTCCTCTGGGAGACCTTTTTTTTTTGATTATAATCTTCACTGCCTTGCTCATTGCAGCTGCATCCGAAGGCTCGTAGCAGTTCTGGCTGGACCCTGCCGACACAGGCTTGTCTTTTCTCCGGAATGTTGCATCTGCACCTTGACGTGTCCTTGCATTGTCAACCTTAATTGCACAAGGTCTCACCAGTCGGAATCATAATATTAAGTTGCTTGGAGCTCGGGCTTAGCTTCGAGGATGGTAAGTAAGTAACTGCCAGTAAGAGGTGAGTCAGTTTTGCGAATGTGTAGCTGTCGAGGACAAAAACAATCAGCTTTTTCATGTCGTCGCTATCTATGAGTGCATTGTGCAGATGACAATTGGTGTTTGGTGCTCCTTCCATTGATAGCTTATGCAGTAGTTATGCAGATGAAGTGGAAGTGACCGTGTTTCTGCCTGAGGTGTTGATGCCTGTTGCGCCGGCAACGCATCTGTCAACACCGCGTCTCCATACCGAGTCGCATCCAGACCCATCCATCCCTAACCAAAACTCGATCTACTTGGTCTATTTGAATATCGAGCTGACAGTCTGACATGCTCTGTGAAGTGCATTTATTTATGCTGTTTCTAAGCATACAGTCCGAATCATTTGACGCGTTAGCTGCGACACCAGCATTGCCAAAATATATTTTCGCGGTCGAGAGGATGATAGCTTGCAAGACTGCCTAAACAAATCACTTTCGAACAAGCTCCGGCCATTAGAACGACACCCTCGGATTCATTCGCCTTGGTCAAGAAGTACATTCACAAATCTGCTGTCGTTGACCACCAACATGTCGAGTTACATATATGATACCGCAACCCCCTGCCCGTCGCGGCTGAGATCTTCGGGGCTTGATTATACCAACACCCAAGGCTCACCAGACAATTTATGGGACACTAGCATCATCGGCAGCGACTCCACGGAGAACATCGATTTCACCACCGAAATCCGACCATCAGTGCTGACGAACGCCAAACCCAGACGGAAGACACGCTCGAACACGTCCTTCCTGATCCATGACGACCATGAGGTCAAATCCGCGCGACCTGCGCATATGCGTGGAGAGGCAACAATCGCGACAGCTGCCGCTTCAACTCACAGGAAGTCCTTGCTTGCCCAACCAGCTCAGAGGTTCCGTCCAAAGGTCAGTTTCGTTGCCAGCCCCCAGAGACAATCACGGCAATCGGGGCCCGTTGCGACGCAGCAGCACCAGAGACAAAATCAGGATCAGAACAATGAGCTTCTGATGCAGATCAATGGCCGTACCCAAGAGCCTCAGCCCAAGAATGCTCTCAAGAAAGCAGTCCGGCGCAATACAGTCTACATACCGCCGGATGATACGACGGTTGCAAGCGTTTTCATGGGTCTGTTTAGTCCTCAGAAAACTGAGAATGTGGAGAGCCTTCTCCGGGAGGACACGCAGATTAATAGCTTGGAGGCACAGATTGCACGGAAACGACAGGTTAAGCGATCGCTTCAGTTGGGTGCACAGCGAGCGCCGCTGAACCCCAGTTCGAAGATTGTTCAGGGAGCTAATATCCATGTCGACATGCCTGGAAAGAATGGTGGGAAAGAGAATATCCCACCAGGATCAGTTCTCGTTGAAGGCGAGAAATATCTCAAATCCTTTAAGACTAAAGAGCTCTATAGATGTAGCGAGGATGTGGCTCCCAATAATGAACAGACTCGCAGGACGATGTGTGCGTCACGATCGACGAAGTTGGCCCTCGCTTCCAAGACAAACAATCAGGTTCTTCACAACAAGAAGCCCGATATCGGCAAAGAAAAGCCCAAGACAAAGCCGGTTAAGACACAGTCCATTGAGAGCAGATCAAAAGCGCTTGATCGCAGCTACGAAGCCTTGAAAGGTCCAACCATGGAGCGTGACATGTCACCTCCGAGCCCAATTACTGCAAAGTCGAGTCTTTTACAGACTAAGGAGGTTGTGAGGAGTTCCTGCGTCATTCCTAACGACATCACGAAGCCAGAACTGTATGAGGATGACTGGCTCGGACATCAGGAGGTCATCTTGACCCAACTCATGAATGAGTTGTTTGATAGCACCAATGACAGTTTTGACTATGTCGATGCCAACAAGCTCAGGGATGAGCTGTTGGGTTTCTACCAGGGACCATCGCTCACGCAATTGCAGAAAAGGCTGAAGGCATCAATACTATATGGAGCTTTGAGCTTACCCAAGGATGTACTCAACCGTGCCAGTCAGATTCAGCGCGACTTAGGTCTGAAGCGGAAGTTCCTCGACTTCTGGGTCCAAACTTACGACTTGCAAACTCTAAGAGCAACACTCGAAGTAATTACAGGGAGAATCATCCCCAACTCAAAGCTAGCCCCCGGAGTCAGTCACGCCGACGGAGAAAAGGCATTGAAGCGGAAATTAGCGGGCTTCTTGGATGTATTCCTCTTACAAAACCAGGACATGGATCGACACGCACAGGATCACAGAGGAGAGGATGGAGATATTGCGGGCCGCGCATATCGTCGCACCCTTCTCCGGAGCATCATGATCATTGTGCTTCTGGATAAAGCAAAGCAATGCTCCGATATATCGCTACCTCGTCTCCTTTTCCAGCCTACGGCACCGTACAAGTCTTCCCATGCTGCTATTCAGGCACTAGGTCAATTGCTAGTGCCATCGTGCGGCGACATCATCAAGGCACTGTGTCATCTTGACTGCCAATTGTCGTACGAGCAGCAACCATTAGCGGAGTACAGATTTTGGATCAGCAACATTGCCGTGGACCTACGTGATGGGGTGAAACTGGCACGACTTGTCGAGCTTTTACTCTTCGGGTCAGCCTCGATAGGAGAACCGGAGCAGCAGAAATGGCTATTGTCCGGCAGGCTGAGGTTTCCCTGCCTGGGACGGGCAGTAAAGCTGCACAATATGCAGCTTACCTTAGATACAATGTCTTCGATTGATGGAGCTAGGAAGCTTGTCCAGGGCGTGTGTGCGGAAGATATCGTCGACGGACACCGCGAAAAGACGGTCGGCCTACTCAGGAAGCTCGTCACCACTTGGTGTCCTGGTAGGCTTCTGGATTGCAATAATCTCAGGAAAGAGGTTCATCGCCTGAAGACGAAGGTCACTTTCCAATTCGAATCTGAGGATTTTGGAAATTTGGATTCAGCCTCTCTGAATACTCCAGGCGAGGACACGGAAGCCAAGTCCTTGCTCAAGCAATGGGCCAAGCTGTCAGCGGAGAGCAACGGACTGCCCCTAAGCAATTTCAGCACATGCTTCAGCGATGGGAAAATCTACGAGTGCATTGTTAAGGAGTACGAGGCAAGCATAGCCCGATGTTATGAGCCTCCGTCAACGACCCTGGAGTCTCAACTTCAAGCTCTGGGTTGCAGTGCACAGCTGGGTGAGTTCACTTGAGCATCTCAGTTGAGCTAGCAGTCGCTAACAAAGGTCTAGTGAGACTGATATGTCCTGCGCGTTCTGGCGCCCATATCCCTGATGAAGACTTCACCATTGGGGTGCTCGCGTTCCTTTGCTCTCGAATTCTTCCGGCTATTGGACGCGCATGATCTGAAACAGCTATGAAGTACAGGGCAGTATATGTCGATATGGGGAACTATGACAAGGATGCGACCAGGAAGGACAAATGGGCACGCACATGCTATCCTGGACGAACGGAAACAGATCATGTCCATAACATATCCGGGGATTAATCAACTGGAAGACTCATTGAATGAGTACTCGCGTTAGCAACTATAATGATATCAACTACCAATCTCATTGTTATCTTTTCAACGCGAACGACAGGCGGCAGTGCAGCAAACAGTCCTTCAAAGACAACAAAGATGCACAATTCAACTAGACCATAGGTACTGTGCCCACCGTACATCCATAAACGCTACAAAAGCTCGGCCTCCTGATCTACAACCTGCGCAATCCACCCCCTGTATCAGTTGTGCCTCGTCTCAACAAAGTGCGGCCTAAGACCTCAGATAGATGCAGTCAGGCCACCCTCTATCCTCGGCCCACTATCCAAGTCAGCATTCGTTCTTGCTAGATTATAGCTCTTTTCTTATAGCTTAGGTCAATGCTCGAGCGTAACAACCCATCCACCAGCACTTCTTCAGGCGGACTGTGTGGTCACGAGCTCCGGGATTATCCCACGATGGGCCGACTTGTCAGCCTGAGAAGTGAAACTACGCTGATTGCACAAATCCTGCTGGAAAATAAGTGTGGCGACTATCCCCACTGCAGTATTCATTTTTCATGAAGACAAGCGAAATATGCTATCTGAACCGAGCTCATCGAGAAGCGATATCGTCAGACAGAGCATTATCACCTACTAGTACTCTCTGACCATTGAAGTAACTCCTCCGCCCTCGCCCACTTAATGTAGTAGGTAGTTTCCCCTCTTAACGCCCTCTCTCTCCGCCAACCATGAGGAAGGAGATGTATCTCTATGCCCAGGCAGGGCACCCAAATCCCGGACCATCTCACTCAACAAATCCACAACCTTCAGCTCAAATACCCACACTCGAAACGTCCAGTATCGAAACATACAATCACAAGCCCTTACAAAACCGATAAATATAGCATCCTCTGCGGAGTAGCATGGCTGTGACAACGATAGGCCACGGATTTGCCTCCATGTTGTAACAACCGACCAGTAAGCCCCGCGCTTCAGCCCTGTTGAGTCAGAGTCAACGTCAACGTCAACTTACTACGGTTAACTTATCTATATGCCTATGGAGTACTTGCCTCTCTGACTTACTCACTGATTCTGATTACCAAAGGATCATCGTCACGAGAGAAGAACGTGGAAGCCTATCCTCCCGTACTGTGTACTCCGTAGAAAGTAAGTACAGTCCGATTGCAACGAGCGGGAAGATAGATGATGTCAGAGGGTCGCATTTTCTATCACAGACGGAAGTATTGACTTGAAGTTGATGGCTTAGTTAGTTATTTACTGTTAGTAATTCAGAGTAAAAAAGAAGAATCTGAAAGAAGATAAGCCGGTACAGCCGAGAGATCCCTCTTAGCCACTGACTTCAATACCGAGTTAAGTTCACTGCAAACGGTGCGATGACGTATAGTGGCTGGGGTTCGGGCCCGAAGATACCCGCGCGCTCGGGATACATTCTCTTTTTTTTTTTTTTATGTTGTATGAACTCTGCGGAATACACAGTACGGAGTGTTATCAGGTAGATGACGTGAATGGATCATGCTTTGGGATTCCGACATGATCGCAGCTGTATGATGATATAATCTATAGGGATATCAATGCGAATAAACCTGGATAACGGGGTCAAGAACAAGTGACAGATGCGGGGAACAGCAGAGCAATACGGAGTACCTAATGAGAGCTTGAGATTCGAGAAGATTGCCCTAATAGGAAATACATGTAGGAAGCCTGCCTACTGCCGAGTGACTCGAGTCCACCTCTTCATTAGTTATGGCATCTCTCTCTTTCTCTCTTACTTACAACCCGGCATTAGCGGCCTACAGTCCACCCCTGTGGATATGCTGGGAGACTTGAAGTGAGCTACTACGGTGTGCGGAAGTATGTACCTGTGCTGGATCAACCTTATCTGCACCCCTTATCATTGGACACAAGCAGAGATCGCCCGCCTCATGATCGTTGTTCCTCCCGGCGATCGTTGCTGCGGAGAGGAAAGAAAAGCGGAGGGAGGGAAGAGCTGGAGGAGAAGAGCAAGTCCTGGATATCATCCGACCACGCATGCAATCCGAATGCACAATTCAAGACCAACGGGCCGATCACAACTCACTCACCGGTAGTCAATCTCAACTGCGTCGTCCTTCTCCTCTCCCTCTCACTCTTTTTCAGTTGGGTAAGAATCAATGGCGGTATTGGCGAGGTGGTCCTTGGCTACTGATTGATAGTCATTCTCCTGAGACGATCCAGGCCCAGAAAAAAAAAGCACATAGCCTCATCATCTGGACTGGGGGGGAAATGAAATCTTGCCTGCCCCTGAACAGCTTCCCCCCCACCCATCCGACGTGTTCACGCTCCCTCATCGCAGTGCCAAGAACCAACAATGCAGTTATTGAAAACAGGTGATCGACGTCGATCCCTTTATCCAAATCAGGAACTCCCGCAGCTCCTCCTTCTGAGATAATCGTGAGCGATCTTCGCCGCCAAATCCGCCTCTCTCCAAATTTGTAACCTCTTGGCCTGGCGTACGGACAAGTGAAGCGTAATTGGGAATGGAGTGGGATCTTGGCATCACTTGGCCGCGCGACCAACTCAATTCGAATCCGCACAGCGGGCAAGACAAGGTAAGGAGGGAGGAAGAAGGAATGTGATCGAGAGCGGAGTACGGGATAAGTCGGTAGCCGCGGAGAGAGAGGGAGGGAGCAGCGGGTTGCATCGTCAACCGGCCAGACTTTTGCTTTTTCCTTCTTGTTGGGAGACTCTGAGAGGCACTCACTCACTCACTCACTCTCCTTGATTTTCCCCCTTCTCTCGCTCTCGATTCTCATCCCCTTCCCGCGGCGGTATCATGGCTGTGTTCTCTCTTGGCGGAGAGGTGCGCTTTGCTCCGTTTGTCACACCAGAGAGAGGGGGAAGGCGAAGTCATTGAACGTTGCCAAGCAATGTTGTGGAATGTTGCGGTGGCTTCGTCAGAGGGAGGGAAGTTTCGAAGTAAGGGCAGAAAGAAGAGAAAAACAGCAGCAATCTTTGCTTTTCAACGCTCACCTCAAAAAGGAGACCTTGGCGCTCTTGGCGGAGGGGTCTTGGCCTTTTCTTCTTCTCAGTCGGGAATGCATTGAGAGGTGCGGGTGATTTTCTCAACCCCCTCCCTTGTGTCTCTTCGAAGAAAGGGGGGGGGGGACGGACGATCACAAGACTCGACTCGACCCGACTCGACTCAATTCTACGGTGAATGAATGCTATGTCATTCATGGAGTGCGGAATCCCTCCTTTGGAGGAGAATGTCATCACCCTCTCGGACTCAAAGCATTGACACATTCCAGATGGTTACCTACTATGGTAGGATTCCGGAAGTGCAGTCGGACCCGGCAGGATGGTCACCCAGGCTTTCGACTTTCTAGACCTCGACCTCAAGTCTGCGGCCACTCACTTCTCCCCCTCCCCCTTGGGATTCATACCGAGTTCTGGGCCCCCCCGCCCTCAAGCAAGGGTGAGAGGTGCGCATTTCCATGTGCGACTTGAATCGGTGACCATCACTGCAGCAGCTGCAGCAGCAGGAGCAGCGGCAGCTTGGCTCAAGCAGTCGAAGCAACAATCTTATATCCCGTGTATCCAACTTACTATACATGGTATGGTATTCTCGTTACAGTGAGCCAGGGGGAAACGGCCAGGCCAGACTTTCCAGATAGTGCTGCCGCATAAGGAATGGGAAAACGTACTTCTCACTATGCAGCAGCTTGGCCCAAGTTGTGAATTCTTCCATAGAGAGAATCAAACCATGCCACCCGCGATATGGTCTCGGAGAGAGAGGTGCGGGTTGCAGCTGTCATGACGGGCAGCCTCGCATACATTCGCTCTGAGTGCTATGACTTATGAGGCTGAAAGCAGTTAGGACAGGAGGGGAAGAAGGATCCAACAGGGGAGTTCATTGATTGACTCGACAATTAGCTCAAGAGTAAGAACACGCTCGGACCATCTCTCATCATCCGCGGAGGAAGAGAGAGGGGGAGGAGGGTCTTAGAAAACCCGGGGCGTCAGAGGACAATATGCGCCGGGTCGGCCGACCCTTTAGCGGGATCATACTAACTCAATCGAAGGCTGACCGACAGACCATCAGACTCACAGCGGTTGCCGTGCCGGACGGCGTGTCTTGGGGGTTTTACTTGTTACTCAATTTGGGGCGCCATGCGTCAGAGGATCAAGAGGGCGGCGCAAATCCGCGAACGAAGTGCTTCCGTTGCCGGCGGAGGGGAAGAACGGCCAGCGAACGGGGAGAGAGAGAGAGGAACGAAGGAGGCAAGAACGAGGGTATAGTAAGCCATTGTTAAGATCCCCCCCTCTACTGTTGCTGAAGTTGCTCTTCTTCTGCCACGAACTCCTCCGGACTAAACGAGATGACTGGGTGCCTTTTGGTGGTTTGGTGCAATGTACGGAGGTACAGTACACGGGGCTCAGTCTTACTGAGGGGGATTAAATCCCTCATACATTTTCCTTTGGCCCTTAGGGCCGACCTTGGCCGTTCAGCCCTCAAGCAGGAGTCCTTCGTTGCCTATTTTGCAACTAGTCACCAATAAGATATGCCATATACCCTCCCGTTCGTATGTATGAGATGCGGTAGTGTAAGCCACTAGGTCTAGTTACTTGTTGTTTAGGTGGTAGTCGAGTACCGAGTAGCCACCGACCAAAGCCCCTGTCATGTTCGAGGTTATACTATTCTTATCGCATCGAGGCGACGATCCGGGAATTCGTTCAAACATATGGAAGGAGTACATTTGAGCAGACGAAGAAAAATCTCCAGGGGCAATCCTCCAATACGTTAGCTACGTAGTATGGGGACTCCGTACACAGTGAATGGGGATAAAAAGTACTACTGTAGTATACTGTTTCGAACTGCGCTACCCGCTTTTCCTTCCCTTTGATTGTCCCCAACAACAAACAGAAGCAGACAATCGCATTCAAATCTGCTTATTCTTCTCTGTTCACACACGTTGCTTCGTGCATGCTGTTGTTTCCTCCCGTAGCTTCTCTCTGGGGTGTATTATTATAGATCAAGGTTACTGACTAACGGACTCTGAATCCATCAATCGAAATTGACACGCACGACAAAAAAGTCTATTTCTCCGGGTTCTCCACCATGGAGTGCAATGGTCCGATACACTTCCACTTGAACTCCCTTCACCCCACGCCTTCGATCCTCTGCCCACTCCACTCCCCCCCCCCCCCAAAGTTCCTGTTCGTCTGATGGCTGGGGGTAGATGGAGCATGGACAACGCTGCAGAACGCATGATTTCCTCTTCCGGACACCCGGTGACTGATGAAGGTGATGCTACCGGTAGCCCGACGTACCCCGACCAGGCCTTGCCTACGCTGTACTGTACCTTAGTTAGTTACTGTTTTTCATGCACTTCCAACTCTGAAGTGGATTTACTCCCTCATCTGCTCTGTGATCTGTTTACCCTGTACGGAGTACCTCTCGCATTCGACTCGACTTGAGACAAATCACAGAATACGAGTAGTTATCTAGTAACCAGATAAAATAACATACGCAGCTGTGACCCCCGACATGGACTAAACTACGGGGTAAACACACGAAACAGCTTCGAGATCTTTGTCCTTTGGCTTGGTGTTTTGCACTAAACTCCTTCTTCCCCCGAGCCGTGCCCGGTTAAGCCACACCATGCACCATGCACCTCTCAAACTCCTCTCTCCGCGGGGTTTTGGTGTTTGTTCCCCCCGGTCCTGTTATTCTCGGGATTACTGTAGGGAGTGTTCCCGGGCACGCTTCCGCTGTACTTACAGCAGCTTGCTCATGAGTGCTGTAGAACGTTGTCTGGATCAGTGGAATTTATGTAGTCTGCAGGATCCTGGTCTGGAATTACTGGGACTTGACAGGCTGGAGGAAAGTCCGGGGGGGGGGGGAAGAGTTGAGGGTCTAGATTGCGGAGAATGAAGAGCTGGCTCTCCTGCACTTAACAGCTTACAGCTTACAGAGTAACTTTACCTTCGGGTTGATTTGATTCTGGCAAGGGATATTGTAGATGCCTGAGGGTGTAACTCGGATGAAACTGGTCCTCCGCCCCTCTCTTGCATCGTTGCTCATCTTCCACCACTCGTCATCGATGTTTTATTTTCTCTTTCCCGCCTTTGATGGCCATTTATTGGGCAAGAAGTGCATGCATCGGCCAGAGGGATCGATTGACTTGAAGAGGCAACGCAGACGAAGAATTGAACCCAAGCCGATGGGGTAAAGTGGAAGGTGCCCTGATTTCTCCCTCAATTCCACTGTGCCAGTTGTTCTTATTGTTGTTGATCTTTCGTTGTCGGTGTGTGGACTGAGGGACGGAGGAAATGGGAAATCAAACGGTGAGTGATCGATTCCGTCACGGTGAGAGGAGAGGATCGTCCTGCTCGTGAGTTGTTAAGGCTGCGACTGCTGCTGCTGCTGCTGCTGCTGCTACTCCAGGCAAAGACTCACCGAGGAGATCCCTTCTCCCGGACTACCTTACAGTATGCCCACGTTCAAGGTCGAGTCAGCTCAGCTTAGCTCCGCGCAGATTCAGCTCCTCCCTGTCTCCCCACTTTGTGTCCGTCTATCTCAAGTGATCATGATAGAATGGGCTGACAAAAATTTCTTGGTTCTTGGGTTTCCCGGTTGATCATCGGAGCAAGAGGGCGAGCGAAGGAGGGCGGTGATGCATCCTGATTGCTGGGATGGGGTTTGGCTTTTGGCATTGGCGATGGATGATGGATGATGGGTGTGAGTGGAGTCTTTACTTCGGGATCCTCAGGACTCTCCCGTTGTCGACTGTACTGTAAAGATTCTTCGGGCTGATCGGTTGCGTGACTTTTGGGATGGTGGTGGTGCCCGGGGCCATGGGACTTGATGGGTTTTGCGGTTGGTGGTGGGGATAATCCCTGAATCGTGGGAAGCTTGTCCCAGAACTCATTTAGAATTGTGGATTTGATTGACTTTGTAGATTCATGGGTATTGTAAGAAAGTTTTTTCGATTATGGCGTACATACAATCAATGACTACATTTAGTTTTTGGGTCTTCATTGAAGCTCATGATTATACTCAATCAACAAACAGTAAACAAGGTTAAGGCTCCGCTTTTGTTGGGCCGGGGCGGGCGCCCATCCTTGAACTCGGAGTGTCTGTCATGTCATGTCATGTCATATCATATCATCAAACCGCGCAGTGCAGGGTTCAGGTTTCACCCCAAAGCATCGCAACTCATCCCATCGCCCTGCCCAGGTCCCCTCCCTCTTTTGCTTCCCAATTACCTTGAAGTCACAGTGAGTAAGGTTCACCAACTTGGCTGAAGGAGAGATCAAGAGCAGGTCTGTTGGTTTTGACGCGCACGATTCATGGTTCATGCTCCTCCTTACCCGTCCCTCCGTCCCCGCCTCTCGCTTGTTGGTGTGATTTTCCCTGACCGCTTCTCTTGGCTAGTCAGTCAGTCCATCCATGTCATTTGCCCATTGCCCTATCGCCCATCGGGCATAGACAAAATTATGGAGACTTTGAACAATGGATCTCATGGATTGATGCACATAATCACATCTGAATGTCCATTCGATCGACTGACTCCTCTCCCCGGAAATACGGCATCTCAGCCCATCATCATCTGCAATGATTCCAAAACCCCTTCTTATTTCTTACACAGTCCTCAGGATTTGCTTTTTTTCGGAAGACCAGGCACCCAGAGCTTGGCGTACGCACTGCGGAATGCGTTGGTGTGTATGGTGTCTGTATGGATGCATGGATGTATGTAAGATACAATCTCTACATGGCTTCGTGGGATTCCCTTCATGATGCTTTTTGCTCGGCATTTGGCTTGGTTCATGCCCTGCCTACCCTGCCCTGCTCTGCCCTGTCCTGCCCCCTCTCTTAGGCTGTGTTCTGTCCGGGGCGATCCTGGCTTGATGATCTTCTTGGGAGAGTCTTATCATGATGCCTAAATGAATATATGGTCATGCTGGGTAAGAAGATTAGGACTATGGGTGATTTGTCTTCCCTGTTGTTTAGTGAGTGTATCTAGTAACTACTATGGTTGTGTCGTCAATATCGGCGGGAGCCGGGAATATAATCTCAGTACAGCGGCGGAGCAAGCATAAACAATCACGAAGAAAAGCCACAGACACTCACCACTACCCACTAACCACTAATTACCGCCATCACATTTTGTTTCATACTGTGTACACAGATGGTCTCTTCATGCCAAGTCTTCATCAAAGAACATAAAAAAACTTACATCTCAGATCGCCCGCGTGTAGTCATACGAAACCTCCAACTTCAACTACATACATACATAGCTCGATGTTTATTTGGTTCTTGGCTGATAGTGCCAGATCGACGGGTGCACTAGTTTCAACTGTATCTGAGGCGCCCGCACCGCCATCGGGGAATACTGGACGATATGTGTGTGTGTGGACTGGACTTAAAAATAAAGAGACTATTACATTTAATGCTTAATCACAGACCACCTACGGAATGAGTTACTGTGGCTTGCTTGGTTTCTTAAATTGTATACTACCAAAAAGTCAAACTCGCACAGCCAAGAGCCCAGCAAGCTGACTATGTCTCCTGCCCAGCCAGATCTATTGATTCACAAGGGGGCTGCTGGTGCTTGTCGCTCCTCTTGGCGGTTTGTTCTTCCTCTTGATTACTACTAGTAGCTAGTGAGTTAGCAGCTATGTAGCAGCGAGTCGGTCGCAACCACCAACTCAATATTCCGACCGACCGATCTAGTCCCTGCGATCTTCCGGGAGTACGGCTGCTAGATCTGATGATGGATGTGGCCGGGTTCCTAGTCTTACATCGCTGGGATCAGCACACTGCACTTTGCAGTAGTTGTTTCAGCATGGTAAGTCACTCGTAGCGAGTATCCCGGGAGGGGGAAGGAGTATGGGGCTAGATCGTTCGTCTCGTTGCTGGTGCTGGCGCTGGTGCTGGCGTTGGTGCTGGCTCAGCTTCAACCCTTACTTTCCTACTATGGTGTATACAATCCTGGGCGGCTGAACTCCATAGCGTCATGAAATGTCATTGTTTGTCGAGTGAGGATATGTTGAGGGAGGAGGAGGTGGTAGTGGTGGTGGTGGTGATGGTGGTGGTAGTAGTTGTCTTCCATGGTTGATGACGGAGTAAGGTGGTAGCCGTTGCAGATGAAGTATGCTTCATTCATGGCTACCGATACCCAGGATACTCCGGGGTAAAGAAGTCATTCCTTTCCCCACATCATCATCACCATCATCATCATCATCATCATCATCATCCAAGGGGCTGGATGACCGATGGCCCTTCAAGGCCCAGACACTTCTGGGTGGGTTGTGATTTCATGATGAACGGCAATCCCAATCTAAACTCCTGTGGTACGGTACTCGCTACTCTGATCGGCATATCTTAATAGCAAGTGAAACTACTAAGTGCTCGAGTCATAAATGCAGTGCAGACTATCGAGGGACGAGGCGAGTATCTAACCGACACGGACTTGGCGGGGGAAGGGGGGAGTCACTAAGGTCGAATACGCACTAGTTTCCTCGTCAATCAGGGGCAGCGCAACTTACACCACTGACAGTGACTGCACTCGCACCGCAAAAGTTGGAGGGGAGACTCGGGGGAGACAGGCTTTTACGTCAGAGTGCCAAGAGGGCGGCTTTTCCGGATCAGGAACCAGTCGGGGAAACTGAGCCACAGCGTCTTATTATAGTTAGCAGTGGTTATTGGTCTCGGCATGGCAATAGTTTGCTCATCTCGAAGAATACCAAGCATTCTATTATTTGAGGTTGTTTGAGATCAATTGAGAGGAGTTTGATTTAAGGGTGGGATTATGTAGATGGCCATGAGGTTGAGGTTAGGGGGTTGTGATTATGGGATGGTTTGTGAAGTCATAACAGGACCACCAGGTTGGTCTAGTATGCTAAACCATACTGGATACTACGTCGTAGCGACGCCAATTGCGCAGAGAGCCATTACTGGAATGGGCGCATCACGTAGACACCACCACAGTTTGTTCGTACGTAGTAGACAGTCTCCTATTGACGAAGTTCGATCCAGAAGCTAAACTCGACTGGCCCTAGAGGCCTCAAAGCGAAGCATCGCTGAAACGGCTTCGGCGCGACTCCGAACAACATGGTGAGTGGGTGTTTCTTACCTAATCGGGTCCGCCCTCGTCTGTTCGGCTTCGCCTTGCCGTGCATGGCTGGGAGCGCCAGCCCGTATTTACCGCAACATTACCGCCTAAATGACAATACACGGCCCGTCATGATTACTGACCAGTTCGGTCGGTCCGTCCATCCACTCGGTCGGTAGAGACTAAGAGAGTATCAGAACAGGTTACGAGCGAGGCGGACGGACTGAACGGCATCTGCCAGTTTGCTGCTCGTGCCGCCACTGATGCTGATGCTGATGCTGATGCTGCGGTTGCCGCTGCTCCTGCCCTGCTCTGCTCCGGTGTGTCCTCGTGGCGGAGAAGATCGATCATTCTTCTCTCTTCTCTCTCCTCTCTCCCTTACCGCATACAATTCATACTACGGGGTAAGATGTTGTACGGAGACACCCTGGGAACAGTTCTTCCATGTCTTCGCTATCTGGAATGCGGTTGTTCCTTTCGAGATTTGTACTACATTCCGATCAGATAAATTCATTTCCCCGTCGTACATGTTCTAGAAAGAACCAATCACTCCCTTGCCTTTAACTTATTACAGTAGTAAATATTTTTATGGTTTCTGGGGTTGTGCGTTCTACAAGGTCTTATTATCAGGTTCGTACAGGATCGAGGGTTTTGACCAAGATCCTAGCGAGTCACCACTCACCACCACCAGGAAAGACATTTCTGGCTGACCGGGTTAGTAATATCGAGTATAGCCTGGCTCGGTCCCGTTGTGAACCAACCTCCAAAATGCCTCATAGTGATGAATGGAAGGGCCTTTGATACTAGTCTGGGTCTCATAGGATGAAACCGGGTGGTAAGTTGGTAACAACTGGTGACGCCCCCCCCCCTCTTAGGTTCCCTTCAACAGCAGCCACGGTCAAAGGACCGATTAACATTGAAAAGAATGAAAAGAATGAATCATGAACAATAAAGAACTCGGATCCCTGCATCGGGTTCTTCAGCATTTGTCTCAATTGAAATCTGGTGCAATGGTTGTTGTCTCGTCTTTTTATTTGGCCATCCACCCACCCACACACGGCAGTTTGGTTTAGACAAAGGTAAGTCAAGTAGGTATCGAAGATGTCCTGTACACAGTAACTACAGTACACGGTAATTGTGCTTCTCCCCCACGTAGCCGCAGGAACCAAAGCATTGCATTGGGTTGAGGGAAGCCAAAAGGCGCTGCAAAGCACCACAGTGGAACGCAGACTGGCGGGTTTGGTTGGACCGAGCGTTTCTTAGGCCCGCCTGCACAACGAAGCAAAAGAAGCCCCAGAGAAGATCAGAATATTATCGTCTTGCGGATTGGTTGGTGGTTTTATCTCTGGTCATCGGTATTGCAGGTGCATGTGCAGGTGAGGTGCACCTGGTGTCCTGCCCTGCCCTGCCATGCCCTTTCGCCTTTGCCCGGTCTGCCTACTTTGCCATGCTTTGTTGCCCTCGAGGAGAAAGTGTGGCGACGAGAGAGAGAGAGAGAGAGAGATGGAAGGAATAATAGCTCAACCCGGTTCAGTTGCTTACTGATGGTGATGCTGTTGTTGTTGTTTCCGCCAAGGTCAGAAAATACCAAACCTGGCGTTGCTCTCCCGCACTGAAAGGGCTTTTTTACCCTGCAAATCGTCATTCACCCACAACTTTTCTTTCTCTCCCCCCATTTTAACCGCTTTCCTCCTTTCCACCCCCGCCAAAGTACTACTAAGGCAACGTTACCACCGCACACCACGTAATAACACAGTTATCTTACATACAATACCAACAAGACTCTCCTCTACCCCCCAACCCTGAAAAGAATTTATCTTTCCTTTTTCGAATTTTTTCCTTTTTAATTCCGCATTTTAATTTCGATTTTAATCATTTCTTTTTTCTTTTTTTTTTTTTAATTTTTGCCTTTTCCACCGCCCCCCTCCCTTAATCACTTTTATTTTCCGATCATCTCTACATTCCTTCTTCCCTCATCTCAATCCCACCTAGCACACTGCCAACACATTGCACCTGCGAAACTCTTTCGACGCGTCTTCTTCTTCTGGCGCTCTCTGAGCTGCCAATCTCTGAAGAAGGCGTAAGTCCATCTCTTGGCCGCATACCTAATCCCTCTTGTCCTCCTTTAACCTTTTACTCTTTACGCTCCACCTACCGCACCATGTGTTCTATATCATGACAATCCTCGTCCTGCTAAGGACAACCTAAAAGCACCGCCCTCTGGGTCGATCAGTTTTCTTGTTGATCGATAGCGAGAGAGCATCTTCTTTCTTGACCTTGAATTGAAGCAATTATCCTTTATTATCCCTCTTGACTACTACTTATCGCCACTATCCCGCCGAGTCATCTCACCTATACTAATACTACATACCAACCGCCCATCTACCTCGTCGAACTACCTTAACTTACTCACGCCAAAACTCCGACCTCCCTCTGTCTTCTCTTATTAATATCCTAATTCTTCAAGGAATGGCACAGTTACGTGGTAGTGAACGGCCATTTGCCTCAATACACAACCTATTGAAGATGCTCCTGTCACCTCACCAGTCCAACAAGTCGGCCCCCCAAGATACCGACATGGTGGAGGATATGGATGAACCTCCTGATCACCGTTTTCTGAATACTTCAATGAACAACATGGACGAGGGTGTGGTCTACGTCAAGTCCCCCACCGCCATGTCGGACCGCAAAGAATCGCTCCTCACCCGGGCCCTGAAGAACAGCCCCCCTCTCAGCCCCACCGAAGCATCCTCCCATGAACACAGTTTCTACCGCTCCTACACATACACCAACATCAGCGGCATCTCTACCGCCGAGCTGACCAGCGATGGTGGCCTCACCAGCCCGTCATTGTCCAACACCCCGAGCCCGCCGCTGCCTTCCCATTTGACCTGCAAGCCCTCCTCGATGGGTGACAAGAGGAAGGCGGAGGCCGTGGAAGGAGGTGAGAACGCTGTCGAGGCAAACCTGGGTCGCAAGCGATGCATTAGCTTTGCCTGCGGTCGTAAGACTGAAGAACCCCAACCTGAAACCCCTACCGCGCCGCGGTCGACTCAGAAGCCCAGCGATACTAGCCCCACTCCTACGGAACCCAAGCGCAAGACGGTCCTTACGTTCGTCTGTCCGGCACCGGACCCAGAGTCGAAGAGAGAACGGTCTCCGACCCGCCCCAGTGCCTTCCGGTGCCGCCCGCGTGGATCACCTGCCCCCCTTGCACGCAAGCCTTCCCCGAAGAAAGAGACTCCCGCCGAAAAAGTTGCAGACGAGAAGCCGGCAGCTGAGCGTCGAGGAGTTCCCACCAAGGGGTTGGGCAAGTTCGAGGAGTCTGAGGCCACCCGCTTCCACGAATTCGCTAGCTCCGTGGGTGAGGACGATGAATGGGTCACCAAGTCGGGCGAGTACGGACAGAAGATCACGCTGAATGATTGCATGAAGAAGGAATTCGCCATCCGGAAGCTTGGAGAAGAAGCTGAGGCAGAGGCGCTGGACGAGGAGGCTCAGGAGGACGCCGACGATTCCGAGGATGACTCGACGGTTCACGACTTTTCCTCCGATGACGATGGGAATGAGTCAGACAACGAAGCTGGCTTCGCCGACTCGGATGACGAGAGTGAGAATGGGTCCGACTACGAGTGGTGGGCTCCGACGAGTACCACTGCTGCTACCAGCCCTCAGGCTCCCAACTTCACTCGATTCACATTCAGTCGTCGCAACTCAAACATCTCTGTCGACTCCGCCAACGACAGTCAGCAGCCCCAGAATTGGTCTCCTGCCTTCTCTGGGAAGCCCGCTCGAGTGCCGATGAAGATCCCCAAGCTGCGTCCTGGCACCCCCAACCTCCCCGATAGCACGGACTTTGTCTGCGGTACGTTCGACGAGGACCGTCCGCTGGAGGCCGCCTACAAGTCCTGCATTGAGCAGCGTCGTCTGTCCAAGCAGATTATCATCCCTCAAGATATCGACCCTAGTTTCCCCACCTCGGATCCCGAAGACAACGAAGACATGGACGAAGAGGATGTGGCCGAGTCTGTTCCCGACGACGGCCCCAGAGGGCGTACCGGTCGGGACAGCAGCCGCAAAGCGTCTCCCCGCCAGTCTCCCAAGCGCATGGTCTCTCCCCCTCCCCCCAAGCGTATGGTCTCCCCGCCTCCACGTCGTCATGGCCGTGCATCTCCTCGCCGTCTTCGGTCGCCTCCGCCCATGAAGCTGCGGACTTCTACGCGAGAGCTGGAGACGGTCGAGGAGATTCCCGCCCAGGGTCTCAACATCAGCGAACTGGTGCAGCGCCCCTCCATGTCTCGCACCAAGTCCCTCCCTCGCACCCCTAACCCATTCTTCACTAGCCTGGACAAGTCGCACCGGTGGTCGGGCATTGTTCCAGTGCAGGAGTCGCCGGAGCGCGAACTATCACGCACTCGTGAAGTGCATACGAGAGGCCCGATCGATATTGTCGAGGGTCTTGAAAAGAAGCGTCAGAAAAGGAAGGAGAAGTTCTGGCGCACCCACTGCCGCAAAGCTGCCAAGGAGCAGATGGAACGGCGACCGATCCCCGGCAAAGGTGCTGAACGGATGAAGGAGCTTGGCCTCGAGGTTGCTGAGAGGTGCAGAGCTTACGGCGTTGGCGAAAGCGCCCAGCTCGTCCTATCCGTTTAGACCGATATATTGCCTTCGTCCTCGGACGGATGAGGGGATTCGAGTCCTTCTTGTACATACTTTTCTTATTATTTCCCCCATTGAGTCGGCCCGCTCGAGCTTACGATTCTCCCGTGTGGATCGACCTGGGGTGTACAGAATTGAAACAAGCGTCAATTCGCTTTTGCCTATTAGCCTTGTCTATCTTTGTTCATTATTATATTCATTCTACGTGTCCCATGGTATTCGATTGGTTGGAAATGTTCCATCATTTGCATATCTGCTGGGCGGTCGAATCTGTCTTTTCTCCTTTGCTTGTCACGATTATCCCATTTTGCTTGACTCTTAGCATGGATTTTGCATGGCAACGGTTTTCCTTGAGAGTATACCCCTGCGTGTTTTTTCTGTTGTTTGTGTTGAGTTGCTATTGCTTGTATTGAGGCCCAAGAGCCAAGGGGGCACAAAGCGAGTTCCCAAGTCAAATTGGCAAACATACACAATTACACATATACATGTTAACCAAAACATGCCCAATGAGCTGGCCAGTGGAACACGTGGTAGTCCGTGTCTGCTAGTAAATGCAAGTATTTACATTGTAGTGGAAAGTCGGTAAAACAAAGAGACAGGTCGGGACCGGCTGATCTCCCGGCGGCTGAAGTTGAGTAAGTTGAGTTGGTGCTGGAAAGTTGGCAAATTTAGGCGCTCGGCTAAGGCGTCAAGGCCTTCCATTGTCAACTGACCGCAAGGTGTCTCCTTCCACCCTTCCACTCTTATCTCCTCCTCCTCGCTCTTCATCCCAGCTCGTGCCACTCGCCCTCTTACCCACGCTACCGCTTCCCTGCGCTGGTATCTCTTCCTTTTGGGAGTTTCTTGTTCAGCGAGTTTATTGATTTCAAGCCTACTTCCTTTTACCCCCACCATGTGGATCATCAACTGGTGTAGGTGATTTCCCTTGCTTTGAGGTTTGGGGTGTTAATGATTGTCCGACGCGAACGTGCTTCGCTGTCGGAGAGCGCGAAGGGGTGCCACTGGAAATCTCTAATCTGGGCCGCTTGCGCTTGTACAGTGTTTTGTGCTTTGTGAATTCGAGGTGTCGATATGCTGACGTGATGGTTGCTCTGGACTAGTTTACGACCTTCTGGCCTCCCTTGGCCTGCTCAACAAGCACGCCAAGCTGCTGTTCCTCGGTCTCGACAATGCCGGAAAGACTACTCTCTTGCACATGCTGAAGGTACGTGATGAGGTTGCTGTGATGGTTTATGTGTGGGATCGATCCAGATTCAATTCGGAGAGAGGGTGTTTGGGCACCAGGTGTTTTTGGGAAATGAGGGATGCAACAGATGCACTGGATCTTGAACATTAGGCTGACATTCACACCGCTTTGAAAAGAATGATCGCGTTGCCATCCTCCAGCCTACCGCTCATCCCAGTACGTTTTCGCCACCCCGCTGTGTGCCCGGCCGGATTCACGGGCCAGAGTCGCGATGGACGTGATTGGAGGCTTGGAGAAACTAACTTGCGTGCACTAGCGTCGGAGGAGCTGGCTATCGGTAACAACCGTTTCACGACCTTTGATCTGGGTGGTCACCAGCAGGGTGAGTATTCCAAGTTAACCTGGAATGGATGCAGAAGGGCAAGAGACTGACACGAGAATCCTTGCAACAGCTCGCCGTCTCTGGAAGGACTACTTCCCCGAAGTCAGCGGTATCGTCTTCCTGGTCGACGCCAAGGACCACGAGCGGTTCCCCGAGTCCAAGGCCGAGTTGGATGCCCTGCTTGCCATGGAGGATCTGGCCAAGGTTCCCTTCCTGATCCTGGGCAACAAGATCGATCACCCGGATGCCGTGAGCGAGGATGAGCTCCGACACCAGTTGGGTCTGTACCAGACCACGGGCAAGGGCAAGGTCCCTCTCGAGGGCATCCGGCCTATCGAGGTGTTCATGTGCAGTGTTGTGATGAGACAGGGTACGTTTGACTTGCGCGGTGATTGGGTCTGGGATGCTAATTCTATGTCTGTCTGCAGGTTACGGCGAGGGTATCAGATGGCTGTCTCAATATGTCTAGAAGTACTTTTCTCCCCTTCACGCGCCCCGCCTCACTGTACCGTATACACCATTCCCCCTCTTCCTCACCCTATCTTAGCCCACTTGTCTACTCTACCGCTTCCAATCTATACCAATATTTACACCTGTCAAACATACAACCAAACATCAGAACTCCCGCGCTTTTCTGCTGTCCACAATTGGTGGTAGTTAGGAGTTCTCCTCGAATACCTCTTGTCTCTATCCTCGTCCTTTGAGGGGGTTACCTCGTTTTCGATGCTAGTTCCGCGTTAGCTTCAAAACTTTATCTTAACGCATTACGCTTTCCTATTCCGAGTATCAGTCTATCCGCCTGTGTTTTGGATTGCTGTTGGGCCGATCACACAGCTAATTGATTCACTATCTTGCCGCTGCTGCTGCTGCCGGTTCCGTTCTGAATTCCCGTTTCATCCCAAGCAAGCTCCCTGCTACTACAACCTGCGTGTACCCTGCTGTGTCAATACGTCGCATTTAAGGTTAGTCTGTGGAATGTGACTCCGTTCACTTGACTCTAGCCCGTATTTCAGTAGCCACGAGAGAGACAGGAATCGGTAAGTAAGTATTTGTGATAATGATCCCCGTAGCATGTATCCAGGCGAATCTATCACCTGTTCACACATGGCAAAGTGGGCCTAGGACAATACAGCTCAGCCCAACATCCAACCTTAGTACAGTGGGCCCCGAAGCCCTGCTCAAGGATAGATAGATAGATTTATGTTTTACTGAGTCAGATGGAGAATGGCACACGCACGGAGGAATCGCACAAACAGCACCACCACCACCGCCACAACGCAACAGTGTTCATTTCTAGTGCTTTCATCTCCTCCAAATGACCTCCGCAGTCGTCTCTTGGGGCTTTTCTCCTACAGGGCGTGCCATTGCACCGTGTAGGAGTCCTCCCCGTAGTACACGCATACATACATTAGTATCGACACAGTCCAGATCCAGCACACTCAGACTCGCATACACATCCACATCCGCACACCCTGTATTTATTCACACAAATGCATATTCTCATCCAGCCGATATCAGATGCACAACACTACATGTCACGTCACACTCATCGCCGAGACATACATAATTCCACCCTACACCCGCTTCACCCACCCGTCACCGGTCCTACTCAGGATTTACCCCCCGAAGAGGACGGGAGGGAGGGTACTTACCGCCTGGAGAGAAGAAACAACGGAGTTGGATCGGTACAGTACAGTACAGGAGAGAAGAAGAGAGGAGAGGAGAGGAGAGGATGGGATAATGCAAGACAAGACGGGAGAACCACGGGACAAGTCCTAATCTAGCGGGAGAAGAGAGCAGAATATATGATGAAGAGAGAAAAAGAAAAGGGATGGAGTTATGACCCTAAGGGAAGGAGAAGGGGATAGAGAGCGGGGACTCCAATTGTACAGGACTGACTAAACGGCATGCCACCTTATAGTTATACCTAGCATTCCCAACTCCTGCTATATGCGGCGACATACTGGTTGCTATCTACCTAGCTCTTGCACATCCATCCACCAAGCCGTGTATCTGCATCTCCAATGCCCCCATAAAACTTGCCGAACCAAGTCTATCGAGAAGCACAGCTATTTGGCAAAAACCATCGAGAGGAAACCATAATGAAACACAAGGAAGGAGCGAGTGCACGGTGATTCGGTCTACCGGCGGGAAATGGCATTGGCGAAAGACTTCCAGAATATTACCATCATAGATTGTATGCAATCACGTGGCTTGGGGTGGGTGTTATCTGCTGTCAAACTAATCTGGAAGGGAATTGGCGGCGGCTGTCCATATGTGTTGAGTCAAGCGTATCTGTCACAGGGAATACGGTGGTATGGAACGGGGTAGGACAGGCGAACAGGCAAACCTCGAGCCGAACTCTCCGGAACGTCAAAAGACACGGGCGTGTCATTGCTTATTTGGTTGGCATTACACTCACAGAAAGATTTTCAGGAAAGAAGAAAACGCAAATGGAGAAACACCAGATGCAAGCCCGTCGCTTCGCCTTCCTCTGTCAAATGAATTCCGACAACATGAGATAAAATGGGTGAAGAGAAAAGAAAGGGTCAAAGAGACGAATAAGGAGAAAAAGGAGAAATAACACCAACCCCTACGTGGGAGCAGAAACTACCTTCCATGTAAGAAAATGAAAACACATTCAGCGAAAAACATTCATTTGCAAGTCGCTGGAGTCTGGAATTCCGGAAGTGGAGGATTGTGGAGGATTGTGTGACGTTCCGCGTGGTCGTGAGCTTCTCGGGCGGCTCAGGTGTGCTGCGTGCTGCTGCCGATCGTCTAATTTCATGGCCATCGATGTCGGTGGGGGTTTGTGTCTCTCGCTATAGTGTGACATGGTGGGAGTTTTGTTGATGACGAAGTTTATCTCCGCCCGAACCTGCTGCACATGGAAAAGCTCGTATGATTCCTTACTTCTTCTTTTGCTTTCGCGGAGGAGTGATGGGCCTGCCTGAGCTCATGCCCCCGTAAACGTACTTTTGTTTCTTCTCTGCCGGTTTTAGGATCTAAGGAGTCGAAAGGTTAGCACTCGCCACGATGCTCAACCGAACTCGTCAGAACCAACCTGGAAAGAGCATAGTAGACTTTCGTCGACACTCATCATTGCACCGGCATTGTCGAATTCACCGCAGTAGTTGGGCGCACTGAACAATGTGACCAGTTGTCTCTTGGAGAAAAACTCATATCCATCCTCAACGACTTGATGCGCACGGCATATCAAGTCCATGTCGTGCTTCTGAAGGAATCGCGATACAACATCCGGGCCGAACGTGAACGAGACACCACGGTCGTTCTCGCTCCAGCCGGTGATGTCCTTGTCGGGATCGGACCACAGAAGGTCGCACAGCAGACCGCAGTCGGGAATCTATCGCTGTCAGCAGGTGAAGCCCGGTAGCTTCGAGGGTCCTGGTTGAACATCCTTCGCTTCCATGTAATTCCAAGATGCAGGTGATTAGAGAGCAAAAAGGCGGACAGGGTGAATCTTGGTCTTTGAAAACGAAAGATCTTCCAGGACTGGCGACCGAAGAAAAGAGGGACTTACATCAGTGGGACGCATGACGCGACGGATCTGTTCCATGGAATTCAAGTCGGGACTCAAACCTCCATGCATCGTGAAGATCTTCTCATCAATAATGGCCGCAATGGGCAAGCAGTTGAAGCAATCGGTGAAAGTCTTCCAGAGCTTGATGTTATACCTCCGCTTGCATTCGTCGTAGAAACCGTAAATGCGGTTGATAGAGGCACACTCGTGGTTGCCACGTAGAACGAAGAAGTTTTCGGGGTACTTGATCTTGTAGGCGAGGAGCAAGCAGATAGTCTCCAAAGACTGCTTGCCACGATCAACGTAATCTCCGAGGAAAAGGTAGTTAGCCTCAGGGGGGAAGCCGCCGTATTCGAAAAGACGCAGAAGGTCGTAGTATTGGCCATGAATATCACCGCAAATCTGGTGGGCGCCGCTTTTGTTAATGACCCAGGCCATAGTCCGGATGATCCGGCATTGCAACAGGGGAAAGGGTGGCATTACCTTGATGGGGGCTTCCAGTTCCAGCAGGATGGGCTGGGAGATGAAAATCTCTCTCGCCTTGGTGCACAGATAACGGATCTCCGACTCCAAAAGCTGGACTTGCTTGCCAGGCCGGCTACCCCTCACCTCCAGCAATCTATCGATGATCGAGTCCAAATCCACTTCCTGGTCGGCCATGACTGAACGATTCTTGGGAGACACCACGAAGAGCGGGGGGAAGTGCAGGAGAAGGACAGAGGAAGGGAAGGTGAAAAAAAAAAGGATTATTAAGAACAAGCGTCAAGCGAAAGAAAAGAAAAAAAAAAGACGCGACGGAAGGAGTTGCGGTGCGCTCGCTGGTGGAACAAGTGATGAGACGAGGTCTACTAAGCTAAATGTTAGATGAGAAGGTTGAAGTCAGAAAATTGTTCCCGGATATTAGATAGAGGTTGGTTGGTGGTGGATAGAGTTTTGGGGAAAAGAGGCGATCGAGACGCGCGGGGGAAACAGATCATTGCGCCCGGTGAATTTTTTCCTCTACCCTTTTCGCCGACTTCCGCCCACCAATCTCGAAGAGTAGAGGAAGGGGGTAAGGATAACGCACATCAGGAGGGGGCGAAATGAAAGAGCTTACCAACTAATCTAATATGACGAGAGGGAAGAAGCAATGAGAGGCCAAATGGCCTTGAGAAAGAGGAGGGAAGGGGGGAGGGAAGTCGGATGAAGGTCTGGCCGGAGGGATGCCAGAAGACGTCAACAAAAGAAAGCAATCCGTGGTCGAAGAGGTCGAGGATGATGCGCAGTGGTGGTGATAACGAGAAAATGCGGCTAGCAAGGCTCGAGAGCGTAAAGGCTGCTCTGGACGGGGCCGTTGCAAAAAATAGCAGCAGGCGGCGGGAGAAACGGTTGGGGGGGAAGGAGAAGAAGGGGAGAGGAAGGGAGAGCGAGCGAGCGAGCGAGAGAGAGAGAAGTTTGGCGGCGGGTAGGAAAAGGCAGGGAAACTGAGGATTCCACCCAAATGATCTAACGCTCAAAAATTGACCGGATGTTAAAAGGCGATCACGAACAATCTCGTCGAAGATAGGGAGGAGAGATGGGGTTTTTGTTGTTTTTTTCAACTGGCAACCGGATGATGATGGATGAAGGACGAGGGGTGGGAGGAGAGAGAAGAAATTATGAGTGAGGTGGAGGGAGGGTGGAAGAGGGGAAGGTGACAGACAAACAGACAGACAGACACGAACAGAGGCAGAGTCAAAAGACAAGGAGAGAGAAGAAAGATCTATCTCTCTAGGGTGTAGGAACTGACTGTTTGCTTCAGCTAGAAAACGCCCAAAATGAGGTCGTAGGATGGCGTTGAGAAGATATGGTATAGGAACTAGTACTAGTAGGTGTAGCCAGGCAGCAAAAGGTGGTGGAGGTGGAGGTGGAGGTGATCGAGGCGATGGTGGTGGTGATGGTGGAACAGCAGCAGCGATAACGAAGCAACGACTTTTCCCAGCACAAGAAACACGCGCGCGATAGTCTAATGGTACTCCGTACTGTGAAGTGGGTAATGGGGCAAGTAAGTGGTGGTGGAGAGAAAAACGAAGAGGTGGAGAGAAACGCGGCGAGGCCAGGAGAGAAAGAATGGCACAATCCTCGTTTTCCGTGCAGATCAACCTTAGTGATTGGTCTGCAGGCTAAGGCGGCGAAGGGGGGAGGGGAAGAAGGAGGAGGGAAATAGAGGGAGGCAAATTTGGTTCAATTGTATACAATTTTCCAACAACATCAACAATAACAACAACAACAACAACAACAACAACAACAACCATTCCCACCATACCTATAACCACGAAAGCTGCAGCTACGGCGGCGATAGTGACAGCCAGATGATTCTGCAGTCTCCCAAGCGGCATCTTCAAAAACATCCCGTTCATGTCACTTGCCGGTTGCGCATACCTATTCTCTCATTCCATCCCAACCCGACCAGACCAATTCCCAACTCTGCAGTACGGAGTAGTCTGCGCCCCAAGAACTTCAATGACTTTCACCAGATAACCTCACGCGACAGATTCTGCAAGGAGGTTGACGGCCTGAAGTGAGTATACTCCCCCCACACTTGGCATCGAATGCACCGGCGGCGATGCGGTAGGAGGCGTCGATTCCCCTCCGTCATTGTCGAGTCCTCCGGTCGGCACATAAGCATATTCTTCCCGCCATCTGTCTGTCTGTCTGCCCAACACCGCCAGCGACAGGACCTTTCAGAAGAGCAGGTGTCATACATCGCCTCCCTTGTCGATTCACCATGGCAAGCTTCTGGGCGGATTTCTTCCCTTTCAGAATCATTCGATATTGAAAGCGCGGGACTACACTAACAGTAACTACAACTACCCTCCGAGGAGAAGTTATGCACAATTTGTGACTTTGTCAACGACCCAAATCGCATGGCATTTCAACTATTGGCACTATCGCTGGCAGATTCTTTGACTCGTCACAAAATCTTCGTGTCTCATGCATTAGGTCCGAAACTCATCAAGGGTCCGGTCCAAACCCGAAAATGGAAGACCGCTTCGTCAGATAGGAGAGAAAGCAGAAAATAAAAAGTGTACAGCTGGTGCATGGAAGCAGTCGCAAGTCAAACAGAAACCGATCATCAAAGACCCGTGGGCGAGATAGAAACAAAAATACTGCTGGGAACGCCCCAGCACCTGGACTCCAGCACCAAATACAATACAAGCCGTCTAAAGTAGGAAGCCGTGGTCTTTTTCATCACGCCTCCAATAAAGGTGGACCAGCCGGGAAAAAAAAGAGGTCGCATGCACGTCGTAAAATGTGTAACTGTGGAGAAGTAGAAGCAGAGCAGGAAAGCGAGGTGGCGTAGGTGGTGAGGACCTATAAGCTGAAAATGATCGCAGAACGCCATGAAGTATGCAGTTCAGCAAGCAGCTGCCAGCCCCACATATTTGGTGAATCGGCATATGAAATGCGAGTATATTCAAGAACAGGAAGTAGGTGTCATGAAAGAGGTGCTTTTGTCGTAGCCAAGGTAACTTTTACCGAATTGTGGAGGATGGTTATCGTGTCGAGGTGAGGTGAAGGTGGGGGGTATGATCGGCCAGGTCACGATATTGTGCGCTCCCCACGTGGTCTTTCCCTTCTTGCTCGTGCTTCGGCTTCCCTTTGATATTGGTTTTCCTGCTTTTGTTGGGCCGGTTTCGTTTTCCGTCTTCAAAGCAGATAGGCAAACTAATATCCGCTTTCGCCGAGTCGCTAATCGTAAGGTAACAATCCGTAGTCCAAATAACAACTCCATTCAAGTCAAAGCATGTCCTCCACTCAGGATGACCGGTGGGGTCACCATAGACAAGGAATCGGCTGGTAATCTGGTGGCTTCGGTGAAGTCTGTTCCTGTGCGTGGTACAGTGACCTCTGTCGAACTGCGCTTCCAGCTTTGTCCACCAAGTTGCGCCAGCCATGCATTACCGAGTTCCTGCCTGAGCGCTTCTAATTCACGTCGGTAGAAATCCCTCTCCATACTCCAGGCCAGGCTTTCTGATGCTGGCTGAGTTGTCAGACTCTCTGCGTTTTGAGCAGTGGGGTGAATTTGTTCATGGTCGACGTTCTCGGAGCTCTTGGGGCTAGGAAGTCTGGCCTGAGGTCCACCATCAGATTTCCATTGACAGTCGGTAGAAGGCGAGATAAACGGATCATCAAGTGGTTGGACGTGCTGGACAGAAAGAGTAGAAGGCACCACTGCACCTGGAGTATCATTACCATCAGTGGAGGGTGTCTCCTGCGGCCGATCGATGATCCTCCGCCGAGCTCCCTTTTTCCGACGAGTCGAACCCACCTCAAACTCACCCTGAAACACACGACCAGTGGGTCGCTCCTGCTTGTGAGGCGAAGGAGCTACCTGGCTGATGGTGTTGGACGACGGTTTGCTGATCACGGCTGAGTGATCAGCCGCAGCCGATCGTACGACAGGTGCAGCTTCGGGTTCCGCAGCTCGCTCCACCAGCTGTTTCCGTTCCGTGTATCCGGGGCCGGATCCATCAATAGTGATATCTTCCGAATACCCGGGGGTACGACGGAAGAGATTGAAGATGGTCACGCGGTAATTGGGGTGTGTCTTAACAAATGAATTACCAGACACCCAGATCTCCCGTATCTCAGGGAGATTTGTGAGCCTGGCAATTTCCGTCGGATCAGAGAGGTCGTTATCTCGGAGATCCAACCTCTCCAATGAGAGCAATCTTTCGATGCCCGCGAGCGAGCGAAGACGATTGCCACGAAGGTTAAGGGCTGTAATGGCGGGAAGAGGATTGCGAGACAATGAATGGAGCGACTCTATCATGCATTGCGACAGGTTCAGGGCGCGCAAAGCGACAAGCGTCGATAGACTATCGGGAACTTCAGTGAAAAGGTTGGCCGAGATATCAAGCGAATGAAGCGTATTGGCGACAGGTGCGAGTCCTGCAGCAGAGATGCTGGTCAAAGAATTATCCGGTAGCCCGAGATGGCGCAAGAACCTCCATTTGGACGCGGGAAGAACACCGGTCAGGAGGTTGGAGGAGCTTCCGTTGCGATGACCCGAGGTATCGCTCGAGTTTGAGCTGCCAGAGCCGGTGCGTCGGATACGAGAAACATTTCCCCGGCTATGGCGATAGGACGAATGTTTCGAGCTAGTCGGGCGCGAAGGAGAAATGCTCCCGGTCCGATGACGGCTCTTCGAGCCCTCCGACGCCATTCGAACCATCGAGGCTGCCTGAGGACTCGAACTCGTGCCGAAAGCCGTATCTGTGACCGGCGATCCTGGGGCCGAAAGGGACCCAGGCGTTTGAGACTTGTTGTTGACAGGCCGCGGATGAACAGGTTGGCTCCAACTCATCATCGGTCCATTGTTATGGTGACGAGTTGACCGGCGGCGACGTTTATCGATGTCGTCCAGTACAATCCCAGTCAGCAACTCGGCGGGATCATCGATGTTTGCCCGCTTGATCGTCAAGGTTCGCAATTGCTCTGACAGTCTATCCCAACCGAAGAAGGAGCGGAAATCTATATCGATAATCTCCAAAGCACTCAAATTCTTGAAGGAGTGAAGGGGCACTGCGGTGTCAAAGGGAAACTCTTCGTACCCACGAATCAAACGGGCACGACGGTCAGGGGCTAGTCGTAGGCAAGGAATCTTGGTGAAGGCCGAGTAGAGATACTTCGTATCCGCCTCTAGAGCCGCCTTGGCCTTCTCTGACTTGGAGACTGAGTCCTTGGATACCAGGCCAAATGAAGACCAGAGCGAGCTCATACCAGACATGACACTACGGACACTGGATACAGAATGAATCGAGTCTCGATCCCCCCTGGAGCGCTGGGGCTTATTCAAGAATGAGACGTAAGACTGCGAGATGTCTGCATGGATGTTCTCCAGTCGAACATTCAGGGGACCCACAGCAATGGAAAGTTCTTCGAAACAGGAGAGGAGGTAGAAAAGGTGGTGAGGAGTAAGGGTGAGTTTGGCAGGCTTGACGCTCTGCGAGGCGAACCTCAAAGGCCCGAATGACAGGGCAGCTGCCAGGGTGGAAGAAGCCGAGCTCGCGGACGAGCCGGACTGAGTGTGTGTGTTTTGCGCATTTTTGGGTGGTTGACGTTTCAGTTGCAGCGCGTTCGCCAATGCCTTCTCATGCGTTCGTACGAAACTGGCGAGGTTCTGATGGCCGAAATAAAGGTTAGAGCACAATGGCGTTGAGGCGCGCGGCGCAACAAACCGAGTCGGGGCATAGCAACCGTGCGGAGGGAAGACTAACCTTGATGAAAAGCTGTCCATCTTCGCTGTTCAGCTTCTCCATAACTGAAAATGCTCTCGCCCAACAAGACAGGAATGTATCTAGATAGGCGGACTCTGAAGAGGAACGCTCAAGTACTCGTAGTATGGACAGCAAGAGTCGACATCTTGCTAGTCAAGGCACCAAGTAAAGAAAGAAGCTATGGAGTGCAGCGAAGTCAGCAGCAATCCTAGATGAGATATGGCAAGGCCGGACTTGATGAAGGACCTTAAGATCAGGGTAATCGAAGTACCTTGAAGGGATATATGGCAAGGTATAACAACAATCAACAAACGTGAACAACAACAACAACAACAACACAGTAAGCCGCCCACACGACAATGCAAGATGAAAGATAAATTCAGAGACGGCGAGGAGGAAAGGGACACGCAGTGATAAAAAGAGGTATCCCCGAAGTCAGTTGAGAGAAAATTGTCACCGGGACAAAGCTAAGGAGGGGAAGGAACAGGGAGGAGAAGAAGTAGCAGGTATCACGACAAAAAGGAGAAGATGGGAAGGATGATGATGATGGGATGATAGAAATTGGGGATAGCGACGATTGAAAAAGAGGACCGGGGGGAGCTAATATGCAAAGTACCACGGACCTACTGGATTTAGGCTAGTGGATGGTATGTGACGGATGGGGGGTGGGAGGGGAGGGGCGGCCAAAGTGGAGCATGGATGTGCACCGGAGCAATCAGCTGAGAAAGGAGGGGGTTTTTTAGGGGGGGTGGAGGGGAGAAAAAAGCAAGTGAATGAATAACAAGGTAAATCATTTTATCATGACAGATAGATACTATCTTTCTTTCTTTCTTTTTTTTTGTCTTGTTCTTGTGTTTTTTTTTGTTTTCTCCAGCAACGACGGGAAAAGGGAGACAAGGGTGGGGAGAACGAGACAAGAAGGATAAGCGAAATCAATCACGAGCAAGATTCTCAAGAATCAGGAGGATAATTACCTTCTAATCTTTGATCACAAAGAACCGATCCAAGGAAAATCAATTGACGGTTGAACGATTGAGAAAAGGGGCAAGGAAAGAGTAGAAACCCCAAAGCAGAGAGAGAAAGGAAGAGGAGGGATCGGAGAAGAGGCGAGATGTTGGACGAGCGGGCTGGCGATTCCTACTAATATAAATCATTATCTTTTGACTGTTATCATCTTCTCAGCCTTCCCTTTGGTCAGGGAGCCGCTGCATCGGGCGTGGTCGAGGTACGTAGTACATGCAGTAGTGTGTATCGTACGGTATGACTCTTGTGGATACCGGATCACTAGTAAACTAGGTAGTAGTAACTAACTAATACCTAACTAGGTACTAGGTTACTCTGTTTGGGTGCTTGTCTTTCAAGGATAGAACTACTAGTTATTAGAAGAAAAAGAATCGGTTGTTGCTGTCTCTTTGATACACTATTCTATCCCTCAACCGACTTTTTGACCACCCTTCTGACGCTTGTCTACAAAGACTACCCATAAATTCGGTGGCAAATAATGATGCTTAATGTTTCATCGTAGGTATCGGTTTCCGTTCTCTCGTCCTCGTCTCTTCTCCCCTCTGTTTTTTGGGAGAATAGTCCACACAAATCGAGCCAGGAACAGGATGCTCGGTTTCTTTACGACTGTCCCTGCTCCAGACATGTTTGGCTTCAATTTCCCATACCTCAAATGGCTGGTAGCCTTCTTTGGAAACTCTATCTAGCGAGGGAGGGGAGCAGCACGGCCGAATATCCCGAACGTGATAAAAGAGATACCACAGATTGGCGAGAAACCCCACTGGTACCTCTGGGCGTTCCATCAGATGAAGAAACTTACTTCTTCAGTGACTTCATGGCTCATGGCATGCATTATTGGTTTCAGTATCAATAAAACATGATTCTATCCTCCGTGAGGGGTGGAAGGCACTGGTGCTATAGAGTAGTAATATTAACTATTGACTAGATGGTGTTGTTGTTTTTCCTTTACCACATCGCTATCCATTCTGTTCTCTTGAGAAAAGGGAAAGGGAAAAAAAAAAGTGGAGCATCTTTCCGACTGCATCCTTGAGAAGCGGGTTTCCCGATCGCCCGACCCTTGAACTTGGCTGGTGCAGCAGCAACAGCACGGAGAAGCCTTCATGTGAAGCGTACCAGTAACAATGATCGCAGATTTCAGCGAATGACAATCAACAGGAGAAGTACAAGCGCCGACGCACACACCATGTTGACCCTTCTACTTGGTCTTCTAAGAAGCGACTAATGTATGTCAGTAGTCGGAGAAGATGGACCGATTCTTTTTTTTTCCCCTTCTACTTTGCTTCGTTCCTGTGCAAAAGGCGGAGAGAAAGAAAAAGGGAGGAGGGTGGGCTTGCTGCAGGTTCGGGGGTATGTTAGAATCCATACATTATACCAATTCTAAGTTAGATAAGTATAATTATGGAAATGAAAATGCAAACCCGGCGCAGCAGCGGGACGAGTAATGGACCGTCGGTGTCAAAACCTCCCGTGATTGGTAGTGAGCCCCCAACAGTGCAGCTGATAGCGCCCTGGAGGACATCCGAGTATATCGCTCTCGGGCGAATCAGCCCGCACCCTCCAGCCACTGTGCATGACGCTTTACTCGGTCTAGTGCTAGAGCATCAATCCCTGCTCGGTCACCTGTAAACAACTACTGGCAAGTCTGGCAGCCTAGCACTAGGGAAGTACCAACACTGGCAAATGAATATCGAGACAAGGCCAAAATAACATCATGGCTTTCCCAATACAGTTATTTGAACGGAGGCTTGACAAGTTGAGGCGCTTTAGTGACTGGGGGCTAGGATCTTACTGAGAGTCCCCAGGTATGCCTGGGTATGTACCAGAAATGACCATACAGAACTATCTTACACAGTAGCGGCATCGAGAGGAATGAGGATGATTCTGTATGGGTGGGAAGATTTGAACACATTTCAGCAATTGTCTGGAAATCTCTTTCCGGCCGCATGTATGGGCTAATTACTGCGTCTCACTTCATGCACTTCATGCATCGGTTTCTTTAGCTGAAACTCGGATGGAAACTTCGTTTACTCCAAGAAGGCATAACTAACGGTTGTACGAGATCACTTTCTTAGAATTATGATTATGTGCACCCTCACCCCCCCCCCCTTCCCCTTCCTCTTCATTTACTTACAGTACTTACTCAGAGGGTGTGTCAGCAGGAGAATCACGAAATCCGACTCTGTTATCTCGCACTGACAGTTTGGCATTCTTTTGGGAGGCTCGAGTGGAGCCCTGCGCTCATGAGGATTTCTCATCTCTCAGTCTCAGCATCAAGTGACTACAAAAGCCCACCTAGACTTCGTAAAAAATGATCGGGTCATCTATCATGCCTCCCTCCCTGTTGGTTTCCCTGAACCATTCATGACACATACAGTAGTAAACTTTTCCCTGTCGTCTATCTACCGAGTCAACGAAAGGGGATCAACAGGTGCGCCGTGCACAAAACGGCGCTGGTTCGAAATCCGATGATGTGCTTTGCTTGCTGTGTGGTTATCTCGATTACCAGAAACCTTAAAAAATCACACACTTCAAAGACAGACACTCCGGCGATTCGTTGATTTGCTTCCGTTATGGATCGCAACTCGCTTTTCCCGCTGTCACACCGCTTCTGTTTGTTGACGCTATTCCCAAATATCACACCACACATTCTTTTTGTCTTGTCTAGCTCCAGTTCTGTGTTCCACTTTCTCTCGTTCGTCCGCAATGAATAACATCATTTGGCCCATAATTTCCACGCCCGCCCTGTCCCTCCCGCCTCCTTTTTTCCTTGAGCACGAGAGTTGTGTCATTGTCTGTTGCCCTCATTCCATGACCCACGTTCTTGGCGATCCTCCATATGCTTGATCGCAACGAGGGGTAGAATGCTGGTGTCGAATCTCAGATTCAATGACGTCTATGGATGGTGGGGGGGGGAAGACTATGCGATTCTGATGATTTCGTGACCGCTCTCTCTTCTTCCCTTTCTTCCTGCCTCACTTATCCTACCCATACGTAGGCTACGGAATAGCAGGCATCAATTGAGGCTACCATGTATCCATCTTCGCGACGATGCCGGTTGGCTGCTTCATGAACAGCCAACAAGTCTATCCGGGATGCTGATGACGACGATGAAGTGGGCACCTATCTCGAACCCATTGCTTTGCGGACCGTGTCTACAGCTGCATTGGAGGAGTGTCTTCGCCTCTCCATGCCTTGACTCTTCGAGGCGCTTGGCTGAAAAGTCGAGTCCCTTCTTAGGAAAAAGGGTGCGTATTTGATTCGCCCGCCCCAAGATGTCATCTGGTTCTACACCGTAGTAACGGATAGGTAGATACAAGACAGGCGACACTCACTCTATTTGCACTGCGGCATCCCTGGGAGTCATCGTGACGCTTCACGGTATGTGATCGGTCCAACGTCGCTCCCAAGGTCGGGACGGTAGTCTGGTGAAACCAGAGGAAACAATGAGAGCAAGATGGCCTTTCTTGAGTTTAATACCCCGATTTAGCCTGGAGGAAAGGGCCGGCCCTATTCCATGCGCTGTGTAGCATGCTAGGAGTGTATCGAACACAAGTTGTACTCCGTACACACAATTGGCTTTGTGGGTTATTTCGGGAATCGCGTATGCGAGGAGGTTCCGTCCAAGAACTGCCCCAGCCCTTAATGGCTTGTTTGATGATCAACCCTGCTTTGAAGCCCTGTCTCACACAATGTGTGGAGAGAAGGGGGAGGGGTCCAAATGTGTGCTTGGCAGCGGCGATTGTTGTTTGGCAATGAAGATTCCCGCCCACTCTCTCTATCCGATTAGGAATGCTGGATAACCATGTTGTATACGGAGGTTGGAATGGGCCAAACCCGGAGTCTCGGGGCAGGCTCCTTTTTTGATATCCTCGAATCGTGCCAATCACCGTTGAAATCGGACAGGGCGCACATGACCCATTATGACATCTTGGTTATATCTGGTTTGTCAATACGGATAGAGGGGGAACGCTTCATTCTTCCCAACGAAGGGGGACGCTAATTGTAAGAAAAAAACCCTGGCTACCAGAGTCCTGGGTGGACTATTCTTGAATGGATACAATAGTATCTTACCTACGCAGTAGACTACCTTAGTCTAAGGTTCAATTTGATGGCAGCAGACAAAAAAAAAAAAAGCCGGACCCGGTTGTGGGAGACCGAAGGAGAGTGGGACTCGGAGGAGGATCTGACGACTCAAATGGGCGGGTCTCCACTGCTCTACTCATCCCGCCACGAATGATCAGCAGTTCGCTCGACGAGGCGCAAATCTCATGCCAATCAGCGTGGATGGTGCATCCCGTTTGCTACTAGATTTTTTTCTTGCTGCTTGCCCTCTGCCTTCTTCTGGTCTCTCTGCCAGTGACAATTGCCAAGGACCATGGCAATAGGTTGCCAGACAGAAGACTTCTACGCGGCACATACGTACAATACTAATAAGACGGAAGACACAGGAGGAAACTGGAAGAAAGAACTGAACCCATGAAAGCACGGAGGCTTGATCTGCACACGCTAGTCAGAATCTGGACAGAACATGGGCGCAACTCCAACCAACTGTGAACTTGACTCATACGCGCACCGCTGAATTTAAGGCTCACGGTGATGCATCCCACCGCTTTAGGAAAGCAGCATAAAGAGTGCACAGTCGACGGAATAATGGCTTTGACTGTACTCCGTATACCTCCCGCCATGGCGCTGCGAAGGTTCACCTTACTCATACTGTGCTCAGTACGTACACGAGTTTCCATCTCTCTTATCGATTAGGCCTGAAAGATATCTATCTGCGCGGGCGGCTGCCGCGCTGGCGCCAGGAAGGAAACATCACAGGCATCTGCACTGCTGTGAGTTTTCCCTGCTTTGAGGGAGGCAGAAATCTTGATTGAGGGGCGAACTTTTATGCAAGCTACTTGAGTAGCTTCAGCTGCACCACGGTGAAGGGAACGGAAGAGGAAGGGAAAAGCAAGTTGCGCTGAACCTGTGATGGTATGATGCGGCTGCAGATTTCGTATCATTTGTTCCCAGTACGCGAATGCAGCACCCGATCCCTATTAACCTTTCCAAACCGCGGCTGAACTTTGTACAGCCATCCCATCATCCAAGGACGGGAATTAGCCTGCAGCACCCGTTGATCAGGAATCAGGATCCCATTCGCTGTCCGGCCTTCATCCTCCTCCTGGGACCGCGCACCAATGACCAGCGCCAGAAGGGAGGGTTCGAACTGTCGCCATATCACTAGTTTGCGTTGCTGACCATCCTGGCCGGTGCAAATCTCCGAGACGGTCATCGAAATCAGATATCTCCTATTTTGAGCCAGGGCTTTCGGTCAATTTTACCCCGCATTTCGTGAAAGTGCCGGAATAGGCATCGAGATCAAACAGCCTGGCAAACATACGGTACAGTAACGCCATGCGCTTCAGCTCAGACCCTGCACCTTTCACTGTGGTACACTGATATTGATATGCCGACCGATGGCAACATTGAGATCTGGGCGGCTAATAATGGAAGAGACTGACGGGACCACATCCGGGTGGTGGCAGTACACTCCGTTTGACCCTGTCAATAAAGCACGGGTCTTCCTGCAGCTGAGACCCAGGAACTTTCATCATCGTTCTTTCATCAGCTCTGCCGAGTTAACTCCAGCTCAGCCGATGTGGATTTTATGTGCCACACCCTTCCTGAAGAGACCCATGCAACTAGCGGTACATATGATCCGGATAGTCCTTCAAATGCTGGCCTGTAAGAAGCCGTTGGGACATGTACAGGTGCGCTCACCCGAGTCATGCCTACAGCCATCCGCGTGTTCCTCAGGCATGTGCGTGCGCAATACGGGCCTGGGACCGGGGGACACATTCCTGCCTCTGCGCCCCGGACTTCACAGTCTCCTTTGGTTATGTAAGTCTTGGATGAGCTGGTCGGATGATCATGGGCCACCCCAGGCAGTGATTTACAAGCTTTCCTCGTCTGCACCGTCGATCTGTCAGTGACACGGACCAACTCGGATTACAAATGGCCGGGAGTGATAGTGCAAAAGTCGGTCTTCAAAAAGCCAAGAATGCGATGACTTCAAGCGGAGAGACCAGCTGCATCACTTGGCGGGGGGGGGAAGTCAAGCTGATGTCACAAAAGCAAAGTGATGGAGCGGATGTTTGTCATCCCCATCTGCATCTCCTATTACTTAGTTTCATCTCGGCCCGGATTCAGCTTGCGAGGGCACTAGCAGTATATGATAGAGCACCAAGGGCTAATGGAAGGAGGGGGTGAGGATTTTTTTTCCTGGGTGGATGAGGTTGTGACACTGTAGACCGTAATCTGGTCACTTAATTTTCTGTTACATACTCATAATTATTGTACTGAAGTTAGCCTGATGTTCGACCGGTTCTTATCGCAACGGTTTATCTATTCCATCAACGGGCTAGGCTCGGACCCATGGTTCACTGCCGAAACGGGCGGGGGAGTATGAAGCACCGAGAATGTCAACCACCGTCACGGGAAAGGGTGTGGCGCATGAGGCCCGGAATAAGGGGCGGTGCCAGGATCTGACGTCTGTTCCTAGTGCGTCACCGATTACCTACCCTGGCCCCCCCCTCCCTCTTCCCGGAAACTCACCTTGCCATCATTGATTCTTCTCCTCAACATGCATTATCGTCAAACATGAACGGAGCAGAAAAGTCTGCAACGCTCGAGATCTACGATCCCAGCGCCATCCCCGACTACGACCACGACTTCATCAATTCCGATGACCTGCGACAGTTCGAGAACGCCCTGACCGATCAAGGGGCCTCACCATTGGTGGCTCTCAACGATTGGCGCCCGATATACCAGCGAGTTGTCAAAAAAGGCCGCAGCCGTCGCAAAGGCCCGCGACGCACCAAGGATGAAACGAGAGAAGGGGTTCTGTACACATTCCTCAAGTGGCCGTTCCTGCTCATCGTCTTCGGCTGGATCACGGCTCTGGCCATCGCTTACGCCTTGACGCGAATCTATATCGTCCTCTACGAACATTGGATCTCCTGGAGGGGCACGCGGCAACGGCTGCGGAGGCAGCTCCATGCGCAGACCAACTACCGCGACTGGCTGAAAGCCGCCCAGGCGCTCGACAACTACCTCGGCAACCAGCGGTGGAAGGAGATTGACGAATATGCATACTACGACCATCTCACCATCAATAACCTTGTGAAGCAGCTGCGGAAGGCGAGACGAGAGGTGGAGCGCGAGATGCAGGACAAGAGTGGTGGCGCAGGAGACACGCCTGCGGCTGAGGAGCTGTGCACCCTGCTGGAAGCGTGCGTCAAGAATAACTTCGCTGGAGTGGAAAATCCTCGCCTGTATAGCGAGGCTTATTCGGGGACCAAGAACCTTGTGCAGACGTACATGGACGAGCTGCATGCGTGCATCCAGGTGGTGTCGGAGTCGAAGACGATCAGCAATCAGGAGAAGATCCGTCACTTCAAGCATCTGGACACCAACTTTGGACGTACCGCGCTCTGTCTCTCTGGCGGTGCCACCTTCGCTTACTACCACTTCGGTGTTGTACGGGCGCTTTTGGACAACGAGATTCTGCCGGAGATCATTACGGGAACATCAGGCGGAGCGCTGGTGGCTGCCTTGGTTGCGACCCGAACCGATGAGGAATTGAAACAGCTGCTTGTCCCTGCGCTGGCGCACCGGATCAAGGCCTGCCACGAGAGCTTTCCGCAGTGGTTCATGCGCTGGTGGAGGACGGGCGCCCGGTTCGACACTCTGGAGTGGGCTCGTCAATGTAGCTGGTTCTGTAGGGGATCGATGACGTTTCGAGAGGCGTATGAGCGAACGGGACGTATACTAAATGTGTCATGTGTCCCATCGGATCCTCACTCTCCTACTATCCTAGCTAATTATCTTACCTCGCCTGATTGTGTCATCTGGAGCGCTGTTCTAGCGTCTGCGGCAGTGCCTGGCATTCTAAACCCTGTGGTGCTCATGACCAAGAAACGCGACGGCACACTTGCGCCTTACTCCTTTGGACACAAGTGGAAAGATGGTAGCTTACGGACCGACATTCCCCTCAAAGCGCTGAACCTGCATTTCAACGTCAACTTTACCATTGTCTCGCAGGTAAGGTTACCTTTGGATCTTCAAAAATAACACGCTCACTGACCCTTTCACTTTTGTACAGGTCAACCCCCATATCAACCTCTTCTTCTTCAGCTCGCGAGGGTCGGTCGGCCGGCCAGTCACCCACCGCAAAGGCCGAGGCTGGCGCGGCGGGTTTCTGGGGTCAGCGATCGAGCAGTACATCAAGCTTGACATGAACAAATGGCTGCGCGTTCTGAGACATCTCGAGCTCCTCCCGCGTCCCTTGGGTCAAGATTGGAGTGAGATCTGGCTTCAAAAGTTCAGCGGCACCGTCACCATCTGGCCCAAGACCATCCCGTCGGATTTCTGGCACATCCTGTCCGACCCAGACCCCGAGCGTCTCGCGCGCATGCTGCGTGTCGGCCAGCAAAGCGCCTTTCCCAAGATTCAATTCATCAAGAACCGACTCAAGATCGAGATTGCCGTCGTCAAGGGACTTCAGAAGTTTACACAAGCCGGCGCCGCCCCGGCGCCGCTGCCCGGTGGGTCAGACACCAGCAATTCGCTGTCGCGGCGGTTGGACGAGAACCTCCCCAGTCGACAGATGAACCACGGCAGCAACGACCACGCCAGTACGGGCGAATCGCAGTATCTGGTGGATACGTCTTACTCGGACCTGTCATCGGCGGAGGAGTCCTCGCACGCCCCGTCCCGGCTACGACTGCGGGTCCCGGAGCCCCGACGGGGAAGCTCGGGGGGCAACATCTTCGAAGAGATGCGACGCCAATCGGCGGTATTCTTCGATGATGTGGATATGTATGGTGAGGAGGATGGACTCCGGGGCGAATAGAGTTGGTGCTTTGTTCGGAATACATGCATGCATACACTACACAGTACACAGCCATCTATTCTTCTAGTCCCGTCTATTTAGCCGTTGCTTATCATGGTGCTGTTGTTGGTTATCAGCCGTTGTTCAAGTTTCAGTTTATTAGATCATTTCCCTAGCTATCTAGCACAGACACAGTAACATACGACAGCGCTAGCTAGTCACACTAGCTGAATTGTATCATATATTACTTTCCTTCCACTTACAAAGTACTGCATACACCTATAGACTTACCACCAACAATCAGTTTAAAGCAAACCCTTTAGGAGGGAAAAAAAAAAAAAAAAAAACGAAGATACAAGAAATTACCCCAATACCCGAACAACGTCAAGTACATGTACCTCGCCGTGTAGTGATCAAAGACCGAGATGATCTTCTCACTGCCAACCAATCACGAAGATGTCAGCAAATGATCTTCGACCTTCACCCAATGGCAAAACCCTTGTCTCGAGGATCTCTGACGGCTATGAAATATGATACTGGTATATGTTATAGATATCACCTCGCCACCCGTTAGATGAAGAACCTGGGAATACAGTACCAACCCATCCTAAACTTTTGGTACTTACCGTTATAAGTCCCAATTCCACCTCACGGCACATCCCATCAATAATTTCAATTTGAGAATGCAGGACGCAGAAATACCATTCGCCATTCGATCTCCTTCCTTTGATAAGATCAGAGGATAGCTAACCCGTAGATCAACCCCAACGCACCATCAATAACCACTCCCTTTCCTCAAACCCCCCCCCCCCCGTCCTTTGATATCATCCCATCACATCATCCTCCTCCTCCTCCAGAAATAAAGTGCGGGGTAAATTCCGCGCACAACACGATACTAACCTACTCTGTAGAACCCGCTCTAAAACTCTATCTATCTACGCCTTCCAAGCGGAATCTTTGATGATTAATGTCGATCATGACGTGAGAGGGTTGCTGGGCGGGATGAATCTGGTCACCCTTTTTCTTCTGGGATGTCCTTGCCTTGCCTGTCTACCCGCGGGCTTGGCATCAGTGGGATGGGTGGGAGGGTGAGGAGGAAGTTATACCGAGGGCACGGATGGGGGGTGGCGAGATGTATATCGTAGTAGATAATCACTAGGAGTGTGGTGACTGCCAGAGCTGCCAAGACAGGCTTTCCTGCTGAGGAGCAGATTGTCTGGTAGATCAGGGTCCTGACTTTTTTTTTTTGGTAATCTTTTCCCTCTCGTCAAAGGTCTTTGGATATCTAGGTGGTTGAAGAGCTACGTAATATTCTTTCCTCACGAAGAGAGGTGGGGGATACAGCGCGTGTGTTGTTTGTGTTGGTGTAGTCATCTCCAGGTAAATCATCAACACTCAAGCACAAACTCCCGGAGAATTGCGTCGATGAGCTGTTGATCTGCTGTCCTTGCTCTAAGCGTGAAGGAGGACATCACGCCGTGAGTCAAAGTGCACCAAGTGTATATCCGCGTGATAACATAGTTACTGTACTGTGCGTAGTAACTCAATGGGGACATCAACTGTCCTCCGGGAACCATTGCCTGGTACCTGGTACGGCAGGACGCCCGCTCCCCCCTGGAAGCTATCAAGGATAGATGTTGCGGGCTATGATAGGAAGCCAGTTGAAATCCAAAGGCTCGTTCAAACGTACCCATTCAGGCTGCGCGAGGTATAGGTGCGACAAGCACACCCTTGTTGTAGCAGCGGTGCCTCGAGTGGTACTGGGATCCTACCAAAACAGTAATCCAAGCATTTGTGCAACTGGTACCGTCTCATAACAATACCAACTTGGTGATATTCCGCTCCCATTAGTCGTATTCCGAAGCTGAGTCCATGCAATAAGTAGTTGCCAGTGTTCTCAGCAGTGGTTGCATGAGGCCGGACGGTGGCAGTCCCACCGAGACTACCGACGCTACGGTCAACCTTAAATCAGCCGAACTGATCTCGGCTTCTCCATAGATCGGTACGACCGATTCTCGGCCTCAACATTCCAATTTGATTGAAGTACAAGCTTTAAAACTACTCAGTATGGCCTCGACTCTCCAAGGTGCATCATCTCTCCTGGTTAACGACGCTGCGCTCACTTTTTGCGCTACCCGGCCCGAACATATCGATCGAGGTCGATGGCTAGTGCAGATGCAGTTCCAACATATGGCACCCTTCGATCAACTGCAGGGTACGCGTAAACCTCACTCCAGCAGTCGACGCGCATGCAAGGCCGCAAGGGTACCGTGCACCTGTGCCTCAAACTCCACCAACCAGTCCCGCTCAACCTAAGCGGGAAGAGGCCACACGTTCTTGTCGTTTTCCCTGCCACAAACCTTGAGTACAATAGACATACTACCATCTCCGCCCAGGAACAAAGACCAAGCAGTTGCACTTAGGGAGGGGAAACAGTCCACCCAAGTGCATACGCATCAAGGGACTCGCCCGTCTCACCAAGCAGAGACGGGTAGTCGTCTGCATACGCCAAGAAACCTCGCATCCGGGGCTGCTGCAGGGCCAGGCGTAGAGGGAATTCGATGCCCAGCGCCAGCCTTGCAGGTCTTGCTGGGCAAGCCGGAGATGCTCGTAGAGGCCAATGGCCACGAGATTGTTGTTCATGGGTGTCCGCTGCAGGACCCCGCTGGTAAGTTCGTTGGCATGCTGAGGTGAATATCTTCATCCTGGGCCTGGACCGGAAGGCCACGTTTAAAGCTCCAAAAGCGGTCAGATATATGAATGGTCCACCAAAGGCGCACGCGACGTTCTCTGTAGCAAAGTCGTCACACTGGTTCTCAGGGTTGCTGGTGGTTCAGCCCACATCTAAGGCCGGTCCGAAGAGCATGGCCGACGAGAGCGAAAGCGGATTGCCATCGGTTCACGAACTGACTGCAAAGGGCCTGAAAGCCAGTGGCAAGGCACTCGCCTTTGCACCGATCAGGTAAGGGGAATGATGGCAACATACGAGCATCAGAAGAAACTCAATGTGCTTGATGGTGGGCCGTTCCGGGAAGGCCGAAAGAAGCTCCATGGCGCGTACATAGTACGACAAACCCGGCATTGAGCTGCTTTTCGACACCACAGACAACATAGAAAAAGCTCTCCGAGGGCAAAGAGAGCGAGATGTTTACATGTCGAAGCAGAGTCTTTGCAAATTGTTCTATAATAGTCATCATGGAGTTGATCTAGCGAGGCGGTGCGAAGGGCTAGATGAAAGGGGGGGGGGCTAGTATGGTTGAAATTTGGTTTTGACCAGCAATTGAGCTTGAGCCGGACTCGGCCATTGTGTTTCTGTACGAAGAAGGCGAGTCAGGCTAGAATGTTTCACATTATGCTGCTTTTGAGGCGGATCCAGCGGCGACGACTCTTGCCCTCTGAGCATTCACATTGGCGAGTTGCGAAGGCCGCCGAAGATGCTTCACTGACATATCTGGGGAGCTCATGTCCACCCCAAGGATGGAAGCTCGCTCGCTTCGGTCAGTCCTGGGACTAGATTTTGATTGCTGTCTGCAGAGGCAAGTCTAGCAGACTTACCACTCCTCAACCAGAACTTTCGGTCACGAAAGACATATCTGCGTTGGTCACCTTGGCCAGCAAGGTGGCACTTGGAACACGGCTGCTCGCCCGAGCATCTGATCTTCTGTAGTAAGAGTACGGGTAGTGGATTGAGAGCGGACTGAGCTACTTACGCTACTGCCCTCTTGGAATCAAAATATGCGAAGCTGTATAATCTTTCATTAAAGCGTTAGTAGCGATAAGTCTGGCTGGTCGAGTTTTCACGACCTAGGATTGGGATTTGGCTCGGTCTCCGTGGCCGATAAAGGTGACTCGGATGAAGTCCAAATGAAATCCCCAACAACGAATGACCAGGCAATTACGTGTGCGCTGTAAGCAGCCGGCGAGTTTTCCAAAAATAAGTTGATCAATTGTACTTCGATGACCTTTTTTGACAGTTGACAGGTGATACCCCGTAAACCAAGAAAAGGATAAGAAAAAGGAACAAAAAAAAGGGGGAAATGAAAAGCAAAGGGAAAACAGAAAAAAGTCCTACAGTGCGTGCCAACCAGGATATCGCACTTTACATCCATAGTAATACTGTGTACGGAGTAAGATGGGCCTGTTCGATTTCTTTGATGCTGAACTAGAAGTGAATGACTTCATGGGTGCCAATCGTCGCCACGGACAGCTGCAGGGAACTCCCGATTCGGCCGCGCTCAAATCACCAACCATTGAGCCGTCACCTGCTGCGCAGATCGGATATCGCCGCTAAAAGCGTACAGATTCTGCAATGCCACCGCGGCTTCTCGCGAAAAGTCCTCCACAAAAGCAGGGTTGTCGACTCCCGCGCTAGCATCGGCCATGACAACATCGGTGTCGGTCATCAATCCCGTGCTCAGCTGCGAAGCAGGTTTGGCTTGCGCTTGAATCTGCTTGCCGATATCCAGCACACGGTGATACCCTTCTGCCGCTAGATGCGCTAGCCCCAAGGTGTGCCAGACGCGGGCAAAGTTAAATTCCATCTCCTGGCGCTCGGATAGCAGTGTTCCCGGTCGCTCACGGACACGTCGGTACTCCTGCATAAAGGATAGTCCCTGCATAATGAGGTAGTGCCGATTCTCCGACTGTCGTTTCAACGACTGGTGAATATAGCAGAGGGCGATGGACAGCAGGACCACCGGGTTCTCGTCATCCAGCGCGTACGCGCGGAATAGATAGTTCAGGGCCGGATAGAAACTGTTGCCCGAGTACAGGATCTGTCCGTATAACACGATTAAAGCGATATCCATCTCCTCGGCGGAGATGGCTTCTCCCGTGATCTCGTCGCGGGTCGACAATGAGGCTCGCTCCTGGTAAATGGACTCTCGTGGCCTGTTGGGTCGGGCTCCCGCGATGTTCTCAGGAAGGGTGAAGTCCATGGCCTTGATTTGACGCAGCATGAACTTCATATTCGAGGAGGAATGAAAGATGGACCGCTGAGGGTCGCCGCTTAGACGGCTTAGCATGGCAAAAAGACGATAGGTGTCAGTCACGAATTGGTATTCTTTGATGAACCAACGCGCCTCGTTCGCGAGAGTCTCCTCGTCCTGCATTCGAAGGGCGCAAGCTAGAGACGCGTTAGTGTTAACGTGCGAACAGATCACTGGAATACTCACTGAACCAACAGACATGAATCATACGGGTACTAGGCTTGGAATGGTACCAGACGCTTGCATCTGCAGCAGCTGCAAGCGTATCATACGCTTCATCCGCTTCACCCTGTGCTGCCACATAGAGAGCATACTGGAGAAACAAATCGAGCCACTCATCAAAGCTGATTCCGTGGTAATCAGTGGGAATGGTACTTTGCAGTGGCTCTTCCGTGATATTGCCTAGACCTTGTCAATATAGGATCAATCGAGAAATGTGATTGGTGCTTACCCAGCGACTCGTGAAGCCGACCTGCCATCTCTTGCATCTCCTCCATGAGGCTACGGCCCTTGCTCTTCTTTCTCTGCGCCTCTCGCGAATATCCCAAGAAGGTCATGTGGCGCTGAAGCGGATAGAAAATCCGATTCGAGCGAAACTCGCGCAGCAGAGCATCACCAATATCCAGCCAATCCTCCATGGCTTCATCATTCCCACTTTTCAGTGCTCCTTGCAACTGGAGCAGTTTGCCATATAGATACTGTACATTACTTTTCCTTTGTCCTTCATCGGGCTCGGCCTGCTTCTTGCTCGAAACTGGTGCAGCAGGGGTGGTGAGGATGGCGGCCGGCGCCTGCTCAGGGGAGACGGATTCTGGCACGGCAGCGTCAGCTCCTGAATCCGCTAAGCGGAACTCCATGGCTAGCTGTTCCAGTCTCGTGTCTTTCCGTCTTCTATGGCTTCGGGTTTCCTGTCTCCCAAGAAGGACTGCTTCGTTGACGAATTTTAGCGCCTGCTCATTCATGCCAATCTCTTCATACAGCTTGGCAAGCTGGACTCTTGATTCGATGTGTTGCGCATCGTACTCCGCCACGGTGAGATAACAATTTTCTGCATCCTCAAGTTTGCCCAGAAGTCGGTAGCAGTCACCGACTGCCATAAAGAAGCTGACATCAGCATAATCATTCGTTTGTTGCAATGGTATGTAGAACCTGAGCGCCTCTTGCAGCAAACCAACTTCCTTCAGAGCATCGGCGACCTCGCGAAACAAATCCCCATAATCATATAATCGAGCATCCTCTGATGTGTCTTCTGGGTCCAGCCATTCAAAGTGTTGTAACGCTTCGTCTTTGTAGTCATATCCCATCTTGAGTCGGAACAGCCCGAGCTTTATCCGGAGTTCAAGCGGTAGACCCAGTCCGTACGAATCACGATGCCATTGTTTCGGAACATAGCCATCCGTCTTGATCCGCCTGGGAGAATCATCGGCGTCCCACTCACGATCATCATCATGGAAGTCTTTCCACATTGTGTCACGGTTCCGACCCAGCAACCACCGGGACAGCGTCTTGGTGGCCTTCAATCCGTCAAAGGGACGGCCCACGATGCTGTGCAGCTCAGCATAGATATTGATGTCCGACCAGGAGAAATCAGGCACATCCTGTGGCTCATAAGTCAGGATATAGTCAACACTCCTCGACCATATTTCCAGCGCCTTCTGGGCCTCTTGGGTGTCTATCAGGGTCTCTGCAAGGTGTCGGAGGGCTCTCGCGTCGTTTGGCCGCTCTCGCAAGATCCTTTCATACTCGGTCGCAGCCCTTCCATTGTGGTTGAGCTCCCTATAGATGGCAGCTCGCTGAAACCTGATCATGTAATTCTGTGGCTGAATATCGATCACTCGGCTGTAACAATAGACCACGTCGTTCAAGGCACTGGTGCGATCCTCTCCGCTACGTTCCAGGATCATTCTAGCTACCTTGATCCACACTCCCGGATCCTTGGGTCGCGTATGTGCACCGTTGAACAATGCCGTCAAAGCTTTGTCGTGCTCACCCTGGGCCAAGAAGATCTCGGAGAGGAGCGAATGCGCAGCAAACATCTCCGGGTTGATCTGAATGGCTTGTTTCACCAACACAATGGCCCGGTCATAATCACCGTCAATGAAGGCAGAAGTGGCCTCGGAGTGCAGGATCTTGAATTCCGGACTTGGTTCTAGTGGTTTGCGAGGGCCTCGTTTGACTCCTTTCTGGCCCCGAGCCCCGTAGCGGCCACTAAAGGGACCTCCTTTGCGGCGGCGGCGACGCCGCGAAAGCGAATCATCGTCGTCTCCTTCCTCTGGCGGGGCTTCATATTCCTCTTCCTCACTGTCATCTGTCAGTACCGAATGTGAAAGAAAGTGATATGTATGCTTACGTTTCTTCCTCTGAAGACAAGGTATAGAGCGAGTCGGAGGAGACATCCACGTCTTCATAGGTTGCAGTGTCTTCGTGCGCAGATTGTTCGTCTGATGGCTGTGCAGAGTTACCGTTGAATAAGTCCCTGTATAGACGAGGATCCAGTACGGAATGGATAGAGGGCTCTGCCTGGGCGGGTGGCTGGTGACCCTGCCATGGGTACTGCCTTGTCTCGTCGACCGTCGGATAGCCATACTCTTCAGCCGAAACCCCCTGCTCCGGGTAGATGTTGTCAGGATACTCCATGGCGATGGTTGGTTATGCTACTAACGAACTGGATTGCTGCGGAAAGTCAATGACTTTCCTTTTCCGCTTTAGGCCGAACTTGGCGCCGCTTTTTGCTCCCTGAGCGGCCCGGAGCGTGGGAGGAGCACAAAAGTGCGTGTCCTGAGCAATCCCTGAGCGATCCCGAATTACTCCAGGACTAAAAACTAGAGAAGTAACCATTACTCTGATCATATACCTGACCATTAACCTGCGGTCAGGTATAAAAATTGAAATAACCTGACCTGACCTGGCCGTTAGCCACTCTAAGCAGAATTTTACCAGTTCAAATAGCTTTAACTATAAAGTATATATAATCTTCTTAGTCTACTAAAGAACTTAGTAATCAAGGTATAACGTAATCAACGGTCGGGCGGGACACACGGTCAGGCGGGACACCCTGGTAATACTAGACAAAAGGTACTTTTTTAAATACAATATATCTCAACCAGCAAAGTCTAGAAGGATTAAATTTGTTCTGTATAGATTTTGAATTATATTAAAATTATTTATATATCTTTCAAAAATCAGTATAGATATATTTATCAACTTATTATAATACAATACCTGTATTTTATTTGTATTATATAAGAGTTTGATCTAACTATATATATAAATATTTTAAAAATTCTGAAAAAATTATAGGACATCTATTATTATATACATAATCTATATACAATGTAAGAGCTTCTTAAAAGTAGTATTGGTTGATATATGATAGAATACAAAAGTCATCTTTTATATGGGATACCAGGGTGTCCCGCCTGACCGTGTGTCCCGCCCGACCGTTGATTACGTTATTTAGTGGAGTTATTAGTAGCTGAATTACTCCGAGTTAAAGATTATAGAAATAACATGCACGGAAGCCTACTTGGGCGGCCCGCTCACAAGTGGATTACATTATCCTAAGCCCGTATTAGTCATCATTTCTGGGAGGAATAATATTCACTCCCGGGGGTACCATAGAAGCAAAAGTTCCAGACTGGCAATGATAACAGCAGAAAGTTCAGCCATTTGAAAGTTGCTCTGCAGATGGGCACCGAAGCGCCGGTGTACATTCTAACGTTTGATTGTCAAGCAACTCATAGTGCAATGTATCCCAAGTAGAAAGCATGTATACAGTTTACCTGAGGTAGCTCTGGGTGAGATTAAAAATTGGAGGTTGCACTTTTGCTATTCGGCCAAAATAAAGAGACTTACATAGCACTTGAATCATATTTCAACCATCTATGAAGGTTTATACTTACGTGACCAAGTCAGAGCGAACTTTAGAATAGGACGAAGCTAAACCACTGGCAGTCATTTGGAGTAACTTGAACTAAGAATCATAATGCAACTACATATGCTACTTGTCTGTTTTGGCTCCATACGGAAGTAAATAGAAGAACGATATTTAGATGTGAAAAAAGAGGGAAATAGTCTGGACCTGAAAATGTTCATTCGCACCGAAGAATTCCAATTAAAGATGATACTAGATGATATCGGCTTTGCGAACAATATTACAGCGACGTTTTGAATGCATGTGGTCCCAGGTGCTTATGTACATGCTGATAGAGCAAGATCACCCAAGGTTCGCAGACGTACGAAATTGTCAAGGCCTTCAATGAACCCTGCACTTAGGAAGACAAATGTAAGAGCACGATCAGGGTCGACCATCCACATTGTGCTTCCGCCTCCAACAGCGTAGAAAGCACGCGGAGAGGCCGTGAAGCCTGCACCCGTGAATACATGCCCCTCTCCACGAATGTAACCGCCAAGGAGGCTGAAAAGAGCTGGATACTCAGGAAAACCCTTGGCCTCCTTTTCAAAATCCCAGGTCGTGTTTGTCAAGGTACGGGTGTGGTTTTGGCAAGCGTAGTCAAAAAGAGCTCTAGAGATGAGCCGGTGCTCTCCATTGTTTCCTCGTAAACGCATTGTCTCGGCAAAATGGAAGACATCTTCCGCAGTACCGTACGCACCTCCAGCTGGGATTTCGTTTCCGTCGGTGGTTACCGTGTTGAGCAACTTCTGAGTTTGTTCATTGTTCGTGGTGACGTGCTTCGGGTGGAACGAGACTGGAACACGCCTTGGGTGGTCTGAAGCAAGACCAATCGCTGCCTCAGTCATTTTCAAAGGCGTAAACAGCTCATCTCGCACAAGATCTCTGAAGTGACGATTTTTCGGATCGGTAGCCTCTAGGATACGGCCAAGAATGGCATAGCTAGCAGCTTGGTTGTAGGCGCAACGCTGCCCAGGTAAATGAACCAATGGAAGTACAGAAACAGCTTCGACAAACTTCTTCAGATCTCCCATTTCTGCAGGAACCACTCCCGGGGGTACCATAGAAGCAAAAGTACCAGAGGTATGGGTGGAGAAGATGGTGGATGGTGATATTCTGCTTTCCACTCACGCCAAACCCAGGTAGGATATCGATGACTTTGGTATCCAGATTGAACAGGCCCTGATCGATCCATCTCTACGTAAGAGAAGCGGTGAAAGACTTGGTAATTGACATTAGAAGATAAATATCATCGTCAGCAGCTGGACGACCATCAGGTGTCACTGTGCAAAGCTCTTTCTCGAACCAATGCGGCCATGGCGAGCGACAATGACTGAGGCTCCGAAGATCCGACCGTTGTCAATGCCAGACTGAAATCTTATCGCACAGTCAGTCTAGAGACTTCTGGTCCAAGTCAAGCTGATCGATGACCTAAGACATTTTGAGCGATCTGCGACGGATTTCAAGAGTTTCGGAAGTAGGGCAAACTGTGATGGCTTGGGTAGCAAGACAATTACACTGTCCTTGATGATTGTGGAAGAGACTCATTTTTAATGAGAGCTCTCATGACTCGGTGGATCCAGCGAAGACAATATCACCCCACCATATCGACGCCTCGTGCTTGAGTAATCAGGGGTAACACGGTTGGATCGGAAGCGCACTCAGCGTACGTACCGAGTTTGATGATTTAGCGGCGTCTCTTTGGCAAGGATTAGCGTGCCCATTCCAACAGTGAAAGCAGAGTGTGATGCAAGCGGAAAGCCGGCATCTTGCTCGGTCTCATTAACTACCAAAGGTTCCAGTACCGACCACTGACATCTCTACCTAGGTCATTTTGAATTCAAGATGCTATCTGCCCCACCATAAATTCGGACGCTACTGAAGTTTACGTGTCGAATAAGAAAAGTCTGCGGGGCCGAGCGGGAAAAGTCTACGGGGCCGAATGGCAAAACCCTGCGGGGCCGAATGATGGAAACAGCTGGTCTAACAATTACTGGCTCTTTCTAGCTTCCCCTCAGAATCACAACCGATCGCAATGGCGGAGCAGTGGAAATCAAGTACCCTAGGTTATTTTGAATTGAAGATGCTATCTCCCCCACCATAGATTCGGATGCTACTGAAGTTTACATGTCGAATGAGAAAAAGTCTGCGGGGCCGAGCGGGAAAAAGTCTACGGGGCCGAATAGCAAAAACCTGCGGGGCCGAATGGTGGAAGCAGCTGGTCTAGCGATTACTGGCTCTTTTCTAGCCTCTTCTCAGAATCACAACCAATCGCAATGGCGGAGAAATGGAAATCAAGTGATAGTTGATGATTATGGAGCTTGATCAATTTCTTTCAAACTAAAATTCTACTCACCTGCACTTTCAACTCGAAATGTTCTGTACGACGGTTATTTGCATCCCCACATCTGCAGTCAAAACTGACCCGGTGCTCGAAGTATAAGTCGCAGTTCGTTACCTTAAACACGAAAGATCTCTAACGCCTCCGCTGAGATCAGTTGGTTTCGGAGGACCTTTCAAGGTGGCACAGAGGTAGCTGCACCTACAAAATATTGTGAGGAAGGTTTTGCCGAAAAGTCATAGACATGGCTAGCTCTAGGGTCAATGAGGTTGAGCTTGCTGAGCAGGCACGAAGACACCATTCAAACATCTCCGCGTCGCTGGAACCCAGCTTGTCTCTGGACGATGAGTTATCTGGGAAGAATCCTCATTTGACTATGGGTCACGATGCACGGCAAGAGGCAGAAGAGTCCATCGAGTTCACTGTGAGCTGGGATGAGAATGATCCAATGAATCCAAGGAACATGAGCAAGGCAAGGCGGTGGCTTATTACCACAATTGTCTCCCTTGGGTCACTCTGTGTGTAAGTCAAATATGAATATGATTGAATCCCCTGGGTAGAACAATTGGTTGACCACGCACTCGCTACAGAGCTTGCACCTCTTCTATATATAGCACAACATATGACCAGATTGAGAGAGAGTTTAACTCTTCTCGATTGGTCGTGACACTTGGGTTGTCATTTTTCATCTGGGGCCTTGGTGGGTTCATTTGAATTTACAAACGCTTGTTCATCATAAATACTTACACACTCCAGGTCTCGGTCCGATGATTTTGAGCCCTTTATCCGAAGTCAGTCACCGAAGAGCACTCCCTGGGCGAATGGATAACAAAGTTAACAGATGGTTACAGTTTTATGGCCGCAGAAAAATCTACATCGCATCATTCACCCTATTCGTGGTGTGGCTCATCCCATGCGCAGTGGCAAAGAATATCCAAACTATGCTTATCTCTCGATTCTTCAACGGATTGGCAGGTAGTGCATTTTTGAGTGTAGCTGGCGGTACTGTGGGGGATATGTTTGATCGACATGAACTCGCTTTACCTATGATGTTTTATACTGCGACCCCATTCGTTGGTCCTGAAATCGGTCCTCTGTAAGTTCACTTGTTAATGGCATATTCGCTGGTCTTATTAAGACTAATATTCCTTGATAGTGTTGGTGGATTCATCAATGAATACAGCACATGGTATGTTTCAATTTCGAACTCAATCCTACAAAGATCAAATACGAATGGCTACCTCTAATAGGCGTTGGACATTTTACGTTCTTCTAATTTGGGCTGGCCTAGAACTGGTCTCTATTGTGCTCTTTGTCCCGGAGACTTATCACCCAGTGTATGTATTTCTATTCACAATTCATATTCCAAGATTTAGTACATTGCTAAAATCATATCAGTCTTCTGAGATACAAAGCCCGAAAGCTTCGTCAAGATACCGGTAATGAGAAATGGAAAGCCCCAACCGAGAGATCACAGAGGTCAATGGCACAGATGATCATGCAGTCTATGTATCGTCCTATTTTGCTTCTGACAATGGAGCCAATGTGCTTGAGTCTGTGTATATTTTCGGCTCTACTCCTCGGGATCCTTTATCTCTTCTTCGGTGCTTTTCAGTTGACCTTTTCCACTGTTTATGGCTTTTCGGAATCGCAATGCGGCCTATGCTTCATCGGCCTCTTTGTCGGTATGCTTTGCGCTATATTGACAGATCCATTCTGGCGTCGGAATTATATGCGTTTAGAGAGTGCTCACAAAGGGAGGGGAAACGAAACGAATGACTTTCAACCAGAATGGCGACTACCTCCGGGTAAGTATAAATTGCATACACGCTAGGTATAAGGTTCAATGGCTAATATCTAAGTCGGTGTAATAGCCATTCTAGGGGGCCCATTGGTCACTGTAGGAATTTTCATATTTGCCTGGACAATTTACCCTAATGTACATTGGATTGCTCCTATAATTGGCAGCGCAGTATTTGGAGCAGGGTAAGACCCCGGATCGTTATCACTTGAGCACATAAATTGCCTTCCATTATCCTGACGGACTCTTAATATCCTAGGACAATTCTGGTCTATTCAGGCATCTTCACCTTCCTTGTTGATGCTTATCCAACATATGCCGCTAGTGCACTGGCCGCAAATAGCTTTACCAGGTCATCATTTGGAGGAGCATTTCCGTTGTTCGGGATCCAGAGTAAGTACAGTTCCTTCACAGGCTCATTTGACTGTCATGCTTCTCGTTGAAAGCCTACTACAAGATAAACATTCTTCTTTTGAGAGCGGGTGAAACGATGGTCTGTGCTAACAATGCTCTACAGTGTATGATAAGCTAGGTTATCATTGGGCATCATCATTGTTGGCGTTCTTGACCCTTCTTATGGCCCCTTTCCCGTAAGTGAATTCTCTGCTTAGAGGCTTGAAGCGGCATGGAACGAGTGTTGCTTGACGAGTTTGACTCAAGTCAATCTCATGCCATCAACATTATACATGTTATCTTCCAATTACCGAATAAGCTACTTTTACTAACATTCCTTCACGACAGATACCTTTTTTTCAAATATGGAAGCCAAATTCGCCAAAAAAGCCGGTTTGCCACAGGAGAAAGGTGATCGCCTTATTTCTGTGCAAATAACACTATGGTGCATGCCTGAATTAGTGATCAGAAGTTTTCAGAAGTCTCCCTGAAGATATTGAACACCTGACCATGCTCCTTTCGTATGGATCGCGAGGTACGGCTAAGCGAACGCAGGTTTCTTCTATTTTTGTTTTGAGCCAAAAGTCTTCATAGCGGATCGCATCGTTGGCCATTGCTCCTTCGATCACCCGATCCCGAAGTATCGGAGATGTCCATTTATTATATGAAAAGCCCTAATGTTAGTCATGAAGAGCATGCTTGTAACTACAACAATCCAAATTTAGTCATCGATTTGGATTAGCATGGCCCCCTTAAGATTATTCCACCCTAATCTGGCATTCTTTAGCAGTGCTTGAGTTTGGCTCAGGGTAATATTGAGAACAAACTGAACGGTGCAAGAATGCCATGGGTTAAACTAAGGATCCGTGCCACATCGGAGCCGATAAAACAACTTCAATGATTTCCCACACGTCTCGCACATTGGCCAGATGGTTGAAGTGCACAGAATCCGGGCCCCTTCGTTGACAAGTCTGGAAGTGCCTTTCGTGTCCAACAGGCTGCCGACTCCTGTCAGATAAGGTCGCATATTGGGTCTTCCCTGGAGCCAATCCTCCTTAATGTCCTCATCTAGTTGCCCATCAAGTCGAATCGGGATTCCTGGCGTCTGTTTCTTCTGCCCTGAAATATCGAGGTGATTGTTGTTATTTGAGTCTTGCACGGAATTTTCGCTATAGATCCAAAGAGCAAGGCATGCGATCATGAGAGCCCGGCCTTCATAATAGCCGTACATATTCGAATTGCGGATATATCCAAACAGCCGGCTAGCATGTAAGGCAACCAAACGAGCTTCTGTATCGTTCTGTGAAATCCAAGATCTGAGACGCCTTTTAGAATAGACGATATCAACGCTGGTGACCCGATAGCCACAGTAGCAGAATAGCTCACGCAATGGCACAAGCAAGAGGATTCGCATGCAATGGTAATGGTGTATGACGACAGATCTCAAATAAGATGACCTTTGAGCATCACTGCGCTCAGGGCAAAGAGCCTGGAGGTATTTCACCCCTGGAAATGTCTCTGACGTCCTCTCCGAAGCATAATTCAAAGCCTGCCGAGGTGAAGTAAGACTGTGGTATATTGATCCTTGGTCAGAATTGCAATCACGGGAGTAGTGAACAGTTTGCCTAAAGACCGCCATCATAAGCAAGAGTATTGCAAAGTCATCTAGGCCGCGTCTGGGCTCCAGATTCTTGTATAAATATTCCAATTCGTCACGCATATCTTGACTTCTATGTTCACCTGAACGACCGCAAATTAGCAAATTCAGACACTGGTTGTATTTTGCAAAGAAATTCCTGAAGCTTACCGAGCTTATTGGCGCAGTCATTCCACGACTCTGCCGTCGGAGCATGCCACAGGCTTTCCACGTTGGGCATTCTGAGCCGAAGTAGATCGGTCGGAATAGTGGGAGGTAGGTCAAAGTATAACATGTATTGGCTATCAACAAGCTGATAGCCACGAAGCCGGTTAGCATCCCATAGGTAAGCGATTTCGATGGATGGGTTTTGAGATTTACCCAACATATATAAGCCAGCCGTCGCATACTTTCAGAATGTACCCATGCTTTCCAAGTTTCTGAGAGATTTCCTCTCTGTCTAACGACATCTGTCCGATCAATCTCAATGAAGCAATTGACTTTACGGCACAGAGTTGCCACAAGGCTTCTGCAAGATTGCGCATGTTCCATGAGTCTCAGATCACCTGAAAACTGCATTCCTATGAGGTTAAGAAGAGCTGTTTGGGCGAGCCATGGCTGGCAACTGGTCTTATAGTCTCTCTCAATCTAATTGATTGGTAATCTATCTTGGAAGATGGGTAAAAACCGAGTGAGAAACTTACTGTCAAGTTGATTGCTCTCCGGAGAAATTCTTGAAGAATATCTACACATTCTATCGCAGCTGGATTCCGCGAAAAATGAGATCCAGTGACGATTACTCCAAGAATAAGTAGCCAATGCTCACGACTAGGATCGAATGTTGGCTGGTGAAGCATGGGAAATATGAAGTTGAAGTTCTCAAAGTAAAGCTGCATGAAGGCAGAGCACGCAGCCAATGAGGGGAATTCGCCAGCTGCAAACGGCATGTGGTAGCCGTTGTCTTTGTTGAGCGTACGAAATGTACCCAAAATTCTGTTGTAAGTCTCGATAGGTAATGGTTGAACATGACCAAGGTCCTCTGCTTCCCAAACAGAGGACCCGCCCTCACAATCGGGCCTAGGAAAGCAGAATGCCCCCATGAGTGGAGAGTAGATGCTTTTTCCTTCACTCTGGTTTTGAGCACCTGTATGGGCTTGTAGGTGACAGCTTGAATCTTCTAAGCCATGACGACGGGACCGCCCTGTCCATACCTTTCGCAAGAAATCGTTGAAAAGTAAACCTTGGCCTTCATGGGGATCTGGGCTCGATCTGGCGTCACAGAAACTCGGTACAGGCGGTCTGCTTTGTGTGGTGTGTGCAGAGCCTTTGGTAGACCAAGGAGGTACACCGTGATTTTGAAGCTCCAATTCCTGATCAATGGGCTGCCCCAGACATCTATCTTCGTAATTCAAATTTGCCATTTGATTCGGAAAAAATCCCATGGAAAGATTTGGCAGGTGACACTGATACAATGGAGAAAACAGATTAAGGTCGTCCCAAAGGCGCGTGCCCTGTGTCGTTGCATTATTGTGATTGCGCTGCCATCGGAATTCCATGTTTGATTGCTGCTCATCACAGACATCCGGTCGGACCATATTTGTCTGTGCTATACATTGATTGGGCTGAAGAGTCGTTTCAAGCGAGGCATCTGCCAAGGTAAACAGACTATGGTGGACGGGATAGTTGGTACTCAAGGACGGAAAGGTCGCTGGTTCAGGTGGATCGCAGGACTCTAGCATCGTCTGGTCATTTGCATGTGATGCAGAGGTGCGGGAAGCAGGAAAGCAGTCCTCAGTATCATGGATTGGGTCTCGTGGGTTATTGCCTTCTTTTCCTAATCTCGAGTGTCCATACCAGCATACAATGCCTTTGGATTTGCACCGACCACATGGGCTGGCCCCATCACACCGAAGCTTCGATTTTGAGCACCTTTTACAAGCGTGCTTTATTCTTACCCCAGTACTTGGGTTCCTGTCGGTTTCTAATGATGGGTTGCGATTGATTTCGGTGTGCACACTCATATGTCGCCGAAGGGTATCTCTAGAACAGGTCTTGTAATAAGTCCGATATTGGTCAAAGCGGACAAAGAGCGACAGCAAACTGGCAAAGAATATGGTCTTACCTCCTCGCAAACTTCAAGTCACATATTGAACAACCAAACGGCCGCTCGCCGATATGGCGCAGCTCGTGCCTTGATAAGTGCCCAGCCCGCTGAAATGTTGCGCCACAGGTGCTACAGACATGAATGTGCGTAGGTCCTCCTTCCATGGTAAAAATTGGATGCAGAACATAAAGCAAAGCTGCATTACATCAAATATTGTCAAATCAGACAACAAATCGCAATAAATAAAATGGTGGAGAATTTGAAAAGAGGTGCGGAATTTCGCGGTTAGTGGGGAGGTGATGACTCGGATGCGGTGGTCAGCTGCAGAGCAGTAGGAAGGTAGGTTTAAATACCGTTGGTCGTTGTAGCGCCTGAGCACCCACCTGGGCACCATCGGGCCAATGACAGAACAAACTTTTTCATTACAAACGTTACACCCCCAGGTAATACATTGCGCTAGTATACGACTAACTAGCAAATGGAAATATTCCTTTGTTGGTAAGGCGAGCACTTTATACCTCTTCACTGCGACGCCAGCTACGTAGGCGCAGCTATGTTCGAAAGAGTTACAATGGCTAGTTTTTATAGGCAGGTCTGTCACGTCAATGAATGGCACTTAGGAAAAAATCAGACCTGACAGTCAGGATTTTCTCGAAGAGCCCATATTTAAAACTGAGCGCAATTCACGAAACCTGAGTATTATCGCACTTATTCTGCTGCGGTCAATTTGTCATATGGCTTTCCGATGGCTCATCACAAGACTTCCAATTTCCATAGCACAACTTTCACCGCCCATGCAGTATATCTATTGGCTTCGTGAAATCGATCTAGGAGGCGAAGCGAATAGGAATTTTCCGTCTCAAGACATCCTTTCAAGAACACTCTAGATAGCTCATAGCTAACTAGGTTTGCATGATCAAGCTAGACAAAATTGTTCTTTTGGTCTGCTAAATTGGACGTGAACGTTCAAGGTGTATCAATTGAAAGACAACGGTTGAGACTGAACCAACCCTCAAACTCAATCTCTTGTTATTCTTTTTACTTCCTGAAGATTGCCGAGTAGTTTTGATTGGATGTGACATAGTAGAGCGTACACATTACATGGTTTATTGTCTTTCTCATAATGGTTATAATACAGCTAATATATGCCTGTAAGAAGACAACCACTGTAACAGCAGCAGTTTGTGGCTGTGCCAGCTTACGTATCGGCAGAACAAGGCCGTCAGATGTGTTAAACTTCTTATGGGACCAAGGCCCTGATATAGAGCTCGGCTTCAGGCACCAGTTGGTACCTGAGGCCTTGGATACTATATACTAAACTAGCGCTAGCTTAGTATATATACTCAAAAGAATTTTGTATAAACTAATAAAATAGCTCTTTTTGGAAAGGGGGGGAGGGGGTCCCAATCAACGGGTATGTGTCTATGCCATGTTTAGAAAGATTTGAGAGATTTGCAGGGTGTCAGGTTCAAAGAAAAAGGAATGTGATTTTTTGTTTATCATGGATCCGATAAGTTAATGGTCATAACTGATGAAGGGAAGACAGGAACCCACCCTGCAGATGCTTAGCGGCCAGACCAGCCGGTCTTAGCGGCACGGATGCTGGAGGGAAGTTCTAGGATGACTTGACTAGCTTGGTTGCAGGGACTGAAATGTGATATAGAGTTGGTATGGACCATAAAAGATGATGTTGGGAAGAAGAGAATGGGAGCGAAAGAGAAAGGCGCAGAGGGTGCAGGTTCGTTGAGGAAGAAGTGGTGAAAGTTATTTTTTTTTCTACCCGCTTGTCCTCTTTTTTTCCCCTCATCTGCAGGTCTCTTTCTCCCTTCATTTTCTCCATTCAGTCCTGAATTTACGGAGTACTTTTCTTCTTTTCTTCTATTCTTCTTGCATTCCTACTCGATTGCTCTTCCCCGCTAGTTGACTATCTGTTTCTTCTTATAACTACTTTCCTTTGCCTTGTTATCTCTTCTTCCTCTCTCCTGATGCTTCAGGATCTTGTCCTTACTTATTGTGTTTGACACACTATTTGTAAATCACAATATAGATATTCTGACATTGTTTTGTTAGAAGAAGAGAACATATCACCCAAATAAATAATATAAAGAACATCAAGATTAAAAATAACAAAAAAGGCTTAAAAGAAGCGACAGGGAAGGATTGAAAAGTTCGAGGGCGAGGAACCCACAAGAGAAAAACTAAGCAAGATCCGGAAAGTCTCGCCGCTTTGTCCAGCCGAAAGAACTCTGGCCTTGTTTCTTCATTCTTCTTCTCTCTGTGTGTCTGACTGAGACTCGCGCTCTCTCTCTCTCTCTCGCTCACTCGCTCTCTCTCTCCTCTTCTTCTTCCTCTTCCTCTTCCTCTCTTGTTCTCATCTACTGATCCATTTCTCTCCTCCCCTCCTTCTCCTCCACCCCCTTTCCCTCCTCCCCCTCTCTCCACCGACCTTATCTCGCCCCTATTCACAACCTGACTCCCTTGTTGATGCTCTGACGATTCGATCGATTTCTTCTTCCTCCAAGAAACCGAATCGGGTAGTGCAGCCACTGGACTGGTCTGTGCATCCCCAATCTCAAATCGTCTCTCTGTCCAGAACCATCCACCGAGAGTCTCCATCCTTAGTGAGATCCGTCGTTTTGTACCCTCTTTATCGACTGTTCTCACCTACGGTTACGGGCTGAGATCATCGGAACGAAACGAGAAAAAATAAAAAGACTCGACCCAGAGTTCGAATTATTCGTCGGTTTTACGCAAACTCAGCAGGTGCTGCAGGTGTTTTGCAGTAATTATTTTTCTCTTTCTGTATTTATTTTTTTTACCGAAACCCCGCGAGAAAAAAAATCTTAGGGAGATCCCAGCATCTCTTCTCCGACCTTCCTTTTCAGACAAAAGAACGCCACTCTCATTGCTCACTTATGGCCAGCCACATCATCGGCAACCGCAACAGCACTCCGGAAGCTTCCAAGTCTAGTCTTCGTCCGCCTTCCTCTTCGCGAAACCTAGGGTCGCATCAGTTGCGAGCATCGGCCGATATGTCGGGCTTCCCCTCCCCGCTGTCTTCCCGCAGCATTCGTCCTTCGTCCGAGGTCTTCTTCAACCAGCAATCGCAAAACTCGAACAACACGGAGGATCCTCTGGATCGTGCGGCTCAGCAATGGCTCGCGGACATTGATCAGTACGAGACCACACTGGAGGAGATGGCGGCGGCCACCTTGGATCAGGATTTCAAGGACGAGCTTAGTGCCATTGAACAATGGTTCCGCGTGCTCAGTGAGGCCGAAAGGACTGCTGCGCTCTATGCTCTGCTGCAGCAGACCACGCAGGTGCAGATTCGTTTCTTCATCCAGGTCCTGCAGCAGATGGCCAAGAGTCACCCGATGTCGGGGTTGTTGTCTCCGGCCAACTTTGGAGAGAAGGGTAAGTCCACTTCAGTCGATTGATAGCAAGGGCTAATCCTTGACGTCGCTACAGACGCTATGTCCAACCGGCTCAACGATGCCATGTCCAAGTTGAATGTGGACAGCTCACGAAACTCTCTGGGTCGCCCGCCCCCCTCCCCGGGCGCCAAGCGCAACTCTGGACTCGATTCCTCCACTATTAACGCCATGTTCCCTGATGCAGCGGCGGCCATCGCCAAGAAGAAGGCTGAGTTCACTCAGCAGACCGGCAATGCGCCCCCTTCCAACCGGAACAGCGCTGTCTTTGGAGATCGGACCTCCTTCGTTGCTCCTACCATCTCAGCCCCAGACAACAATACCGACAATCTGGGCCAGCCTCCCGTTTCTCCTTGGGTGCAGCGCGGCTCAGAGCCCCAGCCTCCCATTGCTCGGCCCAAGTCCTCCTCGGGCCAGCAGCCAATGGGCCAGTTTAGCCAGAATCCCTCCAGCCTGCGTTCACCTTTGCCCACCCAAACGGCCACGATTCCTGCTCCGGAGATTGATGCTCCGCTGCTCTCCCCTTACAATGTTGGAAATGCCAGCTGGGCTTCCATGACCAACACCCCGATGACAGCTACGTTTGGGCAGCAAGCACAGCACCCCCCGCAGGGTTCGCAGGCCGATATGGTGGCTAACGCGACAGCAATGAAATTGGCCGCGCTGTCGACCGTGAACAACCGGATTGCGCTTGATGATGCTCGCAAATATCGCCGGGCCCGCTCGAACGATGGCCAGGGCAAGAACTCGGTCAGCCACCTCGGCCCCCCGCCTCTGGCCAGCCCGGGACTGCCCACTCCTAACCAGCTGATGGCCAATCAGTTGTTGAATGCTCAGCAGCTGGCTACCCTGCAGGCGCACCAGCAAGCTGCTCTGGCTGGTCGTCGCTCTCGTCCCACCTCGCCCGGAATCGCCATGCAGGGCGGTGGTCTGGGCCACATAAACTTCACCTCCCCGCAGAACAACGGGTTCCTCGCTGCGTACGATCCCAACAACCCGCTGATGGGGAATGGGCTGAGTGCGCTGGGCATGGGGCAGTTCGGGTTGGGCGGTCACGAGGGCTACCTCTCGGACCACTCGGAGGTGGCTCGCGGCCGGTCGCCGCGCGGTCGTCGGGGCAGCTCGAAGCCGCCAGAGGATCCCACCGACCCCGCCCTGCTGAAGGATATTCCCAGCTGGCTGAGATCGCTGCGGTTGCACAAGTACACTGATAACCTGAAGGACCTCAAATGGACGGAGTTGGTTGAATTAAGCGACAAAGCTCTGGAAGAGCGCGGCGTGAATGCTCTGGGCGCGCGCAACAAGATGCTCAAGGTGAGTCCAGAGGTATCGAAGCAGAAACACGGGCCGAGCTAATAATCGAAACAGGTCTTTGAGCAAGTTCGCGAAGCCAAAGCCGAGGGCAAGCTTGACAACATTGCTTGAATGCACCGATTGCATCCACACTCATTCATGCACTCATTCTTGAATTGGACGACGTTTCTGCTTACATTCTCTCTACTGCATTAATTGACCTAGATTGGCTTGGGGCATACGTGGCAGGATCCGAAATGAACCTATGAGCGATCTCATATCGGCATGAATCTTTGGGAGGAAGTTGCCTAGTAATGGTGTAGGCTGTTGGGGTTTATTTTGCGTGATGCTTGAGGCTGCGTCTCAAGGTTGTTGATGTTTACGACGGCTAGGATGTTAATGTTATAATTGGGCCAGGGATATGAGTTTGACTTTTGTTTTGTAGATATCGTGTATGACGGAGGATGAAGTGAATATTGCTTGTCAGATAGTAGCTGCGTCTGGAATATACTATGATGTCCGTATGCGAAGAATATTGTGTGAGTTATCGTGAGTAAGAAACAGCCCAGCTACGGGAGCTTTTGAATCCAAGGCGGAACAACGCGGCAGAATAGCCATCTGACTCGTTAGTAACATCACCATCACCATCACCACCACCCGGTTAACCTCAATCCACCCATTCGCATTCAACTGAAAACGAACAACGGACAGCCTCCTCCGCACCTTGCGAACAGGACACCCACATATCTTCTCTCTCTCTCTCTGTGCATACATCTAGACTCGAACACAAGCAACCCAAAAGATGCCCCCAACGAAACAAGAACTCTCCCTCTTAATCAACCCGCTCGTCCCGGAATCCCTCCAACACAACAACCGAGTATGTGCTCAACCCCCTACCAAACCATCCCATTACAATTCAATCTCCGCCTGTCGGCTCTCTTCCCCAGCACTCCCCCAACTCATCACATGCACACACCCCCACAGTTCCCTAAACCCATCACAACCAAACCCCAGTAACAAACACACCCATAATCTCCCCTCCCCCCCCCCCCACAAGCCCATTTGAAATCAACCAAGCTAACCACGACATAGACCCTCACCTCCCTCCACAGCCTCACCTCCTTCCTCCTCGGCCTAACAGCCGGCATCCTCTCCCTGCAATCGATCACCGGGTTCGCGTTCTACGCGGGCGGGACGGTGCTGGTGTCGCTGCTGTTCCACGCACTATTATTATACCGGTCTGGCGGGGTCGGGGCGGGGGTGTATTTCGCGGGGGCGCAGGGGGAGATTGAGGGGTTGGATGGGCGGACTGGGGTGGTGGACAACCGCCACAGGAAAGCTGCTAGTGGGAAAGGAGGGGCGACGGGAACGGTGATGGTGCGGCGTGCGGCGTGGAGGGATGTGTGGCTTGGGGGTGGGGTGTTGGGGGAGGCGTTGTCGGGGTTTGTGTTGGGGTGGGCGGGGGTCGGTGGTGTTTTGCGGTAGAGTTTGGGTCTGTTTTTTTGTTTCTTGTAGTGCAGTTTGGGATGGATTAAGAAGGTTGGGAGTGCTGGCTGGGTTGTCGGGGGAGGGGCTGGTGGAGGGGCTACGCTATACTATGCTCTGGTGCTTGGTTCAGGGTGAATGGCTGAACTAGAAAATACATTTTGTCTATTCACTTGTATATACTAGCGGGGTATCATTTTCAAATACTCTAGCTCGCTCACTCACTCAGCGGACCGGAGGTTGGTGTGCTGATTCGCCTGTATGATTTCAGATTGCCCTATTGAACGGTCAGCATAGCGTTTACCAGATAGACAGACTCTGTACTCACCTTCGCCAGTGCCCATAAATAAGGCACATAAATCACCTCGCTGCGCGCCTCTTCTCCCTCATTCCCCTGGACATTGACCCAGACGTTCCCCATCATCAGCCCCGCGAACAAGCTCACCCCCATGATCGGGAGGATTGCAACAAAAGCCCACATAATAGCCTCCTTCCCTGCAAGCTGTACCCCCGCCTTCGCAGCAGCAGACAGCCCATCCAGCATTGACAGAGAACTCGTGTCGTGCACATCCAGCGTTGTGCCGCCACTACTGAGCCCTAGAATGACCGCCGAGTTGCCAAACTTGTTGTTGAACACGCTGGTCATGACGGTCAGGCCAATGGTGCCGCCAAAGGGCAAGGACACCTGCATCAGAGACATGGCGGGAGCAATCCTCTCTGGCCAGATGCCTGCGGTGTGCAGTGAGGAGGACACCAGGCGTAATCCAATTCCCGCCCCTGTCATGACCATCATGCCGCTGAGGAGGCTTGTATCCCTGGCGCTGATGGCGTAGGAAATCACCGCCAGACCGATGGTGCTGAGGACTGCACCCAGACTGAGAGGGAAGAAGGTCTGCCGAGGGTAGATGTTGCACATGTATACCGCAGCGTAGACGCCTCCTAATTTGTCCATTAGTAGGCTCAAAAACAAAATGAAGAGACACGTACCTCCTAGGCCCGGGATGTAGTACAAAAGTTCGCGTCCGGACTTGGATGTAGAGTATCCTGCCACGAGAATGTAATAGATGCTGATGAAGTAAAAGATGGAGTAGGACGCTGATTGAGTCAGTGACTGCCACCCTGCCCTAAATGTGTCTCGACTTACCTGCTCCCGTTGCGAAGGTCAAGATCGCAAGCCAGATCGTATCTCTCCGTTCGAAAAGACTGTATGGCAGCGTCGCAACATGTCTTGGGAATACCCTCGCGCACAACCTGCCTGGCTCAAGCATATATTCATAGAGGAAAAATGCCGGAAAACAGACCGAGCCCACGATCAACGGTGCAAGAACCTGAGACGACGACCACGAGTAGGTCGCACCTCCCCAGGTCGTCGCAAGGATGATCAGCCCCACCCCAAATATAAAGAGGATCGATCCTCCAATATCTACGGTTGCGAGAGCCGGAAGCACCGATGACCACCTGGAACCTTTCTTGAACATAGAACCCTCGACCAGGTCGTGTCGCAACAGCACATACACCAGGATATGGCTTATGACAGTGATCTTCACCTCATTAGCACATAAACATCTCATGGAGCGGTTTTGGCACTATCTCACCGGGATAGGAATCACAAAGCAGTATCTCCAGTTAGTCTGTTCACAGTCAGCAGCTGTTCCGCGCAATAAATTCCATACACTCACTTGGGTTAGATACCTAATTTCATCGTCAGCAAACATCTAAGACAGCAGGGTAAGAGAAAACATACCCTCCCACTATGGGCCCCACGGCATACCCTACACCCCCAACAAGAGTGAACAAGGACTTGTTCCTCCCATTCTCTTTCAATGAGACCTTATCCGCTAGGATGATCATGACCAAATTCCCCAGCCCCGCGGATCCCATCCCCTGCAACGCCCTACCCAGCAGCAGCATCCCCCATGTCTGCGCCGCCGCACACAGCACACTCCCGACAAGCATGAGAAAGAGCGCCGTCTGCAGGATCAGATGCCGACCAAAGACGTCGGCGAGCTGACCGAAAATTGGGATGAAAGTCGTCGATGTCAGGCTGAAAGCCGTGATGATCCAGTTCAACTCGTCGAACTTGTCTAGAGGTGCTGAATTAGCATCTGGCGTCGGAGGATCGCTGTGTCGCGCGAGGATACTACTGACCAAAGTGCGACGCAATGACCGTTGTCGCTGTGGCCACGATAGTCAGGTCTAATGTGGATAGAATGAAAGGCAGAGAGAGGCCGGCGATGAGTCGCAGCCGGTACATGCGTTGCTGACGCTTCCGCTCATGACAGATGCTGCATTTCTCATTGATATCTGTATGGTTGAGAGCTTTAGCTGAGTCCGCGGTCGACCCGAGTGGTGACAACTCGAGGTCCATGTTACGACCGACAGCGGACTTGGATAGATGTCCTTGCGAGTGATGTATACAGGGCGGCTTTGGCGGGGAAGGCTTTGAGCCATACCGCTTCTGGTAGAGGTATTTGATAGCTGTAATGATCATTCTGCAGAATGTGTAGCTATCAGGGGACTGGAATCGGGTGGAAGTGGTAGTCTCTGTATGTCAACTTGGAGCTATCCAGGACCACAACAGGTACTTATATAGGCAGCGCGTGTCCTGCGCAATCTGACACGAAGCTGCCTAAAGGGAGCCATCTCACTATGACTCCATATTAGGAGAGAGTTGCGAACTTGCCAAAAGATTTTGTGGCGGAGTGAAATGAAGCCGCGACATTAAGAACGTCCCGATTAGGCAAGTGTCACGGAAGCCCTTTTGATTCATTTCGCGGTGCCTCCCGGATCGGGTAAGGGTTGCGAATAGCCAGCCCTGCCCTGAGCTTAATTCCAGCCGCTTATCCGCCTGATTCTCCAGGCAACAATGTCTCAGATCTCAACAGCTTGTCTCACGCATCGGCCTCGTGTCGGCCCCCATTTCGAACCGCTCGGACTCTATCCGCAGTCGAAGGGCTTTTCTTGACGTCAAGGCTCTATCTGGCTCTTCTGAGCACCAGAGATCGTTCAGATCGTGTACAGTTCATCCCAGCGCCCAAGTTGACAGATAGCCTTTTGAGGGTCATGAGCTCTCGTACTCCTGCTGCTCTACAGACTGAACCGCTTTTTTCTTTGTCCGTTCGAGAGAAGGGACCAGAGCAACCATGTAGTCGTAGCCGCGGCTGCACCTGACCTTGTGTAGTGGTCTACCCTCAAGAGCCCCGACGGTCGAGATACTTCCCGGGATGCTCTCCCGGACCAGGTCAAGGGGCCTTCATTTTAAGCTTATCTGGCTCCACAATGGCTTGGTCCCTGGCTCTCGAACCAGCTCCGCGGAGGTAAACACGTTCCTTTCAAGGCGCTCGTCCAGGGCAAGTGCGATGTACGTGAATTTAAGAAGTAGAATGCGGATCTTCCCAGCGTACGATACGCGCGAGCCATAACACCTAATTCTACAGTGTGGGCGACACTAGCGATATTGCCAGAAAATGTGCATTAGATCATGTTCGTCCACCCTCAATTAGTTTCATCTATATACAATCTAAGTGACATCAGGGGGTATAGTGTCGACCATAAAACCAAAAGAGTATCACAAATATATCCATAGGTCCAACAATCGCTGTCTTCATGTCAAATGACAAAGCAAGAAAAATCATTCCAAATATGTTCATGTCGAGAGAACGCTCCATCCAGGGAGTCTCATCTTGATTCTCTTTTTACTCGCAGAGTCTTCACTCGAGCTCCTCGGGCGGCGCATTGGCCAGAGCACTCTCAAGAGCACTGGTCAAGTCGATGTGGAAGAATGGCCGGTTGATGCCCTGCACCACCGCCACCTTGCGCCGGTTCCGGTACGCCTTGCTGTCGTTCAAGTCATGCTGCAACTTATCCTCGGGGACGCTGCTGATGTCCGAAGCCTCCTCGATGCCACGAGTCTCGCGCTCTGTTGTGTGGCCTTCGTGCTTGAGACCATCCTCGACGTCCCGTTTCTGTGCGACGTGCTGTGCATGCTGTGCGTGTTCGTTGTTGACCAATTCAGCGTGCGCAGCGGCAGACGAGCGGCCTTCAATTTCAGCCACGCTGAAGATCGGCTTCCAACGGTGGAATCCGTTGTCGGAGTTGGGAGTCGGGTAGCCGAAGCCGGCGGCGGCCAGCGCCCGTTTCGTCCACCGGTTGTTGATGTGAGCAAAGTGCCACTGCACGGCGCGGGGCGAGGCGTAGAGATCCAGCTGGTTGCGCACGTCGATCAGGTTCTGGATGGAGGTCACATCGACGTTGTTAACGGAAGAAAAGTCGAGCACAACAGCACGGAGCAGAGGTCGTTGCGAGCGCTGGTCCTCTTGGGCAGAGTTCTTGCGAGGGCCGGGATCGTTCCAGGGCCGGTCGCCGCGCTGCTCATACGAGAACGGAGTCGTGCGTCGTGTCTCCCGGAAGATGGTCTGGACCAGAGCGTCGGTGTAGTGGTTCGCGTTAGGGTAGTTGAAGCCTTCAGAGAAGCGGTAGATAAAGATACCAGGATACGGCTGTTCCAACTCCACTTCAGGATTCGAGCCGTCGGCGTGGTTGAGCGGAAGGAAAATCGAGCGACGAGACCCATCCTCATCATTATCCGGGGTGTTGGCATTGTTGCCCGAGCCATACTTGCCATCGCCTTGCACGAGATGGTCGCCAATGACCGAGTGAATGGTAACGCGGCCGAGAAACTGGCCACGGGCCTTGGCGACACGGAACAGGAGTACGGCCACGGAAACACAAATGGTGCAGTAAATACCATCCTCAATCGATGAGAAAACGGTGACAATGACCCCAATGAAGAAAATGAGCGCATCAATAGGGGAGACGCGCCAGAACTGGTAGACAGTATTGGGAGGGGTGATCAGATCTCCGACCGCGTGGATGATGACACCAGAGAGGGCAGCCTGGGGGATGTAGAAGAAGACGGCGGTCAAGGCATAGATAGCAAGTAGGACAACGACCGCGGTGATGATACCAGCCAAAGGAGTCCGAACACCAGCCTTCGACTTGATTGCAGTACGGGAGAAAGATCCAGTAGCAGGATAAGCACCCAAGAAAGGTCCGAGCAGGTTCGTCACACCAATGGCGACCAGTTCCTGGGAGGGATCGATGGTGTAGTTGTTGACGCGACCGAAGGACTTGGAGATGGCAATGTGTTCGATCAAGAGGACAATGACGCAAGCAGGGAGTTGTTGCGCGAAGACTGAAATGACTTCGGAATCAACACGAGGGACCCCGGCATCTTTGAAACCTGTGGACGGAAAAACATTAGTTTTATACCCAGCAGCAGTAGACAGGTAAAAGCATACCTCTCGGAACGTCGCCAATGACATTGAACATAGGATTATCCTTGCGGTGCAGATTGACGGCGGCACTGATCATCGTGTAGAACAGAATGACAAATACCGTACGCAACGTCGACATGAAGAACCAAACCTTGGCCTTTCGGGGGTACTTGCGAGCAAGATAGTTGCAAGCTGAGCGGATCATGTACAGCATCGCCAAGGCGGTGACTCCCAGAGCAGCATCAATACCCGCGGATGGCAGGTGTTTGAGCGAGTTAATTATGATCATGTACGTTGCATCGCGGGTGGAGAACGAGGCCGACTCGCCGAGCAGATTCTTGACCTGGCCAGAGGCAATGTTGAGCGCGGAACCGGTCATGAATGCGGAAATGGCGGGCAATGGGATGAAATCCACGATGAATCCCAGGCGAAGCAATCCCATAGCACAGACAATACCACCACTAATGATTGCCAGACACGACGCAACGATATGTCCCGGCACATCCGGCAGCTTCGTTTCGGCGTCGAGGACGATAGTTCCGACCAGGGTAGACATAACAGCGACGGGCTAAATGAGAACGCATTAGAATGATGTCCGGTAACCACACGCGATACAGAGAGGGCATACCCCAATGGTGATATCCTTGGAGGTGGCAAAGAACCAGTAGACCAAGACACCCATAAAAGACGAGTAGAGTCCATATTGTACTGGCACTTCGGCCAGCTTGGCGTAAGCCATTCCCTGGGGAACGACGACGGCGCCGACAGTAATACCTGAGTGTCCCAATTTAGACCGGATCATGACATCGTATTTTGCAGGATGACTTACCAGCCACCAGATCTCCCATGAGCCATTGTGTGTTGTACCTCGTTATCCACGATAGGAACGGGAAAAGTCTGATGAAGTATTGAGCTACATCCCTCCAGCTGGGAGTGATTTCCTTGAACCATTCGGCAGTGGTCGGCTCGTGCTCAAGGTAGGAATAGGTGTCGATAGTGCCGTAGGAAAAGGTGGATTCGCCTCTGGTGACCGGATCGGCATGGGCGCCTAGAGGATCCCGGTATGGTTGCTTGATCCCCAGACCCTTGGCCAACCCTTGACCGACTTTTGTTGTGAAGTCTTTCGACATCTTCGTTGTGGTCGACTCGGGTGGCGATACCGGCGAGTTGTATGGAAGTAGGGCTAAGAAGTGCCCGGGACCACTAGACCGCTAGGGCTCTGTCGGGTGGTAGCAAATGGAACACTTCAAAGGGATATTAGAGCCAGAGGAAAAGGCTCCGATTGATATCAATAAAGTCAACCTCCAGAGATGTCAATTCAAGATCCCAAGACGACCTGGGGAGGGGAGGTAATATAGTAGTGGTGGTTAGTGGTGGAGGCGGGAACCAGGTGGACTTAAAATGGGGATCGGGAAGCCAAGAAACGATGTCGTGATCGGGAGCTCCGAACGCGAAATATCAAAATTGCCCACCCGAAGCGTCCAAGGTCGGAATCTAACCGGACAATGGACAGACAAGACAAAGCTAAAGACCAGGCTAATTCCAGGACCGAAGATGCACACTACTTAGATCTGTCCCTGCTTCCAAGAAAACACAGATATTGGATGGTTGTGTGGCTTGAGCGGCGCACCGTGCGAATGGGAAAGGAGCAACAACTGGAAAGACCGCGCGAGCTGTCCACGGGAGAATATCTATAAATCCGGGAAACAAAAAACAAGAAAAAAAATAAAAGGAAGCGCTGAGGGAGTTTAATGGAACAGCGTCGTCAGAGAGCGAGCGGGTGACACGAGTTCTCATCGCCCGTGGGTGTTGATGCAGGCTGATCATCATCACTAGCACAGGCCCCAGGAGGCAACCAGGCAGGGGGGTGGGGGAAAGCACTAGCATACACAAAGGTCGGCGAAGGACAGATTACCCACCGTCCGACATGGAAAGCATCCAAACAACCAGTCTAACACAGGGAACACGCAGACGATGGCGGCAGCTGATCCACCAAAGATCGCCAAGGGCAAAGGAGGGCAAGCCAGAGGACAGAGGGTCGTGTAAAATTGCTGCAGGCCCCGAGGAGATCCTTTCAAAGCAGCATGCAATACGCATACATGCGCGGAGGGGAGTCTAGTCTACTCTGAGTAGTTTAAAGAGGCACCAGGAGGGACAAAGCTTGTCAGAAACCAAGCTGGCGTAAGAGAACCGTTTCGGTGGGTTGGTCTGGAAGCGACGAAGATGACGATGTGCCGTGGGGCAGCGAGGATTCCGCCCACCGGCGGGGCCCACGGGTTAAGCGTGTGGGCAACATTATCCGACCGGTCGAGCCGCAGATGCTCGCTCGTGTAGATCACTCAATGTTTGACCGGATGGATGAAATGGTGGGAGGGTGGAAGGGCTGGAAGAGGGAGAATTTGGGTTAGTGAGACACGACAACCACGACACCATAACGATACTGTGTAGAAACTAAAGTTGATGAAGAAGTGGACTGGAAGAGTAGGTCAAGTTCAAGTCTCCATCTGATAATTATTGCCCAAGGCAGACCGCCCACCGACGAGGAGATTTCGACGGGATCGCCGCCAATCAGAGAAATCCCAGGGCAATGGAGACCCTCAGCGCAGTGGACAAGTCCAAACCAATGGGATGAACGGCAGAACACGCCATCGCAGGGGTTGATGATGAAAACCTTTTATTTGAGGGAGTGTCCACGTGTGGGTTCGCCATGACAAGAGAGGAGTGAAAGTAAGAGGTGCATGAGTGCATGATTGAGGTAAGGCTTGTCTAAATCTGTTTGCTCTTACAGCCTGCATCAGCATTGGCATCCTTCTAGGCTTTTACTACACACATCTGTGTGACAGGACTGGCAAGATGCCAGATTTAAAAAAAAAATAAAATAAGAGACTGCTGAGTAAGCCCATGTTCGCTTCGCTTTGCCGACAAGTCTTGGCAGGTCGGGAAGAGTACGTACGCTTCAGGAGATGAACGTACGTATACCGCACTTACTCCTGTCGAAGTCAGAGTCAGTGCTTCTTGCTTCTGTTGATGATCGGTGTAAACACGCGCATGAGTCTTTACATCTTACCCACGGGGAATAAAACTCAAATGGGATGGGACAGGTCGAACTGCTAAGCACACAAACCACACTAAATGAACTACACTACTATATGAAGCTGGGCAACCGCTTGCAGAAGCCATTTCTCACGCTGACCCTCAAATTAACCACCGGGTCTAAACACCCTCGCGCAATAAATCTGCCAATCACACCATCCTCAACTTCTCTTGACTTGCTGCAGGGCCTCCTTAGCTACGTACGGAGACTCTGAATCCTAGTACTTTCGATGCGCCCCAGTATTGCGCCATCAATCTTATCGTGGTGACATGATGGCTATGCAACCCACTCAAGCAGTCACATTGTGCAGAACACCAGACCATTGGATAGAAAGTCAGAGTTCGAGCGTGGCAGCCATGCAGCCATGGCTTGATGTTTTTTCAATTGCATCCCAAATGATCCACTCACGCCCCTCGTATATCCAACCCAGCCCCAATCTCTTGGAGATTCTTTTTTTGCTTTGAGATCTGGCAGCTTTTTGCTTTCTTTCTTTCTTGCTCCGAGGGCGGCGCTGGCTCCACCATGGTAACCTGTCAGATGCCTCGCCAAATCGAAAAGCCTATTGCCAGATAACTGTCCATTAGATTATACAAGTAGTACACTAACCACTAGAGAGCCACATCCTTGCTGAAAGTTCACGGCGGTATGTCCGCCACATCACGGACTGTGTATGATTGAGGGACCAACCCCGAAAGGACCGAACCAGCATGGGCGCAGTGCTACTGCAGTCGCCACAGAGGACGACTCGAATGAAAGCCCTTAAGACGAGTCGCCGAAAACCACTGGTTCAATCTCGGACATAACCCAACATCGGACATCGTATTCCCTCTGAGCTAGTCCTTATTGTCCCGCGAGCACGACATCCTAATTCATTCCCATCGAACCCCAATCGCAAGATCGAGCTCGGCTGGATGGTTCTCATGTGAACATACTGCTTTGGATTGAACAACCTTCTCACCTCACAATCTACCAATCAGTAGGGTCTCTTAGCCAGGAGACATGGAAAGTCAATGCTTCCGAACACGAGATATCCTGCCTTGTTGGAACTCCTGTGCCGCAATCATCGTCCATAGGATGTGGTATCCAGAACCTAAGACTTTTGCGGCCACTCGTGATGGCCCAAGGAATGCTTCGATGGGAACTACCACTATTGCCTGTGCCGAACTCGGCTAGGATGAAGCTGAAGCTGAAGCATTCACAATCCCGGGTACGGAATGGCTCATGGCCGTCAAGGATGGCGTTTCTGCTCCATGACGAATCTGAGGTGATTGATCTCGCGAATGAAGCCCACGACCGCAGCAGCATCCCTGGGAGATTATGCAAGCGGTAACTGGAAGACCCGTCTATGCTGTGCTGCACACTCGTAGCGTCATGACGGGTTCTCTGCGATGCAGGATTGAGACCTAGCAGGAGTCTAGGATCGTAGACCACCCTGATCCTTTGCCACCACATTGTATTTATCACATTATGGCATCATGATGGAATAGAGCCGAGCTAGAATACCTCGACAGGCGTTTCATGTCCCTCTATTCCGTTCCAACTCGTCTACCCTGCATGGATTTTGCACCTAGAAGCCTGGGTCACGTTTAGACTAACGCTGTATATAATACTAGCAGTACTAACAATATAATCTCTAATACTTGGCTCTTACTCCAACTGTGTGGTCCTACCAGACAACTCCTTAACAGCAAATTCATGGTTACTACCACTTTTAGATAATATATCTAACAACTTTTATAAGTATCTTTGCAATATCTGTAAGTTTATCAGTACTGTATACTATTTTATGCCCCTAAAAAAATAAGAAAATAATCAGTAGAAGGATTGGATTTTAAGAATTGAGAAGACTATTGTAGGATCGTTTACTACTGCTTATCGCGCCGCAGCCCAGAAACAGTAGACCCACCACTGTTGCGATATCAATTATGCAGGCAGTCTCACTGCTATTATTACACATTTGAATCACTACTCTGGCTTTGGAAAGCCTCACACGGGTTGCAGCCCCTGGGTGGGTCGACTCGTCTAAGGTCTGTTCTTGAGGAATAACAAAATAGTCGATTGAGAATACATTGACAACCTTCGTAAGACTATAGTCAGTCAATATCATGGGTCCTGGTATTTCCGCATTTAGTAGCGTCAACTAAGCGAATCGGAGTGAGCTTAAGACCAGAACAACAGATTCGCTTTACAAGACTTATGTATTCACGGACGGACTGTCAAGATGTGAAAGAATCGCGAAAATCCACCTTTAAGGCTGAAATATTAGGCTGTGTTACTCTCTCACAATGAAACCTCCTCCACCCCAATCACAGCGACCCCTCCATTGAGATGTCAAATCACGAAAACTCAGCTTTTAGACTGGCTCTACTGAAGACGTGTTGTTTGGGACGCGGCGAGACATTGTTAGTGTATTACTATATGACTAGTCCAGATCTTTCTGATCTAACTATGTTATCTTAGGTTGTTGGCTGCAAGATACTTCAGGTGTAGGTGTGGTCGTCCGGTGGTAAATAGGGTTAAACTGGATTGAGGATAAGAGCAAACTTCAATAAGCAAGGCCTCGCGAACCAACTCACGACAGGGCTAGGGGAACCGGAGAAAAAGCTCTGAGATACAGGAGAAGCAGAAGAAAAGCAGCGCATATACCAGAAACAGGGAACCAAATCTATCATCTCAGTGCAAGGTGACTCTTGCCATTTGGCGCAGTTGGGAGCCCTCCCTTACTTATAATAAAATATCATGCGGGCATCCATTTAGAATACCCAACCTCAACGCCAGAATTGTACAAAGGTGGCTGCAGAACATGTGAGACTTTCGGCTATCACAATTGACCACACAGGATGAATCTCTGACGGGTGTAGACAGCCATACTGACTTCGAGACGAGTAGCAGGGAAGAGAGTCTCGGTTTCGCTTCACCCAAAAAGGGCTACTACACTCCAGCATTCCTGTGGGATGCAAAGATATCCCTGCACACCCCGATCTTGCTTGCCGGTCAACAGCTATCATTGGTGGATGTTCGATATCATATCTGCAACTGTTCTGCAGAAGTTGTCCGTTTTATAACCAGTCTGTATGCTAAGCGCGAAGACAACAATTTCCGAGAAGAATACAACCACCCCCGTCAATCCGAACAGTGAAGATGGCATATGATGGACTTTTCGGCTAGATCCAACCGTTCAAGCATGCGTGGATAAACGACTCCTTCCCCACAGTAACCCATAGGCCCTTGACTGTCGGAGTGGGGTCTACTCCTTGTATGTCTTTTCTTAGATATCTGTTACAGGCAGGGGCGGTTGGATGAGGCTTGAGTTTCTGGCACAGTGAGCGGCAGGTCGTTTTGCAAGACGAATGCGGCGTGTTGTCATAATGAGCCGGTATGGTTGAGGTTTTCTATTCAGGTAGGGATTTGACCATGCTAATTTGGTGTATAGTTTGTTGTTGGGTTTCTGAATATTTGCGCGAAGAGCAGTGGGAGCAATGGCAACGGGAATGGCAGTGGTACTGGCGGCGGTCATAGAAAGTAAAGGTAATCGTAGCATACGCAGGCAGCACCGAGGAATAGTTCAGTTTCGTCTCCTCAACGTGTTCTTACCCCTCTCCCACCAGAGAGCACCAGAAACCTATAAATACAGATTGTGATCCTCACAGTCAGACTCGCAATCCGTCTCACACCCTTCCACATGGCGGCGGAGACTGCGCAGCCCGCGGCCATCCAAGCTGTCCGGCCAGCTCGTGTACCAGTCCAGAAACTCCGGGATCGAGTCAAAGCGCGGCCGCCGTCCGTAGAGTACCTGCGGCGGCTCGAAGGTCGTCGCCTCGTGCTCCATAAAAACCACGCGCCATACCCACTCCCGGATCTGGGGAGCGTCCGAAATGCCTTCATCCGGGAGCTCAATCCCCTCCATATCCTCCTCGGAACCCTTCCGGCAGTAGAGGTACGCGCTGTACCACTTTGGATATTTCCCCGAAGTAGCCGGTGCCCATGACCACGCCCGCCCGCACCTCCTATTCCACATCCGGGCAGGCCGGGATTTTGGCCTTGTTGATCAGGTCCGAGGTGTGCTCTGTCTCCAGCCGCTCCCGCAGCCACGCACAGTCCCGGCGCACCTGCGCTTTGTACTGGTCCCGCTGCGCCGGCGTGTCCAGGCCCGGGAGGGGTTCATATCGGCCGCCTAGCACAACAGCCCGGCCTTAAGGGGCGCGACGCCTGAGTGGCGGAAATTCGGGGTCTTCCACCTCGTGGGCATACGTCAGGAGTCGGCCCAGCTCCTCACAGCAGGAAACGGCGGCTCGGAAGCGAAATCCTCGCCCTCGGCGGTCGCCCACTCCTCCGCCTGCTGTTGGAACACGTCCTGCAGGGTGTGTCAAGTAAGATCCGGCGGGCTTCCGGCGTGCGGAGCCGCGGCGGGTGGATCCCGTCCAGGGCGAACAGGGGCCGCGTGCCCTCGGCCAGCAGCGCGGGGCACAGCCGCCAGCTCCCGCGTCTGGCGGAACCGGTTGCTGGTGTGGCGCGCGGCGGGATTGCTGTGGCTGGCCGTCTCGTCGCGGTCCAACTCTTTGAACCGGCGCCACCGCTGCATCAGGCAGATTCGTTCCTTCTCGGTTGCGAGGCCGCGGGCGTCGATCTCCGAGATGCGGTCCTTAAAAAACCCTCGGTTAGCGGCCGCCATGCGCGTGCGGAACCGATCTACGGCTGCTGCATGGTCTTGTCGTTCCGCGTCGAGGGTCGACGGGTGGGTGCTGCTGCTGACCGAAGCGTTCGTGGACATATTGAGATTAGAAAGCCAACAAGGTTGCGCAGGCTTGATGCGACTTGGGAAAGGAGTGGTTGGCAATGAGTAGAAAGAGGGAATGGAGTTAGTTCTCTGGAATTGAGATGATACTCAGGATTTATTTCATCTTGTCTTCCTAATTACGTGCTGGGAACCCTACTACTACTCTATAGGTTCTGAGTATATACTACTCTTGGAGTCTAGAAGACCATACTATAGAAAAATAAATCTAATTATAAGTAAGAATCAGATCTATAGTTAGTTTAGCTTAGCGTAGGGCCCTGATTATTCCTAAGGTACTAAGTATCCTTAGATTCTATTACAGCCTAGACTTGGATACTATTAGTATAATAATATCTCTGCCCCTACTAGTAACTTTTTTCTAATACTATAGAGCCTTGCTATAAGAAACCTCAGTGATTTTAATTTCCATATATTGTAAATTTTTTAAAGTATTCTTTGCATATATTACGAGATTAGATCTAGAGACTCAGGCTATTTCTATATATAAATTCTTTCAATGTTATAAAAGAACTAGACTAGCTTAGATAGATCATATATTTAGTATGAGTACTTAGAGTCAACTCGCAAACAGCAATGACGAGTGCCGCATTCATCAGACCTGACATCACAGGCGACACATTTTGCTCTTCATCTTGATTCTGGGGATCCGCGATCAACACGAACGCAAGTTGCGGGGCAAAAGCGCTATTCCAAGTTACTTCGTGACTGCATATATCGAAACACCTAAGACAGAATACGCAATAGTCCCCGATTAGATTCAAGATGACATTACCCCTCCCTGCCCCTCACGTTCCAAGCATATATTTGCAATCCACCATCATACACATACAATCGGTCTAGAAGAATGTCCTCTGTACACCTTGTGCTCTTGGCAGCACTGTCAGCTCCACACAATATACACATATTCCCATATCTAAGCTGCCTCAGAGATTGCCTAGTACGCATGTGTCTACAAGTTACAAAGGACAGCTCCCCTCCATCATAAGTCGATATCATGCAGGACCATAAGTTCAGCACACACACCCAGACAGACAGAGGAAGCGAAAGGAAATGTACTCAACTCAGCAGCCACCACAGCAAACCCGCTTCTCACGGGGTAACCTCGGCCAGCACCAACCGTTGAGCTCCCCTTTGCTATACACCATCCCTGCGTGACCAACCCACTGAACCCCGTCGTACTCCCCTTCACCATCACAAACCGTACAACATACCTGTACTCCATCCATATAAAAGCCCCCTTCCCCGCAAACCAAATCCCAGACTGAATCAAACAAAGCCCTCCAGCTTCCCGGTGGGACAAAAAGTAAAGAAAACCTCTTCTCCTTCAAAACCAAGCCCCATCCTCGCCGATGGGCAGAACTGGCTGAACCCTGTACAGTACAAACTCCTAGTCCAGTCTCCCACCTGTCGAAACCATCCCTTCTTTCCTGACAAGGCCTAGACCTGCCCGGAGACAAGCGGTTACTATGTAGAGTAAGAAGATTACCATGCGCGGACAAACTCACGCAGGAGCAATATCAAAACCCCCCACTCCAACCTGAAACCCAGAGGAGCGTCCTGCAAGACCCCGGGCTGGTGTACAGTCCATACAAGGCCAGATAAACACTCCGACCAGAGTGGTTGAGCTCTATCAATTTGAGGCCACAAGTCGATGGAAACAAGGGCAGGGGACAAAAATGGGGGTGGTGAGATTCGCTCGATTTAGTGTGTGTGTCCTGGATCCATCTATCATGTTGGTCTATCTGGTACCAGAAGGTGGAGTGTGCGGGTTAGGGTGACTTATTAAGTACATGCAAACATACAGCACGATAGGCTGTCCGTTTTATCCAGGGTTCTGGTATTCTTGCAGCCAACCTAGGGCTGGCTTGCTTCAAGGCTGGTTCTTGGAGTCTCATCGCGAGGTCTGTCTCACCTTCTCTATAAACTTTTACACAAGGTTTTGTGAGCGATCTGGGGGAAGAAGGTTTCCTTGGCTGGGAAGAAGTCCAACGGTTACGCGACTCTTGATTTGACGTCTTGGACTCTTAAGGCTGGTGTTGGGTGAAAGTGCTTAAGTGATGATAGAGTCCCTCCTCCGCATCATCGTCGTCTGCCGCAATAGGCTCATACTGAGAATTGTGCGATCACTCTGATATGCTGCTGGACACGCCTCATCGTTAATTTCGCAACAGTGTTAGTAAAATAAGGGCACAGCTCATCAATCCGCACAATCTACGTAACTACAATCAATATAACGGATATAGTGAACTGCGCTCGCGAGTGGAGCGTCACATGCAATAACCAGAATCATGCCGATAGTCTATGGAATTTAAGAAACAAAACAATCAACCTTGTCATCTCTCACATGTCCTTGCAATGACGCCCCTTCTCAGTCCCATGCAAGTATGAAAAGCAGCACATCGCAAAGAGAGTGGCTCGCTCTGTGAAACCTCTCATGAGTCATCCCACTGAGCCCTGGCCGACTTCAAGCCTTCCGCGAGCGAAGCATGTAGTCAAGGAACAGGGGGAAAACGACATTAAGCATGGGGAAATTTTAATAGGGTCGTAATGGAATGGATCATGGGATGAACAGGAATGCAAGAAAAGGAAAGAAAAGAAATATCCATTGTCATCTTCCGAATTCTTCAATGCAAACGCCATCGCAAGAGTCAATGTCATCACATAAAACACAAAAGCAAAACCGAGCAACAGCACCAGGGCAGAAACCCCCCACATGGTATCATAAGCGAATCTCAGAAAGCCCCAGCGCATCATCATCATCTTATACTGTCCAACCCGAAGAGAATTTACTGAGAGGCGCACTGCACACGCTCAGCACCGGGAGGAACGTCATCCTCATCCTCATCCATGGAGTTGGCAGCTCCATGGGCACGTGCCTGGGAGTACTCGCTGGAATCGATGTCTTCGATCTCAAAGTCCTCAACCATGGCATCAGCCGCGGGCTTGGCCTGCTCCATGCGAGGAGGCAGGACTTGTTCGAGCAATTCAAGATTCTTGAGCTGGTCTTTCTCGGGGAACTTGACGTCGAACTGGATGTACAGGTTGCCATAGTCGTGGTGGCGGTAGGAAGGCATACCCTGGCCCTTGATGACCTTGATGGCGCCTGAGAGAGATGTTAGCAACTCGGTGGGCAACATTCGGACGGGGATTACTAACCAGGGGTGATAACCTCCCCAGGGGCGATGTTAACAGTCAACCACCGGTCGTCCAAGTGCTCAATGTTGATGGTACCACCGGCGAGGGCAGTGAGGAGGTCGATCTCAGCCTGGTAGAAGAGGTCGTCATCCTTACGCTGGAAGCGAGGGTGTGGCTTTTGCTCGATCTCAAAGACAACATCACCGGGCATAACGCCGGGCATCTGGTCACCCTCGCCGCGGAACTCGATCTTCTGTCCGTTCTTGACACCCTTGTCAACGTGGACGTGAAGGACCTTGCGCTCAACCACGGTCTTCTTGCCGTTACAGCGCTTGCAGCGGTCCTTGTCGCGGACGATCTCACCCTCACCGTTACAGTCAGGACAGACAGTCTGGAAGCGCTGAATCATAGGACCCATCTGGCGCATCATCGTCTTCATACCGCTACCGTTACAGCCCGTGCAGGACTTGACGGCGCCCTCTTTACCACCGCGGCCGTCACAGCCGGAGCAGATAACGGACTTCTGTAACGCAAGCTTCGATACCTTACCACGGTAAATGTCCTCGAGGTTGACCTTGTGGACGTGGTGGATTGTGCGAGCCTTCTTGGGACCCTGATCGCGCATGCCACCGCCGAACATGCCTCCGAAACCACCACCGCCGCCGAAGAACTGGGCGAACAGATCCTCAGCACCCATACCGCCGCCGGCACCGCCATGCTCGAGACCCTCCTCACCAAGCTGATCGTACAAAGAACGCTTCTGAGGGTCTGAAAGAACTTCGTACGCGTGGGACAGCTCCTTGAACTTCTCGGCAGCTTCCGGGTTGTTTGTGTTCTTGTCTGTTCGTGAGAGAAGACACTGGTTAGTGCACCGAACGATCTAGACGGCACACTTGCGACTGGAAAAACACGTACCCGGGTGGTATTTCAAGGCACCCTTTTTGTAGGCGGACTTGAGTTGGGCCTCAGTGGCCGAGGGGTCAACCTAACCGTCTCCCTGTCAGTTCGCGTGTTCAGGTGAAAACTCAAATCCAGAGCAAGACCTACCCCGAGGACGTCGTAATACTTGGTTTCCTTAACCATTTTGAAATGAATCCGAGACTCTGAAGCAGCGAAGGATGGAAGAACTTGGGTGATATGAAATCAGAGTAAACTTTTCGAAAGGGAAGCAAGAAAGCAGGTTCAGTCAGATAAGTCTACAACTCAGGGTATTGGAAGAAGCGGAGAAGAACGAAAACAGGGATCAAAAAATGCCGTCTTTCGAGCAACGAAACGCGCACAGCCACTAGATGTAGAGGAAAGAAGGAAGTGGGGGTTGAGGAGAGACGGAGAGGGGAGACTGTGAGAGAAAGAGGAGCAGAGAGGAGAGAGAGTGGGATAAGAGAGCCGGTAGTGAAGCAGATACTGATCGGGGATTATCAAAGCCAGCCTCAGCAGCGGCGAAGAAAGAGTAGGCGGAGTAGGCTGGTAAATTACTGGTAACAGGCACCGAATTTGCCAAGCGTCCCGAGCGATCTGAAAGATTTTGATACCGGAGATACGATGTGGCGAAACTCCGAGAGTATAGAAGATTCCGAGATTATAGAGAGATGGATTAAGAGGATTAAAATGAAGGAGGATGCAGAAGCAACTAGAAGACAGAGAATGATTGATACCTCAATCCCGATGCTTCCAGGCTGCTTTTGAACCAATTGTCTCTACAAATGGTGGCTTCCCCGACTGAATGGTGATGTTCTCGTGGTTTCGACTACCTCCGTCACCCGCGGCTTTCATGGCCCGAGCGCGCTTGGGAAGGCTTTCCATGTCTTTCGGTCAACTTCCATGGCTTTCGATCCCTTTCCATCTCTTTCCCCAGCCCCAACATCAGGCTGCCAGGTGGGTAATCTACGACATCAGACTGGATAATCGCTCAAAATGATAGTAAAATAAAAAGAGTGCAAAGAGAATCAGAGGTTCGATACTGATAAGAATCCCGGCTTTGCTGTGTAGTGGAAGACAGTCTGTCTGTTCTGTCCGTCGCATGGGTGTACTGTACAGTACTACGTGACGCTGTTCACTATCGAGCCACACCGCTGAGCTGTCTTCAGGTTGAACTGCCAGCAGAAAAGTCTTAAAAGTTGTTCTCCGCCTTGCCCACTGTGGCGCTACAGCCACATCACTGCACCTCGGCCACATTGCATTCTATGTCCCTGCCTCAGGACTCCATGAATTCCTAGTGACCAGGCGGCAGTCAGGGCTAGGCTAGCACTACTGTGTAGCCTTAAAGTAAGCTCAGTAAGGAAGGAACTATGGCTGCCCGCGCTCCGGGAGAGATGTTGTCTCCCGTGATGATCCACTCATCTGTTTGGTCTTTTGATGCTTGTTCGGTTCTGTGCGTACTTTGTAAATGTGTAGGAAAGTTCCCTGCCCATGCCTGCGTTTGCCACCCAGAAACAAAGAGGTACAATGAGCAATTGCCGATGATAACAAGTCTTCAGTGCATAGTTCTGGCTGTGAGAAGAACTCTGAGATCCGGACAACTTCATAAAGCACGATTTCATCGTCCTGCTGCGATACTAATGCGCCAAAAAGACTTGATCTTGAACCTCCGCACGCCAATCCAGCCTACTTTCACGTAGTGGCTTAGCTTAGCACATGATCGTGATGATGCCCCCCCTCTCGAGATGTTCTTCCCAAACTGGTTGATAATCTTTGGAAAGCCATGATGGATGAACCCCCCGGTCAGCCAGAGGAAACTCCAGCCTCTCGCCGGCGAAGAATCGTGTGGCCACATGATGAGTGGATCGGCTCGGTATGTCATCATCCATGTGCCAGGATTTTTGAGAGTCGAGGGCTGAGCGATCACAGAATTGCTCACGTCTAAATGGCGTTGAGACTAAGCCACACGCCTGGCCCCTTCTTCTTCTCGGTCCACACCTCACGTAGGTAGCGTGCACAAGTCATCTCGTGGTCTGGCCATAGACTGTTAAACCAGGAGGAAATCGGTAAAAATTCAAGGCATAGCGAGTGTTTCTGCCAGATGGTCTCAGCTTGCGACGCCGAGCGTTCCGTGTGGTGCTTCGCTTCGAAAGACTCTTCATGTCCTCCCAACAATTGCCATACAGGCATCTGCAAGGTGCGCCGGGCAAGAGCGCGACAACATTCAAGATGCGATTGCGAGAGGAATTATGGTCAATAACTCGGAAGAAGCAGTAGCACTGCAGCAAGCAGACTTGGTCCATCCAGCATCTCCCCTATATATCCTCCAAATCGGCAAGAGATCCAATGAAGTGCATGCCATCCCAGCCCGGACTCAGCTTAACCCGAACGATCTCCCCGACTCGTCATGGCCGATAGGTCGTTCAGCATGGTCGAGAGCTGCCCTCAAGCATACGATATAGTGACTGCATCTGGTGTTGTGGTTGCTATGTCGACGGATTCAATAGTGATCTTAAGATGCTCCTTGGGTAACGGGATATCGTTTGGAAGGTCGCAGTTCTCACAGATGTCGAAGTGTGCGATCATGACCACGGGGAGTTATGCTAATTGGGGCTGCGGGTTAGAGTACCCCTGCAAGGGAAGCACTGGGTTGGACATAAGTTACATATAGAATAGAATGAGTATAGTCAATTACGAAGATAACAGATAATATGAGATTCTACGATCACACTCCGAAGGGGGGGGAGCCTTGCGAGTAGTAATATAAGGCAGGGATCCGGAAAGACTCCGATCATCATACTGACAGAGAGAGACACTGGACCCTCCAGAGAGAGAGGGGTGGGGGGGAATTGAGTCCATTCACTAAGCCGCTGGATGAGACAAAGCTTTCCAGTTCCTCCTACCTCAATAGACTGCTTGCCAAGTGGCGTGGGGCTTGTATTGTTCACCTGACTAAGCCACAGTAACCACCGAGCACATACAAGTATATGGCTCTGATTATTGCTCCCGAACATTGATTTCTGTTATTCTGTAGTACGCTGCAGCAGCACGTTCAAACTGCCTCATCCGGAACTGCAGCTTCAATTCTACGCATCGCTCGCATGGGTTGCAACTCATGAAGCCAAACCGACAGACATCTTTTTCGGATTCGATGTCCAGAATCACCAACTTTCTCATCTCCTCTACCAGGCGTCGGTCCGCCATTTCAGTCCGGCACAGAGAAGCAGCCCACCCCGGAACTCTACCTTGAGGTCTTCGCCCCTCCTGCGTCGGTGATGTTCTGGGACTCTGACTCGGGCTTGCCGAGCATAGTTTGGCTTCCGTCCGATCACCCGTGCAGTCTGTGGTTCCTCCTGCGGTTCCTGATGATTGGACGCAGGAGAGCCGGCCTGAGCAGATTTATCTGAGGCGGACATGATTCAGAAACCTAAGGTAGTTCACAGGTGATGTATACACTATAGTTTCAGTATCGTTTAGACCCCAATCCTCTTCTTATACGTAGCGGAAATAGGATCCACCGCAATACCCCTGAAGAGGTACCTGGTTACCATACACGACCTGGCAGCACTTTAGGCTAAGAAAACACACTGACAGCTTCTCAGAAATGGTACACGAGGTTTGGGACAACACAAGGTATTGGGGCAAAGACCTCTGCTCAACACCGGGACACCGCTTGTTGTGAGCATGCGATCAAAACACCAACCATGTTATGTGCTTTACGGACTCAGGCATTGAAACGGGGTCCCGATGATCACCGTAGTGCATCACTTTGATGCTGAACGATGCAAGGCGATCTGGCGTCACAAGGCCGAAACATGCACTCAGACGCAGAGCTCTAAACCACCTATGAGGACAGGTGATAGCCCGTATTTATGCCCCCATCACCAAGCTATCCTAGCTGTCTGATTTGGACGAGCCCTTGACTGCTTGCTCTCTTCCTGCCTTGAGATTTGAAGAGCGAAAGCACGAATGAGGCGACATCAATCAGCAAGAGCAATGCTCTCCATCATTGATATGCCCACTGTCGGCAGGATGATGTTCTTGATCCGGCTCAGTGAGTACAGCTGCATAGCTTCTCGCTGTCCATCTCTCTGAGTTTGCCACAAACGATCAGTCTAGCATGGCTCAATTATGATTTGCGACAATCGTATTTGTTCCTCATCATTTTTAAGACGTCTACACGGACTCTCTCCCCCGACCTCAAGACCTTGGGCTGCTGGCTAAGCTGTCACGCCCGGATTAGTATATCTCACCTTTGCAACTAAAGGAACTGATATACAAGCGATCTGTGACCCACTCCATGAGCACAGAGGAAGAATTTCAGACCATCGCTCGCCAAACAGCCACCATGGCGCCCATCGCAATGTCTTCTAGCGAAACGCGTAGTCAAATCCCAGGACTTCACAACTTCCTCGCTGTTGAGGGGTCAATACAAGAACTCTAAAAGGTTTTCAGCAATCTACTACTCCTCGGAAGTGACGTTATCAAGCACGCGCTCGCGCAATATGTGGATTCCAGAGGGTTCAGTCCAGTCGTCTTTTCTTTCGGTGAGACACATTCAGCAAAAGCTTCATGCTTTTCGTTTTGGAGCCAGATTGGGTCCTGTATTCGGTCAAGGCGCTCCTCTCTGTTGCCGGCGGGCGTAGGCTTATGCCTAAGGCCGATTGTAGTTGCAAGGTCGTCAACGGCACAAGCGGTTACATGAGGGACAATACCAGTGGGGTACTAGGCCGACTAACGCGGGACTTCAACAAATGGATGGACCCCAGAACGCGGAGCAGGACAGATTAACTCCCAAGGAAGAAGTTGGTCGAGCTCAAGGGAGACGATGCGAACGCGGAACGGCCGCAGCAAGCAGGGCTTGTTGTTTCGGTGTACAAACCAATAGGCGATGAAGTCGGCGTAGTCAGACAGCGCCGTCGAGACTGGATAAAACGGATCGCGATCGGTGTAGTGCTGATTCAACTGGGCCTTGCCTTTGGATCACCTCTCGCATTCCGTGATTAGGGTACTCTCTTGATTACTGTAGCTGGGAATGTACTTGCCATCAAAACCGGCATTCTTCCACAATGGAGAGAGACATGGGCTTGCCGCCGGCGGGGCAAAGATCCGTATATTGTGATGCGCGGCAACGGCGCTCAACATGCCATTGTTGTGCTCGGAACTGGTGAAGGCTTTAACCTGGAGGATCTGGCTTCTGGAGGTGTGGATGTCGAGCTTGATTGGGAGACTCAAATTTTTCTTGCGCTTTACGCAGTCTTGTGGGTTGCGCTCCTCATCACTGCCGCCTGGTTTGATTCGCGAAACTGGTTCATTTTGATCATCGGACTGGTCGGCACTATTCAAAACGTCTTGGCGGCAAGCATGGCACGAACCCCGGAGGATTATGGCATTCCTCTCAAGTTTAAGACCTTGTACGGTGAGATAGGAGCGATGATTACTCTGTTAGCTGTTGAAAAACATTACCGACACATAGGACAAAGTATGTTGGGGGAGTTCTTTCCTGGGAAGCTCAAGCCCGAGGAGGAAAGAATTGGCAGAATCTCGAAGCCAGATGCCTCGAGAAGGAGGGTGGGGCTAACCCTCAAGACGATGGAGGTGAGAAAGACGTAGTAGATAGTGTGACTTTTGAGGAATAAGCTCGGTTGTGTGTGTAGTATGTACACGGAGTATGTAGTTGCCCAATACACACCACGGTAAGGGGACTCGGTTGACAAGTGAAGAGCGGGAGCAAGTCCATCATGACTTCGGCGATAAAAGATAAGATTAACCCCGAGTTGTAACTACGTACGGAGTACAGTGGAAGGAAAGCACTGCAATTTTGCCAGAGGTTAGCAACCCCCCTGTTTGGTTCGCAAGCGTGCTAGTAGGTAGCTCACCGCCTTCTCAACCTGTTGACAGCACTAGTTTGATAAAGATGCATTGGCTGATGGTGAAGTCCTGCCGGCAGAACTACACTCGACTGCTCCTAATTAGGAGAGCGGACGAACCACCCCACCTTATCATCGCAGGGAGGGGGGAGTTGCAAACTACTTTCCACCTACTGACTGTACCCGCACGCAGGGCTCTCGGTAAAAGATCTTTTCTCCCCCCACCACTTCCCCGGCATTTGAACAACCGATCTCTTCTAATTCCTGTTTCACACAGCGACCACAATCACAACAGTATCATCATGGAAACTGATCCTGGATTCATCGCCGCTCTGGAGGAGGCCAAGCAAGGGTTGGCCGAGGGAGGAGTCCCGATTGGAGCTGCGCTGGTGTCGAAGGATGGCAAGATCCTTGGTCGCGGCCACAACATGCGCGTCCAGAATGGCAGTGCCGTCTTACATGTGCGTTCGCATTAGCTCTCTTTTCGTCCGTCTGTCTGTCTGTCTGTCTGTCTGTCTGTCTGTCTGTCTGTCTGTCTGTCTGTCTGTCTGTCTGTCTGTCTGTCTGTCTGTCTGGGCTCTGGATCATAATTACTTATCGCAGTGGATCTAAACTAGTGCATGAGCCCCTGCATGACGTAGCCGAGCTGCAGACCAGACTGGGCTGGACTACCTAACCTTAATTGACTGACACTCTCCGATCTGCAATCCTTAGGCTGAGATGTCTGCGCTCGAAAATTCGGGTCGTCTGCCCGCTTCGGCCTACGAAGGTGCCACCATGTACACCACCCTCTCGCCATGCGACATGTGCACCGGTGCCTGTATCCTCTACAAGGTGAAGCGCGTCGTTATTGGAGAGAACAAGAATTTCATGGGCGGTGAGGAATACCTTCTCAACCGTGGGAAGGAAGTCGTGGTCTTGGATAACAAGGAGTGTAAGAAGTTGATGGAGGACTTCATCAAGGACAAGCCAGAGCTCTGGTAAGTTGTGACTTGGCTTGGTAACATTGTTTTGCTTCTATCATATATAATTTTGTGGCTGTTCTCACCGAAGGTGTGCCGGACTGACTGCTTTTACACAAACAGGAACGAAGACATCGCCGTATGAGGAAGTCGAGAGAGAAGATTGGCGGATATATAACAGTGAAAAATCCCAAAATGTATATAGTAAAGAGACCAAATGAGTCATAACCCACGTCAAGCGACGATCTCACGCCGCCGTCAAACGGTGAATCTCTTCGAAGTAGAATTTGAGATCATCAGGGTTGACGAACGGAGTAATGCCTAATCATCACCACTAATGTCAGTAGACGCAAGGTTACGATGCTCAGGAGTGTATATCTCACCATGGCCCAGGTTAGCAATCCAACCCTTCTTGTTCGTCCAGAATCCGCGCACCATAGTCTCCACAGCCTCGGTGATGGCCTCGCGGGTACCGTAGAGAACTCCCGGATCAGCATTGCCCTGCAGCGTAACGCGACCGTTGGCGATCTTCTTAGCCTCTGCAGGATCATGTAGCCAGTCCAGACCAACAACATTGTACCCCGACTCGCACAGATCCTCCAATGCGAACCAAGCCCCCTTCGCGAAAACAGTCATAGGGACAGGCTCCAGACCCATCTCCGTCAACTTCTTCGGGAGGTTCTGGGCGATGTACCGCAGGTAGGGAAGAGAGAACCTGCTGAAGGCCACAGGTGACATCTCCCCCGCCCAGGAGTCAAACACCTGCACCAGCTGCGCGCCGGCCTCAACCTGCAGCGCCAAGTACTCGACGCAGATCTCAGCGATCTTCTGCAGCAAGGCCTTCGACTCCTCTGCATATCTGTAGATCCACTTCTTCGACTGAACGAAGAGCTTCGTTCCACCGCCTTCGACCATGTAACACAACAGGGTCCAGGGCGCTCCGCAGAATCCGATCAACGGCACGCGGCCGGCAAGCTTGTGACGGGTGAGCGTGATAGCTTTGTAAACGTAGTCTAGCTCGGCCTTGACGTCCACCTGCTTGTGCATCACCTTCTCATACTGGCCATCGTCCGGCGACTGCAGCGGTTGCGGGAAGTGCGGGCCCTTCTTGTCAACCATCTCCACCTGCATGCCCATGGCCTGGGGAATCACCAGAATGTCCGAGAAGATGATCGCTGCGTCGATAAGTCCGGCGTATCGCTCAATGGGCTGGAGAGTCAAGGTGGAGGCGATCTCGGGGCTGCGGCAGCATTCGAAGAAGTCGCGGTTGCCCTTTGCTTCGTGGTACTCGGGTAGGTAACGGCCAGCTGTAGCAGGACAGGCATCGGGGTTAGATTACTACCGCATGTTCCGATGCCTCACACAGGTCTGTGAGTGAGAGAAAACATACCTTGCCGCATGACCCAGATCGGAGGACGAGGCACCTCCTCGCCTAATAGAGAATTAGCTTGCGTCGGGAACGGGCTCGTATTTACGTTTGGGGCTACCTTTGGCAGCCCTCAGCAGGAGGTCATTCTTCAATGGTGCAAATTGCTCAGTCATTTTGGCTGTGAAAGATATGTTGAGGAGGAGGGGGGCCTTAGGAAGGAGGGGCTTCGATTACATGCGCAGGCCCTGCCGCTCGGTGCCTCGGGCCGCCGATCGGCTGATCACCGCTGACTACGCGGAGGTGAGATGGACTACGGAGCACATAAGTTACCTGTGGATGAACAGATCACAGCATGCAAGGGCAAAATTCATTAAAAGAGCTACTCATTAGATGAGAATCCAAAAACAATAGTCAAGAAGGCAAGAAGTGAACTGAATGTAGATATTCGATTGCTAGCTAAGATTCGCTCTTAAACACTCTATCCCGATCTCTCCAATCGTAAAACGGCGACAATCAGGAATAGATGTCACAATATTCCCGAATTCCTACAAACTCATGACTCCGACCTACAGATAGCCGGGAACAGAGAGCTCAAAGAGTACTGTCAGAGCACGAAGTTGGCTTTACGTCCTACGACAAATCATGACGAGCCGACGTAGACCTATGTTCAGATGTTGTTAGCCACAATGTTGTCAAGAAAGTGCAAATGACAGAAGTAAGAGGGTAACAAGGGTGTCAGCAAAAAATTAGAGTGTAAGTTGTTGCTGTTTTTGATCTTCAAAGCCGTAGCTACGAGTTAAAAAGGATCATCATTCACCCGGGAAAGTTGTGCATGAGAAAAAAAAAATATGTAGTAACAGGTCTTGCTCACCTTAGTTGATTCGTCAGATAATGGAGCGTAGCCTACGTTCCAAAATCTATACGAGAGATCGATCACAACGTTCTTGACCATGAAAATCATTTTCATTCATCCAATCGTCAAGACTGGAAAGAAAGATATCTAAAACATGGCAATCGTATCACGTTCAGAATTGACGCGAGACGTTTAGTCGAAGAGACCGAAGCCCATGTCCTCATCGGACTCCTCAGCCTCCTCGGCGGGAGCCTCGGCAGCGGGGGCGTCACCACCAGCAGGGGCGGCGGCGGCGGCGGGAGCGGCGGAAGCGTAAGCATCGGGGTTGGCGATACGGTCCTTGAGCTCCTCAATCTCGGGCCAGGAGATCTCAGTCTCGATGGCAACAGCGAGAACCTTCTTGTAGCTGTTGACCACGGAGTGGATGACAGAGGGAAGGGTGGGGAAGTTAGCGGCCAAAGAGATGCTGGTGATGGTCTTGATGGCAGCGCTGAAGGCATCGAGAAGCTGGGACTCCTCGATGTCGAGAACCTCGGAACCGAAGGTCTGACCCTGGTCGTAGACCTGAGCGATGGTCATACCGTAGGTGAAGGGAGAGATGTTGAGCATGTTCAACAAGGTGGCCTCAGAGGGGCCGACCTTGGCACCAGCCTCAACAAGCTTCAGGTCGGTGGTGATTTCAATGGTACCACGAGCAATCTTGGTGGGGACACCGAGAGCCTGGAAGAAAGAGGTCTTACCGGGTTCCATACCGGTGTTACCAGCGGGAATCCAGACATCACCGGGAGCGACAGCACCGGCACGAGCGGGAGCAGCAACACGGTTGGCAAGGATCTTCTCCTTGGTGGCCTTGAGGTCACCGCTGGTGAAGATGAAACCAACGTTGCCTGTGGCATTCAGTCAGTCAATCAGCCGTTGTTGCCAAGCAGGAAAATTCAAAACCTACCCTTGACGAAGGGAAGCAGACGCTCGTACTCGGGGTTGTCGTTGACGAAGCCCTTGATGGCACGGCGGACCTGTTGTTGTCAGCATGCTTTTCCAAGGCCAATTGAATGGAAGGGATTTTAGAGGGGACATACCATGGTGTTCTTACCCATCAGGACGACACCCTCACCACGCAGAGAGACACGGATCTCGTGCATCTGCTGGGAGCTGACATTGTCGACACCGACAATGAAGACCGTCTTGTACTCATCGAGAAGGGCCTTGAGCTTCTCGAAGTAAGCGGCCTTGCTAGCAGACTTGCCCCCCATTTCTCCTTATTTCGCTGAAGAAAGGCTGTTTAAGGGCAAGGGAATAGTTCTTGACGTTGTTGTTGTCCGAATAAATCGAAACGTTGAAGTTCGAAGAAACAATCGCGCCGAGAATTTTGGGAAATCCTTAGTCGGTTGTGGCCTCGCTAGCCGATAAATCACGTGGGCCCCGCTCCGCGCCTGGCTTCCATTTCTTTTTTAGTTGGCGGTGTCGCATGCGGTGTCGGGCTTCAAGGCGGTGAGGTGTTTTTTTTCTGCCACGTCAAGTCCCCTCTACCAAATCGCAAGTGGGATGGGTCAAGGTTGCTTTCTGCGATTGCTCCTAATTTCATATCTTGTTGGAGTTGAACCACCATCCCTGAGCTCCCCTTACAGCAGTAAATCATGGCTGTCAATTTTCAACATCCATTTCAATGCGTTCAATACGTGCAAAGGCCGCAGGCCAAGCTACTGCTCGTCTCCGCTGGGCCCCGGCTGTATTCCTACTCTGCCGAAACTGGCCAGCGACTTGCGAGCTGGCCGCAAGATACTGGCTCAAGTGACCAAGAACCTCCGGAGAAGAAAAGGAAGGTCTCCTCGTCGGAGTCTGGACCACTTGAGGAGGGTAAGGCCGCAGAGAAGAATGAGAAGGCGAAGACCGCGCCTGCATGGTCGAATATACCTATTGTAACCAGCACATCGAACGGCGAATATGCCATCGCTGTCACTGGAGAAGACAAGTGCATCCGCGTTTTCCAGCTTCAGGACGATGGATCTCTCAACCAACTCAGCGAGAGGTACGCGCACTCTAGGACCCTGCCTATAGACCAGAACGAAACCCTTAGGGACCGCTAACGCATCCGAACAGAGCCATGCCCAAACGACCATCCTCCATCGCATTGACCAGCGATGAGACCACGATCCTATGCGCAGATAAATTCGGAGACGTCCACTCTCTACCCCTCATCCCCACCACCGACAAGCCCGCCGTGGCTCCCCGACCGAATCGGGAGGCGAAACTCAGTCATCCAGCCGCCACCAATTTGACCGTGCACACCAAAGGCAATTTGCGAGCCCTAGAACAGCAACTCCTCCTCGCCAGCAAGAAAAAGGAGGACGGGGAGGAAAGGTCAGTGGGTCCGTCCTTTGAGCACCACCTTTTGCTCGGCCATGTCTCGCTGCTTACCGACATGGTCTTCGTCTCCCTCCCCTCCGAAACTCACAAGCGCACCTACATTTTGACCGCGGACCGCGACGAACATATCCGTGTCTCTCGTGGCCCGCCCCAGGCGCACGTCATCGAAACCTACTGCCTGGGTCACACCGCATTCATTAGCAAGATCTGTGTGCCGCAGTACGCCCCCGAGTACCTTATCTCCGGCGGAGGCGACAATTACCTAGTCGTCTGGAACTGGGCCGAAGGCCGTGCTCTCCACAAAGTTCCCCTGGTCGAGAACTCATCCGCCGCTGAAGTGGTTGTCCGCGGAATCTGGGCTACCACCATCGGAGACCTGCGACTCGTTCTTGTCGCGCTTGACGGGTAAGTCTCGCTATCGCGCCTGTAACACATGAAACCAAGTGCCCCATATGACAAAAAAAACAAAAGCACAACTTTTGAAGAACAAAATCCAATGACTAACCTTCCTGGACACCCGCAGGTCCCCTAAACTCCTCTGCTTCACCCTCGAAGCCGACGGCGCCCTCAAGCCCCAGACCCCTATCGACCTCACCGGCAACGTTCTCGCCGTAACCCCCCTCGAGGAAGACAACACTATCTTCATCTCCGTCGACTCGATCCGCACCGCGGGCTCGATCCAGGAATGGCGCGCTAGCAGCAGTTCCCTTACCCCTCCTACCCTGATCGAGGCGTTCCGTCCTCAACAAGGCTCTGAGGGATCCTCGCTGGCCTGGGAACCGGCCCTCAAATCCGCGACGGACGCCATTAACGCCGCCGGCTCCGTGGAGGTCCCGGCTACCACTGAAGACAAGAGACGAACGGAGCTGAATGACTTGTTGTATGCCATGAGCAAGCTGCGCAAGACGCCGAGGGGCGGAGATGACGAGTAAGGGGGAGGGAGGGGTCCAAGAACCAAAGGAAGAAGTGCATTCAAAACATGTATACCCCGCTTAGTAGATATATGATACACAGTCGAGGAGCTTTTGTTTGAAAACTACTCTGTATACATCACTATAGATGATGTCATTGTACATAGGACACTATATCATGATACTATGATACTCTGTGCTAGTTACCACAAAGCTTTTTCTTCGGGTTCATACAGGAAATCATAGATCACAGCCACTGATTGATGAGTGGACTGCACCTTACGTGCGTTAATTTTTGAGAAAGCTTCAATTATTTTTACGGAAGCAGATCTCTGATTTTGAGGGTAGTAATGAGAAACCAACGATACATCATACTGGTGCAAGGCCAAGGATATATATTACTAGTACTAGTGAGTGGGGAGTCCATTGTGCAATCATGGACATCACACCTGCTATTATTCACCACCCCCATCACCACAAAAGTCAGAATCGTTAGGATGCCGGGAACCCAATCCGCCTTCAACTAGATGCGCAGACTCAGCCTGTTCCATCGTAGATTGAAGAGAACAACCCGTGGTGCGCCATTCACGGTTCTTCCGCCATAGAAAACACCATAGTCCATTCACGTGACATTCTGCCTCCAGCACTAATTCCTCAAGCCACACGCTGCCACCACTGAAGCTAAGAAAAGGTAGTCATTGTGGCACGAAAGCGCATACTCTCATAATATTAGTATTATCTATAGCAAGTTCGTGTCATATGCATCTATGTCTCGCTTGACCAGTCACCCCACCGTAACACACACACAGAAGAAATCATAGAGAAAGAATGAAAGAGGAAATTATATTCATATGTACAGAAAGGCAGATTATAAAACACGCCCCCAAGAGCAATAAATCACCCATCATCCCCGCCCCTGCCAAACCTACCTCCAAAACCACCTAGGTCGCGTCGGAAGAATTTTCCAATATTCTTGAGGTTCTCGTTCAGGTTAGCTGCGGCGCTGCTCTCCGCGCCCGGATTATTGCTCTGGGCCGAGCCTGCAAGGTTGGGCGTGGATGAAGCCGAGGCGAGAGTGCCGCTGCCGCCGCCACCCGCTCCGGATGTCGCACCACCCGCTCCTCCGGGTATTATGGGACCCGAGGAGCTGCTCATGGGTGTTCCGAAGCGGTCGACGCCATCTTTCGCGGCAGAGATGAGGGCGGAGCCGAGCATGGACGCGTCGAAGCGAGTGGGAAGGTTTGTGGCGCCGATGGACGCTGCGGCCGAGCCGAGACCGAGACCTTGGGAGACGGAGGAAGACGACGTCGGTGCCGCGGTGGATTGCAAGGCGGTAAGCATGGGGTTGCTCTGCTGAAGGTTGGATGCGTAGCGATCGGATGCACGGTGGATCTGGAAGAGCTCCAGGAGATGGTTCTGCTCCTGGCGGCTGCGGATGCCCTTCATGTCAAGGATCTTGCGGAAGTTGGTGTTGTTCTGGTCGGCGATGTGGACGAGGTAAGCTTGCACAAGGGCCTCGGGGGGCGAGGGGTGCACTTGAAGGGTCTTGAGGAGGGCCTCGATCTTTGCAAAACTGCCATTGACGCGTTTGACGAAGCCTGCAGGGGCGGGATTCGGCATGAGTGACGAGAAACCGGCTTTGAGGGCGTAGGCATCAAGGAGCATCTGTCCGCAAGTGATTAGTTCGAACGCTGTGGGAGGTTGACCGGGACAGGAAGATCCTTACTTGCTCTGCTCCAGTTTCTGCAATGGGCTTGGACTGGTAAATGTTGGTAATGAAAAGATTAGAGACCAGCTCTATAGTGTGATCTGCGAAAGCCCGGGCATATTGCTGTTTATGTAGTAGTTGCAAAGTTTCCGTGCACTTGGCTTGAGTTTTGGACAAGAGTTCGCCAACGTAGGAGCTCTGATCGCTGACATTTTCCAGCCGACTCCAGGGTATATTGCGCATTTCGCGCCAACAAGGCTCCAATTCGATTTCAACTCTTCGTACAAGCCCCCTGACAGTCGCAGACGCAATGCCCATGAAAGTATCTGCTTGGCTCTGCAAGTCTACTGCTTGTTTGAGAGACTTATCCAACCTCCCCTTGATCTTCTCCTCCAGCTGGTTGCATGTCGTGTAGCAGTAATCTGCGGTGTTGAGAACCAGAATAAGGTCTTCAAGATTGGGTACTTTCGATGGCGTGTGGCCACTAGGACGTTCACTGATGTAATATAGAAGTACCTGCTGTGCATACTGGTCCAGGTACTTTGCAAAGACCTTCGCGAGGTCTGCAAGGCTTGTGCCGGTCGACAACTTCGCACATTGCTGCAGAGCATGCCGGTAGAAGTTGAACAAATCCGTCGAAGAGGATATAACTATATGTGAGTCGAACTCTTCGTCCGGCGGCTTCACGGGCTGTTGCCGATACTTAGGTATAAGTGCAGCCAGTTGTTTATCCTGGGCCTCCACCCAAACGCTAAGATAGGGCTCAAAAGCCTCCGATATGGCCTGACCAAACACGGGCGCCTCACTCGATGCGAAAGTGTCGGTTGAAGGACGAGCGGGGCTGACAAAGCGTCTTTCAAGCGAATGTTCGAAATCCAAGGTCTCTTGCAAGCATGACAGGAGCAGGTTGACGTCGATCGATTGCCCGTTGCGCACCGAGCGGGAGAGAATGCCCTTGAAGTCGTCTCTTGTACCTTCACAGAAGATGTTGGTGAGAGTCTCATTAACCTTCCATGAAGCGGGGAAAATGGGCGCGTATTCCTCATCATAGATCTTCAAAATACGCCTGAACCACGCGTATCGCCGGGATATGTTGTCCAGAGACCCCGCCTCCTCGTTGTTTCTGAACACCTGACGATACTCGCGGAGTTGAAAGTTGCAGTACCAGGTCACTAGCCTAGATTTCGCATGCTCACCCAGCGCATCCATAACCAAGCATCCCTCCGAGAGCGTCGACCTCCGCAGCCCTACTTCCCCCTTCGCGAAGGCGAGCTCAAAGTCCTCGCAAACCTGTTCTAAGAGTTCCCGTTGAATATCTGCCACGTTCTTGCTGAGAAGCGCGATCTGATCAATCGATCGATACGACTTGAAGTGCGCCATGAGCTGGATGACTGCCTGCAGCAGCTGAGCACAGTCCCGATATTGCCTAGTCCGACCGAGGGCACGAAGTTGATCGTAGGCCGTCGTCAGCATTTGCAGCCGTTTGAGTGCAGTCATGGATAGCGTGAGGTTCTTCTTCGCGTTATCAAGTTGCTTGATATCGGCCGTCATCTCCGTTATTGCGAGCTCGGTCTTAGAAGCGCGGTCGCGCACATCGTCGATCTTCTTGAACAATTCGGTGAGATCAGCTTTGGCGGCCTGAATGCGCTCAACGCTTTCCGCATTCGAGGTGACCTGGTCCTCGACCAGAGCACTGATCTCGTCGTCGAGCTCATCTTCGTATGTGCAGAGGGACTGGGATACTTGGGACACGGCGGACAATGTGGACGGATGGGAGAAGATTGAGTTGAGGTGGTCGATGGGATCGTAATCCACTGGTGTGAAAGTCTCATCAGTTAAAAGCCTCAAGGATCAAGGACTGAGAGACTGCCAGCGAGTGCGCTCACCTGCATCTAAGGGGTCAATATCGGCCGCACCATTGGAGGGCATCGAGGCGGTGGTAGTGGTAGTAGTGGTAAACATTCCATTAGCTCTTCAGCGAAAACACCAGACACATACTGCAATATCAGCTTGAGGAAAGTCGCCAAATCAACATGCACACAAATAAAGAGATACGGGGTGAAATGAACAAAGGAAGCAGTATGAGTCGAGCAGCATCGAACCCAATTGATTTTGGGGGGGAGGGGGATGGGAAGCGGGGAGACAAGCTGGTTCGGAGAAGCTCACAAAGCGCCGGGCGGGAGGGAATCCGTCAGGCAAGTTGTTCAGGCAAGTCCAGGTCACGCCCGGGCCCCTACACAATTCCGCTTGGCAGGGGATTGAGCAGTTCATCTACATAGCACTATATCAGCATAAATAGCACGAAAATCGAAGTCTTTCCTCTCTTTTCACTACAATAGAAGGTGAAACGGTGCGATTGATAAAAAATCCGCCCAGGGGGGCATTGCTCGCCACCCTAGGCTCTTCACTGATGGACGTGATATTCGTGGTCTCTGGTAGTACATAACAAAATAGAACGAAAAAAAAATATAGTTTCAAGATTTGAGTATTCAGCTTGATTGCCATTCGCCCGGAAATGCAGAAATAGTGAAGCGAATTGTAACTCCAAACACCATCAAAGTCTAGCAAAATTTCAAAAGAATCGGCTGTTCTACTGATTGTGAAAGATTTTGGTAATGCCGAATAGCTTCATATCAGGCACTTGCGGCTAGAAAAGCTTCCGGGGGCAATGTCCCCTGTTCCTGTGTAGGGGGTTAACGAGGGTCTCATCTCAGAAAAACTGACGGTTGCTCTTACCTTAAGCTTGACGAAGTCCTGTAATGCTTTCTCCAAATCCCAACCATTTCCGCTGATAGCCAATTCTGAATACTGCAAAGTCATTCCAGTCTGGCTCATCACTTGGAGCACCAATCGCTCTTGTTGCAATTGAGTTTCACTCTTCCCAGGTGCAGGCATGCCGTACCCTTCCGGAGTGGCCGGTGGCCCCGCAACCTGCTGAGGAGTAGCTACCTGACTAGTAGGTTGCGAAGTAGTCGTTTGTTGGGCTGCTTCCTGTCCAGCTCCATCAACCTCCGGAAGCCAGGCTTCATTGCCACCATAAGCGCGACAGCACAGAATGTCATTAATGACCCTTACTCCACCTGCACCACCGCCAGGTCCCAGTACGAAGGTTCTGTCAAAGCTCCGCGTATCGATCTTAGATCCCTTGCCGATCTCGTCGTACCTGCCGTGGACGGTAATCAGAAGGCCACCAACACCAGTGGGACTCTGGCCGGTTGGATCAAGCAGTCCGGGGATTGGATAGCACTCAATCAGCCAATCCTGAGGGTGCGCCGCGATGTCCGGATGCCTTGTGGCAGGAAGACCGTTCCATAACTTGCGGATTTTCTCCGTACCGGTATGCGTCCGAGACATCCTCGCGGTCAAATGCGTGATTCTAAGCAAATTCCTGCTATTCTTGATGTACGCATCCCAGGCCGCAACGTCGGCTTGATGGGCTCTGGGAGCAGCAGTGTTGATGTTGAGAGTAAAAGTGGATTCGCTGTCATACACGCTATCGAGCAGACCGTTCCGGTCGTTATCGTAACTGGAGAAGAAAGCCCTGATGAAGTTTTCGGCGATGCATCCCTCATCCCGGAAATACGGTGCCTGCACGGGGATCGGCGACTTTTTCAGCGCCGCCAACTCTTCCGCGGTCCGAACCTCGATACCGTTGAGGATCCGGAGTTTGAGGTACCACTTGAGCATAGTATCCTTGAATGTAGGGTCGGCACTGAAAGGAGTATTGGAAAGGTCGAGGAGCTCGAGATTCTCGAATTTGTGGCGCCATGCCAGCAAAGACTGTGCGTCTTTGAAGTCGTTCATCGAAAGGTCGAGGTTTTTCAGGTCTGGAAACGTTTGTGCCAAGGTAGTGACCGTCTTGAGATTTGCAAGCTTGTTGTTCCTCAGACTAACGCTCTCTACCGCCTGACGTCGCGCGGCAGGGCTGTCGAAAACCAGGCTGAGGTTCAGCTCCCAAACCTTCATCAGCGCGGGGAAGAATTTCGATTCAGTCGATGTGCTTTGGAAAATTCCCATGGCAATGAGGTCCGGATCGTTGTGAAGATCCGAAAGGTCGAGCAACTTGTTTTCTCGATTGAAACGCTTGGCGAGGAACGCAGTCATCTTAGCCTTCGTGTCGGCCGCAGAAGGCGTACTGCCATTTACAGGCAATTGATCGAGCATCGCACTCTCCGCTTGATCATATTTCTCGATGGTCAAAGGAGCGCCTGCAAAGCTGAAGCCACTGATTTTGAGCATCCTGTCCAGCAGTTCCGGCTTGATGGACACTACAAGCGCGTCGCCTTCGACCCGCGACTAGTTAACGTAACGTTAGTAAGGCGCAAGAGACCTCCCGTAAATGCGATCATCCCGAGGAGTGAATGTCAAATAAGCGAAAGCAAGTGTCGACCGTCGGTCTGGAGGTACCATCACTGAAAACGAGAGCACACCGAAGATGACGGCGCTGGTGCTAACTCATGTCGATAATCGCAAGTTCTGGTGTTGCACATACCTTAGTGATCCTTGCGCGGGTGCCAGCGGGGACGCTGAGTTTCTTCTCAAGGAAGGAAATTAGGCTTTCTTGGCCGCCGTCGGGATTCGATCGGGCCTTGCATTTCTGATCTTTCCAGCCGCGGACGCTGACTTGTTCCAGATTGCTGGCCCGGCTACCTTGACGGATGTTTGCTTGTGGCGAGTCAGAGTTGCTGGAGATAGCCTTTTGGATGGCGTCCAAAGCTCTGCCGGATGTCTGAGACCGTGTTCCAGAAGAAGCACCGGACCGACCAGAATCACCACGACCTTTCTTTGCACGGGACTGAGACGTGTTCCCATCCATAACCAAGTCGCCTTCCCGGTCGACTTTCTTCGCAGCACCCCGCTTGCGGATGCCCCCGCGATCTGAAGCGCTGGTGCGGCCTTTAGCCTTTGCGTTCCTCATAGTGGGCGACAAAAGAGAAAATGATGTTTTTCGATTGTGAGTTCCTGTCGTCTTCGAACAATTCTGACTGGGGAGAGGACACGGATGATGTTCAACGATGCGCGAAAGGTTTTTGTAGGTAGGTGGAGCGCAGCGCGCTTTGTCGTCCAAAATCAGACAAGCGGCATGCGACGAAAGATGTTGAAAGAAGCCGCTTTACGAGGTCAGGTTGATGAGGTGAAAGAGCGATTCTTTCATTCGGGGTTTCTATAATTGGAGAACCCTTGGTGCGTTGTCACGAGTACCGCCAGCCAACATCAAAAGGCTTGAGGTGTGAAGGAGGGGGAAAATGATAATGAGACAAGAGACAAAGGCGACGAGCGAAAGCTACAAGCAAAAGCAGAAAAAGTGACGTGCACCCGAAAGTATGCATATCACGTGACAAGACATCAGACTCGAATTCCGATGGGGCTACCACGTGATCCCGTGAGTCAGGTACTGTAGCCGGCGGCATCCAATCAGAGTCTGTAGTCTGTCCTTTGAACAAATGCTGGTAATACGGTCGTATCGATAGACGCATGCTGGCAGGCAATTGTACCGCCCTAACCCCTAGGAGGTAAAATTGCAACAATACTCGGTATCTGTCCGATACCCGCAGTGTAGTTCTCCGCTTCAGCTTAACAGGACAGCTTGTTCCATTGAAAGTCGCACGCCAGTCGTCACAGACAGGAGAGGGCTTGCTTCGTGCTACAAACCTCGTTCACTCATTTACTGAATCATGTATGCTCTCCGATTAGATCTCAAATTAGCTCAGCTAATTGACATTCCCCGACTTGTTAAGCTAACATACATCTCCAGTCAATAGACGCCGCCCTGCCTTGATCGCGGGCACTAAATAGCTGATCTCCGCTCAATCACGAAGACTCCATCTCTTGACATAATCCGACGACCTCTCCGCATGGTCGTCAGATAAATTTGACAATGCCGGCCAAATCACGATTTACACGGTTGGATGCATTTGCCAAGACGGTTGAAGATGCGCGCGTTCGAACCACGTCTGGAGGAGTGATCACCATCGCATCGTTGCTGGTTATCTTCTGGCTGGTATGGGGAGAATGGGTGGACTATAGGCGCGTGGTGGTTCTGCCCGAATTGGTGGTGGATAAATCAAGAGGTAGGGGGGACTCTTCTTCTCCTAAGAACGTGGAGAACGAAGTGAGGCTGACTACATGACTGTTGGCGCAACGTAGGAGAGAAGATGGAGATCCACCTGAACATGACCTTTCCCCGACTTCCTTGCGAAATGTTGACCCTTGACGTTATGGATGTGTCAGGCGAGCAACAGACCGGCGTGGCTCATGGCATCAACAAAGTGCGACTGACCTCGGAGGCTGAAGGAGGTCGTGTGATCGACGTGAAAGCACTTGAGCTGTAAGCTTGGAACCCCTGGTTTCCCCTTGGTGGCTATTGCTAACCATCATCCTTTCAACTCAGCCATTCTTCAAAAGAGACCGCTAAGCACCTTGACCCCGATTACTGCGGCGAATGCGGTGGTGCACCCGCGCCTGCGGGTGCCATCAAGCCTGGCTGCTGCAACACTTGCGAGGAGGTTCGCGAGGCCTATGCGCAAAAGCAATGGGCCTTTGGCAAGGGAGAGAACATCGAGCAGTGTGACCTGGAGGGATATGCGGAGCGCATCGATGCACAGCGTCGGGAAGGCTGCCGCCTCGAGGGTGTCCTGCGCGTGAACAAGGTGATTGGCAACTTCCATATCGCACCTGGACGCAGTTTCACTAGTGGAAACCTCCACGTGCACGACCTCGCGACGTTCTTCGAGCCCAATTTGGCTGAGGACGAGAAACACACGATGACCCACGAAATCCACCAGCTTCGATTCGGACCCCAGCTGCCTGACGAGCTGTCAGATCGCTGGCAATGGACAGACCACCACCACACGAATCCCTTGGATAACACTCGGCAGGAGACCAGCGAGCCTGGCTTTAACTTCATGTACTTTGTCAAGGTGGTATCGACTTCGTATCTCCCCTTGGGCTGGGATCCGCTTTTCTCGTCTTCCATCCACAGCGCCTATGACAAGGCCCCACTCGGTGCTCACGGCATTGCCTACGGAGCCGAGGGCAGCATCGAGACTCACCAGTACTCGGTGACCTCCCACAAGCGATCTCTGCGGGGCGGGGATGCCTCCGACGAAGGTCACAAGGAGCGACTGCACGCCGCCAACGGTATCCCCGGCGTCTTCTTCAACTATGACATCTCCCCTATGAAGGTCATTAACCGCGAGGCTCGCCCCAAGACATTCACTGGATTCTTGACCGGAGTCTGTGCAATTGTTGGTGGTACGCTGACTGTGGCGGCTGCCATTGATCGTGGGCTGTATGAGGGAGTCAACAAGATGAAGAAGCTTCATTCTAGTTGAGGATATTCGCAGTGCATTCCGGAGATCAGTGATACGTTAACTTTAGAAAAAGAAGAAAAAAGACAAGAGACACCAGTAGAACATCAAAAACCAAAGGGAAACCAAGCAGCTGCGCAGGAGCATCAGCAAGGCAGGGCACTCAGGCAGTCCACCTCAGGCGTTTTCAGGTTCATAGTCGGTACACATGCTCATCTCTATTGCCATTTTTGATTAGCATTATTTTCAATTCAGATGAAATTGAGCATTTTGAAAAATAAGAGATTCTTTAAAGTAACCGAAATCTGCATGCATCTATAGAATATCCTAGGTATGCTCAGGTTGATGCAAGTCGAGTGGCGAGTGCCTGCATGGAATCACTGCAATGGATAAAACCAAACCAAATCCTGCGGGTGTTGCTTATGACGTTATACTCACAGAACATCTCCCACCCATGGCAAGGAAAAGGTACCTCCCCGAAACACGCGACCGATCCCGTTCCTCACAAGCCTTTCCAATTTGTTCTGACCTTCAAATTATGATTTCTCACGATCCCATGATACCATGTTCACGCTGTGTCGGAATCCCAGGTTATTGTTCCGTCCACTCCAGCAAGCCCGCCCATTCCCTCGACATGCCTTGAACTCCGGGCTGTGCTATACTGCAATTCGCAGCCAGGAGTCGACCGCGCCGCTACCTCCACGCCAGTTTCCTACAACAGGGTTCGCGAAGCTGGATCCATCTGAAGCATGGGAAGAAGAGCAGCTCCCCTACTACGAAGCGAACCACTTCTACCCTGTCCGCATCGGCGAAGTGTTCTTGGACCGATACCAGGTCGTCGCTAAGCTCGGATACGGCACTTCCTCGACCGTCTGGCTTTGTCGAGATCTTCAGTACGCCTGTGCCTCGCAATAGATGCATCCAGCAGACACTAAAGCTTCAGTCACTAGGACCCATGGGTATCGCACCCTCAAAGTATGCGCGCAGGGCCACGATCCGGTGCAAGAAGTCGCCGTCTCGGAACACCTGAAGAACGCTCCAGACCACGCGGGCAGAGCTCTCGTGCGGCTAGTCCTACGGTCCTTCGTGGCGACCGGGCCCCATGGGAAGCACCGATGTCTGGTGTACAAGGCCTGCGGCATGAACATGACCAAATACATGAACGGTTGCACCCTGCCCACGGAGCTGGGGCAGCGGAGTCTCCAGCTGACCTTGATTGCATTGTCGTTTCTTCACGCCAACCAGACTGTTCACACTGGTATGTACACCGACCGAGGAACCTTCGTCGCATCGACGAAGCGATTGCGCTCTCATGCGTTGGATCTTAAGCGTTCTTGCGCTGACCACACCGAAATCAACCCCAGATGTCTCCCCTAACAACATCCTCCAGAAGATCGACGATAGCTCCATGCTCTCCGCAATGGAAGAGGAGGAGATGACGCAACCGATTGCTCGCAAAGTCCTGGCTGACCACCGGACCATCTACCGCTCTCGCGCGATGCCCGCCTGCGAGGGGCTACCCGTGCTTTCGGACCTCGGGGAGGCGCGGTTCGGCCACGCCAAATACCAGGGCGACATCATGCCGGGCATCTATCGCGCACCGGAGGTTATCCTGGGGATGGAATGGGATGACAAGGTGGATATCTGGTCGGTTGGCGTGATGGTACGTGTTTGTGATATGGAGCTATATCACACACCTCGATCCAAGTCCAAGTACACACGACCTAACGTGTATCTATGAGCGATAGGCATGGGACCTACTGCAAGACGAACACCTCTTCTCCGCCAAAACACATGGGGTCCTCTGCAACGAGCAGCATCTCGCCGAACTGGTCTCGCTGATGGGCCCTCCACCCCGCGCATTTATTCAGAGGAGTAGCAAATGTGCCAGGTATTTCGATGAACAAGGTGCGTTGCCCTGCCCCCCCCCCCCACGCTCACTTCTTCCCACACCATCCACCCGGCCTTACTGGTAACCATTGTGCTTGTTGTGAGAACTGTAGGAAACTGGAAGGGCTCGCTCCCCATCCCGCATCAATCCCTGGACTCGCGCATCCAGCACTTCCACGGTGCCGAGAAGAGACTCTTCCTGAACTTCCTGCGACGGATCTTCCGCTGGCTGCCCGAGGAGCGTCCCTCGGCCGAGGAACTGGCGCACGATGAATTCCTGATGCAGCCGATCCTGGCGGCTAAGGAGCGGCAGACGCAGCAGGATAGCAGATAAGCCCGACGACGACTTTCCCGTGAACATAAATCAGAAGTTCGTCCGTACATAGACCATGATAATAGTGTTTACGACCCATGTGATGTTCTCTTCGTAGTTTCACTCGAACAAGTGACCAAAACCAGTTAGTTGCCTTTCATTGCCCCATTCCCAACCTTAGAATACCCTGCACAACTCCAAGTCAGGAACCCGCACCTAAACCGAGGTTACCAGCCCCAATCTACCAACCAGATCTAACACACTCTCTTCTCCAACCACTCCATAAACGAGACCACACTTCCCCCTGAACAACAATGTAATCCCATCAGTATCTCTGCTACGATAATGCCAAATCGTGTTCGTCGAGGTAGGTACCTCGAGCCGAATCCGACCCCCAGAAGATCAAAAAGATGTATAGGGTTAACTTACGGTCAGCGCCCTGGCTACCTTTACACACATTCCAGAGTCGCGCGTGAATGAGCATAGCAAGGCGGATTTCGACCCCATCATCCGGTCAGAACACCTGAGCAGTAGGTACATATTACCTGACAAGCTACAGTCTAGGATCCAACACCGAACTCGCTCAAAGAGGGGAAACACACACACACACACACACACACACACACACAAAAAAAAGGCAAGGTGCAGGACTGCAGGCAGATCATTTATAGTACAGAAGGGTGGGGGATCGTTCGTGATTGTACTGGCACGGGAGACTCACAGTATCGATGTTTTACAGTCTTTGATAGCCGATCAGGAATGACCGTGTGAATGTCAGATGCTCAGATACTCAACGCATGCGACAGTGATGTCGATGGGGAGTTTCAATCCAGCTAATGCGCTATCCAGCTGCTAAGTACTCGATGGTCTTACTGAGGGTTTCCGGGATTTGAGTACCATCCCGGATCGAGGATAACTTTTCAGTTCCTGATAGGATACGTGGTGAATATAGGTGCTGGTGATTATGGTACTACTAAGTACAGATAGTGATGAAGAGGGTGCTGTCAAGGATGCGTGGCGGGCTTTACACTGGAGGGGTGCTGGCCGCTACACTACGCTTCGCCGGTCTCTATTCCCTCTTCACATGGACGCACGCTCGAGCATGCCTACGCCATAAGACACATAACTACCTCGATAATTCACAGCAACAGGTGTATCGTTGATAAGTGTGAGACAACCGCAGGACAACCAAACAAAGTTGTCTTCCGGAACGTCAAAGCACTTCTGAAAGCCAAGAGCAGCGGTACTGTTAAACGCCCTGGAGATATCCCTAGACAATAAACGCCGAGTGATGCTGCAAACGAAACGTCGCTATTCAGAAAATTGAAGACAGCAGTGCACCAACCAGGTTTCTCGAGCTCTAGCTCTTTAAAGATCCACAGTCAAATGAAAGAACAAAGAAAGCAAGATAGCAACGAGAGGTCGACGCTCTAATACCTTAGCAAGATAAGGAAAAATGAAATGAGAACGATATGTGGGGTTTGGCCAGGCCGACAGTTCGTTTCACACACACCAGTGGTACCCTAGTAGTGACTGGCGTTGGCATTGCCGAAATAACCTGTTGGCTGTCCGAGAGATTGAGTGTGATGATGTACGGGGGGCGTCCGTGACTTTTGTGCCGCAAAGTATTGCCCATACCACGACTGACGCCGCGGCTCCTCGGGATGGTAAGGCTGGTTGAGAGCATCCCAAGTCCGACTGGCGGCAGGAAGGTTGTACACACTGTAGTGGTTGTCCTGGCCATAGAGCTGAGGTTGAGTTTGTGCGGGCGTGGGCGGCTGCTGCTGCTGCTGCTGCTGCCAATGTTGCTGGCGCTGGGCAATGGCATGCTGCACCATTTGATTGGAAACCCCCTCGCGGATGTTCTTTTTCTCCCGCTCTCGAGCATCAATAGCCCCAACCAGACCCATGGGGTTGACAGGAGTTACCTGCGGCTTGTGCCCGCCAGGGAAATCAAGAAGCGGAGCGCCGGTCATACGAGAGATATGCTCCTGCTCTCGAGCCGACAAATGCGAGGAAAGCTCGTTATAGTTCATGACAGTACTAGCCCCACGGGATTGGGGACGCGCTGGACCCTCCCGGTGGCCAGATGATTGCGGCTGTAGCCTAGAGCCGCCCGTCCAGTCTCCGGACAAGGGCCTAGGGAGAGCTGGCGCCAGATTTGTGGTTGCTGAGGAAGAGAGAGTCCGGTGGTGCGCATGCAACGGTGGGCTGGGAGCCGATCGTTGTTGCACAAACTGCTCGGGTGTGAGTCGGCCAGGTGTTGTTGGGCGCGGTGCAGCCATGCCCGGCTGCCACATCATGCTGGGTGACCTGGAATGTGAGCGCTCCATGTGGGGCGTGGGACCTTGCTTTTCTGTCGAGTTAGATTCACTCCGCCCATGACCGGATTTCTTGAAGGTTTCTGAGGTAGTGGGGCGTGCAGTGGTAGGCATCAAAGTCATTGTTGGCCCGAAGTCGATAGTAGGAATGTCGGCAGTGCTCTTTGGCTCTGAAGACTGCTCAATAGAGTAATGTGCGTCGCCGATGACAAAGTCTTTCGTATCCGGCACCGTTCCAACCGTCTTCTTGACTCCCATCCTAGGCCGAGGGATTGATTTGACAGAGCGTTTGCTGTATACAGATCCGCGTGTGCTAGCATAGTCAGGGGAAGCAGCCGACTCATCATCATAAACACTGTCCTCATCTGGACGGGAATCTTGGTCTCGAGATGTGAACGATAGCTGGCGGTTCCCAACCCAGTTCAGAGCCTCTTCGTCCACAGTGTGGCGAAGATCATCGAAGCTGGGCTCTCCAGCAGCACTGGAAGAGTCTGGCTCGCCAGCATATTGCTGAGGCACGGGCTTTCTCTTGACGGCCTTTGCGGTATCCAATCGTAGCCCGCGTGCCTTGGGTATAGCCAACGGTGGCCCAAAAGCATTAGAGCGGGGATCAATAAGCGAAGATTGTTGTAGGGTGTTGCTCCGGCCTATTGCCTCCGGATTCACCCAGTCTGCGTAGTGCTCAACAGTTTCGCTACTCGGGGTGGGCGGACTGGGTTGGCTAGTCTCCCCGGCTGTCGTTTGACTGTGCGCCGCCAGGTCGGAGCCCAGACGGCTCAACCCTCCAGAAGCAGCCACGAGCTGTGTAAGCGTGGCGTCTGACATCCTGTTATTGACTTTTCTAAGATCAGGGGATGCTCGGGGTCGAGTAGGGGGAACTTCTCCCGGTCCGTGGGTGAACGCAGGCGGTTGCACTACTGGTGAAGGAGGGGAAACAGGGCGGAGCTGTTGGCCAACAGCTTCCGCCGCAAGTTCCGCATGAGCGTGTGGCTCGGCCTCCCCACTGCTACGGTCACTTCCGCGGGGACGTTCGTCGCTTGGCGCAAGATCGTGAGCAGATGAGGGCGGAGAGCTCTCACTGAGAGACACAGACGCCTGCGTCTGAGAAGCAAGCCCGGTGAAGTCAGAGGCACCGCGAGCGTGATGAGCCGGCGATACAGGATCACTCTCCGCCACCTCGGGGACAATAGCATCGGTGGACTGATTATAGCCTTGTCGATGTTCGGGAGAAGAGGGTATGCGCTGGGTAGCTCCAGCGCGGACATTATTGCCTTGACGGCTTGGAAGACTGGACCGGAAGCGTGGCTTGCTTCCAGAAACGCTACTCGTTCGGCTTCCAGCTGTTGCCATGCGGCGTGCAGTGGCTTCCTTGAGCTGCTTTCGCCATTCCGCCTCGCTCCAATTCTGACTTCCCGGTGTCTGCATGAGACTTGAGATATCCAGGATATCCAAGTAACCGTAGCGACGCCGGTTAGGGAAGGCAAACATGATACTTTTGATATGGTTCGTCGCGGCGAGCAGCCGAGTCGGCCGCCCGTACAGATTGAAGGTGTCAAAGGTTGGTATGAGAAAGCGGAGCATCATTTCGAAGCCAGAAACAGCTGGGTGGACTTCAGGCATAACAAACACAAACCCCTCGGACGTGGATTCTGGTTGCGAATGAACGGTGATCGTTCCTTCTATTTTGACTAGAGTCGACTGTTCGATCAACGGCTTCGATTGTGGATAGATGGCAAAAGCAGCATAAGCGTCCGTAATAGTGGCAATTGGTGTCGCTTTTTTGGTCTTCTTCGTCTCGTAGAACTTGATATGACCTGTGACTAGTCGAGGCGCGCGATCGTATGCCGATTTCTTGATGGATTTCTGTGCCTTCTGGAACTCCTTTTCATTTGGGGGAGTGACAACGAACCAACATCGCCTCCAGGGCGTACCAGCACCGAATCTTACACGGGCCCAGTCTTCATGTTTGAAGCGGTTGCGCTCGAGAATATGTTTGACATTATTGAGAGTCTTCCCTTTGCCGGCGATGATCGAGCCAGTGTAGGCCTCATAGAGGGAGGTGTGCTCAAACAGGGCCAGCCGTATAGCGGCAGTCCATTGTGTCAAAGAATGAAAGGAGTTGAAATGGAGGAGATACCGATTCTGGCCCGCGGAGCATATGCTTAGTATGTTTTTCAGTGACTTGACCTGTTGGTTTCGAGTTGGTAACGTTTCGAGCTGGATCCGCGGATGTCAGTCAGTGTTGGGCCTGGACCAGTGCCGGTTCGAAACGCCAAGAGGGGGGGGGGAAGGTTGCGCCGATCCTACCATTTTAATCGAGGCATCCGCCAAATTGATGAATGTTGGGCGAACGTCACCATCGTCTCCCGCCTCGTCCAGCGCTGCGGCATCCCAAAGAGAAAGAGCTGTTCCAACGAGTTGCGCATAACACTCCACCCATTGTCGGTCAGAAGAAGGCCGGCCGTCTGCACGTTTCTGATAGTTAGTGCCAACTCCAACCTTAATGAGCGTCGGGAAGCCACGTACGTATATCTAAGTCGTTCAGCTTCAAAAAATAACCTTCGTGATATAATTTGTTGGCATGACTGTTCAGATGACTGAATATGGGCTGAAGTTCTGGCGGTGTGTCTTGCGAAAACTCCACTAATGGTGGATTGTGTGAAAAATAGGTCGAATCGGGTCGTGACGAGATCCGTCGTTCTGCATTGGAAGTACCACTAATCGGCGAGGCATCGATGGGCGACGCGGTGTCTGGCGTGGGGGGATCAGTCCTGAACGGGGGATTGTTCAAAGTGACTGAAGCTGAGGCAGTCCGATGGTGTTGACCGGGGTTGTCTTTGCGAGAAGAGCCGCCAAAGACGGACATCAACGATAGCACTGGGGATAGAAGCCCAAATTAGTACAGCGACTCCTAGACCAGGGGGGCAGCGGGGTTTCCTACCACGCGAGCGACCCATGATGTCGAGACTCCGGGGTAAAATCGAAAACCGGACCGAGATAAAGTTGGGGGGAAAGAGCAGTCTGGTTGCCAGCTAGAGACACCACGGCTCGCGCAAACGAGAAAGCCGGCGGGTGGTACGGTGCGACGAAGGAGGAAAAACGAGAGAAAAGAGAAGTGGAGGCAAGATGTCAACTGAGACCAGCTCCTTCGCAGCGTTCAGATAGCGCGACAACGGATGTCAGGGCCTGCCAAGACTAGGAACGGCGGAAGTTTGCCCGTTCCATGAAGTTACCGGCAGTGAATGTTGGAAGCGAAAAGAGCGGAGGAGGCAAACAATAGCGAGGGAGGCGTGTAGTCAGCGCACAAGCGCCTGTGACGAGGCCACTTGACGTCTAAGTTCCGTCCGGCGAGTCAGCGGGTCGGTCAGAGGAAGAGATCGCGGGATGTGGTTCTCTGAGGTGCTGGGTGTTGCGTGAGCGACACGGAGGCGAAGGAGAAACAGCGAGGGACGATGCAGTGGATATAGAAGTCGCAAGGTGAATGGAACATAGATGGAAGGAGAGAGGAATAAAATAAAAAGCGAAAGAGGAAGAAGATTGCACCAAGTGAGAGGGACAACGTACAGGACCAAAACGACAGAAGGGAAGGGGGGGGGAGAGGGGAGGATGATGCTTTTGCCCGGTGGGTCTGGAGGTTTGTTCACAGAGTGGTAAAGTGTAAGAAAGAGTCTCGCAAGTGTACTCCGGAGTAAGTGTTGGGGGGACCTTTCAGGAAAGTGTGTAACAGCTGACTGGCCAAACAGTCTTTTGTCTGAGACATCCCAGGTAAAGCGGAAACTCTTTCAACACGAAAGATGGTTACTAGTCAGTAAATGAGTATTTCAATGAGAAATGAGAATAAAATTGCAAAGTACGGAGGCTGGCGTCATCCATTGCATGTACACTTTGTCCCCTTCGGTTTTAGCTCCCGCATCTCTTCCCAGTAGTTTACTTCGTACTTCGTACTCTCTGCCCCTGTCTGTCTGTCTATCATTCCACAATGATCGCCAGAGAGGCTGCACTGCAGCACCTTAGCAACCTACTTACCTACACGGTACCCCTCGTGGATTAATTATCAGATGATAGCAATCAATATTTGAGCATTGCGATCATGATTATTGTTTTCTCATTACCCAAATGGCGCCTCACTCTTTTTTTTTTTTTCTTTCTCTCTCTCTCTCCCCCGCGTAACCGAAGTTCCGGGACACTTTGGAGGCTGCTCCAAATATAGCAACAATCCTGCATGTCTTAACCACGGCGATCGGAACTGATCCGCTTGCCTTTTTCGCTTCGATTCTTTGCTTCTTTGGCCTCCTACTCTCCACGAGGAAGAGCCAGAGAGGCAAGCAACAGTCCTGCCAAGCATATTCGAGCCTTGCATTACTGGTTGGTGGGCCATTGGTCCCTGTTTTGTTTTCTCTCTTCCAGGAGTCCAGGAGTCCTCGAAAATTGACCCCGGGGGATTTCCCTGAGACAAATTACACACAGTCAGCACGGCGTACCCACGGAGTACTGTGTGTTAACTACCTTACCTAATAAGTACTTAACCCTCCATTCGTGGAACTGAAGGTTCGGAAATGATAGCACTGCCACACAGGCGGGCTAGTGGGGTTTAGTTTATTTATTACAGTGATTATTTAAATTGATTCCCGTGCCACAGAGCATCAGATGGTCTTGCCTGCACACGCTTTTGGGGTTCTCCGTCAGGTGCCAAATAACTGATCATGATTGTTTTAACACTGAGACCCAAAGTCAAATACTGTGGCTACCTATCAATATCTCAAATGAGCAGCACTCTCAGCTTTTTCAATCTACCGTAGTCTTTCTGCGGAACACCACCATTGACGGTCTATTCTTGCCACTGTGTACCGTACGCAGTACTCCGTATGTCTCACGGATAACCAGCAAGTTCCACCAACGGCCAACGCCGCGACGCCATCGTGTGAGACCTTTCCCAATCCATCTTAGGCTGAAATTCCAGACCCCTCACAGGCTCCGAACGCAATGAAATCTCCCTGCCTTATAACAGGATTATGAATGACCTTTTGCTTGGCACTTGCTTGGAAGATTGATCAATCGCATTATATGAGTTCCTCTGGAGGGCAGATGACGATTTTAGATCTGCTCAAACACCTACGCAGTTGTTCAATCTAGATGTGATGTTAACTAACAATCTGTCTCAGTGTCTCCTGGACGAAGGTGGTCATTGACTGTGGAGTAGTTTCAAGTAAGCTAGCTGCTGGTAGTTATGCAGTTCAGACCGTCTACAGTGAGAGATGTTCTGCATATAACCAGATCTCCTCGTATGTCATTTACAGGGCATATACTCAGTAAGTCCTCGAAATAGCAGCGTTTCCAGTATACCGCACCGATCGAACAATATCCTCTTGCTAGTGAGTCCGTGCATAGAGATTGTTTTTGTTCTACTGCATGATCAAGACCACTTCGAACAATGGCCGTGCCATTCGTTCCGGGACGTTCAAGCCGTAGCCATGCACATTGACCCCAGGGGCAAAACGAAGGCTCCGCTCTGCTGGCGTGGAGACGAGTGGGGACTGGGTTTATGCTTGATACTGTTCCGTGCGAATGCCGGAAATTCGGCTGTCAGTCTCTATGTGACTACATTCAGCCTGGCTTGTTAGGTGCTGCAATCCGGTGGGGCAAGCATCTGCAGATTGGCCGGGGGATCGACGAGACATACGTTGCTTTCAACCCAAGATACTGTAGTGTTCAGCAGAGACTCCAAACAATCCGAGAAGGGATTGGCCGATGGGGGAAAAGGGCTATCTGCCTTTTAGCGCGTGAGGTGCTGCAATCAAGAGGGCATTACATGCTTTTATCTGGTACACTCGCTTCGCACAACAATAAGCATCCGATTCATATGTCTAAGCAGCAGAGAAAACCGAGTCTTGAAAGAGAGGAAGCAACCCCAACGCGGAGCGTATTTCTCGTTTCCATGCATTTGGGGCTATACCAACGGCTGCACATCTGCGGGACCCCATTATGAGTGTACCTTCTGCTCGATGACTGTGTGATTAGTTCAACTGACATATCCCTTCAGTCAATCCACACATGTTCGTTCACACGGAGCTCGCACTGATACGGAGCGCCATGTCGGTAACTTAGGCAAATTCCGGACAGAGACTTACTGAAACTCGGAACCATGAAAGAGGCGTCATTGGATTGGCAAGGTTCACTGTCTGTGTGTGCAGAGAAAGACATAGAAGTTCAACCCTCAAGTCAATCCACATATTGTCATTCCCCAGCCTGTTTCCAGTTCTACTTGCAGCACCGGCTGATCTTTACACCAAATATTCTCTGACATTACTCGCCTCCTGATACTTGGCAGCCCTAAGCACCGATTCCATTTGTCGAACAATTCTTCCATGTGGTCAGGCTCGCAGATGGATGCATCGTTGTGCCTGAAGAAGCTTCATCGTCTCAAAGAGTTCAAGAGGAGCTTGTTTTGCTGCTTGAAGAGAATCGCTTTCGCTATGGTTGTCAGTCAGGCCAGGGATGATTATCTAGGGGACAAAATCCTCGACCTTTTCGCAGCATCCGTCAGAATACATATACTCAGTGACATGGCGTATGTCCCGGAATTACTGTGTCATGGTACCTCATAGGCACCCGGGAATGCTGCAATAATGCTTTTGCACCCCATGTGTCGTGCGTGTTGAGGACGCAGGGAAACGGAAAGTTGGTGAGCTGGGGCTGGGCTACTCGCTCGGGGCGAATTCCTGGCTTCCGGTCCGCCCTACCCGTCCATTATGAGCCTGAGATCTTCAAATCGCGAACGTTGGTGCCATGATTCTAGGTCTTTGGTAGGGCTATTCATGCTATATAGTTCGGAGATCTTCGTCATTTTTCTAGGGGTGGACGTCATTAGTGCTAGGAAAGAAACACGGACCTTATTGGATAGAAATGTCTTCAGACGAGAGCACTCAATTCCTTCTTAGTAGTGATATGCTGACCAAGTTGAGTCTAAGAAGGCTTGTCATCATTTCTCATCCCACCGACCTGGTGGTGATGAGCCTCCAGCTGATCTCTACAGACTTCTGAGAGAGTCTGCTGTCTCGCGTGTCGAGCTGTGGGACGAAAGCCACCCATGGCTAGTCATCAAACACAGGGATGTGTGCGAAATTCTCACTGACTTGCCTCTATTTGAAGAATTCACGTTTTCAGGAATAACCGAAAGGTGAGGACAATGACTCTAGTGGTGAGAAGGAATAGGTTCGTCAGCGTGAAGATAAATGTCATCTGCCTCGCCCTTTAAAACCAACGTTCACGACGCAAGTGAGCTCTCTGGTTAAGGTGAGGCGGGAGATGTCAGCTTCACAGAGCAAGGCATTCTAAATGAATACCTTGGGTATCATGTGAGGCCTCGTGAGGATATCACACATACAGTACCTCTCATTATGTATTGAGATAGTCACCAGTGGTATTCAACGCATGCCTTATCAGATATTAGATGCAGATTAGTGACTCTTTGATACAACCGAGATGAGTACTCGTTATGGACGGATCTTTGCCAGGCTCCCAAATGAAGAGATAGGGAACGATTGTTCATCCCTTTTCATATCTATTAACGGAGCCTTTCTTTGTTTCCTTGTAAGCGCTGCACATGGTGGAATGGGCCCACCCGGACTCTCTGGAGAATGGTTTTGACTGTGAAATAGTAGTGAATTAGTACATAGGATATTTGCTTAGAGAGTGCATCCTCAGGACGCCAACAACAGGCATGTCGACTCGGCGATGACTGGAGGTGAAGCGGAGCACCTCAGGTTCACTGACAACCTTCGCTTCAGCTATACTACGTGTTATCCTGTTACATTTATTCTGATGCTTCCAATCACCATCTCCAGTTTGTATTTTGCTTCCGGAACGTTGTCATATCCCACATATCCTTTCCCTTCCTTTTGGCATCCTACATATCAGGATATTGTCTTTTAGACACAAACACAACCTCCTTTCTCTTCTGTGACCTCTCTACTCATCTCCAGATTGCCTGTGTCTCCCCGAAGCGCCACGGTCTTCTGACTGGGCCTTCGGGGGATTTGCAGCGCTCCTAATCTGCAAGCTTTTGTCTGGCTGCACTTGGTCTTTTTGAAATCTCTACACGGCTTAGCTGGGGTCTATTGAGTCAGTTACTTAGCATTGTAAACCTGGAATCCCGGTTGTCATGGACTATTTTTCCTATGTTCCGGGGGGCCGCAATGTGGTAGGACCGCAGCCGCTGGATATCATTGTCGATGAGCCTCATCACAGTGCGATGATTGAGGAGAAGAACCAGGAGATCGTTGCGGCCGAGTGTGAGAAGCTTGATCAGTTGATTGCTAAGTTCACGCGAGGCTTTGATCCATCTATCTTCCGCAACGAAGTCATCTCGGCCCTCCCACACCTCGCAGGCTCTGCTTTCCCAAGCAACCATGTGCATCTTCTGCTGTTGCTCTTCGCCACAGATGCGGAGGTGCAAGTTATGCAGGTGGAGCTTGAGAAGTGGACCTTGCAGCGTTACGAGGACGTGTTCAAGCGCTACAGGGAGGTACTTGAGGATTTCCTGCCGCGGGTCGAGGCAAATAGTCTCGATGAAACGTACTTTGCAGCCGAGATCGAGACTTTGCGACGACTGCTTGAACCTCTGCGTGGAGATTCCACTCATCCGGTCTACTGGCTTGGTTCTCGACGTGCAGATCCAGGCCAAGCTCGACAGCAGCTCGAGGCTGCGACCACGGTGATCAATGCGTTCAAGAAGGACTTGATTGCTGCTCTGCATTTCGGACCCCAGGAGCGTAAGTCAGACAGTGGCAACACTTCCTCCCTGCCGGACCAGACTAGCATGCAAGAGGTGCTCACTAATGACTTACAGGTGAATTCCCCAAGCCGCTTCCAGTCTCCGTCGAACGCTCTGCCTTGGTTAGCATAAAGCAGCTGCGTATTGACGCATGCAAGGACACTCTGCAATGGGATGAGTACAATAAAAGCACTCTGGTCTTCACTCATTTTCATTCGGCTTACAAGGCACTGATTTGCAGAGACAATTCGGACAAGGCCCGTAATTTAGGTTGGCTGCCACCTGCAGTGATGGTCGCTCCCCGTGCGTCGAGTCCGCATGCAGCTGTGGGGGATCTTGCCTACTGGCCGCTCAGACAGGATGAGAAGCGCATTTACGATCTCTTGATCCGCACCGCAATCTGGCTGGCACTTGCAAGAGGTCTCCCCGCAGTGCATCTATTCTGCGACATTGTTCGAGTCTTTACCTTTCACAAACCACCTAAAGATGCAAGCCTCGCAGAAGTGGCGTACCTGCGTCGTTTGACCCAGCTGCGCATGCCTGTAGAAGAAGAAGAAGAAGAAGAAGCAATTCACCCCGAGACTCAAATCCCACTGACTTTCCAGAACCCGTCATTGACAACCAGCAATGACACTTACTTCAAGGACGTCTGGAAGTCGGACAAGAATCTAGAAAAAGATCTGGCACGGCACGTCACGCTCACTGGATTGAAAACGGCCAAGGATGTCCGCGACTCCAGACCCCTTCCGCCTCGCCGCTCGTTCCAGCAGCAGGCACAACTGATCAAAGATGCTCTCACTGTTCAGAAGGGCTTCGACGATATGTGGCCTAAAGAGCCGGTAAGCAGTTCATTCCTACATCTGAAGACCCACAGCTAACCCTATCGGATACAAATCATAGATCCCCCTTGTGCGATCCCGTTCGGTCCCTATTCCTACTCCTGCACCTATCCCCAGACCTCAGTCTAAGGCTGAGCTACCCGATATCTTCGACGGAGAGGAGTACATCGCAGTCCTCCTTTGAGCGACGTCAACCAGAATAACCTCTCACTCGATCAGATTGCACTTATATCTCCTTCATCTCCTCAGAATCACGCAACGTACAATCCAAAGACATCACATACGATTGCCTCAAACACACGAGTCATATCGCATACTTTCGTCCGAAGTTTGTCAAGTACTCGAACACACCAATAGGACAAACGGATAATACAAAACATCTATCCCCTTAACTACACTCACACTTTCCCAGCCATCCAGCCAACCCAGGACTACGTCCCCGCATCTTCAGCATCTCTTCTACCTTTTTTCTACCTCTTTTCGACAGTTCTTGATCTATTTCAGGAAACAACATGCCAGTGCACTATTACTCATCCGCTACATGTGACGCCATTCAGAGGCGAAGCTTTCTTTGGGATGCAACTTTGCCAGGAATCGAGGTAAAAACTTCAACAGAAAGGAAGCGGAAGAAAGAGCCAGGAATGTTATCCAGGGTTCTTGGAGGGATTGCTATCTTTTTTATTTTTTTTTTTTTAAAAAGTTCCATAGCACTGCGTCTTTCATGTATCTAACCTAGAAAATTGAAGACGAAGAAAGAGAAACGGAATTCCTAGAGTGGACTGAGACCATTGCATGATGGTACATGGTCTGCCCTGCGGAAATGCCTTTTCCTTTCTGCGGGCTTGGTTCATGAGTTCACCGGTCCCGGCGGGTGACTTGAACCTTCATCGACAGAGAATCTGGAGATAGGGCTGTTACTCAGTGCACATGACATTTGGGACTGTCTGCGTGGCAGGTTTGAGCTGCTCTGCCGGACTTTTCACATGTACTACCAAAGAATTCAATAGTGCTGCCGGTCCCGCCTGTTGGCTTGGAATTAGGGCTTTGCATCGAGATTCTTGTTCCGCCTTTGTGCAGAAATCATGTGCCTGTTCCGGTAAGCCGGTGAACTCTGCCGGAGGTGGATGTAGTACATTCACCATGAGTCTTCAACTAGAGGCTGTTGATGCTGTTGTCATTGCTGTTTTCTTGATAGCCTACTCAGATTTCCCTTGCCTGCGCTGATGTTTACATTTACCTACTTACTTGTGCAAAGCTACCGGTGGCTGACCACCCTTCCAACTTTGCAATGTGTCTGGAGATGGGCTGATGAAGCAGTATCTGAGAACATGGCAGTCACGTCAACGGTCACAATATGGAAGTATCGATCATAGCTAGTTCCCACTTTCATAAGTTACATAAAGAAAACACCCGAAATAGTTATCTAGATCAGTCCAAACCCGAAAAAAAGCACTTTTGTTTTTATCCCGCCATGCTATTAAATTCCAGTAAAGGGTCAATCATCGCCAAATCATCAACTGTGGGATTCGCCGCACTGGGTATCTTGGTATCAATATCGTGCATCATGTCGTCATGAGGGAGAAATTCTCCCGTCGAGTAAGCGCCGCCGCTGCCACCATCATACTGGACCACCGGGCCTGCAGCAACCGGTTTGCCGTTGGGATTGTACGGCTCATACCCGGGCCCTTCATCGTCGTTGTCAAACTCCAGCCCATATAACCCAAACAAATCTCCCATCATGGCCGCCGCCGCAGCATCACTGGTGGTAGACTGTCGCTCGCCATTATCCGCCAATAGGGCTCGCTGCATGAACAGATCCCGGATTTCATCTTCCGAGCATCCGTGCTTGCTTCCCATATGCACCCAGAGATCGTAGTTCCGGTGAAAGCGATGCGCGCATCCTCCCTCTAAGCATGGAATCTGGCGTCCCGTTTCCTCGGCGTAGCCCGCGCCCGTTAGTGCCGCCAACGCCGACGGTCCCGCCCCTGCCGTGCCAATGGTCGTCTTCGGTGCCAAGCCTAACCGGCGGCGCCGTTCTGCCTTGGCGTTCGGAAACCCCATGTGCGCCGTGCGAATGTGTTCCTCGAGGGCTAGTTTGCTCCCGTAGCGCTTGCCGCAGCCGTGAGCGGCGCCGCCGGGCCAGCCGGCGACGCGCTTCGAAGCGGAGAGGTCGGTTTCGCCGCAGACGAATCGTTTCTCGCCTTGATGCACGGTACGGACGTGCACGGTCAGGTTGCCCTTCTTGGTGAAGCTGCTGTCACAGCCGGGGACGGTGCAGGGGAAGACCTTGCGGTCCGAGAGGGGAACGTTGCCGTGAGCAACCTCAAGGTGGCGGCGGAGCTCGCGTGTCGTGGAGCAGGTGAGCGGGCAATGGGGGCATTGCGGTGGATGGGCGGCGCGGATGTGGGCTTGGAGGAGGGCGTACGTTGGGAACGTTGCTGCGGTTGTGGGCGTTGTCGTTGCAGGGGAGCTCGTGGTGCTAGTGGCAGTCTGTTCATTATCCGCTCGTTGAGCACATTCGGCGCAAGTAAAGCGTTTCTCGGTGTGAACCCGGCTTTCGTGCGCGCGGAGATGTCCAGCCGTATCGAATGCCATGGAACATTGTTGGCCCGTGGTTGGGTCAACGTGCGTACACGGGAAGGGCTTCTGGTGTAGGTGGACGCTCAGGATATGCTTCTGCAGGGTCGTGTGTTTTCGGAAAGTCTCGTCGCAAGGCGGATATTCCGTGCACCGATACTTGTCCCGGCCATCGTGCGCAGCCAGATGTCGTCGGAGACGCGAGCCGGTCACAAAACTCTTTCCGCAGCTAGGGCGATCGCAGACGTAGTCTCGAACCCCTGTGTGAGCACTTTTCACATGATGGTTCAAATGTGACGCTCGAAGGAAGCTTTTGTCGCAGCCGTCATGGGGACACTGGAAGAGGCGCTCGTTGTTGTGGGAGCGTAGATGCTCTTGAAGGCGTGCTGGACGGTTAAATGCCTTGGTACAACCGTCGAAGGGGCAGTGGTGAGTTTTCAGTTCGGATGGGTATCTGGACGATGTTGTGGACATAGGTGTTGCTGGAGTTTCATGAAGACTGTCCTCCACTTCACTGTCACTATCCGATAACGCATACTCGGCGTCAGAGTGCTTTTCCTGATAAATCGGGTCTGAGATGAGAGGATTAGCATTGCGTGCTATCGCAGGAAGGGCGGTATACTGTCTAGCCTACCGTCATCATCGTTAAGCGTTGGCAGCCCCTGCAACCTTTTAGGGCTAGGGAGTTCCCCGGTAGCCTTTCTTTTCAGGCTCATTTTCTCGTCATCCGCTACCTCGTCTATCCAAAATGCTAAAATAGCATCATAAGGATGATTAGATGGAAGACGAAGGACGAGCAGGAGACAAACACAGAAAAAGGAAGCCCTGCAGATTGAATTTTGCCAAAGCGGTGAAAAGATACTGCCCCAGAACGGACTAGCGCCGGTCGAGAAGACAGGAACTTTTTCCGCCTTTTGGAGGTCGGCAAACTACGATTTCTGCACCTCAACAAAGCAAAGGCTGTCGCATCACTCCTTCTCTCGCTTCACCTGTTCCGGTCGCGGTCCCGGCACCTCTTTTCGTTCAAATACACGGCCAACTGTCTTTTAAGGATCTTGACTGATTCTCGATCGGCACCATGTCTGACTACGGCGATCACGGCGATGAGGATAAGTAAGAGCTTCCTCGATATGGCTTGCAGCTAGCATTGCGCACCTCGGGATTTGCGCAGCTGGCGGTTGGCTACCTTCCGATCTAGAGAGATTGTATGATGATCTGACTTCGATCTTCTCCTATCTTGCAGCTACGACTACGAGCCCGCGGAGCAGGAGTACGATGACAACGAGCCTGAGGACTTCATCAACCCCGACGATCTGGATGGCGCTGAGGGAGCCGAAGATTATGGCGACTCGTATGAGCCAGCCGTGAACGGCGACCGTGTGGTTGTCTCAGGCGACCCGAATGCCGGTTACTCAGGCAAGGTGATGGAGCAGGCGCGCGAGAAGAAGGTGCCCAACGATCAGCGCACGACGACCCCATATATGACCAAGTACGAGCGGGCGCGTGTCTTGGGTACCCGGGCTCTGCAGATCAGGTTGGTTTCGAACATGTTCCCGAACAGGCTGTCAGAGGACTGGGTGAAATTGACCGTGACATCAGTATGAACGCTCCGGTGCTTGTTGACCTCGAGGGTGAAACGGATCCTTTGCAGATCGCCATCAAGGAACTCAACCAGAAGAAGATTCCTCTCATCGTACGGAGATATCTTCCGGATGGCTGGTAAGCGCGACGTCTCACGCGAGCAACCAGTTTCGAGTGTCGTATCTAACTCTAGTCACCAGGTATGAGGACTGGACATGCGAGGAGCTGTTGTAAAAATGGTGGAGACGGTACGGAAGGTTGTACATTGATAAATGGTTTTCTGTTTTTTCTTGCTTCATAATGGTCACGGTCTAAGTATTTATCTCTTGGGCAGCATAGCGTTTGGAGTTTCGGGGTAGGGAAGCAAGCCAGAAAGGCTTGAGCAATCCCTAGGTCACTAGGACGAGCGCAGAGAAAAAAAGACTCACAAGGATAATGCACTGCAGTATATAACGGTAAAATGAAAAAAAAAAATCCATTCATGTCGACAGAGTTGTACTGAGTCTCATTTGGACGTATAGCTATTTCTGGCGTGTCACAATACCAACTGCCCATTTACCGCAACTTGGACTTAGTTAATAGTAGAGGTAGTCGCAAATAGAACACTTGAACAAGTCGAACTAGCCCGTCGCATTGCTGGTGCTGTACATACAGTACACGAGGCATTCATGCATAGCGACATATGATGCATCATATCAAGCACGATGCGCCAGCTCACCACCGCAACCCCGTTGTGTCATTGTATCATTTGTACGAAGTATTCGCAAATAGAACTTCAGGCATGTTTCGAACTGACCTGGCCATTAAACACTCTGATGTCGAGTCGTTGACTGCAGTCGAGGTGCAATTTTTTTTGCATTGGCTAAGCGAGAAAACCTCCGTCGTACTTCGCCTTGCCGAATCTAGTAACCTCTGTTGAGTGTTGACACATTCTAACCTCAGTCACTCTCTTCTTCTCTGCCTCATCGCCGCCATAAGTTGTCTTTGCTCTGTATCTCTTCAATGAAGATGCCAGCAATATCCAGGAACATTATATTGCGAGGCAGATGGCCGGGATGACCTGCCTTTTCGAGGGATGTGGAGTAGTTCAGTGAATAGTAAGTGTGCGTGCGTTGCGTGTCTGAAAAGTCGGTTCGTGCCGCGGCTTTGATCGTTGACTCATGATCCACCAGGCTTTCCTCCCCAGCCAGTGCCTGCGCAGAGTCAGTGTAACCTGCTGCATCAGACTTTCAAAATAATTAGACTAAGTTAGTCTCGTGCTTCAGAAGCTGAGATTCGAGGACTCTTTCTCCGCCTGGATAAATCGGCACGCTGCTGACCCTTGTTCCTTACCAATCTGCACTTGGATCGGCCTGCTAATGCATCAGCTCCAGGCCATAAAATGGCCATAATGAAATCGTTCAAACGCACGGCAGTGACGGCACAGGTTCATGCATCTCCTTCAGTCCAGGACTAGGATCGGGTTATGGCTCAAGCCCCTCTTTCCTGTCATCTGACGAACACTTCCTTGAAGCCATAATAGAACTTCCAAGTATCGTCGAGATAAGATGCGTCGGCCTCTGGCCCCTGGGGTAATGGGCCTCCTCCTCCCTCCCCGGCAAGAGTCTCCATCTGCATATCCGGAACCCACCCGCAAGACATCCAGTAGGATGCCTCCTTCAACGGAGCTGTCAGGCCATTGGTACCATATTCACTCTTTACTGGTTGTTTTACCATCTCCAAGTCGCTGGAGTCGACACGGCTCCATGTTAGAGTGGACCCCTGGACGGCTTTTTTTTTTCTTGTGGAGTCTGCTTCTTCTACTTTTCTAGCTTCCAAGCTCGATCCTAGGGCGTGGCCCCTCCCTGGTGAGTTTTTGGACCGAGAAAAAAATACATTATTAATCACACTACGCTCCCACATAACTACTGTTTCAATTGTCTTTAAATTCTAGGTTTAGCAGTGCCTGATATTTATCGACGGAACCTCTATATTGTGTCATCGTACGACCGCCGGCCGTGTTCAGATCTCAAAACGCTGTCGGTCTTTCCCTCTACCTTGCCTCTGGCGCTGACTCTCCGCTTGACGATTATCTCGGCCCCAAGCATAATCGTGGTGGAAGATGGGAACCAATGCTGATATAAAGGAGAAGGTCTCCGTGGAGTCTCCCAGCACCACTAATCAGAATGGCAGCAACACGATCACTCCTCTGTCGGACGACAAAGCCCCAGAGCCGACCTTTGATACCGGTCTCATTTCTTGGATTCAAGTCATAGGGTCCTGGTTCTTGTTCTTCAACTCATGGTATGTTTTGCGCTCACATATCGCGTTGGTCGCTTTGCGAGCTGCTGACTTGGATTAGGGGAGTGATCAACACCTGGGGTGCATACCAGACATACTATGAAGAGAATACATTGAAGCATATGTCCTCTTCCTCGATTGCCTGGATTGGCTCGCTGCAAGCCTTTCTGCTGATGCTTTTTGGGGTGGTAACGGGCCCTCTATTCGATGCAGGATACTTCCGTGCGCTCCTTGGGTTCGGAACCATCATGCTTCCCTTCAGTCTCATGATGACCAGTCTTTCTACTAAGTTCTGGCAATTGATTTTATGCCAAGGAATCCTACTCGGTCTTTCCGCCGGTTGCCTCTTCGTTCCCTCTGTCGCCATTCTACCTCAATATTTCAAGCAGAAACGAGGATTGGCGAACGGACTGGCAGCCTCGGGGAGCAGCATCGGTGGCGTGATTTATCCCATCATGTTTGATCAGTTACAACGGCGGGCTGGCTTTGAATGGGCTACTCGAGCCGTTGGCTTTTTGTCTTTTGGAACCTGCTGCATTTCGTTCTGTCTCATGCGCATGCGATTCCCTCCGAAAGAGAAGCGAAAGCTTGTCCAGCTGTCTGCGTTCAAGGAGCCAGTCTTTGCCATGTTCTGCATCGGTATGTTCCTGGGCTTCCTAGGATTCTATAACTTCCTCTTCTATATCCAATCGTACGCCATTGACACTAAGATCGTTGACGCCAACCTGGGCTTTTACCTGCTTGCCATGCTGAACGCGGGCTCAACTTTCGGTCGAATCTGTCCCAACTTCATTGCCGACCACATTGGACCGATGAACGTACTTCTGCCTGCTGCCACAGGAACTGCCATCCTGGCTTTCGCATGGATCGGTGTGCACAATGTCCCCGGAATCATCGTCCTGTCTGTTCTATACGGTCTCTGCTCCGGTGGTTTCGTCTCGCTGCCGCCTGTGGTGATGGCCTCCATGACCAAAGACATCCGCGACCTGGGAACTCGGCTTGGTATGCTCTTTGCTGTGACTTCGGTCGGTCTGTTGATCGGAACTCCTATTGGCGGCGCGATTCTCAGCAACACCGGGCAATACCTGGGGGTGCAGCTCTTCACTGGATGCTGTCTTATTTCCTCCTCGGTTATTTTTGCAGCTCTGCGATATTCTCGCACCGGTCCTCATTTCCTGGTACGGGCTTAAGATTGTCTCACGGAGTACTAGACGATGCATTACATCTCCACGAGCTGTAGACGATCATGTCTGGATTATCTATTTAGCATGCTAGTCTAATTTTCAGCATACTGATTTCCACGATGTTACTCGAACCGCATGCTTTAGCGATACCATTCATTTGCATAATCTTCAATGGGAAGGCAGGCGTTACTGATAATAGAATATGAGTTCGCGTCGCGAAGATAGTACTCTTGATATTTTTGGTTTCCCACGTGATACATACCTACGATGCATCCAAAATCACTGATCTTGATTCTCGTTCCGATTGAGCACAACGTCCAGCTTCCCTACTCGCTTGTTTCTTAATGCATAAAACTTTGGCCACGATCCACTAACACACCTTGTTGTTTTATTATCAATTATTCTCATAAGGATCACCACCTAACTTGAGTCGAAGTCATCAACGCCTCAACACCTAGCTTCTCGAAGATACAAGCGATAGCGTCTGTCGCTGCTAAAATTCCCTCATCGACCTTTGTATACTTACACATCGCTGTCCGTACAACGACTCTAATCCCCGAGTGTCCCCCCATCCCACTTCCTCTCCTCGCACGATCACGAAACATCCACCGGATCCACCAAGAATTCCTCCCCTTTCTCCCGAACATGCTGCAAATTCTTATCGCGACTGCACGGCTTGCGCATATCGAAGGCATCCTCGCCCGTCTCTGACATCCCCGACGGATCATCACTATAATATCCCACGACTCGCCGGAAGACCGAATACCTGCGCAAAATCAGGACGTAAGCCAACACCGTTCACAACACACACACACACACACACACACACACACACAATGCTCCAAAAGACAGAAGATTGAGACACATACCCCATGCCCTTATACATATCCACCGCGACCTTATTCCCGGCGCGCACATACAGATCCACGAACCAGGCGTCATTGATATCGGAGCCCCGCTCGAGGCGCTCGGTTAGGCGCCGCGCGTGGCCCAGCCGGCGCCATGCGGGCGCCACGGTCAAAACGGTGATGTGGCCGTGCCAGGGTGTGTAGTGTTCCGAGTGGCGCATGTGGGCGGGCTGTTCTTCGAGTTTGCCCATAACTGTTGTTTTTGGGGGTGTCTGGGTTAGTTTGATGTAGGGTTTGCGCTTTTTGCTTGTGCACTTTTTGCTTCTTTTGGGGGTTTTCTTCCCTTCTTTTCTTTTTCTTTTGTTTTTTCGCGGGGATAGAGAGGAGGGGGGAAGGTGTTTGCGTACTGTAGCCGACAATTCCTTCTTGACGATCTTGGACGCTGCTGAACAGGGAGGGCCAGCGCATGAGGTAATTCAGATAGAAGCCCAGGTCATAGTTTTCGGTCAATGGGTCGAGATTGGTGAGGTTGAGGGAGAGGAGGTCCGTCGGGGACATGCGGCGGATGGAGGACATTGTGGCTGGGGATGGGAGTTATGATAGTTTTGAGGAAATTGGGATCATATGAGAGATATAGAGATATGAGAAGGAGTCAATGAGAATGGAGGAAGAATAGAGCAGCAAAAGATTGTGGAGTGAGAGAGCTGTCAAGGTCCACAATCTATAGATTTTTGGTGCGGGGAAGGATTGAGGGCGATGAAATCAGAGGGGCTCTTGGGCGGCGGGCGGTGAGCGGCGGGCGGGCGCAGGCAAGACAAAAACAGCCATTGATTATTGTTTTTCGGCTTCAATTATTATTTCGGATGCTAAAGTTATTTCTTTCTCCTTTCCCCTTCCCCCCTTCCCCTCAATTCATCCTCTTGCTTGACAATTCCAAAATACTACTCTTACACACTCCTGACGGCTTTTTTCTTTCTTTATTGCCTTCACTCGACACTCATTGTTCTTTCTTCTCTTCCTTTCCTTCCCCTGAGCGTTCGGAGCATCCTGGTGATGCGGTCGGCGATCCTCCCGTATTGACTTTCCCCTGTTGTTTATCCCGTGGCAGTCCGCCCCAGCCCACTTGACGAATTTCGACACGAACAAGTTTCTCTGCTCGCTACAAGATACACCTCCTGTTACCTTTCTGAAATACAGACCTTTCGAGTCTCAACCACCTTCGCAACTGATTAAATCACAATCATGCCGTCCATTCCCCCTCCCCTGACTCTATCTCACCGCCACACGCGGAGTCGATCATCCAACATCGACTTCGACCCAGTTTCACCAGGCACTTACGCTCCTAACGGCTTTTCCTACCATTCTCCTCGATCGCCTCGGACGCCTCGTTCATCTGCGCCTCCCTCTCCCGTCGATTCTCGCCCGCAGCGTGCCAACAGCATTAATGAGTCGCACCGGATGTCGGTCGATTTTGGCGGCGTCGCCGGTGGAGGCGGGCTGGGCAATTTAGCCGATGAGCTGGCCGACGCATGGGAGGAGGAAGAAGGGGGTTACGGATACGCCTCTGGGCAAGACACCGGTGTCCCTGACACACAATACGCGCAACAGAGCGAAGACGACGCTGCATACAACCATCACACACGATCCCCGTCATCCGGGTACTCCCCAGAGCGGAATTCCACCCTGCAACCCCCACGGCCCAAGACGCGCAATGGCGCCCAGCGACAACACCGGCGGTATGAATCGCAGTACGATGGCTCCGACTACGGAAATGACTCGGATTTCGAGGAATCGGATATGCCCCCGAGCCTGGAAACACAGATGGCGGAGATTGAGAGTCTGGCTCGAAGAGGTATTGAGAACAACGGGAGTGAGAATGACTATGTGATCCCGCGAACGGTGGAGGCTTTGCGGGACTTGGGCGCTCAGAGCGGCATCGAGAATAATGCCATGAGGTACGTTATAGCTCTTTTGGTTGGTGCAAGAGTGGCTATTCAGACTGACGCGAGATCTTTAATTCTCTTTCTCCTCAGACTCATCACCGCTCACTCCTCCATCACGTCGCATCTCACACACCAAACCCGGGCCCTTCAAACCCTCATCCACCCTCTTCTATTCTCACCTTTTCCGCTTCTCTCCGAGGACGCCATTGACGCACTTATCCCGCTCATCGACGAAGAACTCTTGCCGAACCTCCCCTATCCTTTCCCCGACCAGTCACGACACTCCTCCCGACCCACTACCCCTTCGCAATATTCGGCTCTGAACCCGCTCACGTCGCTACAAAGTCTCGTCTCGCAGACCTCTGACATCACCCTCTCCCTCCAAAGCCTAAGCGACACGCTGTACGAGAATCGACAACTGACCTCCACTGCGTCGCGAAGGCTCCGGTCTGCCCGGGAGCTTGTTGCAGAGCTCCGCCGGGAAGAAGAGGGTCGCGAGGAAGGGACTCGATGGCTCGAACGCGGCGACTGGGACCGGCGTCTGCGGGACCGCGAAGCCGGCCGTGTTTGTGGCGAGGTGGTGAGCGGTTTCGAGGCTGTATGCGGTGAATGGCGTGAGAAGCTCTTCGGGGCTGCTGGGGCTACCGCGGTTGCTGGAGCAGAAGTAGCAGCCGCGTGATGAACCTTTCCCCCCTCTTCTCTCGAAAGACCGCATTCAAGGAGGATAATCTCTTTTCTGATCTGACTGCCCCAAATATCAAAAGGACTCACTCGCATGATGTAATGGCCCCTTTTGCTAGACATTCGCCTCCAAATCACCCCCAAGCTCCGTTCTCTTCCTCTTTCCTTGATATCCTTCTCTTCAACCAGTATATAGATCTTACTTTGATATCTTGCAGTTATGACTTTCTACTTATCTACGTGAAAAATTATTTATTTGTTCTCCTCTTTCACGGACTGGAAATGGTGTGTGGCTCTGATTGCTGATCTAAATCTGAATTAATCCCTACTCTCCTCTTTCGCTGATGGTCGAATGATAGATTTGCGCTTATCGTGCTTTTCAGTCCATCATGACTTCCTGCCTTATCGGTTGAATCAAACTGAAGGACATGCCTGTTGTCTGCTTGCTTGCATACCTTGGATCTGTATGTCATGGATCATCATCCCATGCCCCATAGATATACCACAGGAAACAGCTAAAGGAACCCCACAGAGAGTACCCTGTTTACCAGCTCATTTGTGACCCCCGGACTTTGCCTACTTTACCCGGCAGCCCTATACCGATTGAATTCTGATACTAAATTGGGTTTAACACCCACATCGGTTACGTACTCCGTACACAGCGATTCTCCTTATTACAAAAACGGGAAACCCCCAGATACTGTTTCGTAAATGTATGGAAAGAAGAAGGTAGATCAAATATACCATCCACGCGGTGGATGCATGCATCTAAGTCAACGTTGTTGGAGCTCAAATTGCCCATATTTGCGAAGCAAAAAAAAAAAAGCACAAAATGACCACATTAAGATAAAGGATGAGAGGAAAAAGAGCAGCGGCGGCAGCGACAAGAGGGCAAACTAACTTTGTACTACACTGTCGAAAAAGAAGGCTGGAACCCTTCCCCTGGAAAATCCCGCTTTTTTTTGTTCTTGAATAAACAAAATCAAGTCCCGGGATGCAAAGGGAGGCCAGGGAGCGGACATGAACGGTATCTTTTTATCAAAGGAAGGAAAAGAAAGAAGAAAGTCGGACTCGGAAGGGCAGAAGATGAAGGGAGGAAGGAAGAGAAGGGCTTCGAGGACAAAGTACGGAAAGAGGGGGTAGGAGAGGGAAATAAAGATGGAGAGGATATTTCATCATCATCGGCATCATATCAATCGCACACGCGTACACACACACACAGACACACATACGCCCCTTTTCTGCAATGAGAATTTCTTCTTGTTCTTTCCCAAGAGAAAAAAAGAGAAACTTTTTAGGTTCAAAAGTCGGTCATGTCATGAAAGAGAGAGTAAACAAAGTATCTACTGGCCCTGCTGCTGCTTCCACTTGGGTACCCACTTACCGCCCGAGGAGGGCTTGGACTCGTCGGAAGCAGGGGTCTGAGTGCGCGAAGGAGGCTGGGAAGAGCTGGAGTCGCGAGCGTGACGGGGCACCCAGCGCTCCGTCGAGGGAGCCGGAGCGGCGGCGGGAGTGGCGTTGGCTCCGGAGCGGAGGTGAGGAGGCACGTAGCCACCACCGGTGCGGCGGGGAGGCTGAGCCTCTTCTCTGGCGGGAGCAGCAGCCTCGGCGGGAGCGGCGCTGGTAGGGGCTCCGCCAGCAGCAGCGGCCTCCTTAGCGGCCTGGCGCTCTCTCCAGCTGGTACCAGCACCACCTGTGCGAGGAGCCAGGTTGAGACGAGGAGCAGTACGTTCGGTAGGAGCAGCAGCGGCGGCGGCGGCGGCGGCGGGTTCGGGCTCGGGTGCCCCAGTCTTACGGGCCATGCGACGGGCCTCAGCTTCCTCTTCACGCTGTTTCTGTCTAGCAGCCATCTCATCGAGTCTCCTATGGAAGAAATTAGTATGGTGCGCAATCGGGACAATGAAGTGGGATACTGACTTTCTCTCCTCCTCACGCTTGACCTTCTCCTCGGCCAGAACGCGACGGCGCTCCTCTTCCCTAGCCACTCTCTCCTCCTCTTCGCGCTGGGCGCGCTCCTCCTCCTCCCTACGGCGGCGCTCCTCCTCCTCACGCTCTGCCTTCTCACGGCGGCGACGCTCCTGGACTTCCTTGATACGCTGCTTCTTCTTGGCCTCGAAGTCGCGCTCGGCAGCCTTGCGACGCTTCTCGAACTCCTCGTGGCGCTTCTCGGAGACCTCCTTGCGGAAGCTGTTGAACTGGGGCACCAGGCGGCTGAGACGGTGCTTGAGGGCAACAGCCTCCTTGTGCTTGTCTTCGGCCTCCTTAAGGGTCTCGGCCTTCTGGGCCTCGTAGATTTCCATATCGCGCTTCTTCTGGGCCTCGTAGTCTTCGGGGATGTGCTTAAGTTCCTCACGACGGAACGCACGCTCCAAGTGGTCAATACGCTTGGCGGTGGTGCGAACGCGATCATTGAGCTCGTTCTTCTCCTTCTCCAGCTGCGCCAGCTTCATGGCACGAAGGCGGTTGGCATCAAGCTCGCTCAGGTCGAGCTCGCTGATGTCAATGCCCTTAACGCCACTCTTGAGCTCCTCGATCTGCTTCTTGAGCTCCTGCTGGCGGATGCGCTCTTGCTCATCCTGGATGCGCTTCTTCTCACGCTCGCGTTGCTCGTCGGCCAGGCGCTGCTTCTCAGCTTCCTGGAGCTGTTGAGTGCGGATGCGCTTGCGGGTCTCCTCATCGCGTTGCTTGCGCTGCAGAGCATCGGTAGCAGCCTCCTTCTTCTTCTCGATGATGACACGGCGAGCCAGAGTCTCCTCGTGCTCCTTGGCAGCACCGGCCTCAGCCCGGGCAAGAGCAGCGCGCTTAGCCTCCAGGCGAGCCTCGCTATAGGAGGGATCGACGTACATGCAGGTGACGTGAAGGGTCTTGGCCAAGCGAGTGAGCTGCAGGCGAGCAATCTCGGCGGGGGTATTCTGAAGGCGCTGGACGGAGCCGACCTCGCTCTCGGCAGAACCAGCAGCACTACCGGGGTGCAGGGCCTTGGCCGAGGAGAAGACATCGGTGTCGAAAGTGAGAACGCCAGAGGTGTGGTCCACACGGATGGCGAGATCGCCCTTCTTGCAACCGTTCATGATGAACTTCTCGATCATCGAAGGAGTAATCTGGAAGGGGTCGGGGAACTGAGCCAGTTCGTAGACAAACTTGAGCTCGACGGACTCGTAGACCTGAGACAGCTGCTGGAAGAGACGAGTGAGAATGACCTGCTGCAGGGGCAACACGTACTTCTCCATCTCGGGATCCGCGCCAATCTGCTTGAGGATGGGGGTGATCTTCTTGCAGATGGAGAGGGGGTGGAAGTCCACCTCAAGGATGTTGTAGAGGTCGCGGATCTCAGGGCGGACGCGCTTCAGCAGACCCTTGTTCAAAGCATCCTTGAAGAGGATGGCACGGGAGGGAGCCTGAGCCATACCAAGCAGGTTGGTGAGGCGAGTGTTCTTATTCTTGCGGACCTCATCGACATCGACCAGCGCACCGCGGGAGCGGGAAGTGCTGATGACAGGGATCGAGAGAGCTGACAAAAGAACGAAAGAAGCAGCCTTGGTCATGTCAGCCTCGCTGACGGAGGGGTTCTCCTTCTTGGTGCTCTGGCCAGCGGCAAGGGCAGCAGCGGACTGGCGGAGCAGGTTGTAGTAGCGGCTCCAGGCGGCAGCGTGGAAGAGGTAGTTCTCGCTGACGAGGAAGATGCGGGCCAGCTTTTCGTAGTAGTTGGCCATCATGACATTCTTGGCGGGACGCTTGGAAAGACTCAGCAGAGTGTGGATGTCCTCAATGCTGCGGAAGGCCTCCTGCCAGAGCTCAAGCTCAACGGCCACGTTCAGCTGTTGGAAGCGGGTGTCCAAGTGACGCTGGAGGGTGTCGGGATCGCTGAGGTTGATCGCGTGCATCTGGGCGGAGTACTTGGCGGCGTTCTGAACATGGTTGCGCAGGAGCTCGCACAGACGACGGAACTCGGTCTTGCGGGTGTACTTGAGGCAGAACTGGAAGGCCTGCAGAGCGGTGGTCTGGTACATCACCTCCAGGCGAGCGTTGTTCTTGAGGATTTCCAGCACGGTACGGTAGGTTTCCCAGAGAAACTTGAGCCATGGGGTGACGACAGCGCGGTCGGTACGGTCGCGGGACTGTTCTCCGGAAACGGTGGCCAACAGAATGGTCTCAGGGGTTTCGATAGCCTCCAAGTCATCAACGTTGGAAGAGGGAGCGGCGGACTCGAGGGAAGACTGAATCTCGTCGGCCTTGGCCTGGGCCTCGGTGACCTTGGTCTCGGCGAGCTCGATGAACTTCTTCAGGACAACCTATGACACGAAACAATGTTCCCCTCCGGTCAGCCTTTGCTTTTATGATGGTAGCAGCGAGTGGTCCTACCTCGATGGTACCGACGTTGGTGTTTTGGGCGATGTTCTTGTACTGGTAAAGACCATCCTTGGCGGACTTGCCCTTGCGGAGATCGACACACAGCTCAACGAAGAGGAGCATCACGGGCTCGAGCGAGACGATAGGCGTGCTGCGCGTTCTCTTGGAGGTAACATGTTCGTGAAGGACGTTGAGAGCGGCGGGGGCCTGGCCCACGGCGATGAGTTCCTGAGCCCTCTGCAGACAACAAGCCGTTAGTTTAAAAAGATCTCATCATTGCCCATTGTCATCTTCTTTTATCCTTGTCCTCCCCGCGGTCCAACAAGATTCTCCGACCTCCTCCCGACCGACATCGCGTACCTTGAGGACATTTTCAGGTTTGATATGGGGCGGCGGCGGCATGATGGGCGATGTAGCGAATGGGAAACACGATCAGTTGTTGATAGAAGGTGAGAAAAGGTGGATCGCACAACGACGGGCGGGCAGCAGAGGTCGATGGCGACAAAAGCCTAGAGGTAAAATGAGGCTGCCACGCGACGGTCGGCGAGATGACCCAGACGACAAAGCCGATGGGAAAAGATGGATGGGGGGAGGGGGGGGGAGGGAAGGGAAAGAGAGGGAGAGGGTGTTGTTGGTTGAGGGCGGCGGTGGTCGTCGTTGTGCGAGAGTCCGGCGAAAAAAACCAAGATTTGCCCACTTTGGGTTAAGCGACCTTTGCACGGCTGGGATCACGTGATGTCATATCATCCTGCCTACACCTCGAATTTCGTACCTACAAATGTATCTCATGCTACGAGATTGTATTCTACAATGTGTATCTCTTTTTCTACTGATGGATGATAGAAGTAATCATGGTGGTTGGAAAAACATCATAAAGGTGGCGGAGACTCATCGAGCCGTGTCCTCCTCCACCAACCAACTGGACCACCAACTGGGCCACCCGCAATTTATCTTCCGGAGAGTGAACAATAGGAATGACTGAATGAAATGGGAAGACATCCATGGAAACCCCCAGACGAGAACTATCCGGTAAGCCAGCACTTCGCAAACGTCTTCTGTCCTTTGTGCCAGCTGGTGCGATCGCCATCGGAGCTATCAAGCTTTGCAGGGTTGATGTATCCAACGACAGCAGCCGGACAACTGTCAAGCCCACTGACTGCACGTGAGGCTCACACCTCCAAGCGACGACCCCCATCCGGGCATGAGAGGATCGATCAGGGACAGAGCTTGAGCAGGCCCAGGTAGTAGCCTGTCTTGTCTCGTCTGGCCTGTTTTCAGGGGTGTCGGAGGGTCAAATGGGAAGAGAAAAATACGACTAGACGGGAAATTAGATTCGACCGCGCCGTTTGGGTTCCGAATTATAGAAACAGCAGAAACACACCACCACAGACCAATTGTTCCAGTGGTTTAGGTTCTTTTTAGTGCATGCTTGGGATTGTCGTGCTAAGCACCAACACTCACTAATTATTATAGATTTGTAGTTAGTGAGATGGTAGGTAGTTTTGGGGAAGAGTCCATCGAGTTGGAAGCACTGAAGAAGTCTTAGCTAGTTAAAAGAATGGTTTAGTTAAGTGGGAAGAGGTATCAAGTGGGTGGGTTTAAATTATCCCCTCCTTATTTTTTCCTGCTTAGTAGTAAAAACGAACAAGACCATGATTTGGGAATAGCTCCAAACCTCATCAATTCCCCCCCCTCTTTCTCGCTCTCTCTCTCTCTCTGTGCCTTTTTGTCTCTCCACTTTTCCCACATCCTGCTCCCTCCCCAAACTTATTCCCTATTCACTCTTACGGAGTCTTACCCACTACTTGGACTTGACGACTGACTAGCAACCAAACTACCACTAAGTTACTAGTTAACCATCTCTCCCTCTCTCCTCTTACCTCTTCTTACTTACTCTTCCCGTCTTTTCCTTCCCTTCCTTTCCTTCTCTTCTCTCTTTTCTTCCCTGTTGGATCGTCCCCCTCTGCTTTCCCTCCCACCCCCTACGGTTCTTGTCTGTCAGTCTGTCGTCTTATCCTCGCTTCACTGGCCTCCACTTCCCACTTCTTCTCCTCCCGCCAAGTTCGCTCATTCAATCTCCTCCTGCTGCTGCTGCTGCTGGTGTTTGGTGGTTTTACCTCTCCTTAATCCAACACAGCCTCCCACCACCATCCCTCTCCCCTTACAGCTGCTGCACCGCGCCGACCGCAAACCTTAACGGCGACTCCGACCTCTCTCTACCAGCTGCCATTCGCAATCCTACCACTACTTTATCGCTTCCTTCTTCCATCGCTCCGGCGCCGTATCTCGATCCGAACGATCAGACCCTCAACCTTAAAACGGCGGTTGTCTCTTCCATCGCTCGTCTCATCCCCACGTTCCCGACCGACCGACCGATCCGAATCATCAAACATCAACCCAATCAGCCAAAATGCCAGCTTACGAACTCCGATCCGGTGGTGATGTCAAGAATAAGAAGCAAAGTGTGGCCGACCTCAAGTACCGTCGCCTGACAGAGCTCAATGCCCGTCTAAAGGAGGATCTCGACCGGCCCCGCGTCAAAGTCTCGGAAGCCGCCTTGTCGTATGCATTTCCCTGCCCTTCCCCCTCGCTCTTCCGGCCACCGACCAGAAAAGCGCCCCCACGTCGTGAGCAGGACCAATGACTAACCACGGTCGCATTGCACAGTCTGATCAATTACTGCAACAACACCCGCGACTTCATGGTACCATCTGTATGGGGTCAGGTATGCGATTGATGCCCACGCGGTCTTGCCTTGCGCACATTAACACGGTCGCTAACTTGAACGCGCGCGCACAGGTCGACAAGCGGGAAGACCCATATGCTCCTCAGCAGCAGGGCGGCTGCTGCACAGTCATGTAATGGACCCCATGGCTATTTTAATACCTCTCGAACTCGAGCTCTCGACCCCGCCGATGGCCGACTTACGGCGTTCTCATTTCTTTAATATCCCCTCCTGCGATGACTTTTCTTTCTGCTCGACTTCTGCTCGACTATTTTAATTTACCTTCTGACCTTCCCCTCTCGTCGACTCCAACGTGGACCTGATTCGCCTCTATGCTTGTGGACATCGGTCGCGTGCGGCGAACCACGACGACGAGAAAAGAAAGACGGGTGGTGTCTCGCGCGCGCAACTTCCGACCGGTCCCTTTCACGACCCAGCCAAGCCACGATCAGATCTCCTTGTCAGAGGGGGGTTTTTTTCCCCATTACTTTCATGTCGGTCATCTATTCCTAGGCAGCTCGACAAACTCTTGCGTCCTCATTGCAAACCTTTTTCTTCTTCAATTTCTAGTGATTTTTTATTTAAATCCATATTTCCTATGTTCAGCCGTTGAGATTTTCCATGATGGGTTTTGGAGGGAGTTGCATGCAAGGCCACGAAAACAAAAGCCGGAATCGAAAGCGGCAGGTGGAGGACCTGATTCTTGTAATATAGATTTGCGAGGCTAGTTAATGAGTATTACAGTAGGGAGAGTGTGGATTGCATTTTGACAGTTGCTTGAAATCTAAATCTCCGCATGCATGCAGGAGATACAGTAGATTGACCCTGGCCTTGCCTGCCCCGTCACACTCCACCGGCTGACATCATCATGCCCCCCCCCCCTAGTTATTGTAGTGAGCTGACTGGGGAGTACCTCAACTTGCATCTTCCTTTTCATTAACTATTCAACAACAACAACCGCTACACCACCACCACCACCACCAAACAGAACAACAAGGATATCACCAAAATGATCTCCATCCCTCACACCCCCAATCCGAACGCCTCCTCCCTCTCCACCCGTGAGCAAGACCAACTCACCACCGCCGCCAACCCGCCCCCAGCCTCCTCTGCGCCGCAGTCCCAGCAGTCGCAGCAAGAATACCACTACCCCCGTCTAACCATCCATTACTGCACGCAATGTAAATGGATGCTCCGCGCCGCTTACGTATGTTTCTCTCTGCTCTCAAGCCTCAAGCACAAGCACAAGCACAAGTCCCCCCCCCCTTCCCGAATCCTCCAAAAGTCCCAGATTAGCTAGGATCTACCGGGCCACTTACCTACCTACCTGGACTCTCAGCCCCAGTTTCCGACCTACTACCTTATCCTTAACCTCCCCCAAACCCCTCTCCTAAATAAAAAAAAGAAACATAGCTAACCACAACCCCTGGTGGGACCCCCGCACCCCATTGCCTATCCCATCGTCTCGGGTGGTGATAGGTAATGGGCAAGGGGGGGAACGGGGTGGGACGACACTACAGTTCGCGCAAGAACTCCTCTCCACGTTCTCCACGCAGTTAGGCGAGGTAGCCCTCGTGCCGGCGACGGGGGGACGGTTTACGGTGACGGTTTATCATCGGTCGGGTGGTAGCGCTACCCCTGCTGCGACCGATGAAGAAAGTGGGGGACCGGTGACGGTGACGGTGACGGAGACTGTGTTGTGGGATCGGAAGCGGGATGGGGGGTTTCCTGGTACGTGACCATACTTAGGACTCTGTCCGGATACTGCAGTGTGTACTGTGCCTGAACAGAGGGGGGGGAAAGAGGCTGCTGAGGGTGGTGACTGACTGACTGACTAAACAACTAAACTGGCTATTAGAAGTCAAGGTGCTCAAGTCGCTCGTGCGGAACGTGGTGGATCCCGGCCGGGATTTGGGACATACCGATCGGGCCTTGAACAAAGCGGCCGAGAAGAAAGAAGTGGAGGGCAATGAGCCGCAGGAAAAGTGTGAGGATTGTGTTTCGAAACCAAACATAGAGTTGTAGTATCGTCCATATGTTATAAGAAGTATCAAAAGTATGAAATATGAAGTATCAGTAACGATCTCAATATCCAGTGTCATGCAATACAATTCAGAGCACACTCCCTGCCTCCGCCAAATAGAACGCCTGTCCACGCCCCGACTCTAATGGTGCTCCGTGTCCGTGAGTCTGTGTCCTCTTGGGTGATATATAAAAACAATAATAATAAATAAGATGGAAAGTCCAGACAATGGTCAGAAGGAATAGAAAAGAAATCTTAAAAAGAAGGTGGTTGGTGAGGGACTCAAATCTCTCACATGCAAGCATCAAAAGACACGAATCCCCTAATGCTAGCAGCATATCGTCAAGATCGTCAAATGTCGAAAAAGACCACGGCCAGAGCCGCTTGCAGGCAGAACCTATGGACGCAGCCCCCTCGTATCACCAATCCGTGTCGTCAATCATGCAGTCCATCGTAAATCCCAAGTCATCAGCTGAATGTCACCGTATGCCCATAACCCAAGTTCCCCCCCCCGTGTTTTTCCATGAACACCGTGAAATCAAATCGCAGAATAACGCCAAAGAAGCAGAAGATCGTTTCAAGTCTCGCCACTCAGCTCATGCTGGTGCGAATGATGCGGCTTGCGTCGCCAAAATGCCAGTCGGAGCCGACTCCGACGCTTTACCAGTTTGAACGGGCTCGAGTGACGCTCGCCGGGCTCGCCCCACGGACGGCCTCGGCCATCGTGTTTGGAGCTGCCCGCCGTCATCGTCGATTGCCCAGAGCTGCCGGTGCCATTCCCGACCGGCGATGCGACATGCTTGCTCCCCGCATCGTACGTGTGGGGGTCGGATGCGCGACGGTTGACCGGGTAGACGGTGCCGGTCGACTCGTGATTGGATGTGGCCGGACGGATGTTCGCCCGGCTCCATTCTTCATTGTCACTCCGGCTGACACTTTCCCGGGCGAATCCTTTCTCGTCGCTGTCCACCGTCAGGAAGCTAGTCGCATTGGTAGCCGGGGAGATAGGAGTCATGTTGTTGCTGTAAGTGCTGACGCTGTGGGTCCGAGTGCAGCTGTTCCGTTGAGAGCTCGACAATCCCGACGTGCGCCCCGATGAGCCCGTATTCGCATGGCGACGGCGACACCCGGTGGGCGCTTGCCGCGAACTGCTTGGTCGTTCCGACGCGCCTTCAATCGAGCTGTTGCGGGCACTAGACGGGCCAGACGCACCGCCATTCGTGGCAGACGAGTTGGCCAGGACAACCGCGGCCATCACGGTCGGGTCGGTCGACGAGCGGTTGGTGTCCGTGGAGCCGTCGAATATCCCACTCGGTCGGGCCGAAGGCGTGGAGAAGTCATGACTACTAGTGCGGGATTCTCCAGGAGTGGATACCGTTGCATGATCCGGTACAGCACCAGATGATTTGCATGACTCTATTTCCGTGGGAAATGAGCTTCCCGTGATGTCCATGGAAGGACCGGGGGTATCCGGTGATACCACTGGGCTAATGTTGTTCTCGTTGTAATCACCGGGTGGCTCATCCGAGTTCACGGGCGAATGCACGGCCCCAAAATAGTCGTCCGGGGTCTCATTCGGCTCACGAGTAGGAAAGGAGGGCTTGACCAGCGTGTTTGGCCCACCAGTTGCCACCGGAGCGCGCAACCCCTTCACACTTCGAATCGGACTCTGCGTCCGCGGAGAAACCACCTCATCCGGACGCAGATCAGTGAGCTGTGTTTGTCTGCTCTTCTCCCGATCGGCAAGCATGTGCCACCTGAACTGGTTTCCCCGGATATGATCCACCGTGAACTTCAAATCGGGGAGAATATCCGAGACCCCCTCGAATAGGGGGAGCGCAAAGATCGACATGAAGCCGATCTGGCCGGTGGCAAGTTTGTAAATGTTCCCGAGCTCTGGAGGCCCGCCAAACAAGGCTGTTTCCATGCCTACCTCTTTCTCCATTTCCCCTTGATTGGCGAACTCCTCCTGTAGTATCTGGGTCCACTTTTCTGCAACATCCCACGGGCGCGCAACATTGCTGATGTCGGCACATTTGATCAGCAGACCGCACACCAGGGTCTTGTACAGCTCCAGGTCCTGTGGCTTCCACCCGTCCGTTGTGCAATCATTTTCATGAAACCGCTCCTGCAACGAGCCCAGCCTCTCCATGAATTTCTGATGGACACCCATATCGGTCGCCAGGATGGAGCTGATCAGAAGTTTGCGCAGCTGGCGGTCTTTGAAAGCGGCCGGCCAATATCGGCGCAGGATCTGGGAAAATGCGGCGCAGTGGAACGCCTCTAGCACGGAGTTGTCATTGTAAAGCTGCGCCAACGGAGCGTTCAGCTTTACTAGGAAAAAGTTGTTCACGCCCGGGTGGCCGACATCATGACCAATCGCGGATATCAGTAATGTCAGGGTGTCAAACGGCGTGAGCAGGGATGCCATCGGAGATTTTTCGCCCGTGGCCGGGCCGATGGATCGATAAGGTGGCAGCGCGCCTATATGGAGTAGAAAGCAGAAAACCGATTGCAGAACGTCTATGGCATGACGAAAATTGTGGTACAGGACAAAGGAGTTATACGAGGCGCGACAGGCAAGGAGGAATGTCCGGATCTCACCTAAAATAATCCCAGCAGTCAGCTGACAAGACTTTTTTTTGAAACGCATCTGCGAAAACGACCATGCACTTACTTGGTGTTAGTTGCCACTCTCCGAGCTCGGGAACTTTTAAAGCATGTTGGAGCATTTCAAATGCTCCCAAGACCAGCTCATCATCTGAGAAACCATGGGCAGTGAAGCCCCATTGGCCGATCTGTTCTCTAACTAGCTCTGCGCGCTCCGCGCGAACATCTAATTCGCGATCTTGAAATTCTTCAATGACCTCTTCCGGATTGCATATGCCTTTCATAAGCTTGGAAACCATCGCCTCTCGCAGGTATGCATAGGGTTGCTCATCGTGCACACCGACCCACGAATGTTTTCGCGTTTTCTTTCTCGACAGAAAGCGCGCGGATTCTCGCAAAGCAGTTTTACGGGTCCGGTAAGCATGAACAACAAGAGCTTGGGCTCGACAGCTGTCAAGCGGGGTTACAAGAACATCGACGGCGCCGGCGTCCAGGCACTTGGAGATGTGCTGAGGGTCGGGAAGGGTGGGTATAGTGAGTGGTTGGTCGGTAGGGGAACTGGTAAGATCGCCCGAGGGGGGGCGCAGGATGGCAACGGGCACGATCAAATTGGGCAACTCCTGCACCTGAATATCGGTTGACAGTCCTGAGAGGAGTTTCAGATCGTATGCTCCTTCCCAGTTTGAGGAAAAGGTGAATCCGCGACGCAGCGAGGCGGGCGAGGGAGGGGATACGTCCGCCCAGGAGCCACGGCTCGCTCGGCGGCGATGTAGGGTCGGCTCTTCTCCGTGCAAATCTATGTCGAAAAATGCGAAAATCGGCATGCATTTGCTACCCGCGCCGTCGCTCAACTCAGCCAGTTTGGTTGCAATCGATGCGCCGGCTTGACATAGATAGATACGTTTACAGACCCCCAGTAGCACTTGAACGTCCGACCGAAGAGACTCCGGCTCTTCAAGCAGGAGGGCTTGTGAATCCGGGTCCGCCACAGGGTCCTGTGTATTGTGATCAACCCACCGCTCTGATCGGACGCGATGATCGATGTAAATGGCAGAACATTCAATGCGATCCATGGTGTCGTTGGGCATCGTCGTGGTACCCATAATCCAGGGGAATTCCGCTCCCAGGGTCAGGTCTCAGGCCAGTAGCAGAGATAGGAGGAGAGGAGGAAGATACAGTGAGGCCGATCTAAAGTCGGGCTCATATGGTAAACGTGGTTATAGAATGGGAAATTGCGGATAGGAGAGGTGGGAGGGAGAGTCTCTCAAGGCGAAACGAACGGCCGGGAGACTGGGCAAATGTAAGGCGAAGGAGCGTTGTGAAGCGAAAAGAAGGGCGTGCGATAAGAGACTGCAGTATCGAGTCACTGTATGCTGGTGTCTAGTTCTTGCGTCAGCGAAATCCGCCAGTTCAGGGATACTTGGGGTGCGGTGTATGCACGCGACAACCCGAGCTGACCAGGCGAAGCGCAGCGACCAAGAGAGACTTTCAGCGGCGACGAACCAGCGTCATCTGCGGCGGCGCACTCGAACAATAGATTTGTTCGCTGCAGAGCGGAACACCAGGTACATGGTCGATGGAAGCCTTTCTGCGGGAGGGCTGTGCAGGAGAGGGGAGGAGCCTCCCAAGGGAGACAATCCAGGTCGCTTTGCACCCAACTGCATGCATTACCACCAGCTGGCGGTCGGCTGTAGTTGCCACCCGTGCATACCACCGGTCGGTTTTAAATCACTCACATTTCTCTAAGGGCGCAAAGTAAGAATGGAAATAGGAAGATCCGGAAAAGACCCAGTAAAATAAGTAAGGAGGAAAATTAGGTTGAAAAGGTCGAAGGACGGGTTTGGGTTCAAGGTAAAAAGACTGAATGACGGGCAATTGCCAGTGGATAGTGGTCTGTGTTTCGTGGGATTGCGATTCTAAGGTAGGTTCGTCACCGATGATGGAAAATGGCGCCCGAACCAAGTCGACCCGAAGGGGGAGCCACCGAAATCGCGACACATGCAAGATTCGGCTACAGGGAAAGGAGGAGATTGGCGAACCCAGGCAATAGGGCGAATCTTAGGGCGTCATGGTGGGCCACGGACACGGCCAGGCGGAGACAGACACGGAAGAATAAAAGGCTGGTTGAGATATAGGAAAAGGTGTGTGTGTGTGTGTGTGTGTGTGAAAGTAGGAGAGAGAGTGTGTGGGGGGTGAGTAGGTGGTATGTAAGAGAAGGAGACCAAAGAGGAAAAGAATCAGAGAAGAAAGAAGAGAGCGGGGAGGAGAGAAGGAAGGAGAAGAGAGAGAGAGAGAGAGAGAGAGAGAGAGATTGCAGTAGACAGAGAGAGGGAGGGAGAGGGAGAGAAGAGAGGAAGAGAGAGAAGGGGACGGGTGGAGAGAGACGAGAGCCAAAGCAGGCCAAAGATCGATCGGGACCGACGAAGGGGCCGCACGGGTACTCTTGATAAAGGATTAGGTAACGAGAAGGGAGGGAGGATGAAGATTGAAGAGTCCAGCAAGTAAAGGGAAAATGATTTCAATGAAATGAATAGGGTCTCAATTGTCTCTGGGAGGCAATTGACTTAATTGGGTAAATGATTGCTTGATTGATAAGAAGAGGAGGAGGAGGGGAAGAAGGATGATGGAGAGATCAGAGATCGAGGTAAAGGGAACAATTGGAGGGGCAAGAGGGGGGTGAAAGGGTGATCGAATCGTGTGGATTGGAGAGACGTCACAAAGGGACGATTGTGGGGAGCAGATGGAAGAGGATGTCATGTAGTGTGTACTAGTGCAAAGAGGTACTCGTGGGGAGAAGGAGGGGAGAGGAAGAGAAAGAGAGAGAGAGAGAGAGAAGAGAGAGAAAGGGAAGAAGAGGAGAAAGAAACAGACGAGGAATAGGGAATGAATAGTAAGTAGTAAGTGTAAGGATGAAAGACGGGAAGTCGGTTCCAGGCCTTCAGGCAAAGAAGGGGGCGATTGGGGTAGATTACTTTTTAGTTGTACCTAGTGAGGGAGTGGGAAAAGAAGAAATGACGAAGTTGCTGTTGGATTGGAAATCGGAGAAGGCAAGTGAATCCAGGGTTTTTTTTGAGAGTCAAGATAGATCAATAGAATACTGTATGTACGGAGTAAAGTGAAAAGTGATATGTTATGTTGTATAGAGCAGTTGCAAGGCTTCAAGCTCCATGGCATCTCTTGCTTCTCTCCCTTCGCTCGGTCTTCCAGAAGGTCGCGGCACCCGGCGGCGGCGGCGGCAGCGGGCGTCGTCAGAAGACAATTCGAATGGGGCCAGACAGAGCGAGGCCAGGTTCCTGAGTCCAACGCCTTAAACTGAAAGCAGCATCGCCCCCGTCCGACTAAAAAGGATTACTATTCCCTCTGTGTGTGCGATCGGCCCTTCAGCTCCTCCTCCCCACTCCCTTGGCCTTGGGTCTAGTTCATCATGGGCATGGGGTAAACTGTGAACTGTCCTGGGTAAGTCATGAGAGTATACCTTAGTTATTCTCTGAGTTCTTCTAACTATGTAAAGCACAACCAGTAGTTTACATACATCCACTATTTCGATTCACCGATCGGAAGCTACCGGAGAACGTGAGTGAACACCCTGAGCCACAACCGAGAAAAAAAAGAGAGAGAGAGAGAGAGAAATACCCAGCTACTAAACTAAGGCAATGGGAGAATCGAGGGTGTGTGGGGCCCATGACGCTTAAGCAAGCCATCTTATTAGTTCCTGGCCTGCGTCTTTCTAGAATCTCCCGGAGCGGGAAAAACATGGAGTGGAGGGAAAGGGATTCCATCGCACCACTTAATTTATAATTAAAATGAGGCTTTTGACTTTCTAACCTCTTTTTGCTCCCTCTCTCTTTCTGCCTCTCTCTCTGTGTGTGTGTGTGTGTGTTGAGTCTGTGTCATCATCATCATCATCATCATCATCATCAAGAAGTTCCTTTCAAGCTAACGTTAGTTAACTAACGTTACTTACTAATTGCATATTACATCAACCCTCCCACTCTTTTCCCCAAATCTTTTTCTCCTCCCTCCCCCCCTCCACCCTCCCCATCCCCATGCATAAAATTTTAAAGTCATCTGGGTCTAGGGATCGAACGTGATGTCGATCCCCGCAGGTAAGCGCATGAATCAGAGCGTGAATGGCCGGCGAGTCATTGGCATCTTCTAGAAGTTCCACTTTCCACCCATCCATACATCTTGTGTATGTACATCCTACATACAATATATATATACATCTGAACCACGCTGCAAGCCTAGACCTGGACTGCTTGCACAATGCATATAGTTGGAAAACTGGCTCAGCTGGGTTCTTACACTACACACAGGAGACTTTGGACAAGAAAAAAAGAGAGGGAACAAACAGGTGGCAAACTTCAGTGACGTCGACCGAAACCCATTAGAACCGTTCAAGAAAAGAGAAAAAAAAAAAGGTATGAGGTGATTTGCATGATCTCCTTTCCCAACAATGGGAAGCAGATCCGTCTGACCGTGAACCGTGGGTCAGAGGAGGTTCTTGCTATTGGGCTGACAAACACAACAAGGGAGCCCTCGCTCCAAAACCTACTTGATAGTTGTTGTTGTTGGGAAAAAAATGTTTGGGAAGAGGAACAGGCAGAAGAAGGAAAAGCGGAAAAAAACAAGCAGAACTGGGAAGACAGCAGCAGCAGCAGCAGCAGCAGCGGCACAAAGAGAGCTAAAACGGGGCAAGGGCGGTGGGAAACTCTGAACGAGTCGACGTGACTTTTATGCAAGGAGCTTCGACCCTCTCTGCTGCTGCTGGGTGCTGCTACGGCTGCCCAACAACACCCACAGTCTCATCTTGTGAACTCGTACAACATACATGACCTTGGAAGTTGACGCTTAAATAGAAAAAAAAAAAAAAAAAAAAAAAAAAAAAAAAGCCCTGGGTGGGGGAATGGCCGGTCAATCATCTGCAAGACATGAACGCGCCTTATTGTCTCAAAAGAGATCGTCGGGCTACACCTCCCGGAATTCGTTTTTCTTCTGTCTCGTCGGCCAGAACCCACTCTTATACTCGACAAACCTCGTCACTCTGGGATGGTGATCCTGCCGACACCCCATCCCTGCTGCCTATTTATCTTCGGTACCTTCGGTACATGCACGGCATGAAACCCACCTCATCGGGGCCGACTTACCGCCCAGGACGTACTCCGTACCCCGAAGTAGACAGCAGAATGTCCCATGGAACTACCGTAACCTGTACTCCGTACTATCCACTGTACCCCCGCATGCAGACTACAGCGAATGGATTCATCGGACAATGGGAGTTTTCTTTCTCTCAGCTTAACGCACAGACCGGGTCCATTGGGGAAAAATAGAAATCTAACTAGCAATTCCAAGATTTCAATGTTCCTAGTCTAAATTTCACATCGGAGGAGGCCATTTGTCCACTCCCACCGTAGCCCCCCCCCCCCCCCCCCCCCCCCCCGCAAGCGATAACCTGGTATAGCACGCACAGCAAGGAAAATCGAAATCAAGGCAAGTAAGAAGCAAGGCACCCAACACATAAGGTTCTAATCCACGCTGATGGCCCATTTTTACCATACCAGAAACGATCCCAAATAAATGCAAAGAAGAAAATGGAAGGATAAAAGAACAAGACTATGATACATGATCTCGCGGATCCATCGCGGCGTCCCAAGTGAAGGGCAAAATGTCCGCGCATGTGCTATCAGGAAAGTAGATTCTTCAAGGAAGGGCTGGCGCTGGCGCCAGAGCCTCCATTCGTCCCACCACTGTTCCCTTGTCTACTGGTGTTCATCAAACCCGACCCGCCAACTGCGGGCATCTCATCCGACTTGGTAGGAGGAGTGGGTCCTCGAGGGTCGAGATGCACTTGGGACACCGGAGGTGACTGGGCGGCTGCCCCGAGAACTCGATCAACAGAGTAAACCCGCGGTGGCGGGCCTCCGTTCAACGCGCTAAGCGTATGGGAGGGCGAGTGCCGAACCATCGTGGCCTGAATATCGGGCGGTGAAGCCGAAGGTGCGTACGGGCGGGGCCCTGCAACGTGCGCCGGCCGTGGCGAGAGCATCGACGCCGGTCCGTAGGGACTTTGATGGGCGGAGTAGGGCTGAGGCGGAGGAGGGTGCGCGCCTGCCGTATAGTGAGGGGCTGGAGGGGGAGCATGGTGCGCTGGGCTCGATTGGTACCCGTTGATGTGATGCGCTGGCGGGGCTGGAGGTCCCCCGCGATACCCTGGGACTGGCAGACCATTGCGCATTCTACCTTCCGCGTATTCAGCGGGCCGCTGTTCATACCAGTCGGGCACACTGTGGGAAGGCGTCCCCATAGGTCTGGCAAGCACACTAGGCTGGGCTGGGTGTGCATGGTGAGGTCCAGGCCCATACGGATGAGCGTGAAACTCGCGCATCGTGGGATTCAGCAAAGCTGGTCGAGAAGCTGCTGAGTACGGCGATGGTCGAGGTTCGGGCGACGGCTGAGATACCGGCTTCTTGAGATGACATTTGTGACATTCCAGAAGCGCCTCAGACCCGTCGCTTGATACCGTGCCATTGCCCGGGGATGCGTAGTCGCCGTTCAGCCTTGGCAGACCGGTTTGTGATGGTTTGCGGGAGAGGTACGGAGGACTGGCCGAGGCTGCGCTGGGATATCTTGAATCATTGAGTCCAGCTCCATTCAAGAGAGGCGTCCGGTGGTCGGTATTCCGTCGCGATTTCTCGATCGGCCACCATTTGGGCGTGCAGGTACTCGAGCAGCGAGCACACTTCCGAGCGGAGGTTGTGTCGGTGGCAGGGCGAGGCACATGGTTTTCCGAGTCGATGATCATCTCGTCCGGTGCATGCTCAGGTGATGCCGGGATAACTTTGTGGTTGTCTCTGGTAGTCGTTGACAGAGGCATCACACCGTTGACGGCCGAGACCCGGCGACTCACCGGATTCGTTGTAGAGTGATGCGATGCACTGACAGACTGTTGCATGTAGTTGGCTCTTCGAACAGTCCCAGTCAAGCTCAAATCCGCTTGCTTGTAGGTTTGCACGTAGCGCTGAAGCGCATTCAAGCCTTCATCCTCGGTTGGCTCGCCGATCTCATGCACAACAGCAGAGACAGTGTGGTGGGGACACCAAATTCCGGCAGAAGCAGAACCATATTCATCACCAAGTCGTACACTGCTCACGGTATCCCTCCTGGAGCTCTTTACTGGTGTGATGTCGAAGCCGAACTTGTACTGCGCCTGGAATGCACATCCGACATGGAAACGGGCATTACAGTTGCTATAATGACATGGCACGCAGGCGCCTTTGTCCGTCTTGCAGATTTTACATACCTCACGAAACCTATCCGGAGGAATAAGTACGAAGCCTTCGGCTGGCTCAAGCTCCTTTGAGTTCCCAAACTTGATCTCTGGTGTCCAGACGGCACACGCGACGTGAACCCAATTATTCCCAGCGGTTCTCTTGAGCGGCTCGCGCGGCCCAACTGGCTTACCTACATCCTCCTGCCGCTGTCGGTAGAGCTTGATGGCCTCGGTAAGTAACTCTTTTTCGAGCCTCTCCTTCTCACGGTCGCGTTCAGTCTTCTTCTTATGTGTCGATCTCGGCGCCTCCATCAATTCATGTTCAGTCCACGTTACTGGGCACAAGACGCATTCATAGCGAGTTGAGGTTGTTGGATCTCGGTCATTGGAGCACATGTCGCAAAGCCATTTGACGCAGTTACGGGACGGGCTGACACCGTAGCAGCTGCGATGAACTGTCAATCGGCAATCTCGGCAAGACAAGTGCTGATCGCCCATAGGCTCCATCATATTGCAGATGGCGCAGGGAAGAGTCTTCGCCTTCGGAGGATCGGGCATGATTGGCGGAGGTTCTGGTACTTTCTCAGTCGGGGGTTTCTTCTTTGACGCAGGCGGCTCAACAGAGGTTGCTGTGGAGGTTGCCGTGCTATCTTTCTCCGTGATTCGTCCTTTCTTCTTTGTGGATTCTTGTTGTACCTGGGGGTTAGCATTCACCGGGACACCGATTGAGGCCGCTGTAGCTGCAGTTGCACTGTTGATGCTGATTGGGGTCTCGGTCGAAAGAAGAAGTTGAGTCAGAAGCTCTTCGTCTACGCGACGGCGCCATGACTTGTTACCACTTTGGGCGATCTTCTTAGCGACTTCATCGACACTCTCCCACTGAATGCCGTATTTTCGCCACAGCAGAGCACAACGCAAACAAAGAGCCACAGTGAGCGGTGGCCCCTTGTCCTTCTGCTTGGATGGGGGTTCACTGGGTGTAGTGGTGCCAGGCGGGATTCCCGGCGCGCGCCGCCACTGCCGTGAAGTCCGAGTTGAACAGAATTTGCACTGGAATCCACGCTTCTTTTCAGCAGCCTTGTCGTTGTCGTATGCTGAATCATCCTGATCATCCGCCACATCGTCCACCAACTTCGCAGCGCTGTGTCGCTTGGCTTCCTTCTTCCCCCGCCGACCTTCGTATGTTCCCCAGATCTGGCGTCCTCGCGGCGTCTTTTTCCACATGTAGTAGAACCGGACAATCTGATAGTGTGGCACGGTCCCAACGTGTTTTGTAACATGGCGTAGCTCCGACCCGAATTTCGCGACTGCTTGTTCAAACAACTTCACTTCTTCAGGGCGCAGGTGAGGTTCTTTGAGATCCTTGTATTTGTTAACCTGTTTCAATTTGCCAAGAGCCGCTTTGATGTCAAAGCTGTTTGCATAAAGCAACTCAAGAGCTTTATCGAGAAAATTGGTGGAATATTTCTCAACTCCCAAGTCAGGAGCCAAGGCCTTGGCTTGCTCCATATAATCATCGATGAACTTCTCCCTGTCCGCAAGGCTGAGATCGGCACCTGGTACGTCATCTTCTCCGCGGGAAGGGATCTGCTCTGCAGTAGGCATCTTGAACATTAGTTCGGCGGTGCGCATTTGCTTGCCAGCCACTGGGACTGGCTCATCTTCACCGCGACGCACGTATCCCACGGGCTCATCCATTACCCATTTAGGGCGGTTCGCTTTTTCTTGTTTCGCAGCCTCGATTGCGGCAAGCGTTTCTTTTGAAAGCTTAGAATCCTTTCGGCCGCCCGAACCTCTCAAATATTTTTTCTTGATATCGATCGGTTTGACATACTCCACGGGCCTACCCTGCCATGGAATCACCATTGCTTGATGCCGAGGCCCCAGGCGAGAACTGGCCCGTGGATATATGCGGTCATCGTAATCAAGAGCGTCTTCAACCCGACAGTGGATCCCGAGATAGCGGTAAGGCCACATTCTGGCCTGCGCCACTTGTTCCTCAGTGGCTGGTCGAACCTCTTCTTCGACAGGAGCTGGGGTGCTGCCCGTGGTACCGTTCGCTGCGGCGTTCGGGTCCTCCTCCTCTTCTTCAACGACCTCTTCTTCGCCTTCGGGATGCTGCGTATCGCCGAGCAAGGGGGTATTCCGTGCCTCCAGCTTCCGTTCCTGAGCTCGACTGCATGCTGCACAGGCCCAGGCAAACCCTCGGGCAGGCTTCTTGGTCAAAACAGGTCGAACACAGTACATGTGATAGGTGTTATGGCAGACAGCACAATCCACCGAGTCCGTACTGCGAAATCAATTAGTGTCGCGGTCTCGTCGAAGCAAAGGGAGAGCCTTGGTTCCTTACTTTGCAGCATACAGACTGCACCGTTTGCACGTCTTGACGGCACTGGTCAACTCCTTCCGTCGACCAATCTCAACCAGAACAAACTTCCACCGTTCATCCAAGACTTTCTTAACATTTCCGGGGACGTTGATGACCTTACTCGTGGGAATCACGTCGTAGTAGCGGTGAATGTAACGGTCAAACATTTTATCGTACCAAAAGCAGTCCCGGGTTTTCCTGTATTCGTCGAAATCTGCGATTTCTGACAGATGCGAGATTTGACATTTTCCGCGCAGGGAAGTGAGCGGGCAAGTATCGGAGTGCATGGATGCGAAAACCAATCTCGTATCTGCGACTTTCCGTTGGATGTCACGTGGTCTGTAATACCAATTCACGCGTAACGCCTCGATCGGGCCCGAGGCGGTGTTCTTGGAGGGCAGAAACTCCATAATTCGCGCCAAGTAATACGGTTCGCCTGGCGGCTCACAAATGAGGTAAACATGGTCTAGCGCCACAGGGCCTTAGCATCATTTTCCAGCCTTTCGTACACTCGGCGCGCGCTGATTGACAAGGAACAATGAGAAGGAGGGAGAGGACTAACCATTTACGGCAAACGTGGTGCCGTCATCCGCTCTGAGCTTTCCATCTTCCAAATAAGCGCCACGCTCCTCAAAACTGACCATATTCGTGTCCGGTTGGTGGTGACCAGCCCCCGGGGCAGTCGTGAATAACTTCTTCGTAGCATTTCCATTGGCAGTCGGAGTGCTTGTCGAGCTGGCCGGCTGTTTTCGTTTTCTAGATGAGTTGGCTGCTCCATTGAGGTCGTCGGTTTTGGCAGAAAATGATGAAGTGCCGGGGATGGAGGCGTCCTTTATCGTGGCAGTGGGAGTTGGACCATTTGCCGCCGTCAGACTTTTTCGCGAACTTGACGAGGACGCTGTCTTATCGGCCTCCATTTTGGAGCCATTTACAGACTGGCTTGCAATGCCGCTTGCCCGTTTCGTGGATTTAGGTGCGGGTTGAGCAATCTCCAAATCCATGTCGATGTCGCGGTCTTCCGCGTAGTTGGGACGTGGCGCTGCATTGCGCCCTCTGGAGCGGGTACCATATGGTGCTGGCGTCGTAGAAACACTGGGCGGCTCAGTGGCTGTGAGAGTGGTCTCCGAGGCCGGTGAAGCCGTGGCCGCGATAGAGAGTGGTTGCGATTGCAGATCGTTCCCGGCAGCGGCCCCTTTGGGCGTGGGAGAATCTGCGGAACCCGTCCGAGAAACCAGACCGGGAGTAGGCATTCGACGCACTGCGGAAGGCGAGGATGAACTGAGCCTCGCGGTGTGCTGGTGCTGCAGGGACTTTTGAGGCGGTGACCCGTCCGAGGCCATAACCATGCCTCAGGCAGAAATGCCAAATCAAACAAACCAAGTTAAATGGGCTGTAGTGCCTCCAGCGTGGCGGGCGTGTGGATTGATTAACCAAGCGGAAGAAACACCAAACAAAATTGGCTGATGAGAAGGAGAGGCGGAAATGCGAAGCTCAGCAACGGGCCGTGACGGGAAGGCGATCCCTCATCAAAAGTTGACTCTGCAGGCGGGTGGAGATATTGCCCAGCGGCGTGGACCGAGTATCAAGGGGCACCAACAACAACAAGAGGAAGACCAGAGATTGTTGGATTCGGGGGAGGTGGACTGGCGGGAAATATCCTCTACCTACGACTGCACTGGGAGAGGTAAAAGAAGACAGTCGATGAAGGCGCCGCAGATGAACATATGCCAGTGTCGACTTTCAGGGCAATTCACTTCTTTCTCTTCCCGCAAGGGTGGAAGGAAGGGTGAACGGATGGGTGTTGACGTCGAGCAATAACACTCGGAGAGATCGAGGTCGGCGGTGGAAATATCAAACGAGATAGAGGAAGAAACACCACGGAGGAGGAACGCTTGAATAGAATGACAAGGCCAAGAGCCACCGAGAGGCAGTTTCAACAGAAGGGTCACCGAAAAGCAAGAGGGGAAGGTAAATTGTAAGTCGAAGGAGACATCAAAAGAAAGAGTGTGTGTGGGTGGGAAAGGGAAAAGTCGAAAAAGAAGAGAAGCGCAGGAGGGGTGGTGAAATGAAGGTTAGCGGCGGTGGAAGCCAAACCGAAGTAGAGCCACACTAAGGTTGTTGGAAGACTCGTGGGGACGGAGAGGGAGGGAGGGAGGAAGGAAGTGGGAAGGGTGTGGATGTGTGTGTGAGAGAGAAAGAAAGAGAGAAAAGGAAGAATGGAGAAAGACGGACAGGAAAGAAAAGAGATGGGAAGAACGGATAGGATGACTTTAGAGCCAGTCAGATTGGACTAGTCCTTGTGGCAGCACTGGCACGGGAAAGTAAGTAGTTCGTGATAATCGCAGTTGACCCTCGCCCCCAATTGCTATAGTCCTTCGATTTCCCGAGGCGATGAAGGGTGAGAGGGATTCAGGGAAAATGGGTAGGTAGTAAGTAGTTCGATCGATCCTCACGGACGAGATTGTGCTGTTATGTATGTTATATTGAACTAGTGCATGTCCCGGACCCAAGGGGAAGGATATCGGGGAGGGGAAGTCAAAATGGGGCAGGGTTTAAAGAAGGGAAGGGGGGGGAGAAGAGTAGGGAAAAAAAAAAAAAGAACTTGAAGGGAGGAATAGAGAGAAAAAAGAGAAAGACCGAAAGACAGAGGAAGTAGCAGAGAGAGTGCGAATGTGAGTTGAGTGAGTGAGAGGGAGAGAGGGAGGGAGGGATGTGGGGGAAGGAGGCAAAAAGAGGATCAAGATAGAAAGTCGAGTCAAAGGCCAAACACGACCAGACAAGAAACGTGAAAAGTCAGAAGCTTGAGTTGATGGGGAGAAGAAGAAACATCAAATGCAGAGAGCAAGCAAGCAAGCAGTAAGTACGCAGAAAAGTGCAACAATGAGACCCCGAAAGATTCACTTTGCTACCTTTTCCCCTACCTACAACAATAAGTCAATTACCTACTGTACGAACTAACAAATCTACTAACTACAGTACAGTACATACATAACTAACCACCTGAGATCCCGACCAGTCCACATCCTCGCCCTAGTCCCAAAGGGTTAATATGACGGATCCTCCTTCATCCAAAGCACCCGGAAATGCTAGCTGGCAGAGACTCGATGATCTGATTACTGGGAGCAAGACAGCTAACTAGGCTTCCTGGGCCTTCAAACCCCGAATGTGTCGATTGACTCCCCCCATACAAGCTACCTCCTCACCCTCTCCATGCGATGTCCCCAATTTGATATGCCCTCAGTTACCGGGTTGTGAACGGGTGGCCGGCTAGGCTGCCCGGGCGCCGTCATAGATCCAGAGCATTCTTTTCGGGGCCAGGAGGTTGGCAGAGGCCGTGGCTTCTCTCTTTCCTCGGCGGTTGCTGACTAGCATCTTGATTGCTTATAGCCCATTGTTCCCCTTGCTCTCAGGCGGCGCGTTTGACCCGTTGGGGAGATCTACGTTGTTCGACGGGGATTAGCGGTAATACCTTAGTTTCATCGCTATCAAATGCTTGTTGTTGGTCCTTCTCCAGAGGCAATTACTGCTACTGTGGGCCGAGCGACCCGATACGAAGAGAGAGAATGCTGGTCATCAGGAGAGGGGAAGAAGAGTAAGTAGCCATGGGCCCGAAGAGCGCAATATGATGAGGCAAGCGCCCAATAGCCAAGACAAGGGTCGACCGGCCGGGAGAAAATCTGTCGAAACTCAAATGAAGAAGTGCGACAGAGACGGAGGAGAATAGATAATAAGCAAAAGAAGAATAAGAGACCAGATAGACTTTGCTCGGCTCAGTACACCGTAGGAGATGGGAGGCGGAGGGAGAGGTGGAAGAAAAATAAAAATAAGATAATAATAATAATATCAGAGGAAGGGGGGAAAAAAAATAAAAATAAAATCAGAGGGCATGTACGTACTATCCGTGGCAGGAATGTTGTCACGTAGGGCAGCGCATGCGCGTTGGATCTGAAATCCAGAGCGCCAAGTCTATTCCGGGTTCGGGTTGGATGGGGGAGCGATAAAGACCACCGCATCGGTCGGTTCGTACAGTATGTGACGGCCAGAGCCACATGCTTGAAATGTGTCCAGGTACTTTGTTATATGGTTCATACTAGGTAGGCATGTAGCCAGACAGATTCATCCAACACCTGTTCAGATGGTCTTTGCCTAGAGACATGGACCAGGGTTTGAAGTTTGAAGGGGGGCTCTTGAGCTCATGATGAGCGATACCGCAGTATTTAGGATGTTACAGGAAATCTCTCCGAAACAAGCAGCACTACTGGATTAATAGCAGTAGCTTGTAGGTACTTTACAGCCTTCTGGTCTCTACAAACGCTCTCCTCGACCGGAGTACTTCTGCACTGTGCCTCTGAGTATTATATAGTTTGGCAACAATTCCTGAAGGAATCCAGCAGCAGAGTGTATGTCGGAATATCGCACCCGTTGGATTCCCTGTTTTGCCTTTCTTATTGAAGAAAATTTAGGCTCTGTCCACCGTCATTCCCGATTTTACCGGGGCACGGGAGGTCAGAAAGGGGAGGGGCATTTTGTGCAAGAGTGGCTCCGTACGACCAAAGAGAGAACTGGAGGCATGGAGACATCTGGGTCAATGCTAAGCCATTTTAGACTAGATAGACAACCGAAAACTCGGATCAGAACAATACAGCAAGAAGGGAGAGGACTGTCGGTACCATGGCTCCTCTTAACCTGCTGTACTAATTGACTAGTGGTGATTAGCAATGAAACACCGTGGTCGATCATTGGGTGTGTGTTGGCTTGACATGCGGACAGGCAGGCTGGCCAGTGTCTGTACTGACTGTCGTAGACTACAGCATGGACGAACCTAATGCGAACTACCGCACACTTGACGCCTCGGTCATTGGGTCTCTCAATGTATTACATGCGAGATGACAGTCTCTATCTCGAAGAACTTCTTAGGATGTAACTGCTTCCCACACGAGTGGGATAACTGAATGGTTACGTGTATTGGGAATCGACTTTTGGACCAGAAGAGGTGATGCGATGATAACTTAATTAGCACTCGATGAGAAGTTCTTCGGCCCCGGCGGGAATATGACCAAAACCCTTAGCGCGACTCCCCTCCCTTTTTTCCTACTGGGAACTCCCCTCCCCCTCTCCCCCGCGACGGCGGATCGCCTGAGTCGCATGGGTACGGCGGTTCTCTCTTGGCCTTCAGGTTCTATGGAAGGCATGTGTAGTCCGACAAACCAAGCACACCCTTCAGCTTGCTTGGATACAAAATCCTAGTATCGGCGGTGTAAAGGGTTATCCATAGTTAGGTACTAGTCAGTTGCGCTCAGTTACATCATCCGGAAAGGCTGTCGGCTGCCCTTGACTTGGCTGGTAAGGTAGGCATTCAAGTGACCCAGACAAGTTACGTACCTCGGAAACTCCTGGGGGGTCATCATAACTACCTTAGGTACCTGGTATCCATTCATTCGGCTCATTCATGCCAGGTGATTTGCTGCCACACTGCTCCCTCTAGCCTTTATTGCCACCTGAGAACTCACCTGCTTAGCCCGGCACAGCATCACCCAGCGAAACAACTGAGACGGATTGGATCATTATCGCAGAACGATCATCTTGGTGAGTCCTGCCTCGTTTTGTGTGGCTTTCCCTGCATGCTATCCTTGGCCCGCACCCCCTGCCTCATGCCATGAGAGAAGTAGGCGGTTCAGATTCGGACAGGCGTGAACCACGAAGGCATATGCCCTTCAGTTTGAGGGAAATGCAAGATTATTTACCCCAGATCCCAGATAACCAAAATGCCCATGTGTCGAAACATGTGTCCAATGTATTTGTGCGAACGCGGCAAACTGCCGTAACTTAATATATATGGGGACAGGATTGCAGAGACTGATACTTTGGTAGACTAGCAAGTACAGCACAACCAGTAAAATGACGGCTGAACCTGCCATAGGGTCTCCTGTGACACCAGATTCAAGACCGAGTATTGTGGTAGGTCGTATACAATTGCTTCTTTGGATGTGTGTATGAGTACAAAGAATTGATCTGGCAGGAACAGACTGTAGTTACGGTGTACCGGGAATATATCTGTTCCAGCAGGAATGGTCACCTTGGAAGTGGGAGTTCCATTTGCTCTTTCAATCTTCTTCCACTTCTATTCTCTTCGTTTCGACTATGTAGTAGACATATATTTATTTCCCGCACCCTTTTGCGATTCTATCTTGGGTCTGGTGTCTCTCCGAATCCATTGCGCTGGTGAAACAGCTTGGGGTAGTGTATACCCCTCTTGAAGCGAGAGTTTCGTGGATGTGAGCGGACTGACATCCCGGAATATATTCTCACAGATCCAGCACCGGGAATAGCCAGGTGGGAATGTAAATTGAAAGAGGAGGGGTTTCACCCGCACCTTGTGGGCATCAGAGGGAAGCGGAAAGGGTGGTGCCAACACTCGGCAAGCCACCGAAGTTCGCCATCGTAACTCCGAGGGTGAAACCGCTGCTGTTGATGGTTCCCTCTTTCTAATCTCTAGTAGCGACACCTGGTCGAAGCCTGTTAGTCTAGACCATCTCCGGTAAGCGTGAGCAGGAATGAACCAGACAACTTCCGGCTGTCAGGTGACCGTAGGCAGCCAAACAGTTTTCATATGCGTGATTGACCGGCTCAAGTGGCCAGGCTGGCAGCCCTTGCTCGATAATCAATCTAGTAGGTAGGTGGACGGTGTCTGTGCTCTCATCTAGAAACACGGAGTCCATTGTCTTATTTTCGACCGGTAAAGACTGGGGATTTCTGGTGAGCGAGAGTTTCACCATGTAAGATACCGTACTGTCGATGTACACACCATGTATGTACATCATTCAAACACAGGCTAGAGACAGACAATGCATGCCGGTTGTCGACTAGCAGTGCTGGGCGGATCAGCAGGGCTCCGATTAGCGGGTAAGACGATCCAGGAACGTTTCCGTGGCGGTCGGTCGGTCTGGCTTGTGCAGGGGTGGGTGGGTTGGTCAATAGAAACAAAACAACCTACTACTTGTTATGCCTGAGGCAATCATTGAAATGACCCACCCCGCGGTCTTTCTTCACCGTCTCCCGCCGGGGATGCAGTTTCCGATCGGAGCGCGTTGCAACCCACGCGTTCTTGGTAATTTATTTGGTTATTCACCAGTTCCCGTGCACTTCGTCTCAATCTCTTAAAGTTCTTCAACCTTTGTCTCTGAAGATTTTGATCTCGAGCTGACCTGCGGCCTACAACTTGTGAGGTTTCTGTTGATTCTCTGGCCAAGGGAAACCTGATCATTGGCCCTTGATCCGATCATATATCTAGTACGGAGAGTACTCAATGCCTACCTACAGGTATTGCCCCCGCCCCCGCCTGCTTCAATGAGTTGGCGAAATAGTCTAGATAACTTGTCACCGATGGGACCTCACCCTGGATCCTCCCACTATCGCAAATTGTGAACTCAGCTTAAGGCATGTCTGCACCATCTGGGCAGCCAGTCCGAATCTATGGCTTCCAGACGTCCGTGGACATCGCTCGCCAACACACATACGACACAGCTCCGGTGGCCGGACACAAGCGCCCGGGAGAATATTCTGCGAGCGACAATCGTACAGTTCCAATCGTAAAGCAGCGTATCAGATTCAATGTGCCAGCCGATCGGTCAGTAGATTTCATTCGGCCTTCGCTGGATCTGCCCAAAGGTCGTTTGGTTGCCAGTGATATTCGTCCGGTTGCAGCCGTGGTCCGTGGCAGAGACCCGCCGCCCCATTCTTTGCAGAATGACGAGAAAGAACTCAACGATCATCCTCTGTTGTTATTGAGCAACCCTGCATATGGACTGCCTCCTGCCTTGGTTGCTAATTGGTCGGCTATCGGGCTCAAAAGTATTTACCAATGGCAGGCATCATGCTTGCTGACCCCAGGACTGCTTAACGGCAGTCGGCACCTAGTCTATACTGCCCCTACTGGTGGGGGAAAGTCACTTGTCGCTGACGTTCTCATGATAAAACGTATCATCGAGAACCCGGGCCGCAAGGCCATCCTTGTTCTTCCATATGTAGCCTTGGTACAGGAGAAACTGAAGTGGCTTAGACGTATCGTACAAGATGTTGAGAAATGCATCGACGATACCGGCGACAAAGTGGACAGTACGAGACCATATCATCAGCGCTGGCGCAAGCTACAGAAGTCGATACGCGTGACGGGCTACTTTGGAGGAAGTAGGACGGCTGCGTCTTGGGCTGATACAGACATTGCCGTCTGTACAATTGAAAAGGTGTGGCTCCCTCGTGTACGATACTTGAACCTCCCGAATATTGCTGGAAATTAACCAGGCCATGGCTCAAGGCAAACTCCCTCATCAACAGTACCATCGAAGAATGTAGTATTGGGGAATTGGGCGTAGTTGTTCTGGATGAGCTGCATATGCTTGACGACGAGCACCGTGGATATCTCCTGGAATTGATGGTCACCAAACTGCTACTCCTGCGACAAAACATCCAGATCATCGGGATGAGCGCTACGTTATCGGTAAGTGAGGGAATTACCACCGAGACATGAGCAGCGTCACCCTGACTTGGGCGTAGAACACCGAGATGTTAGCGGAGTGGATGCATGCCGTGTATTACGTCTCAACCTATCGACCAGTTCCGATTGATGAATACCTTGTTTTCGAAAATGCAATATACCCTGCTGCAACATCAAGACAGTTATTTCAGACAATTTCTCGACTGAAGTCGACACCAACGCAGTCTCTCCAGGAGAATATGCCTCCACAACGTGTTGTTTCTCCTTCGACATTCCGAGAACTCGCAAATGCTATGACGAATGCGACGGTCGCTTTGGCTACAGAGACAGCATCGGCTGGATATGGTGCTCTGGTCTTTTGTGGTAGTCGACAGGCTTGCCAAAGTCAAGCAGCGATCATCAGCGAAGCCATGCCCCTTCCTGGTGATGAGACGGATGAACTGAGCAAACGACTGGACCTTGTAGCCGAGCTTCGGAGTCTGCCAGGCGGTCTGGACCCTGTCCTTGAAAACACACTCGTCAAAGGCGTGGGCTTTCATCGTAAGCATACTTCTTTTTGGGACTTCGAATCAAGACTAAGAGAAAATTGAACAGATGCCGGCATGACAACCGAGGAACGCGAACTCATTGCACAAGCTTATGACCAAAGTGTCCTTAGAGTGCTCATAGCCACTTGCAGCTTGGCAGCTGGCGTGAATCTGCCTGCGAGACGAGTCATCATAAATGGAGCCCGCATGGGTAGAGAATTGGTTGGGCCCGCAATGCTGTAAGTGTCGCCCAACCATGAGTATTATTATAGGCTGACCAGGAAAGGCGACAAATGTGTGGCAGAGCTGGCCGTAAAGGGAAAGATGAAGCGGGCGAGACGTATCTCGTATGTGGTCATAGTGATCTACAAGCTGTCTGCGACCTTCTTGAAGCCGACATGCCGGCTATTGAAAGCTGCCTAGCTCCGGAGAAGAGAGGGCTCAAACGGTATGCCTTTAGGCTTGGTTCCCCTCGCAATTAATCGCTGACGAAACTGCAGAGCTCTCTTAGAAGCCATCGCTACAGGGCTCGTATCAGGGTACGACGCGATCAAGGAATATGTTCAATGCACCTTGCTCTATCGCACGGCGGACAAGAAGTTAGCTTACAGTATCATGCAGTCCGCCCTCCAAGAATTGGTTAAGGAAGAATTAGTGCATGTTGATGATGACGAATCATCATATTCAGCAACACAGCTTGGACAGGCTGTGGTTGCCTCTGCGTTCGCACCCGAGGATGGCTTGTTTGTCTATGAAGAATTGAAACGGGCGCTGCAAGCTTTTGTCATGGATGGTGATATGCACATATTTTATATGTTCACGCCTCTTCAACTAGCTGCCAGCACTCACATTAACTGGCGCATTTTCAGAGATCAGCTTGATAACCTGGATGAAAGTGGTTTGCGCGCCCTGCAATTTGTTGGCGTTCAGCCTGGGTTTGTGAATTACATGTACGATGAATTCTCATCTTCGCCGCCCTTTAGACACCACGGTGCTAACAATCTTAATAGGGCCCAGAGCGGTGGATCACTGAAAGAGAATACCTCAGAGCAAATTAAGCAGGCTAGGATTTACCAGCGCGCTTACACGGCGTTTCAGCTTCGTGATCTGAGCAATGAGGTTCCGTTGTCAGATATCGCATCGCGGTACCAGATACCACGGGGCTCGGTGCAGAGCTTGGCACAGCAATGCCACGGGTTTGCCGCGGGCATTGTGAAATTTTGTCAACGCATGGGTTGGGGAATGTTGGCCGCAGTTTTGGATCATATGCAAGACCGCCTGGAGGCCGGGGCGCGGGCTGACCTGCTCGAAATGGCACAGGTGACTTATGTCAAAGGCTGGACCGCTCGGCTACTTCGAGAAAATGGCTACCGGAATCTGAGAGCTCTGGCGGAAGCGGATGCAAAGGATCTGGTTCCTATTTTGATGATGGTTTGCCTGACCCTTACTGAGCCTTGTCTGACTGCATGATACTCATATGAGACCAGGCTAATCCGCGCAAAACTCAAAAAGGCCAGCTTCATCCTGCGGAAGCTGAGCGCTATGCAAAAAAGCTTGTCGCCAAAGCGGAAATTATCATCGCGTCTGCGAACAAGATTTGGGGTACGCCATTTCTAGTCTCGGAGACACCATCATTTCATGCTAACCCTGGCTCGAACCATCATAGAACGTGAGATGCAGGTGGAATTAGATGAATGAACAGTCGTTATGACCTGACTGTATATACATACTTGAGAATTTTTGGCCGAAGCCCGTTCACATCCGCTGATCCTCCGAGTCCAGCAGTCTGGGACACTTGGCAAGGACCCTATCTCTCCTCTAGAACTCCTTCTTCCACATCACCATTTTAAGATTTCCATGCTGAAAAGATCCTGAGCTCATTCTTTCTAGAGAGATCGAAAAACATGTGAAACGCGGGTATGAACAGAACCCTAACCAGCGAGGTTTATCAGCGTAGGAGTTATCATGCTCATAGTCCATTGAGCAGACTTTGTGCAGCGATGGGTTGGCCCTGGTCGACGAAGTCAACAAGAATGACATTCGGTAGCCGACCATAAATGGAAAGACATAGATCGGCTTGAGCTCCGATGCTGCCGTCGCCTGCTTCTGCATTGGTCTCGGCTGCACGATCGCGGTCTGGGATCAAGATGCCTAGGATATCGATATCCAGAAAATGATTCACGATGTACATGCGACCAGTGGCTGAAGCACCCGATGGTCGATCAATACTGCAGCTTGAAAATGAGGCATCGGTCACATCGTACGGCGTTTCGAAGAAGTAAGCGAACTCATCGAGAATGTATGGCACCGTTGTGGTATCGGCACCATAGTCTAGACGAGCCTGTTAGCTATTGGCCACGATCGCTGAGCATGGCTACTTACCCAAGAACGTCACTAATCGCGTACCATTACTGATTAGCTCCTGTAAGGTCGGCCAGGCATCAATGGCCAGCGTGGCTGGTGATGACTTCGGCACGAATGCATAGTCAGTGAGGGCTGCGCTCGTGAATGCCTCAGCGAAACGATCTACTGGCAGGCTGTCACCATTCGTCAGAAGCAAGGTCACGACTTCGTCCGGATTGTCGTCCAGCCAGGTCTTGACGGTGGCCAGGTACGCCTCCAAACTCCCGGCATCCTCTAGGAGACACGAAGTATGGCAAAGGAGGATCGTTTCGTTGTCAATAGACTGATGGGTCTGGCCTTGCAGAAAACGGATCCCAAGGTCCAATTGTGCGGTGACGTCGATGTTTTGGTTTTGCTGAGGCAGTGGGCCTACAAAAGGACTATCGTGGGCGCCCACTTGGGTGAGATTCGAGTAGCGACGGTTGCAGTAGGCCGATTGACCGTTGCAGGCGGATTGGGCTAGAACGGGAAGCACGAATGATGTAGTTGCAACACACGCTGCGGCCAGACCGTGAGCAATAGATGTGAGAAGCATTTTGTAGGAAGACGAGTTGCCTTCTCGGGCAGGGCTCAGAAATATGAGGGAGCTTCCCCCGAACCAGCAGCTGAGTACTTGGGGTTTTATAATAGGGCCCCCGAGTTACACATCACCGCGTATGGGATGACCATATGATGGGGGATGGCAGTTGGATGGTGAGGGCAACTCCGGCGCTTGTGACGCTAACGTGTGAACTAGCCAGTCTAAATAGACTAGACTCTTCAAAAAGAATGTGATTGTGACGAGAAGTCACAGAAAGGAGTGTGCGGAATGGACTGCATGAACAGGGAGATCCCGAATGTCGAGAGGGGGAATTTAGAGCTAGTTTACAGTGAGATGCGCACGTGCGAACTGTCGCAAAGATGAGCCGTTAGTTCATTTGATCAAAGGATATCCTCATGACTATTATCACAGAACTAAGCCTGTCCTTGACCTCAGCTCAGATTCCAGGCGGGAACAGTGCCTCCCATCTTTTCACGGGTCCGTGATCTGTATAGGGTTGATTAGCTCAGGAACCGCATGCTTAGATCGTCGTTTATGAAGGTGGCCGGAGCGTTCGCTGAGACGAGGTCCTTGGGGAGTTTGATAACTCAAGTATAGCTTGATTGAATGATCTCCACTTATCGACATGATTTTATTCAGGATTCAACCAGAGCGATGAATTTACAAAGTGGCATAGGTCCAGTCACCGCTATAGTTTTTTACATACTGTTATGTTGTAGTGCAGCCCGGGATTCATGCCTGGGGCAGAAAAGGAAATAGTGCTTAGTTAACGACGGAGTACCGCCTCAGCCTCTCCATTCTACTGTATCTTCCCTTGACTTCTTCCATCATCATCTGAGCAGTGACCAATTCTACCGACTATTTCTACCCAACCCTTCCATATTCATCTCCATCCAGTTCATGGATTGTTATGCTCAATTGAACTGCACAAATCTGCCTTTTTATCTGGCCCAAGAATTGATAACGGGTAAGTTCTCCAATGTTGGTCCCCACCCGGAATTAACTTGGCATCTCCCCCCCCCAAATTGCCCGCTCCAGTTTAGCCTTGATGACAACTGCCTTGTCGGTCTGACTGTCTGCGGCCGACCTTCCATCTTCCCACCGACCTCGAGTGACTTTCGAGACCTCACTCCTCCTCCTCCTCCTCCTCCAGCTCAATTAAATACCCTTACCCGTCATTCACTCTCTCTTCCAGCTACTTCCCACTCAGGCTCTTGAAAAATCAAAGTAATACGCTGGGAGAGATGGTCATTCAAATCTACTGCCGATGAGCTCCATGATCGAGGCCAGTAATGACTGGGCACGAGAGGATGAGCTCGACTTGGGACCAAACCACGATGCACTCTCCCCGCCGACCCGCAACGGCATCGCCGACCGTGTTGACTCCCATCAGGGGTCAGTATCGGACCCAATGGCTTATGTCGAGGAAGATCTACCAGATCTGACCACTGAGGATCATGCTGCCCCCGTCAAACCACTCCCTGCCACCGACCCCGATACGACCGACCTTCCCTCTTCGCCGCGTTCCGGGCAGCCCGGTCCCCCCGAGAGTGTCGACGAGACACTCTCAATTCCCGACGATACCCCTTCTCTTCATGTGCGTCGCCGGCTGTCGCTTTGCGGTCGTGGTTCCTCGCTGATGATTTACCATAGGACTCCATCCTATCGTCGCGAAGCAGCAGCGCATTGGCCTTCAGAGGCTCCCCTCGACTCAGCCCCAGTCCCTCCCACCGACCATTCGACCTTCGCTTTCAATCTAGACTCTCTTCCGCCTCAATCGGTAATTTCCGATCGCCCTCACCGTTCCTAGCGCAATTGCACTCCCGCCAATCTTCCGTCACTAGTCATCTGTCTCCCGGTACCGTGGACTCGGGGCCCGACACCCCTCAGGGCCCCTGGGATGTCGTGCGATGGACCAGATTAAGAAAGATCAATGGTCAGGCATTCTCCGAAGCTGGAAAGCGGAACTTTGGCCATCCGACTTGCATGGTGGTCTCAACATCAATCGTGGTTGGAACTTCGAAGGGGATAATTCTGGTCTTTGATTACCAGCAGAATCTCAAGACAATAATTGGCCTGGGAACGAAAGGTAGGCTTCCTAAGAAAGCCTCTGTCGGCGCTCTCGGGTACTAAGTGTGGATATTTAGCTGTCGAATGCGGTGCGATCACGTCCTTGGCACTTTCTGCGGACCACTCTACAGTCGCAGGAGGCCATCAGTTAGGTGACATTTTTACTTGGGAAATATCACGATCGGCACGGCCCTTTCTGCACATACCCCCAATACCAGAATCTCTGGTCGAGAACCGCCCCTCCGATGGTCATATCGCGGGATCACCTGTTATCCATACGGGATTCCTGGGAACCCGACGCACTGCTCTTGTCTCTGCGGATAAACGAGGAATGGCATTCTCCCATCTTGCTACGCGTGGTATGGGCGCCGTTGGACGGACAGTGAAAACAACTAGGATTCTGGGCCGCTACCCCCAGGTCTACGCGGAAGGATTTCGGCCACGAAAGCCCAGCTCAGTCCTGGGGTTTTCACCTCTTCCCTTGGGCAACGTCGCGCAGCCAACTGACTCGCTGGGCCTGGTCGCTATGCTCACTCCCTATCTCCTAGTTATCGTGTCAACGACACCCGTGGCGCAAACTCAACACAAAGCGCCCCGCCCAAAAGAGCTTGCCGCTCATGGCGCGATGACTGGAGCGTTAGCCTGGTTCCCAGCTATTCGTCTCAAGGGCAAAGAGATGGAAACCTCGCGGACGAAACTGGTCTATTGCTGGTCTAATGTGCTAACCGTACTGGACGTATCGGAGGTAGAAACGGATGAACCGCCAAACAGGGATCGACCGCCAAGCCTGGCATTCAGGCCACGGAGCAGATGGAAGGCAGACGAGGCTATCGTAGCTGTGCAGTGGCTGAGTCGCTCAGTTATGGCAGTGCTTACTATCACGCAACAGTTGCTGATCCTTGAAGATCACACCATGCGTGTCACCGAGGCGGTTGATCTGCTCAATCGGCGCATCTATCATGTGGACTTCTTTTCTGCTCAGCTCCATAGCTTGGTTGAACAGTTCGATGAAGAGGACACGACAATGCATGGTGTAGTGGCCGATGCATTCTTTATGAGTTTTCGGTCCTACAAAGGTCGCCTGTTCCTACTTGGCTACAATGAACTTCTCATTGGAAGTCTCTCCAACTGGGCCGATAGGTTGCTTGCCCTCATGGAGGCTGGTGACTTCATTCGGGCAATCCAAGTGGCTACCTCCTACTATCAAGGTAGCGCCGAGAAGCTCACGATTGGCCTTCCCGAAGAGGACGCAGTGAGGCAGCCTCTGGTACGAGAAAAGCTCCTCGAAATGATCTCGGCGTCGCTCAAGTATGCTTTTGGCCGCAACGCGGAGGCGAGCAATGAAAGACTGGATACGACACAGCTTCAGAAGCTAGCCGAGGTTTCAATCTCTGCCTGTGTCTGCATGACTGAATTGGATTACCTCTGGGACGATGTCTTCACTTGGTTTGAAGAGAGTGACTCGCAAGGCATTTTCCTCGATGCACTTGAATCCTATATCGTTGATGGGACTGTCCGCTCACTCCCTCCTACGGCTGTCAAGGCTCTGATAAACCATTTTGCGACGAACCACACCGCCAGCAGACTGGAAGAGATCATCTGCCTGCTGGATACAGCGACCATGGATATTGACCAAACCACCACTCTCTGCAAGCAGTATAATCTCTATGATGCATTTATCTATGTCTGGAACCGTTGCCTTGGGGACTACGTTGGTCCCTTGCAGGAGCTTCTAGGGCTTATACCATCTCAGGAGGCTCTGACAAATGGCGTTGCTGCCACTGGAATTACACAGTATACGAACGCCATGAAAGTGTTTCCCTACCTCTCCTTTGTCCTTACAGGTCGGGTCTATCCCACGGGCGAGGATATGCACGAGCAGGAGGCCAATCGAGTCAAGGCCGCCTTGTACGAACATTTGTTCTCCGGCAATAATACAGCCACAGGGGCAAGGAAAGCATCCGAGACATTTCCGGACTTGCGAATCATGCTGAGGTTCGACACGGCCAGCTTCATGAGCATGCTGAATGAAGCTTTTGAGGACAGCTTTTTGAACGATCAGGAACCCGACGAAGCTCCCTCGCATGGGGTGTCGATCAACCGGCAGTACTTGATCAGTGTTCTGCTGCAAGTAATGACTTCAGACTCCTTTGATGCGTCGGGTACTATATGGTTAGATATGTTTGTTGCTCGCAATCTGCCGAAATATCCTCAATACATTCTTCTTTCAGGCAGCACGCTTCAGCAAGTTCTGGAACGGCTTTGTCACTATCCAGATCCCGCCATGGCGGATGACTGTGAGCTAAGCGCTGAGTACTTATTATCGATCTACCACCCCCCTGACCTACGGGCCATGATACCTCAATTCAAGGAAGCTCGATTCCTTCGGATATTGAAATCGACTTACCGCTCGGAGAAACAATACCCGGAACTCATTCTGGCTTGTCTTGAAGATCTCAATGAGCCAGAAGCCGTCTTTATTTGCCTGCAGGATTATCTTCGTCCCGGCTCCGGACTGAGCAAGAAGCAAACCCGGGATCTTCTTGATGTGGTCAAGCACCATGCCGGCCAGCTTGCAGCGATTAACGTCGAACGCGCCGCCCAGACCATGCATACATTCGCGCCAGAGATGCACGAAACTTTCCTGGATGCTCTACGGCAGGACCCTTTCCGACAATACCAGTACCTGACGATTGTGATTGGAATCGCCCTGCAGTCTGCAAAGGAGGGCAGACCGTCCAAGCCTATCGAGAATTGGATGTTAGAGCGCTACGTGCAACTTCTCTGCAAGTATGATTCTTCCCGAGTGGCCGATTTTGTGGATGATTTGCGCATAGGTGATGTACGCCTAGAAGAGCTACTGCCTTCGATGGAAGAAAGTGGCGTGGTGGACGCCGCGGTGATTTTGTTGGCTCGTCAGGGCCAGGTTCGAGCGGCGATGGGCCGTCTCATCGCTCATTTGGGGACACTGGAATCTGGCCTGGTGGGCATTCTGCAAAACATGAAACACAGCCCGGATTCTCCAGGCATTGTGGACGCTATCGATCACCTTATAGGATCATTAGACAAATACACGCGGGTTGGTATCTGGCTCTGTCGGGGCCAGACGAAAACGGCTAAGAATTCCCGTGCGATTGACAAGAATGGTCTCAGCACAGGGGCCATGGAACAGCCTCTCTACTTTGATGAGTCTCTATGGCTGGATTTGATAGAAGCCGTGGTACGCATTGCCAGTGGCGTCTTTGGCCTGCTGCCCACAGGACTTGCAAAGACCATCGATGCTCCGGTGACGGCAACCTCATCTCCTTGGATGTCGGCCGTGCGCTCGCTGGTTCAGCAGGTCTTTACTGCCTTACTTGCCAGCACAGTGCGGAGTGGTGGATCTTCCACGAGTGAGCGCAGCGATATTGCCTTCCTGCGAATCTTGCGTGCCTTCCTCACGCGGGCTGCAAGCTGGTCGCCGTCCCTGCTTGAGCTGCGCGCAGTATTGGCGTCGATATTTTCCGCGTATACTTACGAGAAATCCCTCCTGGCCCTCGCCAACGGAATGCTGGATCGGGACTTATTTGTACACGTGGATGAAGTAGCACGATTGCGTCAGCGCGGCTGGCGACCACGAGGCCAGGTATGCGAAATCTGCCGACAGCGCATCTGGGGACCTGGGGTCGGGCCCCAGTACTGGCAGGCCTGGGAGTCAAAACAAGCCGCGGCGCAGCAAGGCCGTCTTGCAAAACGGATCCACGAGCAAAATGATCCTGCGACCGCGCGGGGGAAAGGAAAAGCGGCAGACGTAGGTCAGCCGCTACATTTGCTCGAAGGCCATGCGGACGCAAATGTGGAGAATTCCGAACCATCCCCCGGGCCTGTCGTGATATTCGCTTGCCGACATTTGTATCATCGTCGTTGTATCTTGGAGGAGGAGCATTCTGATGCTGCTCAGACTCATCATCCCCGTCAATCATTCCGCGGTGGACCAGACTTGGAGGTGTTGTCGTGCCCGGTGTGCCCTGTACATACATAGTGAACGAGCGATTTTGCAACGCGATAATGACCTGTTGAGTTTAACCAATCCTACTTCTCTTTTCCTTTCCTTTTTTTTTTTTTTTTTTTTTTTTCTTCCTTTCAAACTTTGTCTCTGTTTTGCCGATCCCTACCTAGAGTATTCTTTGCTGCGTGTCGAGAATGAATGACCGGACATGGGAACGCCCGATGCAAAGGACAGCGGGGCAGACGCCTCATGATTCCTGGTGAGTGTTCTTCCTCTCCTGCTTTCATTCCTGCTGCTTCTTTTCAGGAGACAGAAGGTGGGGAAGCGCCGATCGGAGGATGGGCTTGGCTACTGCACAGTAGGTTTGCGCGTGTGCTTTGGCGGCAGACCGAAAATCACCGACGATTCGCTCTGCACTGACAGGCTTGCATTCCTCACCCGCCGCTATTTGACGCCCACTGCATGCATGGTCGGCCATTGGGCTCGAGTCCTCCCTCTTAATACTGGGAACTCGCCCTGAATTCCCTTTGACGAAATCGAGCCTAATCCTGGTTCTCTCTCCTTACTGGCTGACGGGGCTCATTTGCCCTTTATCATTCATCTCTCCTCTATCAATCCGTGACATAAACACGCGCACATGGGCCTGCCATCTGCCTCAGACTGCCTTTCACGCCACGCGACAGGTCTCAAGGCCTGGTCTGCTGCATGGATAATGGCTACGCCACAAGTCACTAGTGAATGAGCTTGTCCGTTGCGGATTGCCGCCGGAAAAGGAGCGCTGGCCAAAGTATATATGGCTGCTTCCGACTTCATGGCCGAAAACATACGGTCATGATCATCACGATTCTGCGACACTCCTTTGGTTCACACCTCCTTGTCCTTACAGCTGGACTGTGACTCTTCGTTCATTCTGACTTCAGGTAGACTTGCTACCAATCCACTCCCTAGCCAACTCGAATAATACTCACTTGCTCTACATTGTGTGAAACTGTCCTTCCTGGGCGCTATGCGGGCTTACACTTCCCTTCTGACGGCTCTTGGCCTTACGGCGCAGCTCGGTGCTGCGACCTACACATTGTTCGATGACTATACCAGCTCGTCCTTCTTTGACCGGTTTACCTTCTTCACTGACACCGATCCTACGCACGGCTTCGTCAGCTATGTCGACCAAGCTACAGCACAGAGCGACGGCTTGATTTCCACCAATACCGACGGATCAGTCTACATGGGCGTGGACCATACCAACGTCGCCAGCAGCGGCCGGGAAAGCGTACGCCTCACTAGCAACAGCCAGTATACCCACGGGCTGTTTATCGTGGACCTGGCGCATATGCCCGGTGGTATCTGTGGTACCTGGCCAGCATTGTAAGTCGCTGACTGTAGTGGATCTCTAGTATGATTCCAGCTAACGAAGAGGAAAAACAGCTGGCTTCTTGGCTCAGACTGGCCCAACAACGGCGAAATCGACATCATCGAAGGCGTCAATCAGCAGACTAATGACCTGATGACCCTCCATACTAGCGACGGCTGTACCATCAACAACTCCGGTTTCACTGGCACCCTGGTAACTAGTAACTGCTATGTCTATGCGGCGGACCAGTCCAGCAATGCAGGTTGTGGCATCACTTCCTCCAGCTCCCAGTCTTTTGGGTCTCCCTTCAACTCCCTCGGTGGTGGTGTCTATGCCACGGAATGGACCAGCTCCGCCATCAACATTTGGTTCTTCCCCCGCGGTAGCATCCCAGCCGATATCACCAGCGGCAGCCCGATTCCATCCACCTGGGGAACCCCCGCCGCCAGCTTCGCGGGCTCCTGTGATATCGACTCCCATTTCAACGCCATGCAGATTGTACATTCCCCCCCGCCCCTTACGCTTCCGTACTCCTGTGTTGGTCTAGAAACATTGCTAATCTACAACACGCAGGTTTTCGACACAACCTTCTGCGGCGACTGGGCCGGCAATGTCTGGAGCTCAGGGTCCTGCGCCTCGTACGCCAGCTCCTGCACAGACTACGTCGCGAATAACCCCTCGGCGTTCGAGGATGCGTACTGGACCATCAACTCGTTGAAGGTCTATCAGGACAGCAGCATTAACAGCATCCTGAATACGACCGCCTCGGGGCGATGGCCGGGTATGTCGCAGCATGCGCGTGGACCGGCGTCCCTGCGGCGAGGACGCAGGGAGACGGGAGGGTACGAGTATGCGTTCCGTGCTTGATTGACCGTACAGAGGGACTCAGGTAGGGCTATTTGTTAGAATGTCGTTTGGTGGTTATCACTTTTGCTTTGGGGGTAGTTCTATGTTGGTTTGCGAACGGGACAGACATTCGTTTTTTTATTTTTTTTGGTTTCGTTTTCGTTTTGACAATATGCATCCCCGCAGATTCATTCGCTTGGACGTGAGGTTAACACCACCTTACCCACGCAGTTCACACTCACTTCAGAGGGGGGGAAGCAGAGGATGTTGGAGCCTTACAGACGGATTTCTTGGTTGATTACACTCGTTTTTGGAAAACTGGTGGAGGACTTTGACACGCTCTTTTGGGGTCCCGGGGGTCGTTCTTTTGCCCTTTCCTTTCCCCTTCTTTTCACACCCTCTATACAACATTTCCCTCATACAAGGGAACACAAATCGCTCGTTTTGGCTGGCCCAACCCGCGGGACATTCACACGCACGGCTTCGCGGGAGAATTGCTAGAGATCTAGATGAGGTTCTTCGTCTTGTATATACCTGCATCTGGCAATATATATATACGCTTACTTTCGTTACTTCTTTTCGAGGCATCGGGTGGCCAGTATGCTGTATGTCCAGAAAACAGTCCGCCAAGCGGAAGGGGAGTTTCCACTGTAAGTCTGGCCTTGATACTGATTGTTCCAAAAAGGAAAGGGTAGACCACCGGGTAAGGGAGAAAGAGAGAGAGAGACAAGATGCCCACTTGTCCACTTGTTCTGGATCATCTGGTAAAGCAGTCTCAGGACTAACCCGGACGTCTACCAGAATAAAATAGCTCTCTGTCAAATCATACAAGGGAAAAAACCCAAAGCCAAAGCTAGCAAATCACCCGCAAACAGACGATAAAATAACAAACAAACAGATAAACAAAACAAACACGATTACGGCTCTAATAACGCAAGCACGCATTAAGGCAGTGTACACAAGCGGAAAAAGAAAAAAAAAAAAAAGGGATCAAGAGAAAATCTTTATATCATAGACTATGTGCTCAAGGCTTTTGTTGTTTCTACCTCTTCCGTCAAGTGGCGCCCCCTCCTTCCCCTTGCTGTCTCCCATTCAGAGCACAATTAATTAAAGAATGCTTTTTGTGTTTCTTGCGTGCTTCGCTGCTAGCAATACAGTCGGGCCTTTTTCAGTGCTTCTTCTTCCGACCCTCAGTGCCCTTCTTGATGATCTTTTGTCGCTTGGAGTCGATCTCCTGATCGTAGATCTCGCGGGCGGACTCGCCCTTCTTGCGCTTGGTTTGCTTGGAGGACTTAACGCTGACGGTGGAGGCGCCGCCGTTACGGATTTGCTTCTCGGCGTCGTCCCAGGCGGTGCTACCGTTGTTGATCTCGTATCTGGAGGCTAGAAATCAGTTATTGTTCATTCGGTTTATCATTGTTTGTTTTGTTTTTATGGGGGGGGGGGGGGCTGAATATGTTCAGAGTTGAGGGCGGGAAAGAGTGAGAACTAACTTTTCAAGAGGAAGGGCGTCGATTAGAGCCCGCTGCTTCTCGCGTAGCTCCTGGTCGATTTGTTGGCCGCCCTCGCGGAGCTCGTCATCGAGTTCCGTCTCTAAAGGCTTGAAGCGGTCGTCCATCACCTCGTCGTGCGCCTCCGTGACGTCCCGCGCGGCGATGGCAGCCTGTTGAGCGGGCATGGTCTCGGCGACGGCGCCCTCAATGACGGCACGGAAGTGTGTCGACATCTTGCGGATGATTTTAAGAAACATGGCCAGAAGCTGCTGGGAGGGGAGACTGAGCTCCTTCTCCAGGGCCTCGATGTTCTTGCGCTGCAGACCGATGGCCAAGAGGATGGACTGTTGGACGCCCGAAAGGCTGACCTTGCCGCTGAGACGGCCGGAGAAATAGAACTCGGCGATCGTGGGGACCATGTCCAAGATGACGTGGTAGTCGAGGAGGTTATTGGCGTAGCTGTCGAGACGCTTGAGATCGAAGGGAGAGAAGACGCGGTCCAGGTCGGCCTTGGTCAGGGAGAGCGGGGAGAAGGAGGTGTCGAGTTTGGCGCCGGCATTGGCGGACTCGCAGATGCTGAGCGACAGCACGGAGGGGAATTCACGGAACTGGTACGACAGGAGCGAGTTGAACCGCTTGTGGAAATCCCGCGAGAACGCGCCCAGCCAGCTGGCATCGTTGGGGCCGGTGGCAAGCGTGCGCAACATCACACACGAGTGCTCGCCGGTCAGGTCGTTGGGGGTCTGACGAAGGTAGACGGGGGAAAAGGAGGACCGTTTCCAGAATTTGTGCAGAGAGGGGGTCAGACCGAAACTGACACCGAGATAGTCCAAAGCGTCCGGGCGGCGCTCGGAAAGCTTGCCAAACAAAGGTGGCATCTTGTGAATATCCCGGACCTGGATATTGTCATCCAGAAGGCTGGAGTTGGCTAGTTCCTCGTCCGTCACGCGGACCATCTCCTCCGGAGCCTCGACGGCATCCTCCGACAGACTGGTGAACTTGCCCTCATAGAAGTCGGTCAGCAGCTCCAACGCGCGGGAGCCGTAACCCATGTTAAGGTATTCGGGGTTCGTGGCGATACGGACAACTCTGGCACCGGAGAGACCGGCGAAGTCTTCATCCTGGTATTGTTGGCTGACGAGCCAAGGGATCAGGTCTCCTCCCGCTCGTTGGCCGCGGCTCAAGCTGTTAAGGACGCTTTGTCTGCTGATACGACCTTCCAGCGCAACCTGGATCACGACAAGGGGCTCGGGAAGCTTGGTAGCTTCCTCATCAATCGGAGGGACAAGGACAAACAACTGGTGTGCGGGAGCATCACTCATGAGCTGGAGGTCATTAGGGGTATTCTTGTAGTGGCTAGCCACGTAGAGGGCCATCATCTGCTGCAGGAACTTCTCGGAAACGGGATGGAAGGAGAATAGGGTATCACGGTTGACTTGAAGCAATTGACATTGAGAGGGGTGGGGGCAGCCCTGGGTGTTCATCCGCGACTTGGGCAGAGTTGCATCAAGACACAGGACCTTGTTCAACCACTTCTCCACCGAGTCGCCAGGAGCATAACGAATGGGCTCCGCCAGGGTGATCTCACGGAGCGAACGACCACCCAAGCCCTTGTCGGCATTCTTGGCCGCTTTGCCGGTCGCCCGATCAGCGACGTCAATCTCCTCCTCGCCATTGGCCTTCAGTCCTCCTCTTGATTGCTCCCGAAGCTGCTGAATCAGCTTCAAGGAAAGCGACCGACCAGTTCCTTCGTAACCATTGATTGTGGAAGCCATGAACACCAGATACGGGCCCATCAATTTGCGGACCAGAGGCAGGGGAATAGCAGCGGCTTCATCAATCACCAAGAGTTCGGCCTGGCCAAGAACATGTGCATCCTGGGGTTGAATATACTGGATAGTCTGGCGGTGCTGGCGGTGAATATTGACACGGACAACAGCCTTGTTGAAATCGGGATTTGTCGACTGCAGAATGGTGTAATCAACGTGGTCCATATAGCCGAGCGCATCGAAACCCTTGAAGACAAACTCGAACAGGGTCTTCAAGTTCTCCGGACTAGGCGAGGTGATGAAGATGTTGCTGTATCCGTGGGCCACGGCGGCGGCGATAGCCACACCAAGAGCTGCCGACTTACCGCGACCTCTGCCGGCAGTCAATGTCACAGTGCTACGAAGCGTCTTCTCAGCAATTGCATCCACGAATGTAAGAAGAGCCTTGGCCTGATCAACGGTGCGCGCCAGTTTCACAAGAGGCCCAACCAGTTGGGACTCTTCCAAGCTCTCCTTGATCTGCTTCAACTCCTTCTTCGTGCCCGTGCTGTTCTCGTCGACTGATTCCGGGGGTGGCAGCGGCTTGACATTCTTGCCTCCGGAGATGGGCAGAACGTTCATTTCGTCGTCGAGAACGAGGCAGGAGTCGCAGCTGCCGAGGGAAAGAATGAAACGCTCGTTGAAACGGGCCACAACATCGTCATGCGCCTCGGTCCTGTACCGGGAGTGAATATCCATTGACAAAGTATAAAGTTGCTTCAAGCTGTTCATTCCCTTCAGCAACAGCAGCACGATACCACCTCCCTCCACGGTCTCGACGGTACGAGCGAGCAAGTTGGGCGTCATAGCTTCGAAGTCTTGAAGAATGCACATGCCGTATGTGTTACCGAGAATCTTCTCTGTTTCCTTGTAGTAGACATAGCGAATCTGGTTGAGAGTGATGAACAACTCGAACGGATCCTCCTGGTTGGGCTCTCTGATACCACGCTTCACCTCCTTCTTGATCTTAGCCTCGCGCTTCTTGCGGTGACTGGTGAAGCCCAGCAGATCCTTCTTGTAAGCCCACAGGACGGACTTGTTCTGCTTGACGTCGACGCTAGACATGATGTAGTGCAAGTTGACGATGACATCCTTGGCGCGATCGCCGACGACGACGAAGAAGCTTCTCTTCTTCTCTTGCACACCATTCCGGATGAGCGCCGGAATGCGCGAATCGATGGCCTTGCGAGGCATTCTGTGGAGAGGGTGCTTTGAGGACCCTTTTCACCCTTATCGCGATTGAATTGATTGATTCCCGAGGAGAATCTGTAGGCGGCGGCGGAACCCTCAGACTGCGCTGGGAGTGGTGTCTTTTGGAAAAAGGAATGAGACACCGCGCAGCTTATTATTGACCGAGACACAGACCAGGTCCTCAAGAAGGGAGAGGATGTAAATGGTCAAGTGCTGGGGGCTGAGAATCACACTCTCTTGCAGTAGGGCAATGGCAGCGGGCGGTTCGGCGCCAGAAAAAAAAAAGTTATCGGCGACCGGGGCTCGCAACTGCCATCAGCCACCGCTTGCTTTATACGATACCGCCTTTACCAGCACGTGCCTCACATGGTGCCTGAGGGCGCCAGGTCCCGAAATAGTCAAGCGGCTTATTCTCTGCGGCCGCATTTTCACGTGACGCTTGGCAAGGCTGCCCCTCAAAGGCAGGCGATGTCGGACAATTCTCTTCTTGCATTACACAGGAACAGTTATTGCTTCTTGTTCACAGGTCAGTTGACTGGTTGAATGGTGGTTATTTCTTGCAGGTAGTCTACTTCCAGATACCGTTTCTGATCCTGCCACAACCGCAGGGAAGAGCTTACTCAAGCTAGCCCTCCGTGCTCCGTGGTGGTGGAGCTGCATGGGAAATTAACCCCGTCGCTATTTTAAGGCCCGTGCTTCCCAACTCCGATCAACCTTCAATGACAGTACTCCGGAGTATGTCTCTAAAGTCTGCGAGGACAGACCAAGAAGGAGGGCAGAATGGGCAATGAGTCGATCAAGGAAAAACAAGAACGATCACAGGGGCAGATTCCACTTCGGGGATAGTGGCAGCTTGACTGGCATTGCCAGACGCGTGGACTTGTCTTAGGATTACGCCGATCAACTGGGAAATTCGAATGGGCTGGACCCTGACGGGTTGGTTGGCTTACCTGTCGACTGGCCACCCGAATCAGAATGATAGGAGAGAGAGAGCGAGAGTTGGGAACTTGGAAGATAGATATGGTTACATACCAACCTCGGTGCTGACGTGCGAGAGAGATCGAAGGCTAATTGACAGAGAGTCTGGGCGGGAAAAGAGCAGATGATGACTCGGTTGCAACCCTTGGATCCATGGGCCAGAATCACTGTCAATTTCCCTTTCTCTCCAGTTCAATTGATTGATTGATTGCTTACTTGCTTACTTGCTTACTTGCTGGAGTGCTTGACGCAACCCCCAACCATCGAAGACCATACTTGGCATCAGTAGTCTCTTTTTTTCTCTTCGCCTTTTCCCCTTGCCCTACTTTCTCCTCTACCTCTTCTCCCCATATCTCTCGCCTTCTCCTTCTCCCTTCTCGCCCGTCTCTCCTCCCCTCAGTTAGCCCCTCTGTCTCTCTTGTGATTGTCCAGGATCCAGATTGCGGACAGAGGCCTACTAGAACAGGCATCGAATTGCGAGGAGAAAGTCTTGACGTCTCCACTTGTTACCCGTGCGGGATTGCCCCAGCCAATTCCCCTACACTTTCTCCTTCTTCCTCCCTCTTCCCCCTCCGAAACAACCCAAGCCCGAAACCTCTTGGCCACCGAATCTCGTACTCTCCCTCACTTTTGTCCCCACGCGTCTTCTTTTCCCTGTCGACCTGTCTTCTTGTGGCTTGGGAATACAACCTCAATGTGCTGCTTGGATTGACCGACTAGTTGATGCGAGAATGGCTATGCGACCTTCATACTCATGACTTGTCTGATTCGGAATGGTACACTTCTCCGCTGAGACGGGGCTCAAGGCCTCTGTGGGGTGAGTACTGTATTTCCACACCATTCCCCTCCTCTCAGAGGAACCCATAGGTGCTCACTGTTTACCTTACCTCAGTATCTTTTTGCTCACTTGCACATTTCTTGCAACGTCTTACACCACTACTTTTGCCTTCGGTAATTCATCTCCACCCCATTGCGATCATACTGTAGTCCGACGTCTCCGGGGCGCGTCGTAGCCGCCATCGTCTGGCTCGCTAACACTTTTTCCCAGATCACCCCCTCAACACAGCTGTGATCGCATGTCTCATCGCTGGCTTCTCCCTCCTTCTACTGAGCCGTTTTATCAATCGAATTCCCAAGCCGTCCTCCGTGCACAAGTACAGCGTCATACCATTGGCGGAACGTGACCAAGCGATCGAAGAACCTTTGTCGCCGATCAGCTTGGAGAGTAGCAGCAGTAGCATCACACCTGTGAAGTCGCGCAACCTTCCTCGCTGGTTCAAAATTGGTCTGCTTACCGTTCTTGGCTGTGTCCGGGTTGGTTTATATCGACAAATAACGAAAAACATCGAATGCGCCCCGGACGGCTACGCGGTAAGTGCGTCAACATAAGGACAAGTGCATAGGTCTGCACTAACATCTTCCTCCCGATCCCAGTATGCGATCCCGTTCTTTATCGCTATCTATGATTACTGGCGTAATCAACGCGGCCGGCCAAGCACGAAATGGGCCGCTCCCGAAGGCCCTCAAAATGCGCAACTCCGCACAATAGCGACTGTCGCTAGTCGCATTCACTTCTTCGTCTTTCGCAGCCAGTTGCGATATGTTGCGTCAGCGGTTTGCCTAATGGCTAGCGGATATTTGGCGGTGGCATTCGATAAAGGACGAGAATCGACGTACATCTGCGCCGCTGTATCGGGCCAGTACCCGCGCCTACACACCTTGAGAGTTCTCAGCGTTGTTCTCGACTGTATGGTTTTGATTGGTGCTGCCGAGTTGGCCAATGAAGGCGCGCGACCTCGTGATGGTCGGAGGAAACAGACCTTGGTGTCTTGGGGCTTCAGTCTACTCGTAAGTCAATTCAGCAATTGTTTGGATTTCCACGGGTCTGACTGGAGCGAACTGAAAGGGCGTGGCTGCATTCTGGGGTGCTGTTGTAGCCTATCTGACTGTCAGATTCCATGGCAGTGATAATCTTGTCAGTTCGCACTTCCTGCGAAGTGCTATCGGTCAGGGTGCACTGATAGCTTGTGTTGTGGTCTCAGGCTCTCAGCTAGTAAGTCTGTTGGGATTGAGGTGTACAACTCGACCTGCTAACACGGTCAGATCCCTCACTATGGCGTCGTCGGCCTCTCGGTGTTGGCCGGCTTTGTCTCCTTGTACTACACCTGGACTGCGACTTTGTTCGAAGGGCACCAGCCATTCCCCCTCATCACTGTTGGTCGTGCTTTCGCCGCTCTGCTCTTGAACTATTGGGGGGGTCTGTCATTTCTTTACGCGCGAACGGCTTCTGAAGAGGAACCGTCGTTTCTCTATCGGTTCAACATCACATTGCGCGTTGCTATGACCGTCATGGCAGGAATCGGCTTTATTCTCGTCACACAGCAAGGCAGTGTTGCTCATTTGCATCCAATTGATCTGCTTATTTATGAAGGTAGACAACATCACGACAAATGGTTTCACCGCGCCAACAGCAGTCAAACCCTGGCCGATGCCGTGGCGCAGTATCGGCTGCAATATGATCAACACCCTCCACCGTAGGTTCACCATCCACTCTTGCCCCAAGCCTCTCGTTGATAAGGAACTAGGAATTTCGATAAATGGTACGAATTTGCGACGAACAAATCCTCCCTTATCATTGATGATTTCGATGAAATCTATAACAACCTGCTTCCGTTCCGTGCGGTAGCGCCCGCAGCGATACGAGACATGACGCAGAAATTAGCCACAAACCCGTACAATGAAATCGGAGCCATCAGCATTCGCAATGGGACTGCGAGAGTACAAGAGGGCATCAAGCCTACCCATGCGTGGATGGTCATCAGCGCGGCCAAGATGATTGAGAAGTTTGCTGAACACTTGCCGGACATGGATCTGGCTTTCAATCTGAATGATGAGCCCCGAGTGGCAGTGCCTTGGGAGAAAATGTCCGCCCTTCGAGATCAAGCCCGATCATATCCAGTGCTCCAAGACGAACGCATCTTGAATGAATGGTCGACTGACCGTAGTGACCAATGGCGACCGATCGAGCCGGCCGACCAAACGCACGACACCATGTTCGTGGACAACTCTTTTAAGAACATTTTTGACCGCTACGTGAGCGCCACTTGTCCTCCATCTTCCAAAGCGCGCTCTCAACGCATCTGGGACCGCCGTCACCTCTGCGTCAGCTGTGTTCGGCCTCACTCACTCGGCGAGTTCCCGTCCGACTGGGCCCTGGCGACTGATATATGCCATCAGCCAGACCTGGCCCACCTTCACGGTTTCTTCATGTCACCAGCCTCTTTCAAGGTCTCACAGGAGCTCATGCCGGTTTTCAGCCAGAGTGCGATTTCCGGCTTTGGCGACATCATTTTTCCGAGCCCATGGAACTACGTTGACAAAATCGAATATAAGCCCTCGGCGGAGTACCCAGATGCCAACTATACTGACAAAGCAAACACTCTTTTCTGGATTGGAAGTACCTCTGAAGGCATCAGCCACTCAGGCGAGTGGAAAGGCATGCCGCGACAACGCCTCACCCACCTGATCAACAATAACACGTACAATCACGTCTCCGTGTTCCTGCCTACTACCGACAACACCACCGACTCGTACCGCTACGAGATTCTACCTGGCACTTTTCCTTCCTCCTCCCTTCACCTCAACACAACAGTCAATATCCTCGACCCGATCGTCCGTTGCCGGCACCAGGATTGCGACGACCAGACCGCTGAATTCGGCCTTAGCGGGCGGGTGGACTTTCAAGCTCACTGGCAGAATCGGTATCTCTTTGACGCGGACGGCGCCGGTTTCAGCGGCCGCTTCCTTCCTTTCATGCAGAGCCACAGCCTGCCTTTCAAGACGGGCCTATTCCGCCAATGGTTCGAAACGCGCATAACTCCTTGGCTACACTTCGTACCCGTCGATGTCCGCCTTCACGGCTTGTGGAGTACCCTGGCATACTTCTCGGGAGTTGACTCCAGCGACTACTCCTCGACCTCTGAGAGGAAAGCTCGCCTCCAACCCCACGACATCGAGGGTCAATGGATCGCAGAAGAAGGGCGAAAGTGGGCGGCGCAAGTGCTGCGCAAAGAGGATATGGAAATTTACTTCTTCAGGCTCCTGTTAGAATGGGGGCGCTTGACAGACGATCGCCGAGAGGAACTGGGGTTTACGCTATAGTGTCACCTATGGCTAGTGAGAGCCACCGGCTGTCTCTCTCCAACTAACTTGATGATAATGATGATACAGGGGTTGGTGGGGCGGTGGAGGCGACGGACATGTGTAATGACTATATACTACTACCTATTGTAACTTCTTGATCCCTGTTTTTCTGATCCGAAATATATTCTAATCGTGTTACTATCAAGACTTCTTCTTTGGTTCTTGTTTCTTGTTTGTAGCATTCACTTGTCCCGTTCGCCTGGCAATATCGTCTCAAAAAATACATGTTTCGGCCTGACTAAAATACCGTTGGTTATGCTACTAGTTGCTGAGGCGCCCATTACAACGCAGGCTCCCAATTATCTTACAACTCGTCATGATCGGCTACGACAGGCTTCTCTGCCTGCTGCGACTCCGCAACGATCACGCCTTCGGGTAGCTTTTCCTTGGAACCTTCTCCAAGACGGATGGCATCCACCCATGCGTCCAGGCGCTCGACGCTGTAATCGGCCTCTGCGGAAGCGTACTTTCTCCACCATCCTCTCCGGCCGTTGACAGCGACAATCTCGAGGCCCTGCTCCGACAGCCCCAGGGCCACACGCAGGGACTTCGCCCCGCTGTTCGTCGCTGGAACACCGTAAAGAGGGAACAGCTTGCTCTTGTGTAGAGCGTGCTTATGCGCCACCTCGGCCAAGCTGGCCAGAGCGACGACTTGCGCTGAGCTCTCCGTCTCCGTCTCGGCCTGCGACTCCTCAGGCAGAAGGGCCAGCACACACGTGCCCGACTTGGGAGCCAGGCAAGCTGCGGCGAGGGCTTCCGGGGTCGTCAGAGACTCGATCTGCGGAGCCGGCACGGGGGGCGCAGGGGCCGGCGGCTGTTGCTGCTGTTCCTCTGCTCCGGATTCATCCGCCTGTTGAGTCTTTCCATCATCATCATCTTCTTCTTCTTCTCCATTCTTCTTCTTTTTCTCCGCCGCGGGAGCCTTGGAGGAAGAGCTTTTCTTAGCAGCCGAAGGAGCAACCGGAGCAGGATCCGGGTTCGGCGCCGCCACCTGGCTCAAGAACTCCACCAAAGGCGCCTTCTTCAGGTCTCCACTGTAAACAATCGCATCCTGCTCGCTGCTGCCCGCGGGGATCAGCACCAAGGTCGGGAATTCCTTCACCCCGAACCGCTCCACCGCCGCCGTCTCCTTGTTCCGCACCTGGGCGATCTGAATCGAGCCCAAAAAGTCAATCGCCAACGCCCGGATCAAGGCGCTGGTGGTTCCCTTGTCCGTGAAGAGGATGGCTTTAGGGGCCTTGTGGTCGTCCGATAGCCAGCTATCCAGGTCCTTGTCCGTGAGGCGGCGCACGTGGTTCGGGATGCGGTCAACGACGGCCTCAACAATGGCTTTGGCGGAGCGCGCACCCTGGTAGTCCTCCACCCGCGGTTTGCCGGGCTTCTTGCCGGGGGTCACGATCTTCAGGGTCGGGAAGCCGCGCACCCCCATCTGGCCGCAGAGAGGCTTGTTGGTGTCCTCGTCGCAGTTGATCGCGGCGACTTTGGCTAGGCCGTCGAGGTTCTTGGCGGCTTTCTCGTAGGCGGGCTTGAGGTTCTGGCAGTGGCCGCACCAGGGGGCGTAGAATCTGGGTTTCAAGATTTAGGGATCTTGTGTTGTCGTTGGGAGGACGGGGAAGAAGGGGGGGTGGAGAGAGAGAGGCTTACTCTACAATCTATGGAAATTGAGGTTAGTTAGATGGTCACTGAGATGTGTTTGGTGACGGGAGGGGGATCCTTACCGATGTGTGGTTAGAATGCGCAATGAGTTGGTCGTAGTTCTTGGATGTCACCTGCAACACGGGGGATTTCTTCGTGTACAGTCCATCTGCCTGGACGGGCAGCGCCGCGAGTAGCGAGGCCGCGAGGAAGACAGCAGAGCTGGGCGGGAGCATTTTGGAGACAATGAATTTGGGGGTGTCTTGACCACCAGAACTAGGAGATGATACTTATCAAGTGTGTACTTTTAGTTAGTAGTAGCTGGAATGCATCGTCCAGACAGAAGAGGGAAGATTGAAGCAAGGTGTCCTGAAGCTCTTGGCATGTGACATTGAGCTGAGCTGGGATTCATTGGATGGGGTTTCTATGTATAGCTCCCTCACTAGGCAGGCGGTGGAGTGAATTGAAGATTGTCTTTAGCCTGGAATCTCAGGCCACCATCCCGCATCTTCGGACGCGGCATCCATCCATCCATCATCCATCATTTCCGAAGTAAACAACCATCACCAGTAAATCCTTGCGGCCTCAAATGCAATCTTCCTTCCCAACCCCTCCTACCCCCGCAGCTCTTGCAACCCTTGCATGGCGCGTTCATGGATGGCTAATTGTGGAGACTTTCTGAGCATAGCTCAATTGATTGTCTTTGCATTGTCATATCCTTCCCACCCCCGTGTTTCCATGATCACACGACACTGATCAACCCCGCAAAAGTGCCCCCTCCCCGGTCAAACCATGGCTGCAGCTATGGAGCCCGAGGGCACAACAACAACAACAGCAACGACGCTGACATCTCTACCCCGGGAAATTTTCTGGATGGTCTTCAAGCAGCTTTCGCCCAAAGACATCATATGCTGTCGCCGGGTCTGCAAACTCTGGACCGAGGCCTTTAGCAGTCCGTTGTATCTCATCCCGCTGTTGAGGCGGCTTTTCCCTCGAGCCCGAGAGGTGCGGGAACTCGACCACGAAACGGACACGGACGAGCCGCCGGCTGGAACAGAGGACAGCGATCATTGGCGCCAACTCTTCGACCGGGTTGCGTCTCGCTACGACCACCTGCGTCGCGGCCAACCGCAATCCGTGCAGAAGTACCGCTTGTGTGATGATTTTGGCGCGACGGGCGAGCGCGAGTGGTTCCCGATCCAGCCATGGGAGACGCACGCCAGCCAGCTCGTGCAGCGCGTGGACTGCTTGTTCTCCGAGTCTTTCTGGTCCTATGAAGAAGGGCTGGTGGTATATCCGAGTGCGGATCATGCGTGCTTGGTCCTCCTGGATTTGGACACGAGCCGCCGGTTCATGGTGCCGTTCTTCATCATGGGCAAGGTGATCCGGCGCATTCGCCTGCAGCGGCGGGTGCTTGTAGTGGAATGGGCGGAGCCTAAGGCCTTCCACTGGCTCAATGACAGTGACGGCGTGCACCGGCATTTCGCCTCCTCGTTTGACGTGACCCAATCGCCCGCTACCGGCACCTGGAGCATCACCTTCCGCAATGAATGGAAGATCATGTTCCTCGGCCATCCGCTGAGTGAGCGAGACCGCTTCTACTCGACCCACAGTAAGACGCATTACGCGATCTACATCTGGCAGCCGAATCGCAGCCTGTACACGGCGGACGACGACGCCCCGATCGAGTCGCTCTCGGTTTGGGATATCTCTCGACCCTCGTCGTATCGGCCCTCGCTGGACCCAACGGGTCGCCTGCGCGAGGAGACTGAGGACCAGGGGCCCCCGATCGTCACCCGATTCGGGTTCAGGGAGCTGGGCTTCTACTCCGTGCGCCAACGCGGCCTTCCGGGGGTGCAGTGTCTGAGTATCACGGAAGATGATCACTCCATCGAGATCGTCGAAAGTCGATGTCCCGAGCCGCAGGTTCGGAGAGGCCCAGCGGACTGGATGACGGAGGTGCGCGTCACGACCATCCCCTTGGTTGGTGATGGTCCGGCTTGGAGGAGGTTCGTGGACGTATCACTACCTCCTTATCGCGGTAACTGCAGCTTGCAAACGGCGCCCGTTCGATCCTCTCCGTGGAATGAGCCATCGTATGCCATAGTCTCGGAGGCGTACGACGAACAAGCCCAGGTAGGTTATAGCTTGTACTTATCTTCCATCCGGTGGCCGTTCGACATGCGCATGCTCCTGAGTATCCAAACGCCCACCTCAACCACGAGACTCACGCAGGATGAAGCATTTGAGCTCACCGGCAGAGGCAAGATTTACGGGAATGAGAGGTACATAGTGGGCGAAAACGGGAATAGGGAACTGGTTGTATTCAGATTTGATAGATAGACACAATTCCACGAATGGATGCAATCCCTAATTCTTCTGCATGGCAGATCATCCCGTTCCCCGTTTTCTTTGAAGAGATATCCAGCTAGCGATATCCAGGCCGAGATCACAAAAGTAAAGGGCTTAAAAACACCTAAAAACACCCATCCCAACCTCTCTGGAACAACAACTAAGCAGCCGGCGCTGCAAACTTGCAAGCGACACATGCTTCAATCCCGCATTCCGGGCAGGTGAGCGTGAAGATGGGCTCCCACTGCCCACAAACCCTACACTCCGCCTGCCCATAGGCCTTGGTCCAGTAACCCAGGTGAAGGCATCCACCCTGCTGTGCTTGATTACCACGTGTCGCCGAAGCCACCGCCGCATCATCAACCCGGAAGCTGCGCCGGACGCCTTCCAGCCATCCGCAGAAGGTCTCCATGATAACCCCCCGGCATTCAACGAGTATGTCGTCGTTCGTGTATCGGCCATGGCTTGCGTGGAGCTTGGTTTGGAAGTATGGGAGCAGGGGTGTGAAATGGTGTCTGGAGCCGGGGAACTGCTGGAACAAGTCGATTGAGGAAGCCAGATCCTCGTTTGCAGTCGCGAAGTCGGTGTCGGATTGTTCGGCGGCGGCGGTGGTTGCTTCGTCTTTGGTGTCGCAGGAGTAGTAGAGCTCGGAGTCAGGGTTTGCTCGTGAGTAGGTGTCTAGGAAGTCGTTGGCTCGGGTTGCGGTGCTTGGTGTGGATTGAGAGGAGGTGTAGTATGCAGCGGTGGTATCGTGCTTAGGATCGGGGTGGTGGTGGTTGTTGCTGTTGTTGTCAGGTTTGGTGTGCGGGTTGTGAGGGTGAGATCCGGAGGAGTCATTGGAGGAGTTGTCTTTCTCAGTGGCGTTCTCTTCAGTGCGGTCGTCTTCAGAGTAGTCTTCAGTCATCTCGGAATGGTCATCTCCGTCTTCGGTTCTGTCTCTCTCGGAGTTGCCTTCATCTTCATCTTCATCCTCCGAATCGTCTTCGTCATTATTGTCGGTGGCGGTAGTGCTGTCTCTGGAATATCGATGTGGCAAGCTCACGCCCCAAGGCATTTGTCCTGGATATCGGAACCAGTCCTTTTCATCGTTCGCTATACCCTCGATTCTCTTACACATGCATATTGCTTGCCGCTTAGGTCCAATATCTTCCTTGCAGAACATCTCGTGGAAGACTTCGCCGCCGGGCACTCCATACTATCTAGATTTAGCATGTCCCTCAACTCACGTCGAGTGAACATTTTCTAGAACCAGGAGAAGCTGGCAAAACTCACGTTTGCGTCATTATCGTCTGTCCAGCCGTCGCCGGCGCCTTCGTTCGTTCGCCCTGCCTGGCCATCTGCCGGGGGACTATGCCTTAGACCAGTCTGCAAGATCGCGCCCTCCACCACCACATCCAGCAGATCACCCGATTGGTGGTCTTCAGGTATAATCTCGGTAGATGCAGACCCAGTGCTTCCTTTGCTGGCCATGGTGTGCATTTCTGCGTGGCCGCTGACGGCAACTTCAAGATCAATGAGATCACCGATGGATGTTCTCTCCTGCAGTGCTTCGGGTTCAGACGAGTGGTCTTGTTCAGACTGTTCCTCTTCGTTAAACTCTTCCTGCTCGTCCCCCAAATCCTCGTCCTCCTCGTCGGCATCCTCCTCCTCTTCGTACTCCTCTTCTTCTTCGTACTCTTCCTCCGCCTCGAAGTCTTGACCCTCCAGCTCAAACTCTCCCAAATACTGCTTCTCGAACTCCTCTCCAGACCCGCCCTCAAAATTCTCCTCAAGATCATCCTCAAGATCCTCGTTCAAATCCTGCGGCTTCTCCCACCGATCTCCCTTCTTCATGGCCTCCCGCCCCACCTCCGCGTCCAAAAGACTCGCCATCCACTTGGCGTGTTTCTCCTCCTTAGCCTGATCTCTTACCTGCTTCTCTTGCGACCAATAGGCCGTTTCAGCCGAAGTCCCAATCCAATGCTCCTCCTGCTCATCTTCCTCCTCCACCTCTCTCTCATCAGTCAGTCCTTCCTTCTCTCCTTCCACCCTACTCTCCTTTCTGTGAATTTCCTTTCCCTTCCTCCCCTTGCACACCTTCTTCCTCGTAATCAAACATCCACTCTCATCGTAATACCCAATCGGCTCCTCCGACGAAGACGACCAAGAACTCAACTCACTGTCTACCACCCGCCCCTGGTCATAGCCATACCCCTCCCATCCCCTCCCTTCTCCCTCTCCCTCAACCTCCTCAAACAGCCCCGCGGCGGCGGCAGCAGCAGCAGCAGCCGCCGCCTCAGCATCCCTGATCTCCCTCTCCAATTGCTCGCTCACCTCGCGGTTCCGCTGCATCTGCTCCAGGATCTCGATAGACTCGGGGGCCGTTGGATCCATGTGCACGCTGTGGCGGTAGGATGCCTCATACCGGCTCTGTCTGGTTGGGTAGCTGGTATGATGGTAATGGTAGTGAAACGATTCGTCGGCGTTGAGATCGAGGTTGTTGAATTGGAGATTGCGGCAGAGGTGATCGGCGAGGGTGGCGTCGTGGACGGCGCGGCGGGTCGGGTCGCGGAGGGTTTCGACGGCGTAGAGGATCTATTTGTTTTCGTGTGAGTCTGGTGGGTACAGGGGGGGTCAATGGTGTTATGCTGATGGGAGAAGAGGAGTGAAGGAAGTGTTTGTGTTTTGTGGTTAGGCGATATGGAGGATCATGTAATACGGTATAGGTAGTTGTTGCTTCTGGGAGAGACAGGGACGGACTCACCCTCTGAAATGCCTCGGCATCGCCGCCATCTGTCTTGTCCGGGTGGTGTTTCAGCGCGAGCCGCTTATAGGCACTGTTGATATCTTTGAGGTCGGCGTGGCGGGGGACGTTGAGGGTTGCGTAGCAGTTGATGAAGGCTGGGGTTGAGGTGGTGGTGGTGGTCATCTTGGGGCAGTTGGATGTGGATGTGGATGTGGCTGTGTCGCATGGACCTGAGGATGGTGTTTGCGGGAGAGGTTTGTTATAAGACGAGAAAGGTGAGGTTGGCTCGAATGTGTGTTGAGAGGGAGAGATAAGAGGCGGAGGTTTTTGGTGATGGGTATGTCGTTTGTTGTTGGTTTAGACCTGCGTCCGTTTGTTGTGGTGACCGTTACGGGGTTGATGGCTCCAATGTTTGATGGAGACCAAGTACACCGCAGTGAGACGATCTGCTGTAGCTGGAAGGACCGGCGAAGGAGTACAAAGCTGAAAGACGAAGCTGGAACAGGAAGATGCTTTTATATGTAGACATTTGATGCTTCTGGTGGTTAAATGGGACGCCTTCACTCATGGACATGTTACCTGGAAGGAAGGAATCTGACGAGCTATTGAGATGAGAACGAGTTTCAATGGTGAAAGACCACACTGTCGAATGGATAATCCCAGTCAGCTGTGAATCGATGATACTGTAAACATTCGCCACAATTGCAGCGGGTGCACCAAAGGTGAATCATGTGCAATGCGATGCGACTCTCTTCAGTATACTCAAAAACCATGTATTAAACAATGACTCCTTACTGCAGCATGAACCAAGCATCCACTTGAATCATCCCCGGGAAATTATCACAGACAAAGAAAAGGTAGTGATAGATTTTACAGGCTGGCAAGGATCTAGGTATTTATGAGTAAGTCTACACACATGGCGACCCCTCCCCACAAAAGCTTCAGAAAAGCTTTTACATGTCCGCACTGGCGGTAGCACCAGTGATAATCTCAACCAGTTCGTTGGTAATGGCGGCTTGACGCTGACGGTTGTACAGAATCTGGAACCTGCGATGTATTAGACTCGTTCTCATCACCACAAGGGGCCACAGAACTCACTTGTTGATCATCTCACCGGCGTTCTTGGAGGCGTTCTCCATGGCGTTGCGACGAGCCTGACTTGTGTTAGCACGAATCCATGGTCTAACCATTCCACGAAGCAACTCACAGAGATCTCGCAGGCGTGACCCTCAGCAAGAGCCCAGAACAAGCTGTTGGCAAGAGCGTACTCGCGGAGGTTGGTCAAGGTCTCCTCATCAGTCTCGTAGGCAGAGAGGTTGGCTATAGACGTAGTTTAGCACATGTCCTCATTTCCAAGCACAAAAAGCAACTGGAACCACTCACGGGACTGGGTGATAGCCTCCTCGGAGAAAGCCTCAACGGTGGCGGGCTCGTAGCTCTGAGCGTTGAGGAACTTGTTGTAGACGATCTTGACGCTGGCGTAGTCCTCGGGAAGCAGAGCAATCTGGTCAGCGATGGCCTGAGCGTCGGCGAAGGTAGGAACATCCTTGCAGACGTTGGCGAAGCTCAGGACGATGGCGTTGGGGTTGGTACGGGACAGCTGGGCCTTGGCCTTCTCTCCGAGGACGACAATGTCGGCGTTGGGAGTCTGCTGGAGCATACGGCGGGTGGCCTTGCTGAGACCGGAGTGGATACCACCGCAAAGACCCTTGTCGGAGCTGGCGATGACGAACAGAGTCTTCTTGTCCTCGAGGGGCTTGGTGTCAGCCTGCTCGAAAACAGTGTTGGAGGTCTGTCCATAGCTGCGGGACTCCTCCATGGCCTTCTGAGCGCGAGTAAGACGGGTAGAGGCGATGACCTTCATGGTGTTGGTGATCTTCTCGATGTTCTTGATGGACTTGAGACGGCCCTCGATTTCACGCAGAGTCGCGAAGTTGGCGGCGTTGGCAGGAGCAGTGCTTTGGGATAAATCAGCCATTGATCCATGATAGCGACCCAAGCTCTTGACTTCGTCCGAGTCGGTTTGATGTTTGCGAGCCAACCCAATGTTTAGGTTCGGGGAGGGATGCACAATGGCGATGAGTCGGGTGGGTTGTGGATTGGCCGGACTGAAGGGAACTTACCGGGAGACCGCAATGCTACCAGCGCGAACGGCCGGACGAACAGCACGGGAGAACATCTTGAATTGAAGAGATAACCGTACGGTCAAATTAAGGACCAACGATAAAGAAGTTGTGGAGGGGGGAGGGTGGGGAGAGGAGGAGGTCAGAGAATCCTCTTTTGGGCTGGGCGGATGAGAAGTCGGTGGTTGAACTTGGGACTCCTGTTTCTGTTCTTCCGACAGCCGGACAGCACGGGATTCCAGTCACGCTAGTCTCAAAGTAGGAGCGCTGGTTCGTGGGTGCTAGGGACAACCGCAAAGACCTACCACGCCATTTTTCCGGTCAGGTGACTGACTGACGGACCTTGAGTAAATAAGGGTAACTAGTTAAGGCTACTTTTGCCACTCTGAGCTCTGCAGACACTCAGGCATCAAGGCATCCAAACTGTGAATGGAATCGTCATTTAATTCCCAGAATGGACAAAGTGAGATCCTCAGGCCGGTCAATTTGTCGCCGCTTCGTGCGCGCTGGGAGGGCCGGAGAAACCTGAAGTCACAGTAAGTTAACCACTAAGTCAGATTCGCTCGCCTCAGGCCCCCATCTCGGGACGGCCTCGTTTTCCATTCCATTCCAGGTTCTCGCCTCGCTACTCTCTCCTCTCTCTCTTCCTCTTCTTTCTTCTTGTCACTCTCAACTCTTTTTCCTTTTTGTCATCTCTCCTGCCCTGTTCTTACTCTTCTCTTTTTTCTCTTTCCATTGCCCCATTGCCCCCCTTCTCCCTCCTCCTTTCTCACCTGACTTTCCTCCCTCTCTTTTCCCCCCCAATAACACTACTCTTCTTTCTCGGTTCTTCTCTTGCTTTTGGTCTCCTCCGTCCATGTATCTTCCTTCACTGTGACGCTTCGACCTCTGGTAGCTCTCTCATTGGCTAGGCTTTCCTTGATCGCATCCCCCCGTCGAGCGTCTGTCCGGTACAACAACCTCAGCGGTTCATTTCCACGCCTTTCTGTTGCTGCTGCTCGAACAGCCTCATACTTGGCTTTCGGCCCTCAGCGATCCTTCCGTCGCCGTCGCCTTGCAAACATGAGCTCCTCGGACGACGACACTCCTCTCGTCCAGACCAATGGTCGCCATTTGGGTGAGTTCCTCTACATCCAGTCTATCTGCATTCGTGCTTTATTCTTGCTGTAATCGTCAATCAACACACTCAACGAGCCCTTAATCCATGAAAATGGTTTCCAATGCGCCTGCCTCCCCTTGGACCCTACCCCTTTCCTATTTTACCCTATCTTTCGTCGACCACTTTAGGACGTTAACTAATATGACATGGGGAATTGCGACAGAGACGAATGGTCATGTTGACCCTGGAGTGTCGATACGGTTTGGTCCGGTAAAATCCGGAAATGATGTCGAGATGGCGGATGCGGACGCTGAAGCCGGTGCCGCTTCGAAGAGGAAGTCGCGCAACAGTGTCGGTCAGGTCAAGTCCTACGCTGAACCGGAAAGCAGTGAGGAAGATCAACCTTTGGTACGCCACACTTCTCTTCGCCGATCACAGTTCAATCCTTTGGGCTCCAACCTATTCTTTTCAATCTCGAATACGAACCCAGTCAATCGGCTGACCTATCGATAGAGCAAGCGTCGTCGCACATCGGTAAAACACGAGGATCCCGAGACGGATGATGATGTGCCTTTGGCGCTCAACGGTCGCAAACTTCCGAAGGCTTCTGAAACTGCTATCGGCGAGGAGTCGGATTCGGATGTCCCAATTGAAAGGAAGCTCGCTGCGGAGAAGAAGCGAATTCAACTGAAAGGCGAGAAGGAGGCCAAACCTAGTCGCAGTCAGGCCACGACGAAGAGCACCAAGGCCGCGGCAACTAAGAAGCAGACCAACGGCGTGAAGAACGAGCCCGAGAACTCGAAGCCCAGCGTCGTGAAAAAGACAGCCAAACATGCCAGGGCCCCGGAGAGAGCTGTCGTCACCACCGTCAAGCGGGGAGCGTCGACCGGCAAGGCAACTCCCGCGAAAGGCAAAGCTTCTGCCGCCAAGGCAACTCCAGTGAAGAAGGAGGAGAGTGAAGAAGTTGAGGATGGCGATGAGGAAGAGGAATACCGGTGGTGGGAGGACCCGACTAAGGGCGATGGCACGATCAAGTGGACTACGCTTGAACACAACGGCGTGGTTTTCCCTCCCCCTTACGAGCCTCTTCCTAAGGATGTGAAGCTGAAATATGACGGCATCCCCGTCAATCTTCATCCCGACGCCGAAGAGGTTGCCGGCTTCTTTGGCAGCATGTTAAACTCTACTCACAACGTCGAAAACCCCATCTTCCAGAAGAATTTCTTTGCGGACTTCCGAGATATCCTGAAAAAGACCGGTGGCGCAAAGGATACCAAAGGCAATAAAGTCGATATCAAGGAATTTTCGAAATGCGATTTCCAGCCTATCTTTGCATATTATGAAGCGAAGCGCCTTGAGAAGAAGAACTTGCCTCCCGCTGAGAAGAAGCGCCTAAAGGCCGAAAAGGACGAACAAGAGGCACCCTACATGTACTGCATGTGGGATGGTCGCAAGCAGAAAGTCGGTAATTTCCGAGTCGAACCACCCTCATTGTTCCGTGGTCGGGGTGAACATCCCAAGACTGGCCGCGTCAAGTCTCGAGTCATGCCGGAGCAGATTACAATCAACATTGGCAAAGATGCACCTGTTCCTCCGCCACCGGAAGGCCACAAATGGAAGGAGGTGAAGCATGACCAAGAAGGCACATGGCTTGCCATGTGGCAGGAAAATATCAACGGTAACTACAAGTACGTCATGCTTGCAGCCAACTCAGATGTCAAGGGGCAGAGTGATTACAAGAAGTTCGAAAAAGCCCGCGAACTGAAGCACCATATTGCTCGAATCCGCAAGGATTATCAGAAGAATCTCAAGCATGAATTGATGGTGGAGCGACAGAAGGCCACCGCTGTATACCTTATTGATCAATTTGCCCTTCGTGCTGGTAATGAGAAGGGTGAAGACGAGGCTGAAACTGTCGGTTGTTGTTCTCTCAAATATGAGAACGTCACCCTCAAGCCTCCCAACAAGGTCGTTTTCGACTTCCTGGGTAAAGATAGTATCCGGTTCTACGACGAAGTCGAGGTCGATCCGCAGGTTTTCAAGAACCTCAAGATCTTCAAGAAGGCGCCTAAAAAGGAGGGCGACGAGATTTTCGATCGACTGACTGTAAGTTACACTGTGATTAGCTCACGAGTCATGCGTAATTCTGACACTTTTAGACTTCCGCACTCAACAAGCACCTGTCGGGTTATATGCAAGGCTTGACCGCTAAAGTGTTCCGTACCTACAACGCTTCCCACACCATGTCTACGTTGCTCAAGGAGATGAAAGCAACCGGTAATATTGCGGAGAAGGTCAAGGCTTACAACGATGCAAACCGTAAGGTTGCCATTCTCTGCAACCACAAACGAACCGTTACTGCATCTCACGCCAATCAAATGGAGAAAATGAGCGAACGCGTAAGCAGAATCCAGCAGACTTTTTTTATTTTTTGGCTGAATAGCAGCTAATGTGACTTGATGGATAGATCAAGGGTCTTCGCTATCAGCGCTGGCGTTTCAAGCAGCAGATGCTCAACCTTGAGCCCACGCTCAAGAAGAAGAAGGGTGCCAAGTTCTTCGAGTTGGACGAGGACATGGACATGGAATGGGTCAAGGAACACCAGGCGTTCCTCCTTGAAGAACAACGGCAGAAGATCCAAAAGAAGTTCGAGAAGGACAATGAGAAGCTTGCCGCAGATGGAGAGAAGGAAATGAAGGCAAGCGAGCTCCAATCTCGCCTCGAAGTTGTCAAGGACATGGAGAAGAAGTTCAACAAGGAGATCAAGACGGGCAAGGTGGAAGCCGAAGGCAAGGCTCCCACTGTTGAGAAGCTCGAGACCGCCATCAAGAAGCTCGAGCAGCGTATAGAAACCATGGAGCTCCAAGCCCAAGACAAGGAGGACAACAAGGAAGTCGCCCTGGGTACCTCGAAGATTGTGAGTTCTCTTGCACCTATTTCCTTTTTCTCATTTCCCTACCAGGCGTGCCATTAGCACTCGAACTAACTTTGCCGAGAACTATATCGATCCTCGTCTCACCGTCGTCTTCAGCAAAAAGTTTGACGTCCCTATCGAAAAGTTCTTTTCCAAGGCCCTGCGTGAGAAGTTCGAATGGGCCATCAAATCCGTCGACGAGACCTGGGAATTTTAGATCTGGATGTTCCTGGTTAGCTTTCTTGAGAGGTGGACACAGACTTTTTTTCCTTGATGGTTACAAAAACCTGATACTGTTGGCTTCTTTAGCTATTTCTTACTTTTTTCTCCCGTCTTCCAGATAGTCATGAACCACCTGGAATTCAATGCATGTTATGCCCCATACAACATTTGATTGCATTTCTTGGAGCCTCAATGTCAATTTCTCATCCCATTGGTTAATCTCTATTTACTTTTCATTCTTCTCTTCGAGGACCGGGGGATGGAAGACATAGTAATGGCAGAGAGAGAGACACACAAGAAAGAATACTATCAGGGTGTGGCGAGACGGAGGGCTATGAAATCGATTGACAGATCATCAGAATCGTACGAGCTGTTTATTTCTGTGTCAAGAATAACACCAAAGCAGATTGGTCGATTCATATACGCCAATGGCTTTGTATCATCCGATATCGGGTCTCGGTTCCGATGACGATCCCCGAGACAGATATGCATACAACGAAGAGTGTTATGTCTTTTCAGAACCAGTTTTTGTTCAACAGGATGGGGCCGCTAATTACAGAAATAAACTTCGACCAATGGACGGTACGTGTGCTGTGGTATAGTGTTCTTTCTGTCTACCTTGACGGTTTCAATGACCGTACACGTTCAATCCGCGAATGAGAAGACAAAACTGCAGACGTCATGCAATAACAACGTATAGCTGGAACCACGCCGGCGTGAGAAGTGTCAACACGATCTTTCTATCCGAAAGCAAAATATCATTTTGATGCGCGGAGAACATCAATGAGTCCTGTTCATGCCTCATAGATGCAAAGGAGTACATAGAGATCACGAGAAACAGGGAAGGAAAAATTGGACAAACCCCAGAGGTAGTAGAAGTCAGAAATGAGGGCTGGACTCCATATCCAATGTGTGCAGCAATGAGATAAAGTACAAAAACAAATCAATTATAGAATGACGAGGTATCAAGGTTCTCAAGACAGGCTCAACCCATCGAGATGCAGCGCGGAAGAAAGAGTAGCTATGTATATGCAGGTCATAGAAGACAGGAGTTGTGCCAGATCTTGAACAGTAAATGTTCCCAAAATCAACCAACCAAAGAAGGAAGGAGTACATACCGTTCGGTCCATAACAGGCATCCGGAGTGTCCCAAACAAGAGATAATAAAATTACAGGCATAATGTCCGTGATAATCTGCAGTGTACAGTTTCCGGGTATTAAGGCGAATGAATTCGATGGGAGAACGAGGTCTATGTGCTTTTGTCAACCTGGTGGTTGGGTAAATTCGAGCTACCCTGGTGCAAGGTCGTGGTGATGCACGTTCGGGGTTTCAAGAGCACACGAAATCGGTTCGTGAGGATCGGTTGCGAAGACACTCGTGCGTATGGTGACTTGGAGAGTAGTGGTCAGCGGGGAGATCCGCGTCCACAGAAACGTCTCACGGCCACCAGCCCATTCTTTTGTAGCTGTCAACCATGGCCCGCACAGCATCAGCGTCGAAGCGTTCACGCGTAGGCTTCCATCCTGTGGTATTCTCAAACAATGTGCCATCGATAGACATGTCCTGATCTCTGAGAACATCCCTCTCCAAAAATGGGCTAATCGGACCGGGTCTTTCAATCTTCTTCTCCTCAAGCAGGTCGGCCCAGCCTTGCAAGCACTCCTCATTCATGTCATCCACGACTTCGTCCAAATTCATCTTAGCGAATTGAGATGCCAAGGAGCCCAGAAACTCGACCTTCATGTTGAATACCTCCGACAGGGCATCTGCAATGTGCTCTTGGCGAGTGTCACCATGGTCAACAATGTTGAAAGCAATAGGGGCCGACCCGTCCGTCGGAGCGCTGGCCCTCCATTCCGCTGCTTTCCAAAGTGCGCTTGCTGCATCTTTGATGTAAAGTGTGTTGATTTTCAAATCCTTCGTGTACAAAAGCTCCAAGTTCTTCTCCAGTTCTGAGTAAACTCGCGCAAGGCAAATCCCCATGGCAAAGTAGCCAGAATCATACTCACCGTAGACGTGAGGCAGCCGGAGCAAACAGTAGTGGAGATTGGGAATCTTCTGCAGCTCCTCACTGGCCTTCATCTTCCACTTAGCAAGCTTGTGCCAGGGCTGCAACTTGTCATCTTCCTTACGGGGACTTGAGCCACCCTTGTAAACGTGCGCGGTGGAACATTCGACGAAAGAGCGGATGCCTCGACGGGCGACTTCGCGACCGAGGGCAACGGTGAGGGCAAAGCTGCGGACTTCGTAGACATCATCAGGCTGGGAGTGTCGAGTTTCGCCGCCACAGTTTATCACGTAGTCGAATTGTTCACCATTGGTACGGTCGAAGATACGGGGAAAGTGCTCTAGCGGATCCAAGAGTGTTAGTTCGCGGTCAATTGTGAAGAGCAACGAGCCCAAGCGAGTATGGTGACTCACGTTCCCGGCTGGCGTCTGCTTGCACGAATTTGTCTTTGGAACAGGCTTCTTCAAACTCAGGGGCTAACCAGGCAAGCTGGGGTAGGACTTTGTCGACTAGTCGTACTTCCGAGGCCAAATTATTCTCGTGAATATACAGAGCAAGATGGCGACCAATGAAGCCTATAAGCACAATGTCACGTCAGCCAATATTGCCTAGGCAGATTTGCACATGTCGAAGAGTGATCGTCATCAGGAATGCGTACCAAGACCGCCAACGATCAGAACAGCGGGCTTTTTTGTCTGGTCATCAGCCATGATGGGAATGCGACACGGAGCGAGATTGCAGGTTGAAGTTAAGCCCAAGGAAAGTAGCTTCAGCTTTGTTCAGAAGGTGGACTAGCTCGTGTTGAATTGGTAGTTTGTTGACAAGCACCCCGCACCCGAGCGCGTACCAGTCAATTGGAAGAATGCGGGGAGGAAAAGGGGGCGGAAGAGATGCAGGGGAGGCGAAGGAAGCTGAAAAGCAAAGGGAGGCCCGTCACACAGGATGAAGCAGAAGTCAATAGTATGTAATTAAGAATGGAAATTAATGTCGGTCAGGAAAGAGAAGAGAGAGAGAGAGAGAGAGAGGAGGAGGAGGCGAGAAGAAAAGGAGGAAGTTGAAAGAGGGAGAGAGAGAGAGAGAGAGAAAGGGTAAGGCGGACGAGGGGGGGAAACAGAGAGGAGGGGGGGTGGAGGAGGAAGGGAAGAGCATCTCTTTTGGGAGGAACTAATTGGATTTGATTATAACGACACGGAGTAGTTACTCATACTATCATACTGACTATGGTAGTAATTTACTGCCACAACCTCTTTATTTCCATTCAACCTACAGGCAGTTGATTCCTCTCTGTCTCTCCTCGTGTGACCAAAGTTATCGCATTGGCAAAGTCCAAGTTCCTTGCCTACTGATGACTGACTCGCTGTGCCTGACCCGGGATTGTGTCTGTATACAACAATGTTCCCAAGCTGTCTAAGACATACGAACTGACCACCACCGTCACACATGGAGAACACGGTAGACAGCATATGAACCGCAAATCACTTTCCCCAATCTCATCCAAGTCGCAAAGGGCCGGCAAGAGCTAGAAAGAGACAGACACCTCATGTCACTCTCTCTCTCACGCTGATCACGATACCAGTTTCTCCAGACAGTTCTCCACTCTCCTCTGGTGTAACCTCCATCCATGCGAATAATGCGACCCAGTGCTGCGACTGAAAACAGCCATTTACTCCTAGGACCTCATCGAATTGATAGCCAGTCCTTCTCACGAAGAATCGGTGCTACCAAGCAAGATTATCTTCCTTATCCAGTCCTCTTTTCCTCTGCGACTGACTACAAATCTCGACCACCGCCACCGCCAGAACCACCAATAACGAAAGGCAGATTCTCATGGAACATGAGGGGGAAGCACATCATCATTCCAAACCGCTTCTTTTACCGAATGAACGCCGCCGCTAGCGCTGCGTCTAGAAATTTCGCCGGCACAGTGGAGACCACACTCCCCCAGCGAGTGCCTCCCACTCGTTCCTTTGCCCTCGTACAGGAAGTGGGCAAATTTTAAGCGTCCCCCTCGAGCATTTTGGGTAGGTCCCCAAACCAAGGAAAGACAAATAGATTCATCAATCTCACCCCTGCCAAGCGCGCGTTGTGGGACGTTGTCCGTTCGTCAGGGACACCGTCCGATCATAGTCCCGCCCCTAAGTGGGCTCTGAACCCATTTATTGCCTCTTCAAGTCCCGAAAGGGAAAGGGTTGAAGGTTGAATACGTATCAGGTCACAGAGAAACGAATGAAGCAAGAAACCAAACGAAAACCAGCGGCAAAAAAGCAAAGAGGCCGTACGGCCGGAATTTGTCTCAAGCCTTCTTTGCCACCGCATCGCGCTTACGCAGGAAAAGAAAATGAAGTATATCGTGTAGAGATAGAGACTGATCGGCTCAGACATCTCACATGTCGGAGGGAGCGCCTGACGCAGGAAGAAATACGAAATAAGGACAGGAGGCGGCGGCGGGCGCGCAACCGCCAATTGTGTGAAATTGGGAGGACTGAAAGGGATCACCCACAGGGAACAATAGCATGGATGATCTGCGTCGCATAAAATGATAATACGAGTCAAGGGCTGCTTGCTGGTGGATAACAGCTAATTGCTTGTGAATCCTACTGGAATATTATTCCACCCTTTTGCAGTTTGACGCCGGAGGAGTGCCTGCATCCTGCATAGGGCGTCGGCAAATCGCATCGGTCCCGTCTGCGACTAAGCCTAGATTCACTTGAATTATTTCTTCGCTGTCCTACCAGTCTATCTGCATTGGCCTTGATCCGCCCGACAGGCATAATGGACAAACAGCCTTGGATCTACCAACGGACCTTCAAACAAAGACCACCAGCAGGCAACCAAAAAGGACACAGAATAGGGACAGCGGTGGATGGCGGATCTCTACTATTGAACGCTTATCCGCGGCAATTTGAAATCGTCACTAGCTAATGATATCAACCTCAGCGACGGCTTCACTTTGCACTTTGACCCGCTTCCCTCCCCCTCCTTCTCTTTCTATCCATACTCCATCGAGTAGTGACTCCGTACCAAAGCCTCAACCCTTCATCTAGACTGGCCGAACTAAGTCCATAACTCCATTAGCACGGGATCAGATCGCTCGAAGAGCACGAGTAAGAACATACAGTGGACAGTTGGGAATTGAATTCCGAGCCACTGAACGAAGAAGAGGGGAGGAACTCTCTACACAGTAGACTACTAGCCAGTACAGTGCACGACCAAGACACCAACGGTGTAGTTACCAGCTTTTCAGCAACCCTAAGGAAACGCCGGCAATTGCTCGGACTTCTTTGTTGATAGGACAACCACGGCCCCCGCGCAAACGAGACAGCAAACCTTCCATTTCCCCGGGTCCAACATTTGAGAGAAGGGAGGGAAGAAGCATTGGTAGTACGGTATTTGACTACGGGACTAGCTTCCAAGGTTTCTTCCCCAAGGACCGTGGGCGATCGTCATCCCATGGTTCGTGCTGGGCCTTAAAAAGAGTTCACCCCATCACGAGCGAGCTCGAAGAGGCTTAGATCAATTTAGACTACTACTAGAAACAGTAAAGTGAAGATGCATCACGGTCTTGCAACACGCGGCTCGTGCGAAGAAACCCTACGAATTAGGTTCATTTTTGTATGGACGGAAATCGCCTCCCCTTCCCCAAAGGCAGTCTAGATCGACCAATCAAATCTGAAAATTAGCAGCATTCAATATTGGCATGACTTTAGAAGCCTAGGACTCGATATGGAAACGATCAATGCTTTGCAGGTGTTCACAATCTGATGGGGAAAGAAGACCTCCTGAGAAAAACCAAACCCATTCAATAACCTCCCAACGAATGAGAACAAAAGCAGGAATCAGGGATTGCAGTCAAGTACTGTCCAAATTAGATGCAGACATAGAATATGGACGTGTGATTGTTGCCAGACCAATAGTACAAATGGCGTTGAGAAACACGGCGAAAAAGAGAATCAGTAACCCTTGCCGTACGCAACCAGGCGATCCTCCTCGACGACGTGCAACCGGACCCGGATCTTGAAAGCCGGAGTCAAGGATCCAGACTCCAGCAGATGGGCACGGCCCTCCATCGCTTTCTGCAGCTCATGCTGCACCATGATCCAATCCTGCTCGTGGTTCTGACGGACCCGGATTTCAAAGTCAGTCCAGTCAAATCGGACGGAGGCGGCGATCACAACAGGCCTCTTGGATGAGGAGCTGCCGCTCACGTCGTGGCTCAGCTGGCGGGAGGGGCTCCATTCGTCCAGGCGACATTCATGCCGCAGAGATTCGATGAACGTTGCGGTCGAGTTGAAGTTGAAGAAGCGAACCCAAACCGGGGCCATACCCTCTTGGCTGGTCGCAGTGACAAGGAACCAGATGTTGTCATCCAGGTGCGTCGCAACGACCGGTGTAGTATTGGCAGCGTGGTCCAGAGGTTCATCCAGGCTCATCGCCAGCTCCTGTGACTCCTGCCTGACGGGCGCGTACTTCTTGGTCTTGGACTTCTTCTTATTCTTCTTGTGGCTTATCTGCATCTCTTGGCCGTGGGGAGAGGGCTCCATCTTGATGCGAGGGGTTTGGTTGTGCTTAGACTTCTCAGGCTCGACACGTCCGGTTTTCGAGCTAACCAACCGCACATCGCTATCCGATTGCATATCACATTCGCGGGAAGACAGGATTGAGTTGAAAGGGCGAATGTTCAGACTCGCAGCTGAGGAAGAGGAGCGTCTCGGACGAGCCGTACGGAGTGGTGAGTGCTCATGATCCGCATCAGTATCATCAGCAGCCGAGTCAGTCTCCCGGTACTCTTCATCCACAACAACATTAGACTTGCGTTTCGGCTTGTGTTCGACTTGCACGGAGACTTGTGGTGCCGGTGGCGCTCCTCGCTTAGTGGATGACACAGTGCTTGTTGCCATGGTTTTATGGGAATTGGCAAAGGTGAAGCCAGTGATGGAATCCTGTACAGATCGATGAGATGAGTATATATCCAGAGTTCGAGATGACTTCGACCAGTAAGAACAATAAGGGGAGAGGGCGAAGTGATGATTTACTTTTGATTTCTGATCAGTACGTGGTCTCAGACCAGATTTGGCTTTACGTTCAAGGAGAATCATGATGGTTCGGATAATCCTGCGGGTGTTAGTCGTAATAAGCGACAGGTGGTTGAGGGGTTTTAGGTGACAGTGACTGACACGGGAAGAGCAGCCACTTACTCCTCTCTTCTCGCGGGATATATGCAGAGACTGCTCTGATTCTTGTTGAGTGAATCTTCCATCAAATACTTACGGCGGTTTTCCTCATTGCCCCAGTACTTCATCCCAATGTCGTCAACGAAAATCTCAGCGCATGTTCGTCGGATAGCCTCCGAATTCTGCAATTTTACCCATTCATAGCCATGAATGTGGACGTGGTCTCGAAGGCTATCAAGAAACTTGCGCGAGTGATCCAACTTAAGGTCAAGGAACAGGGTGAAGCTTCGATCTCGGCTCCCAGGCTTTAGCTCACCCATGTCGAGTTCAGCTTTCATAGGGTTGGAGTCCGTGTCTGGCACCGTGCTGAACGCGAACATACCGCGCACCATGACGAAGTAAGCTTCTCAACTCAGAATATTGTATGCTGACCAAAGCAGGAAAGGGGTCTGATGTTGGATGTCTACCCTCAGTTTGGCCTGCTGATAAGGTCGGGGGACAGGTGAGTTGTGATGGCAAGGGCAAATGGGAGTGCGTGGGAGATCCACATGGGACATCCGTGTTCTTGTGCAAATCAATAGGGGAAGCCGGGGAGACACAAGCGGCGAGAATGACTGTGCATACAGATCGGAAGTGGGTGTTGCTGCTCATCGCCATGGCGATGGTAAATTAACATGATAGCTGGCCGACCTTAGAACGAACCCCTCGACGTGCAGGTCCGTGAATTCTGAGCTCAAGCGACGACTCATGACTCACTAAACCAGAGTTAGGTCTCAAGATATAAGGAACTGCAAGGAGCAGCAAAACACAGGGAAGATATTAGGATTTATTAATTCATTCATGACTCGAGAACAACACCATGAAAGCAGTCCTGACACTCATTCAACCATAAGATCGCGGGGCAAAGGTATCTTCCATGACAAACAACATTCGCTAAGCTAGGTAAATATGAATGCGTGCTTCATTCTGCTCCCAGATAGCGCAATGAATTTCTGAGTTCCTTAATTGCTGTATTGATATCATCAAATGTCAGTGCTGACACCGCCCAGCGAGCATGCTTTTGTGCAAGCGCGATAGCTTGATCATCAACCGGCTGAGCATTCGTCGAACCCAAAAGTGGAGCAGCAGGTGCTGGTGCTGGAGGTGTTGGACTTGGGAAGTTCTGGTGCGCCGGGCGTGCGACGATAGGGACTGTTCCTGACGTGGACTGCACGAATGGTGGAGGAACTGCGGCGCTAGGAGACGGCTTGGAGTAGAAATAACTTGCGTCATGAGAGGGCACGGATGGAGTTGCAGGACCCATGTTAGATGGCGGCGGGAATGAATGGAATGAGTCGGAAGGCGCAGGAGCATGACTCTTCCCTGGAGTATCCGGGAGATCAGGCACGGGGTCTGACAAAGATGCAAACGTTTCCGGTGCAGATGGAAGCTCCAGTCCATGGTCCGTGTCATCCTCCGCCTTTACTCCGGAAGGCGACATGGTCCTTTGGTGGCCCGAGCTATAGTCTCTCGTTGTATTTGGTGTGTCCGGTAAGGTAAGTGGTGCTTGCGATGCTTGTTCCGCATCATCAACAACATCCTCTACAGACGGCTGCCTGGGCTGGGTGGGCAAAGTTCCAACAATGGCCTGCACCTCCGGGTCGTCTGCTTTAGGCTCAAGGTCTGCCCCTTCATCTTCCTCTTCCTCAATAGCCACAGGATTTGACGCATTCGGATCCTCTCCAGCTTTGATCGCTTTGATAATTCTGACAGCGTGGTACTTGGCGAATTTGATCTTTGCGGCCATCTCAGCCTCCGGAGGATTCCAGATTTGGCACAATTCAAGAAACGTGGCAGCTGCTTGAAACGTATCTGCTGTTTGTCTATGACCACAATCAGCTTCCAAATCATGTGCAATCATTATAAAGGGCGAAACGAACCTTGTCACTCTGTTGGCTTTCATCGTCGCCTCAGCACGCCCAAAAACCTCCAGAGCAAACTGCTCTACGTAGGCATTGGCTGCTACAGCATCCGTCACGGCGTCATTGTCAGGGTTCTCATTCTTGAACTTTAAGGAGAGCGCAATGTCAGCAACCAAGTACTGCATTCGATGTTGCAGGCCAACAATTGCGCCCGACGTACTTGCTCCAGCTTGTCCACTAGTTCTGTCGTATACAGCTTGACCTCGCCATCAGAAGTGTGTAATCCTCGCTCAATTATCTGATTGACAATCCAAAAGTTACCTTGGAATGTAAAGAGGTCATGATTAGAACTCTGATCACATTCGGGCAGCATTGACCAGGCGCACAGCTGAGGACTTACACCAGTAGGCCACGACGGGCTTTGTGCGTTCGAGCTGAGCTGCTCTGAGGGCAAATCGCCCAATATCGGCAGATTTCAGACTAGCTGGGATATTACTGGCCATTTGGTCGGTCGGTAAAGAAGGTCGAACAGGGTTACTGTTATTGTTGTGGTGCGTTGGAGGGGTGAAAGATAACGCGATGCAAGCGGAGATGACGTTCCGGAGCGGGAACGGTGCCGAACGTGGAATCGCTGGGCAACCTCCGTCCGCGGCACGGTTACTTGAGGGCCTGAGATCCCGTCCTTGTGAAAGCAGTATCACAATCTTTACATCAGCCTACTTTCTTAGAGGCTTCACTTCCTGATCATTTGCATATCCAGTAGTGAGTCTTCGCATTTGACATGGCCTTGCGGTACAGTATTAGTCCTCGCGCTATGCTTCAAAGCCAGACAGGTCCGGCATCCATCGAGCCACTAAATTTACTACGCCATCATGCATCCTCAACTATCCATTCCCCAACGTACACCTTCTCTTCACCCAGTATCTCCACTTCAAAGTGGTCTTCAACCTGCCCTCCAGGACCTCCAATCCGCTCGATGACAATCCAGGCCCCACCACGATCCTCGAGGTTTGGGTGTAAATTGAAATCCTCGATGCGCACACCCGAAATGGCATCACTATGGCACCCATCTTCAGAGGTTGCCAGGATCTCTTTGTATGGACCTTGACCAAGTTCCACCGTCATTAACATAGGTGAAGGCCCAACCGATCGGCTCCCAATCGTCGACTGTCTGCTTCTCCCGATGATCTTCAGGCGCGTAAGCCGCGGCGTCTCCAAAGGCGCCAACATCCGATCTTTTCCAGGGGACAAGACTCCAATATCCGAGATCACTGCGCGCCGCCCCGCTGCTTCTGGCGCCAACGGTTTCACCTCACATGGACCAGAAGAAGAAACCCAGAGATTGAAGCGCCCTAATTGGTCCGGTGCGAAGGTCGAACAAACAATAGTATAGATGCCTTCGCTGAGTCCCATTTTTTCCGCGAGCGAGCCGCCTCGACGGTAGTCACCACTATCGGTGGCAATATCGCGGCTTCGGACTCGGGAAATACGCTGACCGTTGGACCAAAACAGCTTAACATGCGTCGCTAGCTCGGGCTCAGATGGCTCAAGAAGGAGCGAGACGTCAGTCATACTGCTGATCTTGAGACTGAATTGAGGATTGAAAGGATAGCGGGCCGACTCCGCGTTTCCTCCTGCAGTAGAAGGTGTCCAGGAGCCGTGGACTTTGGTGGTGAACTTGTACTTATTCTGCGCATGTGCGATACTCACCGGGGCAGAGGATAGTGCAGATAGTGTGAAATGTTGCTTTTCTGAGGGCAGAGATTGCTCGGAGACCACCACCGTGTAGGTCGTATACGCAGGCATAACCAGCCTCATAAGGGTGTTTGGAGAGTCGACATAGGGACCGCGATGAAGTGCCCCGTCACTTAATGAGACACGTTGTCCACCTGCATCAAACACATAGAGGCTTATGAACCCAGGCTCGTCGCAGCCGACTGATAGCCCCGATCCCTCGTGATGCCCAATAGTGCGAAAATGCTTCCCAAGCAGTAGCCAGACTGTACCGCTAGCATTGGTGGACACGGAAAACTGAGGATTTTTCGCAAAACAACCAGCCAAACCTCTATCATTCATGAGGTCCCACGTGAAATGGATGTCTTGTCGACATTTAAACAAGGAGGGATTCCAGTTCAGATACAAGTTTTCAAAATTCTGAAGAACATCCTCGCAGTCCATCCAAAAGGTGCCAGGCGATATGTGGGGCTTATGTTCACAATTATAACTGGGTCCAGAATCGCTGGCATGGTTGTAGTCGCCAGCCCACGGGTTCTTCACAAGCATTTGGCGACGACTCTTGGTCTCTTTCATATCCAGGATAGCATAGTCATGCTCACTTACAAGGCCAAGCTCCTCCTGCTCCCTTTCTGTCAGTCTTCCAGTACCTATAGTCAGAAGAACATCGCCCATCTGGAAGGCTTTGAAGAGCCGCCTCCATATTTGTTCGCCGGTGACGTCTTCATGGTGGAGAAAAACTTGCTCTGGAATCCATCCTGTCAGCACCCACAAGTCCGTTCCAGAATTACTCCCAGGAAAATCATAACCTCCGCGAAGCTTAAGATACGCTTTCTCCACTAGGGCAGGCCAGATATAGTGAGGGTTGCCCCGGTCGACCACGTGGAGTGACCGCGATAATTTGGACGATGGCAGGCGATCGTCGATGACTACCTTGCGAAAGCACCCGTTGAAATAGAAACAGAATATGTATTTCCCTGAAGGTGAAAGCTTGGGATCCGTATAGCGAAACTCGCAGGGATAAACTATTGGATAGTGAAGCTAGAACCATCAGTTTACTGTGCAAATGCCGTACTCTCACAGTGACTCGGCTTACCTTGTCTAATCCACGCTCATACCTCGAAGTGACAGCGCACAGACTCGCAACAACAGAGCAGTCCGTTAACATATCTTGGACGAGATCAGTCTTCTCATTGACAGCTATCACCGGGGCTGTGATGGAATCCGGTTCTCCTGCGGTGTTTTGCAAAATAAGCTCCTTGGGCCGTTTCCAGCCCGCAAAAACATTTTTCTGTTGTTCAGAGAGATGAAGTTCAGGTGAATCACTGGGTAATGTCAGGACGAGCTTTGTGTATCAAAGGTTATGGGCACTCAACATACACAAAGAGATCTTCCCCCACTTGACGTTCGAACTCGTTAGATCCTGGAGCACTTGTCCATGGTGGGAATATAGAATGGTTCAACTTTGCGCTCTCCAGAAGGATGATTTCCTCCCGGGTTGTGAGTTTGCGGGCAGATCTGGGGTATCGAGACACGGGATCGGCGGTGCCATGCTCTAGAATCGCAGCTCGCCAGTCTTTGGCTATCTTGATTCTTTCGGCCCGAAGAAGCCAATCCTTGCACTTAGTGTCCATGGTCTTCTTGTCTTTCGAGCTACTTGACAAGCTTAAGGCTTTCATGTAGTGCTCCGCAGCGTTGATAGCTGCCTCGAGCGCCTCGCTCTGCGATGTAGCAATAAGTACATCCTCCTCGGCTTTCTGTAACACGGTTAGCTTAAGTCACTCTTTCTTGTGGTTGCGAATGAGCTGAGGTGTTCGGAAGGGATTTCGAACCAAGGCCTGGTTGATTTGCAAGCTCAATGAAGCAGCAGCCGCTCGAGACATGCTGGAGTATGAGAGAATCAAAAGTCTAGAATGTCCAACAACACGCAGTGACTATCATCCAGCTGCGATGACAAGCTGAGCAATAAACGCGCCGGGGAGCATCCCGAAGCACAATCGGCGTGACGAATGATCGAGATGCACGATAAATTAGATTGATCAAGACAAAAATATGGGTACGAGAAATTCTAGGAAGGTGAGGGTCAGGTCAAGTTACCACTGCCTACAGAGTACTAATGCGGGACCCGCTTCCTGCCATCTCCGACGAAGCTCACCTACCTTCCCTCTCTGCTATTTTGCCATACTAGACCGCCTAATTTGTATAAGGCGCTGTTTCCACTCCGTAGAAACTACTTACATTGTAGGACTACTGGTAGGTTATGTGTAATTTGAGTTCGCTCTACACAGGGGCTTGAGGTATGCCTTCCCAGCAGTTAGCGACAAGCTTTATTTTCACCTCCCCTTTTGTTGACCGGCTCCATTTCGACCAGAAACTATGGGACTTCCGTAAGAGGCCGCCTAGTTAGGTAATAATGTCTGGCTTGAGTGGGACATATTGGAGGCGCGTAGTAATAATAAAGCTGAAGTTGTACAGAATGCTTGCCTGTTTGACCCTGTGTGGTGGTTCAGTACGATCTTATCTTTCACCACCACGATTTCAAGTTCAATTCACCTCCATCTGATATACAGGCATCCTAGGTCGGTCACCTGCATCAAGTTGACTCCGGATAGGATCGGATAAGAGGGACGGGAATGGAGAGAGAGCCAACGCCCCGGACCGATAAGAGGTACGGACCTCGGCTCGTTTCGTCATGCGCGCTCCGACGATCGACCACGCCGAGGTGCGATGGAAATCCCCCCGGCTGTTTCTTTGCAGCAGATCCCTCTCTGGATTTCCAGTTTTCTTGTCATGCCGCCTTTTCTCTTTTTCTCCATGCGCTTCAGGGGGGTTCGCTTGCTATTCTTGCTTTGACTCAGTCAGGAGTGATATCTGAACTTCATTGCCTTTGACTGTTACTTTTTCACGCCTAGAAGTATTCGTGGTTTGGGTGCGCTCATTCGACTCTCCCGTGTCCCCGCTCACAACCTCAAGGCTCAGTTCTTCCGCACCGCTAGACCTCCAGGTGAGGGAATTTAGCATTCGACTGTTACCTAAACTCAGGCGATATCGGTCTCGCTTGGGGTTGTCTGTACAGCAGCTATTGCTAGTGCGCTGACCACAAATCAAATCTTCCCTCTCACAACCATAGGCACACCAAATGGCCGGTCAATCGAAACCCGCGCTCTCACCATGGGGCAGTGCTGTTGCAGGTGCAACTGGTGCCGTGCTCGCAAACGCCCTGGTCTACCCACTCGATCTGTGAGCAATTGATCCTCCGTGCTTGTCTGTCATACTACGTGATGCTGTGAAATTGGAAACTTACTCGCTGTTACTCGACTTCCAGGGTGAAAACTAAACTCCAAGTACAAGTGAAACAAGCGGATGAGGCGAAGCATGAAGGACCCAACGAGGCAGTACACTACAATTCGACCCTCGATGCCATCAACAAGATCATGGAGAAAGAGGGCATTGAAGGCTTATACTCCGGAATTGCGGGTGCTTTAATCGGTGTCGCATCCACCAACTTCGCTTATTTTTACTGGTACACCATTGTACGATCGCTCTATATGGCATCCAACAAAGTACCTAAGCCCCCTGGTACTGCTATTGAGCTCTCTCTCGGTGCCGTTGCCGGCGCGGTTGCCCAAGTCTTCACCATCCCTGTATCGGTCATCACTACGAGACAGCAAACGCAGGATAAAAGTGAGCGTAAAGGTTTGGTTGAGACGGGCAGGGAGATTGTCAACAGCGAGGATGGCTGGTCTGGACTATGGCGTGGACTCAAGGCCAGTCTGATACTCGTCGTTAATCCTGCGATCACCTACGGAGCGTATCAGCGCTTGAAGGATGTACTTTTCCCGGGAAAAACCAACCTGAAGCCTTGGGAGGCGTTCCGTGAGTGATAATCGTCTACGGTAACTCCACCATACATCAAGCTAATGCTTATTGCTCAGTTCTTGGTGCTCTTTCTAAGTCTTTGGCCACAATTGCGACGCAGCCGTTGATCGTGGCCAAGGTCGGCCTTCAGTCGCGCCCACCTCCCGGCCGGGAAGGCAAGCCTTTTAAGACCTTCAGTGAAGTCATGCGCTACATCATCAAGAATGAGGGAGCGCTGTCTCTCTTCAAGGGTATTGGACCTCAGATTACGAAGGGACTCCTCGTGCAAGGTCTGCTGATGATGACGAAAGAACGGTATGTCCGGCGTCCTTGTATGCTTCCCAGAATCAGCTAATCAATCTTAGTGTCGAACTCGTATTCGTTCTTCTCTTCGCCTATTTGCGCAAACTCCGAGCGCAGAAGCTCAAAAAGGTGGTGGACTCCGCGGCATCCACAGCTAAGACCAGTCTGCCGGTTACCCTGAAATAGTGTCCTTTCCTCTTCTCGTCCTCTATATACACATCTTTGCCCCTCAGTTTATGTTCCTGCGGGTAGACAGTCCCTTGCGTCTGCCTTCTACTGATTATCGAGTCTACGACTGAGAACCTCTCTTCCCAGTGCTTTGTGAGATTGATAACGAGCACGCCGGCTATGACTGCAGATAAGATCCCGGATGGCATTGCACAGCATGAATCATGATGCTTCTACTGGACCTTTATAGAACCAGCACGATATACAACTAACCAATTACTGTATGCTAGCTATCAGAGTCAACTAAAGCCAGATTAGTCCTGTAATTTCTACCTAAGTTCGTGAGCCCTTTGTATCACTAGATACGATAAATGTGTTGACCGCACCTTACACCTCGGCAACAACCGAAACAACAAAACACAACCTCCCTCTCACCGCTAAGCCAGCCCAACCCGACAACACCTAAACTCTCGTCACGGTTCTCGGCATTTTGACCCCATCTCGCCCTCGACCACAGGGAAAAGCAACATCATTCCCTTCCGACCCTAGAAGCCTTACACCAAGCGGGGAAAAGGGTATGAGCCGTGATGAGATGGCCGCCATGGGCTCCCAAGACCCCTCCCACCGAGCCGGAACAAGAAGCCCGCACTGCCGCCAACAATGACCCGCGACACAACTACACCAACCTAATCGACTGGAACGCGTTCACCGAGCCTCGGACTCTCATCGCAACAAGCATCCTCACCACCGGCATCCTCGGCGCCGTGAGCCTGCATGGGCGCTACTTCCGCTGGTTCCCGGATGCGGTCAGCATCTCGCCCTCGTATCTGCGTCGCAGGAGTCTCCTGGGGAGGGTGACGAGTGTCGGGGACGGGGACAATTTCCGCATGTACCATACTCCCGGCGGCCGGCTGGCAGGATGGGGATGGTTGCCTTGGAAGAAGATCCCGACATCGAAGAAGGAGTTGAGGGATAAGACGGTAAGTAATTCTGTTCGAGCGAGCCAGGGATCGCGGGGCGAGGTGGTTTCTGTTTGGGGTGGGGAGATCCCTAGCTCTACGGTCTCTCGCTAACGTCTCGAATTTTGTCTTAGATCCACATACGCCTGGCAGGTATAGATGCCCCCGAACTCGCGCACTTCGGTCGGCCTGCGCAGCCCTTCGGCAAGGAAGCCCATGAGTGGCTCACGGCCTACTTGACCAACCGGCGCGTGCGCGCGTACGTTCACCGCCAAGATCAGTACCAGCGTGTGGTTGCGACGGTGACAGTGCGGCGGGCGCTGGATTTCCCCATCCCCTTTCGGCGGCGCGATGTCTCGTACGAGATGCTGAAGAAGGGGCTCGCGACCGTTTACGAGGCCAAGACCGGAGCTGAGTTTGGCGGCGCGGAGAGGGAACGCAAGTATCGGCAGGCGGAGTGGTGGGCCAAGCTCCGGGGACTGGGGATGTGGAAGGGCTTCCGACGCAATGATGCGTGGGAGAGTCCCAGGGACTACAAGACACGCATGGGATTAGAGGACCCGATGCATGTGAAAGGGGAAGTGAAGAAGAAATAGAATGAGAAGGGAGATTCTTCATGCGTGCGCCCGCTTTTTATTTTTTCGGATGCAGATATACTGTCTAAACGCTCATGACGATACGGCTAGCTCTCTAAGATATCCCGGTGATTATCTCGGCTTCGCACAATTGAGTTTCATCTATGAACCTCGTGTTCATTCAAGAAGAATAGGCGGACCTTCCAAGTTATCCTGATACTGGCGGCACTTCATAATCTTCGTAAGACCTGAAACATAAGTCATCTAGGCCACACAAGAAATGCCAATTGTCTTCTATAAGACATTACATAACCGCAGAGGATAGAAGATAAAACAGAAAGGCCTGCTCATGCCTGTAATCCATCAAGGACCGCAGTGAATGCAAAGCCGAAAAAAAAACCCCCCCGAACAACAAGGAGAAAGAAAATATATGTATGACACAAAAAGGTGTCCCACATCGACATCCGAGGAGAGCACCCTGTCTAGCAGAAGTGTCGCTCAATCTCTGCAAAGAGCTTGGGGCTAATCTCGTCGCTCGAGTCGCCCTCAACGCGCCACAGACAGCCCTTGCGCTGATAGTGGTCTAGCAGGGCCTTGCTCGTCTCCTCGAACTTATGCAATCGCTGCGTCCACGTATCAAGCGAGTCATCCTGCCTTTGAGTCAAAGGCTCGCCGGTGATATCATCCTTGCCAGAAACCTTAGGCGCGTTGAAATCTGTGTTGTAGACTCTGCCAGATGGTTCGTGGACCCATCGCGACGCTATGCGAGAGAGTATGACAGAGGGAGGTGTCACCAGGTGGACGACGAAGTTCACCGGCACGAGGTCGTCCAAGCTAGAGGCCTGCTTCGCGGTACGAGGAAACCCGTCGAGGATAAAGGAGGCGTTTGAAGAGACCGACAGCGAAGGATTTCGGGTGGTTGTTGTTCTCGTTGTTGCTGCTGTGGACGGCTGTAGCCAGCCTTTGGACTTGAGCTCCGACGATATAAGCTCGAGGATCATCGAGTCCGGCACAAGGTTGCCGGATTGCATTGCGGCCTCGGCTTTGAGACCTGCCCCATCGAAAACAAAGATTAGCCAGTGTCGCAATGGGGTTTGCCCCTTCTTATTTCCGAGTCAATTAGAAAGCCAGCATTTACCCAATGGTGTTTTCCTTCGCACATTTTCCCGGAGAAGGTCGCCGGAGCTTATGGAGGCTAGGTCGGGGAATCTGGTGAGCAGCCGCTCTGTTTGTGTCCCTTTTCCCACCCCAGGTGCGCCTATCAGAATGATTCGCGCAGCTTTGCGCAGCTGCCTGACAGTGCGGGTCATTGTAGTGTGTTGGATTTGTCCTTTTGTAAGAAAGGGAGTGGAAAACTTTCTCTAGGGATCTAGGTAGGGTAGGGTTATTATTGCGCCCGCAGCGCGAGGAATTCCCGACTGGCGCGACTTAGATGGGAATTGTTGAGCCGTCTAACTAGTTCAAGACACAGACAGATAACGGGAAGGCGGTACGCTGTATGATGTCCATGGTGGGTGGTTATTGATTCATCATGGATCGCAGCTGCAGGGGAAAGACTTGGAAGAGAAGGAAGGAGAAGCCGCGGCACCAGCAGGTATTGTGAATTTGCGCCTATACCCTTATCAAGGATGGCTGGTGCTCAGCTGATGCAATGGCATTTAGTTGTCGACTTGCGAAAGCGTGGGGTTCGGGATTTGTAGATGGTTCCCTCTTTAGGAAGTCGGTGAGCGAGCCTCGATCCGGGGCTTTCTGCTTGCCTCAGCTTCTTGGGCTCAACATTATTATATAAGCTGGAAGTCAGTCTTATCAAGATGTCACATCATTAAGCTTGTGCACCAAAGTGCGACTCCACTCTAGTCAATTATGTTATTCTACAAAAGCTGAACTATTCTCATGGCTAGCAGAGGTGACTATCGGTCCCTTTGCTCGTATTCAAAACTATAAGCCTTTTGCTGTTCTAGCCCAAGTCCATGGGCTCGTGCAGGGTAGCTTTCGATACTGAACAATTGACCTCCCGGCCGTTCGAATCAATTGTTCTCGAGTCCGTGTACTAATAGTGGTCTATTCAGTCACTTCTTCCCAGAAACTCTAGGGGAAAGTGCGGCCATCTATACTGGCGTCCTCACATTTACCGCACTAATTAATTTGATAGGCGATCTCAACTTTATCATCCCTTTCTATGCAGTGCAAGTCACCACATAAGGATCCCACCGCTCGAAAGAAATCGGTGATTCTCTTTTGGCGCTCACTAAGCCCGTACTCGTGTAATGTGTGGTAATTGCGATCGTGGCTAGTTGTCAAACAACATAGCGAAGTTCAGGATACTGTAACATCCCATTGATTCAACAGCCGGCGATCAGTGGAGAATGCGCGTGGACGTTTCTGTGATATAAGAAGTAGTGGCCGATAATCAGTGGCCGTCATCCTATCTGCAGTGTCCAGGAAGGCAATCGCTCAGTATCATGTGTATCGAGTCCGAGCAAAAAGTGTGTCACATCTTCTCGAGCCAACTCTCACCATCTGTGTCTTCCCGTGCATGCATGTGATCATTGATTCTCTCAGCTTGAAGAGGTGTCGGAGGGGTCTGCCTCCGCGGGACAGAGAGAGGGTCCATTTATCTTCACGTGACCGTGTCGCGTGGTCGGCGCGTTCGGCGCGTCCTTCGCGAGGGCCCAGCGGCGGCCAGATTATACAACATCAATTTTGTCTTGCGGTCGCAGAAGAAGTTCCAGCGCTCTGAAAGTGATAGACTTCTTTTTGAATTACACAATGATTAGAGGCGACTTTCTCAGAATTGACCCCAAGAGAAGGGCCAATCTCGACCACAAAAAGAAGCAATTCGCTGCACCCACATTCAAGCAGCAGGACTATCCGCATCGTCTCAATTTCTACGACGTCCCGCCCACCGAAGAGATCACACTCGAGCAGTTTGAGCAATGGGCTATTGACAGATTAAGAGGTATGCTATAACGACATTGTAGCATTATATTCTGTACTCATGTCCAAGGCAGTTCTGGCTGAGATTGAGGCCTGCTCTTATCGAAACAAGTCCGCGGCGGAAACCGAGGCGCATCTTACACCCCTCCTTCAGAAATACCTCCCATTATCATCTAATACATCTTCCTCTCACGGTGCTGCCGACCAGCGACTGAAAAACGAGCGCCAAAAAGATCACTATTCACACTTCATTCTTCGATTGGCGTTCTCCGCCACCGAAGACCTTCGCCGGCGTTTTGTGAGAGCAGAGACAATGCTCTTCAGATTCCGCTTCCAGCGTGACGATACCAGAGAGAAGCGCGCTTTCATTGAAAGTCTCAATCTCGACTGGGAGCCCGTGGAGAATGAGGAAAGGCAAAGATTGGCAGAGAATCTGGTGAACGCTACCCCTGGTTTACGTCGCGTGGATGAAGAGGCATGGTACAAAGTGGACTGGGAGCGAGTACCCGAGCTCGTCGAGAGAAGGGCTGTTTACTTGTACAAAGGAAAGGCGTATGTTCCTGGAAGAGAGCAATTGAGCATGATTATTGCGGAATTTACTGCTCGATTGGAACGTGCGCTTGAGGTACAGAATTGACACTCCCTGTCGGCTTTTTGTCTTACCACTAACCGCTTTCCAGCTCACAAGTCGAGCACTACCACGTCTGGATGAGGATGATCGTCTAACTCCAATCTTGAACCATTTGTCAAAGAACTTTGGAAGCGCCGAGTCGGTTTATTCGGAAGGCGAAGGATTCGTTGACGGCGCAGCGATTACTGCTGGCAACATCGACCAGCTATCGCAACACTTCCCACTTTGTATGCGGAGTCTCCACATGAACCTACGGAAGAACAACCATCTCAAGCATTACGGCCGTCTCCAATACACCCTCTTCCTGAAGGGTATCGGATTGTCACTCGAAGAATGCATCGTGTTCTGGCGTCAGTCGTTCAAGGGCTTCACAGATGACGAGTTCAACTCACGGTACAAGTACAACATCCGTCACGCGTATGGTGATGTAGGAGGCGATGTCAATCGCCGGGGTCGAGGATATCCTCCATATTCGTGCCAGAAAATCCTAGGCGATTCGAACCCTGGGGTTGGACAGACTCATGGATGCCCTTACCGCCATTACTCGATTGACAATCTTATCGGGTTGCTTCAATCCACAGGCGTCCATGACAAGGAAGTCCTCCGAGGAGTGCGAGAAGACGTTGAAAAGATGCGGTACCACATTGCGTGCAACCGAGTATTCGAATCAACTCACAAGACAGAAATCAAAAGAGTCAAAGAAGACGGCTCTTGGAACCAAACGGATCTGGACACCATCGTCCACCCTAACACTTACTTCAAGCGCAGTTTCTTGTTGAAGCAAACGGCCAGGGCGTCCAAGAATTCTTGATAGCTTTCATGGAGTCCATGACGATATGTGTGTTTTCGCCTTTTTGGCTTTCTCTTGCAGAAATTTTAGTCCCACAGGCGTTAGGCTCAGGATTGTTGCGTTGGGATACGGCGCACAATTTTTCTCTTCAGCACAATTCTTCCAGGTAGACATTGATTGCACTAAGGAATACCAATGAGGTATTACAGTCCAGTACTGGAGCACATACAATTTACGTAGATGGTTAAGGGATTTGACCACAGCTGATTCCCAAATTATCCAAAAGGAACAAAACGTCCTTTCAAAGCCAGGTGCCCAGCAACGGGTCAGATTTACTCTTCGCTCGACGCGTAAACAACTTCACCATTGAGGTGGCTAGAAGCTGAGAAAGATGATGTCGGCGTGAAAAAAGAAAGAAATTCATGAGAAGAAAAGAAAAAAATTGGAAAGTGGAGGGAAGGGAGCCGCTATATAAAGGGCACTAGCGTTGGGGTAGGGCGGGCCCCAGGGACCAACAGTGCTGCAACCTGGCCTTATGCCAGCACCGCCGCTTCACACAACAGTCTCCTGATCCCCCGCATAGTATCTCAGGACAGCAGCTGTCGGCGTTGCGCGTTTCGAGACCGGGTGTTTGCTACAAGAGTATTCTCTCTTTGATTTAGTCTGTGGTGTTTAAGTTATCTGGTTTTGGAACAGTTGTTGTTCAAGGAGACCTTCCTTCACTTTCCCATTAACGGAGCCCCGTTTACCACGCCGCCAACATGGACTACGAAGCGTTGAAGGACCAATGGAGCGATGTCGAGGATCGCGACGGCATCAGACTGAGCTGGAACACGTTCCCGAGCTCTCGTATGGTATGTTTCCTGCCAACGACAACTTCCACAGATCGACCGCTAAGCTACCCCTCAATAGGAAGCATCCCGACTTGTTGTCCCTATCGGTGCCGTCTACACACCACTTAAGGAGAAGCCGGACTCTCCTTTGCTGCAATACGAACCGGTGACCTGCAAAGCGCCCTGTCGGGCTGTTCTGAATCCTTATGCGTATGCGCAGCGGATTTTCCTCGCTCAGATTAAAGCCCCAACTGACATCGTCTAGCAATGTTGACGTCCGCGCCCGCATCTGGATCTGCCCTTTCTGTCTCATGCGCAACCCCCTGCCCCCTCACTACAAGGACATCACCGAGAGCACAATACCCCCGGAGCTTCATCCTATGAGCACGACAATCGAGTATCAACTGGCACGCCCCGCTCCCACTCCTCCCATCTTCGTCTATGTCGTCGATACCTGTCAGGATGAAGACAGCCTGAAGGCTGTGAAGGACTCACTGATCATGAGTCTGTCGCTATTGCCAGCCAATGCCTTGGTTGGTCTGATCACATTCGGTACAATGGTAGGGACATATTCTGGCTTCTATGTGGGTCAAATACTAATTTGAGACATAGGCTCAAGTACATGAGCTGGGCTACACCGAGTGTGCCAAGTCCTATGTATTCCGCGGCAGCAAGGAGTATGCTGCGAAACAGGTCCAGGAAATGCTCGGTCTAGCGGCTGGCGTGCGCCCGAACATGCCTCAGCAGCCTGCCCGCCCTCCACTTGGGCCTGCGGCACGATTCCTTCTTCCGGTTCAGCAGGCTGAATTTCAGATCACGAATGTGCTTGAGCAGCTGCAGCGCGATCCGTGGCCGGTTGCGAACGACAAGCGTCCCCTCAGATGTACTGGTGTGGCTCTTAGCGTTGCTGTTGGCTTGCTCGAAACTTCCTTCCAGAATGCCGGTGGTCGCATCATGATCTTCACTAGTGGACCAGCCACTGAGGGTCCGGGTCATGTTGTCGGTCCTGAGCTGAAGGAGCCCATCCGCTCTCACCACGACATTGACAGAGACAATATCAAGTATTACAAGAAGGCTGTCAAGGTAAGCTTCATTAGGGTGCTATGGGTGCTGTCAGTATACTAATGCACGCGCCTAGTTCTACGACAGTATGGCCAAGCGTGCCGCTAACAATGGACACATTGTTGACCTCTTTGCCGGATGCCTTGACCAGGTTGGTATGTTGGAGATGAAGAACCTTGCCAACTACACCGGTGGCCACATGCTTCTCACGGACAGCTTCACATCCTCACAGTTCAAGCAATCGTTTGTCAGAATCTTTGACAAGGACGTCAATGATAACTTGCTCATGGGCTTCAACGCATCCTTGGAAGTACTCACCACCAAGGAATTGAAGGTCACCGGACTTATCGGACACGCCGTGTCCTTGAACAAGAAGTCGAGCTCGGTTGGTGAGACGGAGTGCGGTATCGGCAACACTTGCGCCTGGAAAATGTGTGGAATCGATCCCTCCTCGAGTTACGGCATCTACTTCGAGATTGCGAACCAAGGTGGCCCGGCAGCGGTCCAGCAAGGCCCTCAAAGGGGGATGATGCAATTCCTCACATACTATCAGCATTCGTCTGGGCACTATCACCTTCGAGTGACGACCGTCGCCCGGAATTTGAGTGGTCCAGCGGGTGATCCCACACTTGCCCAATCTTTCGATCAGGAGGCCGCTGCCGTGCTGATGGCTCGAATTGCGGTATTCAAGGCCGAGGTTGATGACGGCCCGGATGTGCTCAGATGGGTTGATCGTATGCTTATCCGTCTTTGCTCTCGCTTTGCCGACTACCGGAAGGATGACCCGACCTCATTCCGGTTGGAGAAGAACTTCACTCTCTATCCTCAATTCATGTTCCACTTGCGCCGCAGCCAATTTTTGCAAGTATTCAACAACTCCCCTGATGAGACTGCCTTCTACAGACATGTCCTCAATCACGAAGATGTCGGCGATTCTCTTGTCATGATTCAGCCCACGCTCGATTCGTACTCTCTCGAGCACGAAGGAAGCCAGCCGGTGCTCCTGGACTCTGCTTCCATTCAACCTTCCCATATCCTGCTACTGGATACCTTCTTCCACATCCTAATCTTCCACGGAGAGACCATTGCGGAATGGAGAAAGGCCGGTTATCAAGATCAGGAGGGTTATGAAAACTTGAAGGCTCTTCTTGAACAGCCAAAGGAAGATGCAAGGGTTCGTATACATTCATCTTTACTCATTCTTTGCTTCTCTGCTGACTAATTGCAATCACAGGAACTGATCTCAGACCGTTTCCCCTTGCCTCGTTTCATCGTGTGTGACGCCGGTGGCTCCCAGGCCCGGTTCCTGCTGTCCAAGCTGAACCCCTCTACGACGCACGCGACAGGAGGATACGGCGGAGGTGTCACGTCGCAAACGATCTTCACCGACGATGTCTCGCTGCAGACTTTCATGGACCATCTGATGAAGTAAGTTTGCAGCATATGCTATATCCTCAATGAGTGTTGCTAATCCGATGCACCAGGCTTGCTGTTTCCGGAACCAGCTAGGTCTAACGAGACATGGCCATTAACAAGAGCAATGGGCGGTTCACATTGGTCGTCGGGTCGTTTGTATCTTTAGCGGTTTTTCCTATTTTTGTCTGTTACCCTGGAATATAGCAGCTGCCTAAATTAGATGCATTGAACACAAGCAGAATCTGGTAATGAAAATTATGCGTCTTACGAGCTATGCATCGTTCATCTACTTGCTGTACCATGAAATGCAGCCTTCTAGAGGGTCACGTGGTTATACCGGGCTGAGCCCTACCGCGCCAAGCCGCTTTGGGAGGCTCGCTTATTGGAGGTGCGGGCGGCAGCTAAATATCCTTCACATTTCAGATAACGGTTACCCTTCTTTCTTTGTACCATCCACCCCGACAACTCCCAAGGACGATCGACCACCTTTCGCACTCGCCATGCGTAAGTATCATCTCCTTGGTGTCAATATGGCGGACTGAACTGACATTACACCCATTGGGCAGCTCCCAAGTTCGACCCCAATGAGGTGAAGATCATGTAAGTCTCATCGCAAAACCTTGTCTGGCGCGAAAAAATCTCCATGCTAATTCATATACAGTCACCTGAGAGTGACTGGTGGTGAGGTCGGAGCCCAGTCTGCTCTGGCTCCCAAGATCGGTCCCCTCGGTCTGTCTCCCAAGAAGATTGGTGAAGACATCGCCAAGAACACTGGCGACTGGGTAAGGCGCACCGCCCATGTGATGCTTGCGGCATTAAGGATAATCGCTAATATCGATTCTCTGGGGTTTTTAGAAGGGTCTCCGTGTCACCGTCAGACTCACCATCCAGAACCGTCAGGCCGCGGTCTCCGTTGTGCCCTCCGCCTCTTCCCTGGTCATCAAGGCCCTCAAGGAGCCCCCGCGTGACCGCAAGAAGGAGAAGAACATCAAGCACAACAAGTCCATCCCTCTCGATGAGATTGTTGAGATTGCCCGCCAGATGCGCCACCGCTCTCTGGCTAAGGAGCTCAAGGGTACCGTCCTCGAGATCCTCGGTACCGCCTTCTCCGTCGGTTGCCAGGTCGATGGCCGCAGCCCCAAGGATGTCTCCGACGACATCAAGGCTGGCGAGATTGACGGTATGTTGTCATTCAAGCTGCGATCAGTGCCACACAACGTGCTAATAAGCTTCTAGTCCCCTCCGAGTAAATGATCAATGTTACATGGCGGTCGCAATGATGTATCGGCATGCTAGATACCTAATATGATCATTGTTCTCACGAACAAACCAAAAATTGCTTTACGAGTCATGACTAGGATTCCCCCTTTTTTGTTTCATCATTCGACAACAAATGATAAGTGTTTTACTCTGACGTCTGGTCCGAATCCCCGTCTCCCTTCCCCCGCGCCCCCACCTGTTCGCTTTTCACGGTCTACTTGCTGCCCTCCATGTGCGAGCCAGATCCTGTCAAGACAACAACTTCTCAATCCGCCATCGGATCCTCTGCAACACTCTGGCCCTTACCGTCTCTTCCCGCCTTCGGGCCTGGATTTGACCATTTACCAAGCGTGGTATAGGCTTATTTTACGCAGAGGAGATCAAATTATGACCCGTTACTCACCGCGGCATCTTTGGAGGGAGCCTTCGGCTTCTGACAGTGGATGCAGTGGTCCATCTTTACGGTCAACATCTCGTAAATCGTAAACCTCTTTATTGAGAATCAGTCACAAATATCAAGTGTCAAATTGTCTAGCTCAAGCACTTTCAAAAGTCATTCTCCATACTCGTATTCGCAATAAGATACCGCCCCATACCGATTGTCGTCCAGCATGGAATGCTGCCCGGCATGCGGGCACATCCGTGCTATCATTGAGAAGGCAGCTACAAGCCTCAATCCTACCCATGAGCAGAGGCCAAGGCAAACAGCCAAAGACGGGGCGTCTCCCGCAAAACGCCGGACAACAGCGAAAAATCCCATCATCTCCACATGCAGGGAAAGTGATGGACGGAAGGGGGATCTCAAACCGCGGTGGCATTTGGTCCCTGATACGCGCCCGCATGCAGGTGCCCTGATCAAGTTCACACCCACACCCCGCTCCTCTTCCTCGGCCTTTCCCAGCAAGCATGGCAGCAGCCTGACAGCCCACAAGAATGCTAGTACTATACTTATGATTGCACGTTAGAGGAGGAGGGGGGGGTTGTGGTTGGGTTTAGAGGTCGAAGATTATGTAAATGGAGCAGTTTCCACCGTGGTGTAGTAGTACTCCGTATATCAAACCCCCGTGCCTGGCTTTTTGCCTGCCCTTTTGCCTGCCCAGTCCTGATCTTAACACGACCGTTTTGAATCTCGTTCCACCATTGCTGAATGAGCAGGCACGCACAAGCTGAGTCAGTTTTATGCCTGGTTAGTTGATATACGTGGCCCATGAAATGAAAGATGCCTGACCGGTCTTGCTTTTCCATTCCCACATCTGAAACCTCATGACTACACATCACGGCTCGCACCAGGTTTTTTGGGGGCTGGGTGGAGGGCGGGACGATCCTCCACCACTTGGTGCAGATCGAAATGAGGCATCAAACGAGCAAATGGTTTACGAATGTCAAAAGCAAGAAGCCAAAAAAAAAAAAAAAAAAAAAGCCCTAACGGGAAGGGCTCAAAAAAAAAAAAAGGAAAAGTAAAGTAAGAGGACCTGACAGGTGCAGAATGCATTTCAATTCGTATGTGGTAGATTGCATCCGTCTATGTAGAATGGGAGGACCTCTCTGAACGACACTTACTCGTCAGTTTACTCAAATCGATTTTTGTCTCGCAAAAAGTGTGATTGATAGTTTTGGTTGAACTTAAGTTTTGCCGATCCGCAACACCTCCAGACCGGCTCGTGACATGGACTATGGCCGGTGACCGAGCTCAGGGTCCTAGTTTAGTGAATTGTACTCAGACGTCCGGGCTTTGTTTGGCGGGGGGGTTATTCGAGCGTTCTGGGATTAGAGAGCGGCCCCATCCTCGCCTGATCTGGGCAGGTTATTCATAGTCGAGATACTACTCCGTACACATTGGTCCTACTTTTGCATGGTATGTATTAGATGAAGACGGAATTTGAGAACCACGAGTCCTGGGAAGAGAGCAAAGTCGGGAAGATCTAGTAAGAATTCGATGGTAATAGTCAATGATAGACAAGGTATATTAGAATGGCGATTATGATTAAGTAGTATCCTACGTGGAGGAATATTTGATTAGGTGGCCTCTTCTTAAGAACGTCGCACCTACTTACCTGTTATGCCAAGCGAAGCGAGACTGGCTGATTTCGACCGTTGTGACTGGATAGGGGGTGGACACGGGCTTATGTGAACCACGTTTGTTGTGTAAGCGATCATATTGATTCATGTGGAGCAGATTAGCAGTTCAAGTGATTTGTGCTGGAACAAAGCTGGGCTCCTGACACTCAGCATAAGCTCCTGTGTCGCTCCAGATATATATGTCGTTGGTTGAGGCTGGGGTGTCTTGATATATGTTTTCGGCAAACGAGGGGATCACCTACATCACGCCGGCACTGTCAAAAGTTGAAAACAGCCTATGAAAGGACAGCATCGAGGCATAGGCGGTCGGGGCTCAAATTTATCCAAGCATTTTCCTCACCTGATCACAGGTGGCATGCGTGGTGCTTTGAGCCTCGCGCATTGGGGCTGCAGAACCGATGCGAGCAACATCCACGATGGCTCAGCATTTCCGGCCCTCACTTTTGTGCAGCTACCCATCGATCGTATTGTTATCGTCTGTTTATTTTGATTCAGCTCTCCAAGGTCTCCCTAGCTCACTAGCATATGACAGACGAAGTACAGGATGCAGGATTTCAGAGCCCTCTCATCGGCATCTTTTGCAAGTCCTATAAATCCAACTGTCCCGTTCTCATTGTCACAACAATCACATCGATCGGATATCAAGTTCAGATAGCTGTAACAATCCATGCATCTTATGATTTGCTTTCCCCCGCCCATTCAACTTACCAGGCAAAAGGAACTTGTCAAATCTCCTTCAAAGCCAGCGTGCAGCCGCCGCCGTCAAAAGGATGGCCACAAGGATGGACTCCACTCCCACTTATCCACTGCCTCGAAGTGCTAGATCGCTCCGAGACCAACGGACCAAACAGACCCTCGTACATAACTGCTAGGCAGCCGCCCCCCCCCCCCCCCCCCCAAGAGGCCCCAAAGGCCCTCCAAGGCTTGATCACTGCGGGCGCCAACTAGGACCGGGGGATAAAAAACGGAGGGGAGGGGTGGGAGGCCGGGAGGGTTTCCCAGCATCCATGGCTGATAATTGCTGGACCACTGACGTTGGACAGGCCTGGATTTGCTCCTGCGCCCAAGTGGCTAGCGCCAGACCATCCTGGCCGTTGGATCGTAACCTCAGGTGGGTCGGAGGGAGGGAAAGTGGGGATGCAGAGCCTAAGAAGAGAGGGAGGGGGGGAAAGATGTTCGTGTTCTTTGGTTGTGGTCCGCCCTCTGCTCCCTCCGTGTGGGATGGTGGGGGAGGGTGGTATACAAGTCAGGCTGTCTCGGAACGGTTGTAGCAGGAGGGGGAGTAGGGAAAGATAGGGGATAAAAATGATGCCCTGACTAACTGTCTGTGCAATAGAATGATCTACTCCGGATCCCTTTTGATGGATATTGGATAGAGGAGAGACCGACGGGTGTGGAGGGGGAGGAGAGGGGGAGAGGGAAGCATGAAGCATGAATGAGAGCTGAAGAAGGAGCGACTCCATCCACCCATGGAAACCCAAGCTAGTGATCTACTTGACTACTACGGTGCGGAGTACACAAAACTGTTAATAAGATACTACCTACGTATGTACATTAAATTGCTGTGCCTGCTTTGGCTTCCTAACTTCTCATCTATTCAATCTTCATAGATACATATATACAATTTACTCCTCTCAATCTACATTCCATTTCTCAGCGGCTGCCACCATTTGACCCCCCGTCCCATCTGTCTATCTCAGCCACCCACCGACTCATTTTTATCCTGGACGCCTCAACGACTCGAGAGAACCCACCAGGTTCCAGCCCCAGTAGCCATTGGCTCCACTTCCGCTGGTCCATTCGCAGTTTTTCTTCCCCCACTCTCTTAGAAAAATGAAAAAAAGGAACCTGGAACCTTTTGGTTGCCGCCTTCCATGGCTTGCGTTTGAGATGCTCCGCTCCGTCATGAATGGTGGCTGACTCTTTGTCTGCTACAGAAAGGTGGATTATCTGAGTCCAACCAAGACCCACCTAATGGTCCGCCCACTGGAGCTTTAAATTCCATATTGCAATTTTATTATCATTATTCCCTTTCCTCTCGCGTCTTTTCTGCTGCTCCAGCATTCAAATGCTTCCTTTATGCTCTGTCGTCTTCGAATGAGATCCCGGTCAAGCAAGATAGTCCTAGTCGTCGAAGGAGAAAGAAGGAGAAAATTTTCTATTACAAGGAACATCATCCATCTACTGGCTGACTCCGGAGCTATAGTCTGACCTTATTTTTCCATTTTGAATTTCCACCCGCGAATCTCTTCTTACACTTTCTCCTCCTGTCTCAAATCTTGTTAACTTCCTCTCCGCCCGCCGTTGGGATCAGCTCCGCTTCCACAGCCTTGCGGTGCCTGGATTCCGGAGCCCTCTTGTCAATATCTACCGACTACGAAATACGTGTAGGCACTTCCACCTACTAATCAATCATTTGTGATACCTATCAAAGAGAAAGAACTACGGAGTATTCCGTAGATGTGCCTGTCGATTGGCATTGTCTATGAGGGATTGTCATCAGCTAGTGGTGCCATGTCCAACCTTTCTACGACACTATCGCTTCCCTGATTCGGATTTTGTCGGCTTTTCTCGATGTGATTCGTTCCTCCGTTCTCTATTTCGATTGCCGCATTGATTGATTGATTGTTGGATTGATTGATTGACTCTCCCTCCTCCCCCATTAATATTCTTGATTAGTATTTAATCTCTTTCTTTTTTTTTTCTCTTCTTTTTTTTTTTTTGGTTGATTAATCTTTCTTTCTTTCTTTTTTTTGGTTATTATCCTTATTCTCATTAATTTCCTTGATCACTATTCCTTTTTACCCTCACAGCCCCGACTTTCTACCTACTGACGACAACCACCACAACTCATCTCACTTGACTCCCGACCGGTTCACTCGTTCATTCTCTCTCTCTTCTTGTGCGCAGTGACTCTTGTCGCATCTCTCCTTCCCTCTTCTTCCCTACACCATCACCTCTCACGCCCCCCCACTTTATCCGAGTACAACATTACTGCCAAGTGCAGGAGTGGCTGCTGGCTGATCGCGCCGTGCGGACACCTGCGTCAGTGTGGGCGCTCGACCAGGCTGACAAGGGTTGTGACTTTCAATCCCTTGCCTCCCTTGCATCGCGTCTTCACCCACCCAGACTATCCGGCAGCAAATAGCGACTTCCGAGTGCCTCGCCTGCGTGTCTTTTCTATCTTCTGGAATCCTGCGTCTTCATGAATGGTATCTTCGCCCAAGATTCGATCTCTGCATAAGCTCCTTCTCGCCCACCTCTTCCTGGTACTGATCGCCTTACGTTCGACCTCCAGACCAGGATACCATTCATCAGCGTTCATGTCGAGCCCAGAGACAAGTGGTGGGGGGCTTCACTGAAGTGTCCAAGTGAGCCGACTCATGTCCAGGATGAGGTGTAGGAAACGCTTCAAAGCGCATGCTTGTTGAATTTCCAGCGAGAGATCGACTGTCGACAATACCGATTGCTTCCCAACTATCGGAGCTACTCTTTGTCGACGCCTTCCCTTCTCCTCACGTCGCTCCGCATAACGTTATTCTTATTCCCGTATATTTGCTACCTGTCTTCCGCATTCGATCTCTCTACCCTCTCCATTCCAACTCTCTCTCTCTCTCGCATAAATCACAGGAATATCCATCGATCGATTGAGCGGAAGACGAGCGGTCTACTCGCTATCCGTGGCCAACATGTTGCCCTCAGTAGCGCCGTTTCCGCCCGTTCAACCGCACCACCTGCACTATCGTCATGGATCCGATAGCTTGAATGATTCTTACGACCTGAATGCCGCTTTCTCCGCCACCCTCCCACATAACGACGCTAGCAAAAACTCCTTTCAATCAGTGCCTCGGACACGATTGCAATATCCTCATCCGATCCAGCGCTTGGGTCTTCCAGATGCCGGGGGCCCATCAACAAGTTCGAAAAGTGCGGGCGAGCATGCGTTGCGGAGAAAGACACCAAACGGGACCCTGGCGGCGGGGTACGACGGAACGCCCGGAGATACTACGATTCAACCCCCAGCGAGTAAACATATTCTAGTTTCGCCTCTCGAGTCAGGGCATTTAATTCCCTCACAGGCTGGTTTCGCGTTGGACTCGTGGCAGCAGCAGCAGCAGCAGCCCGCTTTTGATCGTGCTTCGTCCGGAAAGCAGCTCAACTTCCCGCCCGTATACAAGAATGAAGCGACGCGAGGAAACGCATTGACTGGGGAGATAGGTCAAGCAATCAATGGGGCAAGCTGGGTCCGTTCATTAAATTACGTGCCTGGCATTGATTCCGTGCTGAATCAGACATTGCCGATGCAGCCCTCGCAACAGCGTTTCTACTGGCACAATGGTGCCTATATCCCTACTGTCCTCCCCGCAACCTTGCAACCGTGTCTTGGTCCTACAGCTTCAGCAGGGACCGGTCCGTATGGGCCATACTGGCCTGACGGGGCTTACATTCCTTACCGCCCCGCAGCATTTCGGGACACCCGATTTCATTCCCTAAGTCCTTTCCCGAAGGCTGGGAATTCTTCTGGTCTGCAGTTCATCGATGCTATTCAGCCGCCCTTGAACCGGTCGGGATTGCCAGCAGCCAGCCATCCTGACTCGGGTATAGCTTGGAACCAGAATCCGACAGGGATGCTCAATGCTGAGTTACCGATGCAGAATAACTTTCCTCGACGCCACTCAGAACAAAAGGTTTTGGACACATCTTCACACCAATTGGTCCTACCGTTTCACACCCGTCAGCCGACATCAAGCTCTAGTTTTTCACCTCGACCACCGCACGATGCATCATCATGGTCGAACTCTGCAGGTAACCAGGGATTCCAGAACACGGAGTCCATCGGCAGCTCCCGCGCAGCGAATGCGGAATTCAAGGAAAAGGTGTTGACGTGGGCTCACGGAGTTTACGTGGATCTCCTCGCATCTATACACCAAGCCCGACGAAATAGCATATCTAACTCTTCCACTGAGGGTCAGAGTCAACGTCTTCTGAAGCCGAGTATATACCCAAAACCTCCTCGTCAGCCAGGACTTGATTTCTCAACCGCCGCGTCTAGTGCCCCCTCTCGTCATAACAGTTTCCCCACCGTTCAATTGGATTACAATGGTTCAAGATCCAATGCTGGTAACCACCTAGGACAACATGACTCGAGTCGTCACCTCGAACGACCTACACTGGCTCAGTTCTCACAAACGGTGTCTGACGTTCAAATGCTTGATCGAATACGTCACACAGGGCGATTCTCTACCAGTACTTCTGCCTCGCGTCCTGGCGTGGCATTTCTTGATGAAGGGTCCACAACTGCTAATGCCGTATCTTCTCTGGAGATGCTGTCTCATCTCTGTATGGAGAGTGGTTGGGAGTGGATTGACGGCATGCTTCTTGGGGGTTGTCTGGCTTATGGTCTAGGTGATTACAACAAGGCTACACGGTGGTATTCGCGGATAATCGCCCGAGATGCAACGTGAGTATCCTTGATGAATAGAGCATAATGAGATCTCTAACATAGGGCCAGGCACGTGGAGGCGATCTCCAATCTTGCCGCAACACTTTTAGCACTTGATCGCCGCGATGAGGCACTGCAGCACTGGCTTCGCGCTGTAAAACTGCGTCCCAGCTACTTTGAAGCTGTGGAACATTTGATTGGGCTTTTGTGCAGCAGCCAGCGGGGCAAGGAGGCGGTCAACATCATCGAGTTTGTGCAGAATTCTCTGCGTTCTTCTCCAAGTGGAGAATGCTTCAAAGCGGATGAACATGCGAGTGAGACGGAAAGCGACGCCGAAAGCCGAGCTTCAAGCGCGTCAGATTTGGGCTCTTACGAAAAAGCTACATTTGATTATGATGACGACTTTGGTCGATCTGTATCCATAATACCTGGTGCAGCGGATGCCAGCACCGCAGGGTTTGGGTCAAGTGGATATGATATACCCGGCTGCGACAATGGACGTATATTAGCTCTTGTCCACGCCAAAGGAAACATGCTTTATGCATTGGGTGACAATGTGGGAGCAGCGGCAGCATTCGAGGATGCGATCCTAATTGCCGCCGGACGCAAACGCCATAGAATTCAAAATCTGATCAAGCAGATCTTTTCGGCCTTTATGCATGGTGGTAATCGTGCGCATTCGGCCGGAGAACTACAGGGGCCCCAGGAGAGTATTCTTCTGTATCCTGAACAGGCGCTTCAGACCTCGAAACTGGTATTCGCTCCCTGCGGAACCCCCCCGGGCATCAAATTCGTGGCGGAAGGCCTGGCGAGGAAGGCCGCCATATCCACGACAAGCAACTCACTACTCTCACTCGCCAAGATTTACCAGGATGGCATGGGCAACATCTCGACCTCGGGGGTTCCGAAAGCTGCCCCGGGCGTCCGGGATATTCTCGCCCTCTATTACCTTTCCCTGTCTCTTCAGCCTAGTCCTTCGACTGCGAACAATGTGGGAATCTTGTTGGCAGGAATTCACCACAAAGTCCCTAAAAAGAGCCTCCCTCGCTCCAACGGTGATCTGCAGCACCCCGAGATTCCTGGTGTTGTTCCCGGGACAGGGATATCGTTAGCCTTGGCGTACTACAATTACGGGCTGCACCTCGATTCCCGCCATGCCCACCTCTACACAAACCTCGGAAGTCTACTCAAGGATATAGGCCAGCTTCAAGCGGCAATTCGGATGTACGAACAGGCGGTTCAGTGCGACGGTAACTTTGATATCGCCCTGGCTAATCTGGCCAACGCGGTCAAGGATGCCGGACGCGTGAATGATGCCATCGCCTACTACAAGCGGGCCGTCAAGGTGAACCCGGAATTCGCCGAAGCAGTGTGTGGTCTCGCAAATGCCCTCAACTCTGTCTGCAACTGGGTTGGTCGTGGTGGCGTAGGCAACGGCATTGGTTTTCGAGATCGCTGGCATGTCGATGAGCAAGGGATGCTCCGGGATGCGTATAGCACTGACACCGGTGCAGGCTGGATCAAACGGGTGGTTGAGATTGTCGACCGCCAACTGAAAGAAGGGGAGTTTTGGGGCCAGGGCTTGCTGACCCCCCATGCAGTTGAGCAATTGTGCGCTCAATTGATTCCCGCGTTGAGAATGCGCAATCAGCCGGCATCCAGTTCCCTGGCGGCTATCCTTCAGTCCTGGGCTGGCCAGCGATGGGAGGGAGCAAGGGTGGTACGACTGGTGGAGCGCGCCATCCGGTCCATCACTTGGCAATGGTACCAGGATCGCTACGTTCAACGCAAAGAATACCCTTTATCGAAATATCGGCGCCCGCAGTTGCCGTCGGGTCTGACGGCGCCAAATGCGCCCACCGTGCTGCCTTTCCACACCTTCACCTGCCCGCTCTCAGCCAAGCAGATCCGGCAGATCTCGCAGCGGAACGGACTTCGCATATCTTGCTCGACCTTGCGCTCGCCTTGGCTTCCTGCCACGGTTTACCCACCGCCCCCACCCCCGAACCCTTATCTGAAAGTCGGATATGTGTCGTCCGATTTCAACAACCACCCTCTTGCGCATCTGATGCAGTCTGTTTTCGGTCTTCATAATCCGTCGCGTGTCAAGGCTTACTGCTATGCGACCACAGCCAGTGATAGGTCAATTCATCGACAGCAGATCGAGAAAGAAGCCCCTGTGTTCTACGATGCAAGTGGGTGGCCTGTGGACCATCTTGTGAAGAAAATTGTTGAAGATGGTATCCACATTCTGATTAATCTCAACGGCTACACCCGCGGCGCCCGGAACGAAGTTTTTGCTGCCAGACCTGCCCCCATTCACATGTCCTTTATGGGATTTGCAGGAACACTGGGAGCTGAGTGGTGCGACTACATCCTGGCAGATGAAATCTCAATTCCCCCAGAGACATTAGCGCCGGGTCGCCGCAATGTGCGCATCGAGGACCGACTACTGGAGGAAAATCATGGCGAGGATCTTGAACATTGGGTTTACGGGGAAAAGCTGGTCTATACACGTGACACATTTTTCTGCTGTGATCACCGGCAGAGTGCACCCGACGCCCAGGATCCACAAATTGCTTGGGAACAGGAGCAGAGCCGAAGATGGCGGATGCGCAAGGAGTTGTTCCCCAACCTCAGCGATGACACCATCATCCTTGGGAACTTCAATCAGCTGTATAAGGTGGGTGTCTCTTCTCAGATACATTGTTCTTCAGCCCGCTAATGATCATTAGATTGAGCCTACAACTTTCCGTACCTGGCTGCGTATCCTCGCTCACATCCCGAACGCTGTCCTTTGGCTTCTCCGCTTTCCTGACCTTGGTGAACGCAACCTTAAGGAAACGGCCATCGCCTGGGCGGGCGAGGAGACCGCCTCCCGAATCATTTTTACGGATGTTGCCCCCAAGAACATGCATATTGCCCGTGCTAGAGTTTTGGATCTGTTCCTGGACACTCCTGAATGCAACGCCCACACCACAGCTACGGACGTTCTCTGGAGCGGTACGCCGCTCCTGACCTTCCCTCGCTACAAATACAAGATGTGCTCTCGCATGGCAAGCAGTATACTCAGTAGCGCTCTGCCGGACACCGACGCCGGCCGCGCCGCTCGGGACGAATTGATTGCTACCTCGGACGAGGACTATGAGGCGAAAGCCATCCGCATGTGTCTCAGCATGAATACTCGCCGGACCGCATCTGCAGAGACAGCGCCTACGGGCCGACTCACCGAAATACGGAAGATGCTATTCCAGGAACGCTGGAAAGGCCGACTTTTTGATACGGCTCGATGGGTGCGGGATCTTGAGGACGCATATGACCGCGTCTGGCAGCGATGGGTAGTCGGCGAGGAAGGCGATATTTGGTTATGATCCATGCGCCTGTATTTGCAACATAATAAACCATGCAATTCCTCTCTCTGAATATACCCCTTTGAGCGTTGTTTCAGTCCTTCTCCTGGTTGTTTTTGAGCTATTGATCTATATTTATATTGATTTTGGATTTTTGATTTCTTATTTCTGGTTACATGATACATGTCTGGGTTTCGTCTTCTGGGTTGAACTATCAAGGGCTTATAATTTACATGTTGGTCTGGTCTTTCAATCATTGTACTGGGATTTGAGGTGTTTTGTCATGACGAACTGTGACGAGATGTAGCTTCATGATATGTGCATAGTATTACTCGACTGATGTGATGATGGTCATGGTCGGGTCTGGTGTCTGTTTTCCATATGTGTCTCGGTTTCACCGCTTTTGGTCGGTCTATTCAGTCAGCATTCAGCAACCCTATGGTGGTGTCCACAGGGACCTACTTTGGTTATGGCGTTGGCATTGGTGTAGGGGGGTCTAAAGTCTTACTCATGCTTGTTATTTTATCAAGCAGGGAACTTCACTAATGACTAAACGATATAGAGGATAGTACGGCTCATGTGCTTCCTATATTTGGAACGATTTGACACACAATGTGTGATGACATCTGTATCATGTTCTGCTTTATTCGCAACTCCAATTGTGGACAAATATGGTGAACTGGCAGGCGTACGTAGCCAGCCAGGACTGGAGTACGATCAGCAACATAGACTAGTGCTTTCTTGTATTCACAATACATTTGTATATAGCATGTCCCCCACCTGGTGAACCGGTTTGCCTGTGTCAGTGAGTCTAAGCATGTCAAGGCGATCAAGCTGGCTGGGCTGCAGAAATGGACAGAGTCCACTTTTCCGAGGGCTTGTTCCGAAAACCGATAGTCAAATTCAAGATCCCTGAACCTGAAGGTGGACAAGTTGTTAATGGTGTTGATGAAAGACGGGAAGACGGGAAGACTGGCAGACTGGCAGACTGGCAAGCGTTGCACAGGAAGGAAGAAAGACGGTTCCGATGAATGGGATGGAGGTAGGCAGATACTTTTGCGATGGCTACCTATGTTCAATGTAGGCCACATCCGATCACCCTCGATCCTGTCGTCTTCTATCGGAGATTACGTGCGTCATTCTGGCGGGGAAGACCCCCTTCATCATAGCTTTGCAGGGCACTGAAGGGCAGATGGTAGTTGTATAGTAGTTCTGTTGCAGTGGCATAGCTCTTCGATTGATGGTAGGTACTGTACATGAAGTGCTAAGACTAGCGGACGATATGCGCATACATCAAGTGCATAGTTATCGCCAATCCAAGTCACATTGTGCTTGAAATTGTACCGAAGGGTGATCATATCCCATTCACGCATGACTAGGTCAAGTACAGCCAGCTTGTGCATAGTACACTTTTATTACTAGATTGCAAACAAGCAAGCCAAGTCAAGAGATATACATCATACTAAGTCTCGGGGAACACTATGATTTGACTGACATCTTATAGCGCGGGCATCCAACGTAGTAATCTGAGGCAAACTTCTGCAAGTCGGAAGGTTCTCCCTCCTCCTCCTCCTCCTCCTCCCCTCTTTACAGCAAGCGCTACACCACCAACCACCCGAGTGACTAACATGGACACTACCTAGGCTAGACGGGAACCGCTGCTGCTGCTGCTGCTGCTGCTGCTGCTACTCTGCTGGAGCAGCGGGGGAAGCCTGGGACTGTCAGCTGGGACCGTCAGCTGGGACCATAATAAGCCCTCTGGCACCTGCCAGTTCAATCTTCACCACCTACAACAACTTCCCTTACTGGTCGAAGCAACGACTACTCAACACCCTGTCCTTGCCTTTGGCTCAGGACAAGTGACTCAAGATCCACTAGATAAACGACTGATGACCGATCACTTGCGATTTGCAGGATCAGGTCTTCTCATGCCGGCCTCGTATTTTACAGGTCTGATCCTGATGCTCGAGCTTTACGAACGTCATCCTGCACCAAGGATCCTGCCATGCACTGTCTTGAGGGGAGGGGAGGGGAAGGGGCGAAATCTTCTTTGCTGTTGCTGTTGGAAAATAGCCCTGGCGTTGACCAGCTAGCCAGCCAGCAAGCCAGCCAGCTAGTGGGATCTTGAGAGGAACCAATCTTTCCAGTGGTTCCTGGTATCAATAGGGACAACCCTTCAGTGCATGTCCGACAATCATAAGGCAGGAAAGCGCCAGCAATAAGGCAAGAGTAGCACTTGTAGAATGAAGTGATACTTGGCGAGAGATTTCTTAGTTCAGCAGGACAAAATGTATATAACGGAGCAGCGGAGAATAGAGCATACAGTAAGTGCCATCGGGCAGGCTAATAAGGTGATTCAAGGGAGCACCTCGTGTGGCAAAGTTGTTCTAATTACGATTGAAGCAAATGGGTTAAGGGGGCAAAATCGGCTGGGTTACGCACTCGCTTGATGGCATCATCCATATACCTATCCTGTAAGCCAATAAGTACCGTAGGCCAGCCAAGTAAAGAAGTAAATATGCACAGTACAGCGCGCCCTAACGCATGCAGCTCGCTCTTGAGGTCCATAGCCCAGTTGTTAGTGCTTCTGTCCTTCTTGACCAGAGAGACAGCCAGCCCCATAGAGTGCTCAGAAACGGTGTCTTTTTTTCCTCTGTTTCTCTGTGTTCTGCTCTACTCCTTTTACATTCTATGGGGCAAATCGATCAGATACCGTCTCGCTCGCCCCTCGAAACCGCTTTTCAGCTCTGTTTGCCTATGCTGCGATATTGCTTTTTCATTTACTACACCATAGAGGAGAGAGGACTGAGTCAGGACAGACATACACGGCTCCCCTATGTTGACCTCGTGCGATGGAAATAAGCACCAGATACTATTATTATTCCCGTCACAAGTTTCAGCCCATCCCTTTTACTCCCATTGTTTTCAGGATCGCCTGGCAGGTTCAGAGAGAAGGTTGGAACCGAGTACAAAACTGTAACCGCCAGGTGTTTCGTCTATACTTATCTTGTCGGGAAGGGGACATCCACTCAGACGCGGACCCAAAATGATTTAGAGAAGAATAGTAGAGTTCGATCAGTTGCATCTGTTTGCGTACTTGGATTATCAGTGGAGGGCCCTAATCACTACCTATCTGGACGTGTTGAACAATTCTATAATGCTCTTCCTGGGAAGTGACGACCGGTGTGCATCATAGTACAAGAGCCCATCATAGTCATGCATACATAATATCAAAAAATGAAGGCGATCTCTGCAGCCTCGGGAGAACATATGTATTAACAGAAACTCTTGAGAATGATCTGCTCCTATCCCCCTCTGCTTCATATTCAATGCTCCAAACAACTCAGTCCATGAACTACTTCAAAGCCATTACCCGCGGCCCCCTGACATGGATTTGCAAAACGCGAGTCATGAAGTAACTTTCACTCCACTCCAACAGCGTTCTTCGCATAAGCATCGAACAAGAGGTGGGGGTGGGCAGAGAAAGAGGAAGGAAAGGAACTAGAATCAAATATCAGGGAAGGATGATGCAAGAGCCAGTTCGGCGCCTCCGATCGATCTGAATCCTAGGCCCAGATGCTCCGTCAGCTTTGAAAGGACATACTTGGCTGGATGACATTTATTATTCCTATTTTCTCATGTATTTCTTTGTTCAATCAAGTGGTGGCGTGGCATTGAGCAGCAACAGCAGCAGCAACAGGGAAAAGAAATACCCACGTGAATGCCTTGCTTCCCTGTATCCGGAGTACTAGTCAAAGTATGTCTAGGCGGCGGGAAGATCATTTTGTCATGATTATTGGACGCCATCTCAGCAGTATTCCAGTTGCATTGGAACACTAGCTATTATTATAACTTGCGCATCAACTGTTGTATCATCCTTAGACACCAAGAGATATTCAAGACTCAAAATCAAGCGTGGTTAGGATCAATCCGTGCAAAAGGGGGCGGGTAGGTTAGACTCAAGAGCAAGTGAAGATATACATACGAGGTATTGTGCAACAAATGGCAACAAAAAAAGGGATAAAAAAAAAAAAAAAAAACCAAACCACCTTGTACCAGCACCGAAAACAGCAAGAAAAGCAAAGGGTAACATTCACTAGGAAAAGGCTGCTCAGGTGAAGTTACCACCACAGCTATTACCGTGAGAACGCCCGCAACGGCCCGTATCTGACGAGTCCACGTGGAAAAGAATTTTTGCAAGAACCCCTTGCGCCAGAGCAGTTTGTGCTTTGGCCCTCGTTATTTTCCTTTTCCACCCCCTCCTCTCAAAGGCGCGGGCAAAGTGGTAAGAAGGGAGCTAGTGCGCTCTTACTAGTACAGTACAGTATGATACAGGATGTTGTGCTACCGCTGGGATGTGACGGTGTATTACCAGTTTCAGCTCGTATCAAAGGTTGCACCGTACCATGTACTGTACCACAAAGAAAAGAAACGGATTTGAAATATCTTACCAAGCCGCAGCCCAGCTAGGGGAAAGCTCCACTCACATCAACTCCTTGACAAATTCCCCTTGAGAAATTGAATATATTTCTCGCTGGTTTTTTCCGGATTTGGTAATTGGTGCAATGTGTTGCCTCTGGGTCCCTGCGCAGTTTTACGCGGGTGAAGTTGCGGAGATGGTCCCTTCTGTGTCGAGGCGATCACTTGCTATAAGGGTAAACAACGACCATACAGCTTACAGTACCAAATACTTAGTTATGAATCTTGGTTGATATAAGAAATACATTAGAGAATTCAATGTCGGCCAGTTTAAGAAGAAGAATTGACAGAGTCAAGCATGATCACAAGTCAGTTGCATGTAGAAGTCAAGGTCCATGGCTTGTAATGGATGCATCAGTATTCTTGTTCTAGCACGGAGTTGTATCTTGCGATGGACAATACTGTAACATCGGCGTTACGATGATAAGGTGATATTGATTTCGGTGGTTTCTGTCTGCAGAAGACCGGTTTGTGCGAAGTACTGTACGTCTCAGTTTTTCCCTTTCACATATCCGATCGGATCGCCGAAAAGGCCAAACCCAAAACAAAACAAAACAACACAGACAGACAGACAGTCAGACAATTAAAAATAAATTGAAAAAAGCTGCTGCCGATCACGGGCGGACCGGCAAGGCGGGTACCCTAATCCCAATCCAGCAAAGTCGATCTTCGTGCACACCGAGATGCTCCGAGAGCCAATGAGAGCTGTCAGGGAAGCTCTG